ATTTCCAGATGATATTGCATAGAAAATTCAGCATTGGATTGTCTCCGTTAAGAGATGCTACCACGGAATAGTTTGACATTTCATGAGTAGAGTAGTACCAGAATCTACAAGCGGTTCTACGGGGAGGCTTTCAGGCAGAAGTCTCCCCTCCCAAAAGTGGTAAAATATAACCATGTCTTATGAGAAAAATATTTAACAATTACCTCTAAAAGTATTATTGTTCGTGTAATTACAGTTAATCAAAGAATACAGTACTCAAAGAATCACTTAACCTCTATTTCATATAGGTAGTTAGTTTATTTCTTATTCTTCCTAAGTAAATATCGTTATACATTTTTTTTTTTAAATTTCGGGCTGAAGCTCCCCCCTCCAAAAACTAAATCCTGGATCCGCTAGTGCCAGGATCTACAAAGTTCTGCCTCAACAAGACGCTATTCCCCTTCACTAGAATATAAACGCGAAACCCGCAATACGCGCAATTGTTTCAATAATACAAACATTATAAATTATTAACTATTAAATTTGCTGACATTTCATCACTCTCCTTCACCTTCTATGATATCATATATATTAGAAATAAATTTGTCTGAAATCTTTAATTTTCCAAAGGAATATCATCTATATTATTGCTCTTATTTATGGAAATTTGTTTTAAACCAAAAAATATTTATACTGTTTCCTCCTTGAGTTAGTTACCGAATTCTTTAATAGTTTATATTTATCCATTTTTATCACTAAAAACAATTCAAGAGACTTGATTATTTATAAAAATAAAATGATTTAAAGGAAGAAATTTTGAAAATTCTGCGTTTTAGTTCAGTCAGTCTATTTCAATGAGGGACAGGATCACGCTCAACCGTCAGGTTTTCCCCCTTAATCAATTATTTAATTAATATTTAATTAAGGGTAGCCACTTTTTAGAGGCTGGGTGTGTCCCAGGAGGGTCTCCTTAACCCAGGGTCGCCCCACGACCAATGAAACAGAAAATAAATTTTCTGCTATGAGCCGGGATTCGAACCTGAGACCTTCAGCATTGGAGGCTTAGTGCCTTACCACTGAGCTACCCCGCTCCCTCTCTCTATCTATCTATCTATATATATATATATATATAGTTATATGATCGGTTATATATACATCGGCTATATATATCGCTATATATCGGCTATATATATATATATATATATATATATATATATATATATATATATATATATATATATATATATATATATCACGATATTTACTTTGGAAGACAGAGAAACTAGTTAGTTCATATAGATAATTACCTACGATGCCCAGGAGGCTAGTGATAAATTCAATACAAAGCTTCCCTACCTTCGGTAGTGAGGAAGCAAAAATAAAACAATTGTGATTGTTTAATTAATTAGCTTAGTTCACTCACAACAAACATATAGACCAATGAAATAAAACTTCCTTCCTTCAGCCCGAAAGCCCCACATAGGTCTGTCAGTTCTTATATTTTAATGACAGTCCATAAAAGATTATTTAATTTGACATTCAAATGACGAATTTAATAAAAATCGTGAGAAATGTTTTCGAGATAATTGTTAACATTTATAAAGTCGATGATATAAAATATCATTTTTGGTGGGCCGATTTTATTAACGAAATGTTTTATAAAGAAAGGCATAGATATTCGTAGGCAGGCAACAGTTGTTTCGGAATAGTTAGAACTATTTTTCAAAAGAATTAATCAGAGTAAAATCCAATTTTTTAAAATTAAATTTAGGTTAAATCAGTTTCATTTATTTTTAAATTTAGTTAAGCATGGATAAACATCCAAAACCAAATCGTATGGGTAACATTTTATAGAATTTATACATTACATACATTTTTGGCACAACATCCCGTTACCGAGACTGGGCCTCCTCCAAGAGCCTCCGCCAGTTGGCTCTGTCTTCTGCTGCAGCTCTCCAGTTCCGTACACCAAGCAGGGTTCTCGCATCATAGGCCACGTTGTCCAACCATCTCGTCCTCGGCCTTCCTACCCGTCTTACGAGGTGCAGCTCCTCCATCATTATTTTTTTTGGTATTTCACCGGTGCTCATTCTGGCCACATGCCCTGCCCACCTTAGTCTGGCAAGTTTAATATACGTGACTACGTCGATGTCTGCATAGAGAGAACTGAGCTCCCTATTTTTTCTTTTCCTCCAGACATCACCCTCCTTTACTGGACCATAAATCCTTCTGAGGACTCCTCGCTCAAAGACACTCATATTATATATAGAATTTATAATAGCTATAATTTAAAGATCCTCTTTACGATTTGTAAACATTCAAGATGATTTAGATTATGCAGTGCATAGTTACACCTTTATATAACCTTTGATGATAAGATTCTACGAGTTAAAGAAGGTATTGTAATCGGGTCAAGTTTTCGATGTACAATATTCAACAAATCTTAATGCTTCTAGTTAGTGTTCTTTCTGTCCAAAAAAAACACATTATCGGTATCGGTTTTTACATTATTTTACGGTTATCTCTTGAACAGTTGCACTGGATTTATTCTGATTCGGACTGCTCATTAGCCGAAAAACGTGTCTATATCGCTAAAATGGCTCAAATGATTTTGATGAAACTGCCTAACATCTTCTTGAACTCTTTTAAAGCTCAGTTGAATTAAATTAAAGCAAAATGAACCAACGCTCAGCACTAGCGGATCCAGGATCTAATTTTTGAGGAGGGGGGAGAGCTTCAGACCAAAAGCTTTTTTAAAAATAAAAATAACGATAATTACTTTGTAAAAAAATGAAGAAACTAACTACCTATATGAAATGGTGTTTAAGTGATTCCTAAAGTTCTTTTAAATTTAATTACACGAACAATAATACTTTAAGAAATAATTTTTTAATATTTTTTCCATAAAACATGTTTACACTTTACCATTTTGAGGGAGGCTTCAGTCCGCCCGTGACGCTCAGCAATTTCTTTGTTTGTATCGATGAGGAAGATGTATCCAAGATGTGTATTCTGTACGAATGACAGCGGAATAGAATGTGACACAACCGTACCGCCAATTCGTCGCGACAGGAATATCGTACATTATTCGTATATCGTAAATTACTCGAATATAAATAACTTATTTAAAGTGATAAAATTATTTAAAATAATCTTCCTGAAAGTCATAAATATAACTTTAATTTTTGGAATAAAAATTAAATTACTACGAAAATTTAATTAATACTTCAACGTGCCTTTCTCTTAGTAATAACTTATGGAAAAAAATATTGAAACGATAGATCGTTACAATCCAGCAATGCTAGTGCAACGTTGTATAATGTTTAAAAAAATACTACTCAAATAAAGATGGTTCACAAAGAACATCATATCTATTTAATAATGAAATAAAATTCCTGGCATGTTTTCGAACACAAAATCCATGTATCTTTTATTCACTCGAAATAGTTGCAACAGCCTAAATCTTTTAGAAATTGGTATAAATTTTAATTTATTAATGAACTGAAAATAAATAAAATAAATTACTAGTTGAAAGCTAATAGCAATAGAGTTTGAATATTAACTTTCAGCATAATCATATCTATCTATCTATACTTATTCTGCTGCCCAAGGTCTGTAGGGCAAAAACTGTCCCTAAATTGTCGTTTATATATAATTACACTTGTTTTGGACCAGTATCGTGTTTTTCTCCTAGTACTCTGGTTTGGAAGGGCCTTCTAACAGAAAAGCTAAATATTTGGTTCATTCAAAAATCCACGACACTGTCAAAATGTGCCCTCCTCAAAAGTTCAAAACCCCGCAAAAAACGGATTTACTGAGGGGAGGAGGGGGGCTATTGGGCTGAAGCCCCTTCAAAATGGTAAAATATAACTATATTTTACAAGAAAAAAATATAAAAACTATCTCTTAAAATATTCTTGTTCGTGTAATTACATTTAATAGGACTTCAAGAACCACTTAAACACCATTTCATATCGGTAGTTAATTTCTTCCTTTCTTTTTTTTCAAATTAATTATCGTTAAATATGTATGAAAAAAAAAAGCTTTCGGTCTGAAACCCCTTCCCTCCAAATTAAATCCTGGATCCGCTAGTGCCCCTTTCTGAACACCACTAATGATCAATGTTTATTCATATTATTCCACAATATGATTCTCTTACATGAATCACTAGCAAATATGCTATATAGTTAGTAGATTGAATGTGAATAAGATTTTTTTCAAAAAAATAGAAGGCTAGACGATAAAATTTCTGAACAGTCAACTTAATTGTTTTATGCCAAAAACACTTTTGTGTATAACCCAAGTCTGGGTAATTGAAAAGAAAATATTTATACTTTAAGCATTTTTTCTATTAATATATGACATCGTTCTACACAAAATAATAGAAGATACTTCAAATATGCACCTTGATTTGCCCATGAAAAAAATATCATGACATTGAAATTATGAAATCCGCCAGAAAGTAAATTATGAATATAATTTCAAAACTCTTTTATTGGATGATCGGTTTCATTTAAAAATCTAACTTTATGAGATGAAGAATACATTGAAACTTAGAGTGACCCTCACTGGAATATGATTCAATATCTTAAGGACTCGAATACCGCATAATGAAGTATCTCAGCTGATTTTTGTTTTGGTTCAGATAACTTTCACTGGTGGATTCCAATTTTTTTATTTTTATTTTCTATATTCGAAGTTTCGGCTACGTTCCAAATTACCAAAGTACTAAATATAAACAAAGGCGCAGAAAAAGAAAGATATCTCTGAACTGACCAGTGACATACTAGTGTTAATCCTAAATACCCTCCTAAGTTCGGTAAAATATTATGGACCGACGTCTAAGAAAATTGGAATTTGTTTTCAATTACATTTATTATCATTCCATTTTGAAACTAAGCACCCTCCTACACCCACTTTTTTCCAACATATAAACGTAATTATTTTTTTTTTAATATATTCAAATAAGATTTTAAAATCAGCGAATATAAAAAAAAAATTCTTGCGATGCATTTACTAACCTGGGAGGTGTGGTATCCAGACAGAAATAGCACTAACACTGAACACTGACTGTCACTCGGCGCCCCCCTCTACGCTAACTGACGGTGGGAGTGAGCAATAGGGCAACACTGTCTATAATTAACATATCCTATGCTTCGCACATTTTTTAAAATATAGTCACCATTCACTATTAATTTTAATTTTGATATTCTATACTAAGATGAAATAATTTAAAATTATATTTATCCTAACATTCATGAACCATTAATTATTATAAACATAAATTCAGGCATCATATAATTATCTTTATGAAAATCTAAAAATTAGTGGTAAACGATTATTGCCCTACTGATATTCCATATTAAACAACGGAAATCAGTAGCAATAAAAACTGCCGTCTATCTAATCTGAAATATCTTGTCTTACTGGCAAGTGGGATTTATTATTCCGTACGCCATCACCTGAAGACTATATACAATAGCGGGTCTCGAATCTTTTATTGCTGCGGCACCCTTGATCAACTAAATAAAAACCGTAATACCCTTGTTGGACTAAAACAACCATTTTTGGTGCAACATACATATATGATACAAATACAATTTTCCATAGATGTCATCTTAAATTTTATTTGTATTAATTTATATCATATTATTAATAAACACGAATTTATGTATTAGAATTTCTATTTTTCAAATTGACAATATTTTCCTTAAATATTAAATATTGTTGCCTCGACACCTCTAGTACATAGTCTGTTTGCAACAATCAGTTTAAGAGTCCTATGACATAAAAAGTTGTGGCATTGTAGCACACAAGTGGAAATGGATATATTCATCTTTTAAGCTAAAAACTGCTCTTTAACATTTTCAAATAAAACCATATGCCAATAAATATTGACGAATTCATATTGATTTCTTTGTTGCCTTATTAATATCAATAAGATGAAATTGAATGGAAAGAAACTGAAATGTTTTTATCGTACTCTGCATGTTTCAACGTTCTTAATATGCCCAATTTTTGAAATAGAGTGAAAGTGCTTAGGAGGAAATGAATAAATAAAATTAATGACAGTTGTAATCGAAGGTATTGTCTAGTCTAAAAGTCTATGAGCTGAAGAATTCAAATTCAATTCACAAAAAATGTTTAATTAATTTTATTTGGTTAATAAAGTTATGACTTGAAATTTAGATCACTCTCTAAACGAATCAAAAATGTATGGATGTAAAACATGGATCTTAAACAACAATTCCATACGGATGCCCAACACCTGGGAGAGAAAAGTAGTGAGAAGAGTGTGGGGCAGAATCGCTGAGAATGGAATTTGGAGAAGAACAAACAATAAGGAGCTGCGTGAACTGTATAGGGAACCCGATATTGTGGCATTGATAAAAAGAGCACGCATAAGATGGATAGGTCATGTGGAAAGAACGCCCGACCAAAGAGAATACTCTATGAACAAGTGGATCTACCGGGAGAATTCGGGGTGAAGCTCCCCCTCTCCCTCTCCAAAATGGTAAAATATAACAATGTTTAAAGAAAAAAAATTATCTCTAAAAGTATTATTGTTCGTCTAATTTAATAGGGCTTAAAGAATCACTTATACACCATTTCATATAGGTAGTTAGTTTTTTTTCCGAAGTAATCATCCTAATATATACATACAAACACTAGCGGATCCAGGATTTAATTTTGTGGGGGCTTCAGCCTGAACCTTTTTTTTCATAAAAATAACGATAATTACTTAACAGAAAGAAACCAGCTACCTATATGAAATGGTGTTTAAGTGATTCCTTAAGTCCTTTTAAATGTAATTACACGAACAATAATACTTTAAGAGGTATTTTTAAATTTTTTTTTTTCCATAAAACGTGGTTATATTTTATCATTTTGGTGGGGGCTTCAGCCCGAAATCCCCCTCCCCGTAGGTCACCCCGTGCATACAAATACATAAAAAAAAAATCTTTCGGGCTGAAGCTTCCCCCCCCCCCGAAAAAAAAAATTAAATCCTGGATCCGTTAGTGGCTCTATGAAAAGCCGGATGGCAAAAGAAGTAGACGACGCCCTCGAATCAGATAGTTGGAGGATGTGGTGGACGATCTAAAGCTTGGTGTTAGAAGATGAAGAAAGGTATTACAGGACTGCGCAGGTTGGTTGGCTGTAGTGGAGGAGACCCAGGTTCTTGCAGGACCGTAGTGCCATTGTAATAATAATAAAGTTATGATCATATTTGAAATAAATAACAATATGATGAGCGTCCTGATTGTACTTAAGGTTACAGGAGTTAAGAAACGATATAGCCATTAAGTGATTTTTTTGTATTTCTTCCTGTAGTAATCAATTCATAAATTTCTTTTGTTCTCTTTATCTAATGACTGTATTATTTCTATCCAAAGAGGTGAAAGAAAAGTTAGCAAAATTAAGCATGTCCATACAACAATGATGGTGAATTTTTTTTTAATAAACAAAATTAAAGATACTTTAAATTAGGAACAAATTTTGAAAATTCGTGAGTTATATCATTTCAGACTATTAATGAAACTTGAACTGAGTGATATTAAAGACTGTTTATTTTTACATCGATATAAAAAATTTAGTAAAATCGAAACAGAAGGTTTCTTGGAAATACTAAACATGTGTAAAATGTATAATGATATAAAGTGGCACCACTTACCTTAACGAAGTACATATCCTTGTTGCACGTTTCTTTTTCTTTTTTGAGCTATACTGTTCAAAAACACAACGTATGAGTGACTTTGTTTTTTAGACCTAGGAGACTTTAAAACATACACTTTCGTTAAAATCTCGGATTTGACTGTTTTCTTTAACAGTCACAGTACTTTCCCTTACTATCTGTTTTATTTATCGGTCAATGAAATTAAAAAAAATAAATTAAATAATCTCTGATATTTATCTTTACTCATTTCATGTAAACAATTACTGATACTCGTTGCAGGATATCCAACAAAACCAAACTAGTTTGATTAATCAAATCGTTAATATTTATAAAGCGGATCTTCCAAAACCATTTAAATTATTTTTCCCAAAACATTTTCACACTACTTCGTCTGATTTTTCATCTATTGTATATTGTAGGAAATGGGTTGTAGTTACTGTTCATTATTAACATGGTTAATAAAAACCATAAATATACATTGATTTGTCCAGTTTATCAAATTATGAGATATTTTTGTAGAATTTTTATCAATATAAATAAATGTATTATAAATATTTTTAATAAATATCATATTCTTCAAGAAGATTACATTACTACGGTAATAGAAGTTATGAACTGTCATTATCAGTAACCTCCCCTGATGTTTATGTTTCCCGCTATCTTTTGACATTTAGTTTCTGAATTTTATCGTTTATCTTTAATCCAATCATTTTATGTGAGTTTCTCGATGAAAACGCAATGACGGAAGAAGAAAAGTATGTGACTACTAATTGGAAGGAGATAAAATCGACCGGTTTAAATTTGTTGTATTCAGGTAAATTTCTCAACAAAAAAATAGCTGATGAATTATTGTTTAGGCTGGATTCAGAAATAGAATATTTTACGGGTGACCTGAGTAGGGTAAAGGTGTTCGGTAAATGGCACAATATTCCCAGGCAACAGGTATTTTATTTTTTATTTCTAATTTTGAGTGTCTTACATCAATGTCTTGATGACCATTACTTTTTAGGCTGCTTTTGGTGATGAAGGTCTCACCTATAAATTCTCTGGCCTGTCTGTACCTGCTCTTCCGTGGCCAGAATGTCTGCTAAAACTTAGGAATGAAATCAGTAAATGTATGGGAACAGATTACAACTTTGTGCTGGTGAACAGGTAAAAATTTTGTGGTTATATTTTTTTAAATTTATTAAAAAACATTTAGTGTTATTGAACTCTATTGAAAATCAATAATTTCGATGTGAGTATGAATGTCATGAAATTCAGTATGAAACTTTGATTTTAGGAACTCTATTTGAGTGAGTTCAGTTTTAAAAGAAAAACTCGAAAATTCACTTTGAGTTTCTTAATAATATTTATCCTATTATAGTATTATTGAACCATGTGATGTCATACAGGTAACTTTTGGTACAGTGCCGTCCTACTCTTTGGCATAATGTGCACTCAGTCTAATTATTTTGTATCAATATTCCTAATAAGAGAATCTCAATCAAAGCTCTTTAAAAATTAAAATTATAGAGGTCTGATATATTGATTTTTTTTTTATTTATTTAATTACTATTACAATATTTAAAAAAGACATAAAAATGATATATTTCGATATTTACATCTATGAAGATTATATCTAAATAAAAGGGAAATTAGTTTTTAAGGCATATCCTAATTCTTTATTGTTGCCAATTCATAAGTGCAATACAATATAATTAATTGTTAATCACCAAACCAGCCAGATTTGTTTTTCACTGTTAATTACAAATCTTTTATAATCTCTTAAGGTTATTCTACATTGAATTTTCACATGTTTTATGTAACTCATATAAATAATTTTTTTTTTATTGTATAAATATTAAGGTCTTCGATTATAAATTGGTTCCTTATAATTATTTTTTAAAAATAAACTATATCTAAGAAGTATATTTGGTAATCTAGGATTACAAAATTGAATCAAATTTTTTCTATTTTTTTTTTTAGGTACAGGAATGGTAATGATTACATGGGAGAGCATCGAGATGATGAGAAGGAGCTTGACGAAGAAGCAGGCATAGTTTCAATTTCTCTTGGTGCAACGCGTGACTTTGTTCTGCGCCATTCTGAGACTAGAAAAAAAGGCAGTACGTCCAAAATTTCCAATGTGACTATACCCCTTGAGCACGGTAGCTGCCTAGTGATGAAGAAGCCAACTAATCATCATTGGTATCATTCCCTCCCTCGACGGAAGGGCTGCCTCCATGTCAGAATCAATCTCACATTTAGAAAGGTCAAAAGATGATTTAAATCTGAAAGTAATATTCATTTCATAATTTCTTTGAACTTGTTTAGAGTTCTTGTGAAGTGATTAATCAATTATAAAAGAGACAGAAAAGTTAAATGAAAAACTGTCAAATGAGTGTAAACCCTCACATAATGTTAAAAACAGTTTACAAAAACTGATCAGTCTGTATCTTATGTCACAAAGGACAAGAGATTAAGATGGTTGGGGCATGTAGCTTGAAACAATCCATCAGGATGCCACTACCCAACAAGAATGTCATAGAATTGGTGATTCTTTTATTTGAGTAAAACATAGAAATATATATATTTTTAATGTTATAAATGTTTCAACTAAAATAAAAATCTTTTATATTGCTTTGGTTTTTATAACGTTTAAAAATTTATTTGAATATGCCGTAAATTAAAATACGTTAAATAAGGAGGAAGTGATGGGAACAACCTTCTCCTCAGCATCACTCTTCACCTGCACTTCAGTTAGTACTGTTAGTTACCATGGAGCATTAGACCCATAGTTAATTCTCAATGTCACTTGTGAGCCAGTAGCAGATGAGAGCTTCTTCTTAGTCTTCTATCATCAGTCATTTCACAACGGCCGTGCCAACAACTCCCAATCAATACCAGTCTGAGGACTATTTGAGGTTTCACCATCGAAGAATAGAATAACTGCCAAAAGAATTTTTTAATTATATTTTAGTTTTTACCTATTAGAATTATATATCATAAAAATAACCCATGACCTCCAAATATCCAGTGAACATCTAAAACTAACTATCCTTATCCTTTTAGATTTCTCTATAGCTTTTAATTTAGTTGACTATAACATCTTCCTTACAAAACCTTTTATCCAACAGTGCCTTGCAATGTTTCAAATCCTTACTCTCAGATCCTTCCAAGTTAACTTGCATCCAAAAGACACTTCCTTCTCTCATGTGATGTACTTCAGTGTCCACTATACTTTTTCTTTTCTCTCTTGCATTGTAACCCGATGCAGGAGGAGTAATTTGCTACTTGTATTAATTATTTGCTCCTCCTGGTCCATCACTCCCTATACCATATCTATGCTGAAAACTTTATATTCCTGCCTTCTGACCTATAACCAGCCACCAATGAGTGTAAGAGGACTAACTAGTCACTCCAGATTAGCTGCTACAAGTGCTATTGTTTCCATTTGAAACCCTTCGGTTCCGAGTTGCTTCCTCGATTTTTCCCTACTTTGACTATAAAAATTGATAAATTGCTTTGTAAGGTTATTTTGAGAATTCCCCCATTTCGAGGAATCCCAATTATTCAATCCCCATCTCTGTCAAATTCCATTCCTCCCTTCATCCATCAATCTAAGAATTCTTTCCATCTTGAAATCCTGACTATTCCATCAATGCCTTTCCATTAAGTTCCCAAAGAATAGTTAATTATAATTTTTAAACAAAATTTGTTAACTGATAATTCGACTTAATATATACATATCTCTTTTCGTGATTTTTTCATTTATACTTTTGCTTAGTTATACATGTAAGGGAAAGTATTGCGATCAACAAAATCAAATCCAATTTTTCAACGGAATTACAAGTTTTGAGGTTTCTTGAGTTCAAATAACCAATTCCCATAAAATGGTCACTGTGTGTTAACAGTCAAGCTCAAAACGAAAAGTCGTACGAAAGTGAAATTGCATGTTACAGCAACTTTTTCATCAAAATTGGCTAATCGGAAGTTTGAAGTTAATTTGAAATAATTAATTGTTTCACATTGTAACATTCTATTGAAAAGGGTTAAATATAAAATATTAAAGAATTGGATAATTAACGAAAGAAGAAATAAGGATTGGAAACTATACCGAAACAGCCGAGAGCGCCAGACCTTTGCTGATCCTCTCCCTTTATAGATACTTCATACCCCTCTGTATATACTGCGTAACCGATACAGGGCTTGCATCTTGTAAGTTTAACTTTTATATATCACTTATCCATAATTTTCTAAAAAGGTTTTCATGCAAAATGTTGAGAATCTATTAATATAAATCTAATAATATACTTTTTTGGGGGGTCCTCGCCTTTAAGACTATATGGGGTTTTCCTGGGCCAGGGGGTGAGGGTGGAGATTAATGGCAGAGTTAAAAGACTCCCCTGGCACTGGGATGTGAATTTTTTACTTACTATCAATTTATCTTACATATCAGGTTGCCGGACTGTGCACATGCATTAGCCCATTCGGCCACCCGCCCACAATATATTACATGAATATATACTATATTTACTATCGTTAAATAATTTTTTCGATGAGTTTCATGATGTTTCCGATGAAACTCAGAATTTTTCCCAAAATATCTAATTTCTCTCATTAGTATTGTTTCATACTATACTCACTCGAAAAAGAAAGTGGAAAGTGATGCCGGAAAAACATGTTTTAAATGAAGCTATAGTATTTTAACTTTGACTAGCTTATAATAATGAAAATAAATATCTGCTCTTAGGTGGGTAAGTGAAAGTTGTGTGATGTATGCACCACACGATTTTTTATGCATACAATGAAAAATATTTTTGTATACTAATTGTATTTAAATAAGAACTTTGGTTTATCTGTCCGAGGTGTTATAGATTAAGATAGCCTATCTTGACTGTTCATTATTTATTCAGAAGCATTGTCAACAGTTTTTTTTTAAATTATAAATATGTATATTTGCAAATTGTTCTTTTTTTTAAAGATTAATATTTCATGTTTGTATCATTTGTTTTATTTTTATTTGTCTATTCTTCCGTCATTTTTTTCTTTTTCTCTGAGGCCATTTAATTTTCTGTACAGATTTGTTTAAGAGCTTTTTTTCTAAAATAAATGAATTTATTTATTACTATTAACATTGGATTTTATTTATTTTACACACTCTGAGATTAACTAGTGATGTTTTAGTACTAACTAGAAGTGGTGTGCTACCGTGATATAAATGACTAATTGAGAAGGCAGAGTATATAAACAGATAATGGATGGTATGAGAATACATTAAAATATATCTGAAGTTGTGGTGGTTAGGTAGAATGGATTTGATTCTTAAGAGTATGATAGTTTTAATAATAAGTGAAATCTAGAAAGGAAAATTAAGGTAAACATGATAAGTGAGATACAATAATGTAATTTCATTGCTTTAAAAGGGTTGTATTTTAAAATATTGAAATATATTTTGTGATGTTTTTTAATAACAGCATCATTATTCATTTTTTTTATTCATATTACATCATTTATATATATTTTTTTTATCTCATCTTGATCTGTTCTGTACTTAATATTGAACTTTGTAATATGTCAAGTCATTATGACGAAGAACACTCTTCAACAAACAAATTATTATAGAGTACAACACAATTATTACAAAGTTATAATACAGCTAGATAGTTTTCTATCATGGTTATTGTTTTATTTGCCTCTATGAGAGCTTTGTCATAAAACAATGCTACACTGACCAGTAACTTCATTTTACCAAACAATGGTAACGCTGATCTATCATGCTCAATTATAGTAAAGAACTTGATCAAATCAAACTTTGGTGTAAAACTATAATGCACCTCGTCTAAAGGTAAAAGATTTACAAATATATTTATTAAATGTAAAGATACAACTTATGTATATTGTTTACACACAACCATACATTATCGGTATTTAGTCACTAAAACTGTTGTAACCTTTACCACTTCATTAAACTAACATAAATTATTATACAATACATATATACATAATACTCTAAATACAATAAATGCACCATCTGTGTTAATATAAAAAACAGAACCGTTTCCTCTCCTCCATCCGACCGGCATAAATCCGACTCTGAACAATTAGTGAGCCGAAAGGAGGAAATTATGATGGGGAAAAGTATAAAATAAAGTTAACATTTCAAGATATAATTGAAACAATACTATAAAGCTGGGAACACAGTCTTCTCGTAAAAGAGCAAGTAAGCAGATGCAGTAAGTACTTCATTTAGACTGGATTTCTTTACAATATTATCTGATGTATAGTACCACCTGTGAACAATTTATCAACTACATTATTCATTTCGTGACTAGATTAAATTCAGTTATTTAAAATTGGTATCGGTTCTACCTGGACTGATGATGAGTATCTGTAGGTGAGCTATCACCATGCTCCAGAGGACCTCTTCGATAAGTCACAAAGTGGCCGCTCTCTACGGTGCCACGGTGCTCCACAACAGCCTTCAGCTGGTATATTGGACCCTTCCTAACAACAAGAAAACACATAATGTACCAATAATACCTTTTATCTTGAAGGAGGTTAAGAAACTATATTTAGTTTTATTACATTTATGTACTAATGCTTATAGTTGCTCAAAGGCCAATCTAGATTTATACAACAAATGATGAAAGTGTTGAACAGAATAGTCAGGCCCCAATTTCTCAACTCAAGCTAATTTTTAAGAACACTCTGCTGCCTCTTCCATCTATTTATTTCAGTTCCATTTGATCTTAATTTTTTTTTTTTTTTTCATTCAAGCTGATTAATGTCAGTTTCAAATGCAACAACTAGTATACATGTATGAGAACCTTCACGTTAAATAACTATCCTTTTACTCCACCATAAATTTGAAGTATAACTGATATTAGGAAAACAAGTTAACATGTATGGGAAAAATATTATCAAGAAAGTCTATTCAACACACACAAGATGAAGCTAAATATACTTCATAATGACTGTTGGGATAACCGTTAACTTAAAAAAGAATTGATTTACTCTACTAATCAATATATCTTTAATTTAACAGTCGAACTATCCGTAATCTTAGTTGAAAAAAAATAGTTATGTTACAAAAATTATAGATTATAATTCTAGGTATTTCGGACTTTTTATTTCATTTTTTATGTACATAGTTTATGTTTCAATTATGCACTTTTATTATTTAAAAAAAATATTATTTTTCATAAAAATATATTCAAACTGTAAAAATAAAAAATATTTAAACTGTAAAATTAGACTAAGGGTTACTTTACGACATATGACCTTAAAGTGTTGTAAATAAAGTCGTTTATAAGTATATATATATAAAATTAGACTAATGAAACTATAAAACAGACTAATTAATGAACGATTTCATTTTCGTGATAAATGACTTATAAACTATAATTTTAATTAGCTAATTTTCTTTAATCATATTTTATTTCCAATTTCTCTAAAACAGACATTCTCTGTTGTGGACAAATTTTGATTCCCTGTAGTTCTCAAAAGACAAATCAACAAGTTGCATAACAAGAATATTATTTGCATAGCTTACATGACTGGTAGAGAGAAGTTGTTATTGAGGGCAGCTGCAATACTGTTCTCATCGACTAAGCTCCCATTCCTTACCGCTGCACCCATCTCAGCATCTCCTCCCTTCAGCTTCAGCTAAACATTTATGGGAATAATAATTCTGTAAATAATAATAAATACTAATAATAAAAAAATTTACTACTACAATCCATGAAGTCTAATTTTTTTCAAGGATGTATCTGCTTGAAGATTCGCACCACATGGTTCCCCACAACTTATTAAGAGTAAGTACCTTCTGATTGAGGCTACATGAGCACCTGAAATGTCTCGTCCTTTGAGTCAATAAAAGAATCTACAACAGCCTTTCTCGAATCTTGGTTCAGGATTTAGTAGTTCAGTTAAGAAATGGGTATGGATATTAAATAAAATCATTTACATTGGGAAAGCATAAATCTGGACCCAATGTTCCATATTAAGTATATTCTACCTCAACTCCCATTTAATCTGATCCACTCTACTCTACTGATTAATTATTTTAATTTTTTTTTTTATCTGTTTTCAATTACAACAAAAGTATTTAAATTATCAAAACAAACGAATTTCATTAAAACATATTTTTATTTTAGTAAAAATGTTAAAATTACTTTACAAATAAAACATAAGGAAATCAAATAAAGCATTTATTAATAAACTTTGGAGCTGAGGTCAGAGTTAATAAGCAACCATCAGATTTATTTTCAAATAAAATTTTATATCAGGGCACCCAATCAATAGAAATTTTCTGGGTCTAAGAGTTGATCAAAAGCTGGTAAAACACATAAGTTACTTACAAGTTTTGTTACAGATAGCTCTAAATTACCAAAACATTCCAAAATAAGGATTGGAAATAAAAAAAATTATTATGATGTAGAGATGGTTGACCGTTGATATAATATGAGAAGGAGTTAGTCGAGTGTGCGGTCAAATAAATAAAAAAATTAAAATATATAAATTATTTTAATTTTTGCCGACGTTTTGACCCACTTCGCAGGTCGTCTTCAGGGTGTAGGATGTGGCACTGCGGGAGGCAGTTGAAAAACTGGCACTTAAGTGGCCAGTTTTTCAACTGCCTCCCACAGTGCCACATCCTACGCCCTGAAAACGACCTGCAAAGTGGGTCGAAACGTCGGCAAAAATTAAAATAATTTATATATTTTAATTTTTTTTATTTATTTGACCGCACCCTCGACTAACTCCTTCTCAAAAAAAATTATTGGTGTACTATTGGCTTAATGAAATATAACTGAAATTACAACAAAATAAAAGAAAATTATATTAATAATATTATCAGCTCGGAGACCAAATACTGATCCAGAAAAGAAACACATAAGGACAAAAATTGGGAGAAATTGAAATTTACAGTTATTAATATAACAAACGGTAAGATGATTATGAAAACTAAGCTGTTTATAAGATGAAAAGTGGTTTTATATAAGAAATGCAGTAAAGTAAAAGATGATAGACTTGAAAATGGTTCCATGAGCCAAAACATCATCATTCCAAAATAAATATTTGAAAGAAAAAAATTATTGGTGCACACAATTGGCTTTCTAAACAAAATATAACTGAAATATTATATGTCACCGAAACACAATATAATTTAATCATATACTTTCAGTATTTTCTTTGAGAACAGTTCACCTTTGTAAGAGAATATGAGTCCTTAAAAATAGGGAGAGACTATGTTTCTTTAAAAATAAAATTTATTGGGACCCCAGAATTGTACAACTAGTGGTATATATAAACTGGATTGATTAGAACAAATTATCTTATGTTCTTGAGCAAGGTTAGTTATGCTATTTATCACAAAGATAATATCGGCAGAAAATGAACTTACTTTCTTTTTCTCGTTTATCATGTGTGACGTATGAGTGTATTCAGTCATGGACAAGTGTTCTGGGAAAACTACTGTATTTTCTCTCTTGTAAATATAACCTCCAGAATCGATCACTGTCCGACAGATGTGAAAACAAAGGCATTTTGGCAACTGAAACAAATAAATGTCTATTAATATAAAAAACAAAACTAGCGAATCATGGTGGTACACTAATAAAGCACAATCGGACATTACTTCTCAGAAAATCAAATTTTATAACATGTTTAATGAAGTGACATTTTTGCCATGGTTACATTGGAGGATCTACAAGGAGTATGAATTCGCATTTGTGGAAAACCTAAAAATACCCAATTTGCTTTTCTTACAGAACATTGGCGATACATAATTTAAGATCAAGAAACAAATTTTTTTTTTACTTTTTTTACAAACTCTTGCTTCACTAAGCATAAAAATGATACTTCTTCAAACAAAATCATAATGAAAAAATATCGAGAAAACGTTTTTAAAAACTTGTATAATTGGGTAAGATTTCAAAGTTTTTCATTATAACTAAATCTCTTTATATAATGCAGGATCTTATATAGACTATTTATGGCCCAGGAACATTACAATTCCAGCTCACCTTGGTTTATTTTGCTTACATTGTAAAATGTAAATCATATGAAATAATGTTTAAACGTTTTTATATAATGGTTAGTTAAGAAAAACAAAGACACATACGTTGGTAATAGAAATATTTTCCACAGGTTTATTTCTTTTGAAAACTAATATAAGACAAGAATTAAAAAGCTTGGAGAACAATATAAGAAAGGAATATAACTAAAGTAAAGAATACTTCATTAATATGTTTATTCTTCTTGTAAAAACAAAAACAGGTAATTTAGAAGGATAAAGTAACCCTAAATAATCGTTGTTTATAGTTTTACCTTTCCAATTTTGATGGCTTTGGAAGCTTGTGATGGCCCATGCTCAGCTGAGCATCCATCACAGCTAAATCCATCGACCAACTCAGCTCTGACGAAATCACTTAGGAGCCGTCCAAGCCCGTAGGTGCTATGCAATGACTGTGCTGGCAACGCCAGAGAGAGTGTATCGAACTTGTCGTACACTACGGCTGACTGCAAAAATAAATAAAATGCTATTTATATAAAGATCCATCACCAGAAGTTTGGATGAATATGATTGTGAATGATTAATGAATAAATTAGATCTATTCCTTAAATTCAATAATTAAATTAATTTTTACTAATTACATTTTTACATAACTGGGGTTGATGGTTGACTATAGTGAATAATTGAAGAGAAAGATGGTTGAGGTGATCAGTCAAAATAAAAATAGTAAAAATGAATAATTATATTACAACTATAATAAATACTTTTTTTTTAAATACTTATTTATTATATTATAAAAATAAATATAATTATTTATTTTAATTTTGACTGATCACCCCAACCATCCTCTTCGATTACATATTTTTATATTAATTAGAACTATACAGACAAAACTACTGATAACTGGCTCTTGATGCTTAGCTTGCCAAAGCTGCAAATAAATTCAATTATTATCTATCGTAGATCAGGCGTCTCTAAACTATTGGCCCACATTTCTTTCATTGCATAGTAAAATTTCGAAAATTATTTTAAAAATATGAAATTAAGTAAATCATTCAAACACAAGGTTAATGGAACTAATAATGCAAAGTTTTTCTATTAGCACCAGAAGTAAGTAAGCTCTAATTCTTTACCAATAAATACATATTATCATTTCATAACTACATTTAGAATATAATAGAATAGAAAATAAAGATTAATTCTGGCAAAAATACCTATTATGTACCCTTATGGAACGGAACTTTCCCTAAAGTTTGAATACTTCAAAGCTTAAGTTTTTGATTTACACCACTTCAACATTTAATGAGGGGTCGGTATAGCAGAGTGGTTGGCGCTCTATACTAGTAAAACAAAGTTCATAGGATCGAATCGTGGTCCTACCTCCTAATACAGCTGGTCCCCACAGAAAGTTAGATCATTACCCTCTTAATTAGGGGAGGCCTATAGGTATAATACTTGTAAGAACAGGCTATACACAAAAAACAAAAAAAAAAATTAATGGTTCATATATAATCCAATAAAAATAATTTAAGTATCGATCTTTCAAAAATAAATTCCTAATAAGATACTTTCCATTTAAAAGGTTAAAATCTCATGTATGGATTTCTGTAACCTTTCACATATCTTCATAGTTGAGATCCATTATTTTGTTATAGGAGATATATCCTTTTAAAATATCAATTTTAAAATCGCACGCTGGCATTTTATTTATTTTTAACTTCTTGCATTTCTTTGATAATGAAGCCCATTACTGTGTTATTAGAGAAGCTTTTGTAAAAAATACAGTCTATTCTAATATGATAATTTATGCCCTAGATTTTGTTGTACTGTAAATAATAATATTTTCACTGGTCCTCAAGGCATTTTTTACATGGGTATAGTCAGCCTAAATTGTGGAATTTCTGCGCCTGAATTGTGAAAAACTACGCCTTCGATAAAATTATAACAGGCTTTGATGTTGAACAAAATCCAAAAAGTTGAAATAAAAATCAATGTAGCTGACCTTGGAAATTATTAGTATTTTCAAAAATAATGCCTCTTATCAGGAGTAACCATTTGCCACAAGAAAGAGGACATGGGCTCTAGCCCTAGCTCCCTCACAGATCCATATATTTTGTTTTTTGTTTATTTAGAATCGGTACCAAGAACATGATGAGAGATGAAGATCCCAGAGTGCCCAGTTTAGAATGTTGGTTGTTTAATTCTCATCTAGGTCAGTTAATATTTATTTCATTCTCTTAAGAATTGTCAACTACTTCCAGGTAGTCATTAATAGTTGGAAAAAAAGGACCATAAGATTCACAGATAATAGATAATAGAACAGATAATAGAATACTTACTTTTTGACCGCAGCGAAGACAGCACAGCTGGCTAGCTAAATAACCTCGGAATGGACTGACAAGGCGACTAGAGGACAGTCTGCAAATGTGATACAAATAATTAATTGAGTTTTTGTTGTATACAATTTTCATGTCATATTATATAGCAGAAAGTCTAATATATTACTAAAACAACATAATCACACTTGCCTAAGATACAAATTATGAGCATAAGCTACATCAAAATTTAATTTGATAAACAGATAGTGTAATAACTGACTTATTTCATAAATGTTTAATGTTTTAAGTTCAGTAAATTCATTAAATAAGACACAAATCTTAACAAAGCACAGATATAATAAGTCGTCGGTTTATTTCAAAAAGTGATTAAGTGACATTTCATAACCTCAAATAATTAAGAACTGATGAATTTTCTCTTTGTGAAATCAGAAAATTGAGCAATTGTGGTAATTAGGTATGATAAATAAAAGGGTGTTAATCATTTTCATGCACTTACAGTGTTTTTTTATGTATCAATAAGATTGAAATTCACAGAAACACATTTGAAAGTTAATCTACATTGAAAATGCACTTAGCGACTTTTTGAAATAAACTGACGATATATATGATTAAAAACCTATTAACATTTTTTTTGATAATTAATTTTTGAAGGATTACACAGTGAAGTTCTGATATCAAGGATCTTTTGATTTGTCTACTCAACAAATTCTAAGAATAGATCAAGAAAAGAATTGCAGTGACCGAGTAGTGTTAATTTGGTTAGTCCAAAACTTATACAAAATAAAGACTGCCTCTACTAAAGTGTATTCCATCTTGAACCAGTAATGAGTTCTAATGAAATGTTAAAAGAGAGGCTTATTCATCTTGGAAAGAAAATTATCAAGAAACAGTATGGTTTAGAGAAGATAGAAGAACAAAGAGATATATCAAATATTTGTTGAAACAAATGTAAAAAATATTTTTAATGGCAATACATTAAACACTAAAGTGTTTGAATAAAAAGATTACTTACAGTTTCAAGTGAAAACAAAATCAAATATATTCAAAACAGAACTTATACAATTATAGTCAGCATTTGACAATGATGAGTCTACATATTAATTATTATTTAAATACACTGATATTTTATATTGTCAGCTTTGTCTTTTCTTTGTTAGCAGAAACACACCTCATTTTAAAGAAGAACTCAATGTATTTTTTATTATTTTATTTTTCAAAAGAGTATAATTATAATTTTTCCTACTGTACATAGTCTTAAGTGTTTTATCATAGTTTTAAGTGTTTTGTATATAGATTTTTTTTTTGTATATAGCTTGTTTAACTAATATTTTCTTTACTTTCTCTTTTTTATTATTGTTTTATTTTGGCCAGATGTAGTATTTTAATTATGTTCTATTTTGTTATTCTAAAGGGACTTTGTCCCAGAATAAAGTTATTTTCTATTTCTAAAAAATATAAACAACACTTTTCAAATAAAAGTGGCGCATGGTTTTCACAAATGAAATTCATTAACTAAATAGATGATGACTATGATTAGGCTTGTTAGAGGAGCAAGTATTAAATATATAAAAATTAATTAAAAAGCTATACTTACGGTTGTTGTATGCTTCTACTAATTACTTGAGGGGCGTCTCCTTGGCACTGCTCTTCTGGGTCTCGGCCATTCTTAACTGTCCGATCATCTAGATCTAATGCATCCAGCAGAGAGTTAGACCTCTGAACAAAATAAGAATACAAATTAACACCAGTCAATCAAAAAAAATAATTATATTCAAATATCAAAGGTCTCAATGTGAAACTGCGTAAGTACTTAATGTTTTGACTCAGTTATTGTATTTAATAAATATTATTAATGACTGCATTTTCTGACTATTCTCTATCATCATAATTTTAACAGTTACAATACATTTCCATCTCTAAATTATTTTATTTTTGCCTAACTTTTACGGGTAACAATTGACTTTATGTTCACTGCCCAGCATATTTCACAGCCATAGGTGTATCAAGTAAAATACATTGTGAATATATTTTTTGAAAATAGTGAATGCAATTTGAATAGATAGATACCTACTTGATCATTTTTACTTAATCCTTTAAATTTCCTCCAACTCTGGGCCAATTTGAATCAGCGATTTTTGAGATATAGGAATATCAAGGAAAATACGGTTGTGTATATGTAACACGAAGTAACGGATGGAACTCGATAAAATTTGTATAGTACAATTGTTTTATTGAACCCTAACTTTTGTGCAAACTAGTCATTTCTTAAATGAAGTTATGTATAAGAAAGTACATTTAGGCATGCATAAGCAAAAAAAGGAATTGATATGGAATCATCTGGGTACCAACCCACATAATCTCTGAAAATTTCATGAAAATTGGATTACGCCATGGTTATATTCGATCTGTCATGACGACAGCTCTACTGTTCAGCTCAAAAACATAACCTATGAATCGCTTTCATTCATCTTTTAATGTTTAGCATCCCTTTAATTGTATTATATGCATCCAATATACATAAAAAATAATAGTTAATTCCTTTAAGATTGTTTTATAATTAATAAGTATTAAATACAATATTATTTATTCGATACGTAATTCAAAATACAGAAGAAAATTACAATAATAGCTATTTTCATTTCATTGTTAGCAACTAATAATTATTATTGTCATTTAAATATCGAATAACTTTCATTATAGCAGAAAATAAGTTGTGACTTTTAATAGTCAATAGTACGCAAAGTATGAAAATTAAAAATCTCATAAAACATTGTTAATTTTATTTATTATGTATTTTAAATTTACAAAATAAAGATAAAATATATTTTTTTTATCAAGGTCGTCACCTTTATTCTATAGTATAATTAAATATTATTTGGATTCTGCTTATTACTTTAAGTTATATGTAATTTTAACATATAGTTCATATTTAACAAATTAAATATCTCAATTTAACAAAAAACATATTATTTTAAATACAATTTATATTGTATATTTTAATCCATAATAATTATATCATTGTTTACAAATACCGAAATATTACCAGATTAGTAAAAAAAGGTTAATTCACATTGTGTTTCTTCAGTCCCTATCAACCATAAATAAAATTATTCGGAACATTCTGTAAAAATATTTGTTTTTGTCTATTCATTAATTGCATTTTTCTAGAATTCATATTAATAAAATTTTAATTAAATAATTTTGTTAACCAAAGTTTTTTTTTTGTTTAATTTAAAATCTATGGTTTCAATATCTTTAAGTTCCCATTTATTTATTTTACAATTTATTTCAGCAATTATAATCATAATTATAAATTGTAATTCATACATAACATTGTAAATATCTCATTAAATCATTGATTTTAATCCATGACTATTGCATCAATGTTTAAATTTTAAAAAAGTAACCAAATGAATATATGTATATTTTTATACTGAATTTTAATTAATTTTGGGTTGTCTATCGAATAAATAACATTGAAATTAATATTTACTAATGGGAAAACATGAAAAACAATTTTGATAAAATTAAAATATTATTTAGTACATATATTGGACAATGTTAAACATAAAATGAATTAGAAATCCCAGACGTGATGTAGCCATTGTAAGTGTATGTTTTTAGAAAGGAAAGTGCAGAGCCCCTTTTCCATCGTGTCATACAATTTACGTGTCAATGTAACCACGACCTTACCAGTAATAGATGATATGTCCTCATATGAATTTAATTACAAGAATAAAAAAGTACTTAACAACAGATAGACAAGGAATCAAAGTTGTTCCTTATTGTCGAAAACATAAAGTGGAAATTTTCAATTCTGACGACAAAAAATTGTTTAACCTCCCGACATTAATATAAAGCTTATCTACTTTTAATAATGAAGAAGCAGAAAAAATTCATTATAATGAAAATTAAATTATTTAAACATTTTTTTGTCTCTTTAAAAGTTGGGATTTGATTGTTTAATAAATAAAAAAATTTCTTTAATAAAAAAATTGTTTAACCTCCCAACATGAATATAAAGCTTATCTACCTTCAATAATTAAGAAGCAGAAAAAATTCATTATAATGAAAATTAAATTATTTAAACATTTTTTGTCTCTTTAAAAGTTGGGATTTGATAGTTACACAATTTCACATAAAGACTAATGATATATAAAATATTTTTTATTTTTATAGCAAAGCCTGAACATTATTTACCTTGATCACCTTAGTTTCCGTACTCCTTCCTGATGAGGACTAACATAGCGATGATTTTATAAATCCGGAAACCAACAAATCATATTTCATTTATTATAACATAATATTCTACAGTTACAATATTGATTGTAGGCATGGCCCATAATTGAAGTATTTCAGTTAATATAAGCTGCCAGATGACTAAAAATTATTTTCATTTAAGGTATAACATTCTATTTTATTTCTCTAAGACGAGACATATTAAAGCTACTGCCAGTGAGCCAAACACTGGTTTATTAATTTTTTTTTGGAGGTTTTCATAATTCCAAGACCAATAAAAATAAACTATAACTGTAATATGTAACCAATTATTTAGCAATGCACAAATGATGGCCGCATAGAACAGAGATGACTGGAGGAGGACAAGACTCATCATCAAGTTGTAGCACCATGATAATTATTTAAGCCTGTTAATATATAAATTATATGAATACCTTGAAACCCGGAAAAAAGTTAGTTGTAAAAAAAATTTGTTCGATAATTTTAAAAATAAAACTTATAGTGCAATGTTTTTTTTTACTTTTCAAAAGTGTCAACATTTTGTTTGAGTCATACAGTAAATATCTAATCTCAATGTGAATAGCTGTTCATCGCACCTGGATTTCATCGATGGAATTACTATTGGGTTTAGAAACATGATTTTCATAACAATTTTTCACTGGTTCTAATAAAAAGTTAAATTTAAAAATTATATAGTTTCTGGGTATATATCGAAGTGTTAAGCTACCTTTTAGGTACATATTACAGTTACAGTGTTTTCTTCTAATACTTTTTAATATTGAGCTCTCCAAAAAGTTTTAGCCATATATTAATAACTAAGCAAATTAGCTCCATGGCAATAAAGAAATTATTATTTCTATTCTGATCTTGAAAACGTAAATAAATACAATTAAGAACCTGTGGTTTAGCTTTCTGCTCCTCCTCTTCCACCGCTGAAATCAAGTGAAGAAACAATTCATGAGGGTCCTGCTCCTGCAACGATGACCAATAGTTCTTTCTCCGAAGACCATAAATCAGATCTTCGGGTGAGATAACTGCTTCGGTTCCATCATCAGGCTGTCTCTCATAGCACAGAACTATAACAATTGGATGAAAATAAAAAATTATGAAAACAATAGGTTGATGAAATAATAGTAATGAATCAATCTTTACCTCTTAGGATGGTATAAAGAGAACTAGACACATAACCATTTCCTTGACAGGGTTCAAGCCAGTCAAGCAATGATGGGCACGCTGCAAGTGCTTGAAGAAGTGAATTAAGAAAGCATGTTAGGCCCAGGTTCTGTAAGCCGATCAGTTTACCTGTTTACACCATTCATAATTACAATACGATTAAAAAAAAAAATTGTTTGTTATAAAGCAGGAATAAGATGATTCAAAATAAAATTCATATGGCAGAAATAAAAAAAAATAAGTAGATAATAAATAAAAAACAAATAAAGTAGATAATAAAATTGAAAAACAAAAAATCGAGGATGGAAGAAGAAAACTTGAGATTTCCAAAAAGCACTTCTCTAAAGAGACCTATAATACATTGATGGCTATACTAGGGATGGCCGTTCGATAGTCATATCATCGAAATATCGATATTTTCCTTTCGACATTTTACCAACAATAGTATCTACTTCAATATTACCGACTATTGATATCATATCTTAGATATTTTAATAGTTAAATTTAAAAATTAAAATTAAAACTATCGTTTTTAGAAAGTGATGGGAATTATATATGAATCTGATCGTTGGAAAAAAAAAAATATGCTCATCTTGCCTGTTCTATATAGAATGTAACTGATATAGAAAAATACTGATATTTCGATAATATCGACTATTGATAGCCATCCCTAAGTAAGAGTTGAATAGCAGGCGTGGGACTCTTCTCACTCAGGAAACTCAATTTGCCCAAATTTGTTAGTTAGAACCTCCTCAAACCAAGACCACTAATTGTCAAAGAACGCTATCTAGGATGTAAATAAATTATCATTTCACTGAATCCTATTTATGAGTGAATGGAAGGCATATTTGGTTGAATGAAAATTATTGGAAAAATACTGAGGATGATGAAGATTGACAGAAACTAGAAAATAAATTTTACTATGGAGGCTGGAAGAATATATTGATATTTGATATTTCTGTAAATTAATTTAAAGAGGAATATATTTTTGATGTGCCTATGTGGTAGAGAATCAACATTTATATTGACATTGATATTTCAAAAATGTTTATAATATCGACTATCGATATTATAAACATCTAGATATTATAAACAGAACGCTGTCTAGATAAAATGAAAAATAAATAAATTGTTGGTGAAATAACGGCCTTAAATTATATAATCCACTCCTCACTAAATCACAGACCTTGTCAAGATCTAACGAAGAAAAATCCCAAATATTATGTGGCCTTTTCAAAACTTTTAACCCTCATCCCGATATCCTCAACCCTATCCATATTGAACATGTTTAAGCAGAACTAACTATCCCTCTCAATTTATCTCTTCCTACTAAAGCGTTCCATACCTCAGACGTAATTAACATAATTCAGAAAATACCTTCTAAAAAAGCTCCTGGTCACAACATCATCACCTCCCGAATCTTAAAGCAACTTCCACGAAAAGCTGTCCTACTCCTCACCTATATGATATAATGCCATACTTAGAACCACCTATTTTCCTGATCCTTAGAAATTTTCCATAATAAAAATGATTCTAAACCTAAAAAGCCACCTGAATACCCATACTCCTATCGTCCTATCTCCCTTCTGCCTATCATGTCTAATTTTTTTTATCCTATTTCCGTCTGCCTATTTTTGTATTCCAAGTCAACAGAAAATAGAGGTGATGGAATCTTTCTATTTTCCCCTGAGTCATCTCTGTTGTCCTTCATTACATCGGTGACCTGTCATACTTTAAATCTCATGGCCGTAAGTTCGTCTTGTATCACTTCAACTGGTGTAGAGGGGTGTAAGTTACTGATCACTACTCTCAGAGAGCGCTCTTGCCTGAGCTGGTATGTGTGAAAATTTGCCTTTGTATTGGACAGATATTTAACTATTTGTCGATAAGCATCAGCTGTGCTTGCGGATATTTTAGTATCGCTAGTACGACTTAAGCAGTTGTTATTTTGTTATTTTATTTAGCTGTATTTAGCCCGGCATTTGTTATTTTATTTAGCTGTATTTAGCCCGGCATTTGTTATTTTATTTAGCTGTATTTAGCCCGGCATTTGTTATTTTATTTAGCTGTATGCACTAAATAATGAAATACCTGAAAAACTGATATTAAAACGCCTTTATCCAATCCTAGACTCGTATCACTTGATCCCTGACCACCAGTTTGGATTTAGAACATCTCATTCCACTATTCAGCAGCGCCATCAGTGTGTTAATTAGTTATTCAGGAAATGAAAAAGCATTTACCTCAAAAATAAAGACTGATGAACGCATTTGTAATTATTGTAAAATGAGTGGACATATCCTCAAGGCTGGTAGAATTTTAAGAAAAAGAAATGAGACGTTGCAGTGTTTTAATTGTGATCTGGTAGGTCACATAGCAAAATAGTGCTGGTGTGGAGAAAATGAATATAACAATAAAGATAATTTAGCAGCTTCAGCATTGTTAGCTTACAGAATTTCAGACAAAGTTACTGAAAACCAAAGAATAGTAGACACAGAAGCTACGATGCACATGGTAGGGAATAAACATTTGTTAACTAATGTTACTGAATGTTTAAATGACTAAAGGGTAATAATGCCCAATGGATATTCGCTGCAAATAGTAGATTCAGGAAGTGCTCACTTTTTTTTTATTTCCCTCTCTCTTCCTTGTCTTTTCGACAATACGGGATTCCGTTGTTTTTTTTATACAACAATAAGTTTGGCTTCTCTTGCTATATTTCTACCTTGGAGTCACACCAGGTTGAAACTGTGGAAGTCTCTGTCTAATTCCCATATTGAAATGGGCTGCATCTATTTGTTCCTTCCACCCATACACGAATGCCTCGCAGTATGGGTAGTTGCAGCAATGAGAAGAGGCAAATTTCCTTCGTTGATACTGTAGATAATCATACTCCTTATTAGCTTGGCCCTCAGTCCCACAAATGCAGTGCAGTTGGTGATCACATGCTCGGCAATTTCTGGCATACCACAACTGGAGCATAGGGGATCAATGTCTTGCCCAAGACTGTGTAACTTGGCACAAAACTCACATGTCTAGTGAGGAATTGAGAGACCCAATAGTCTTGTTTGATCCATCTGGCTACTAGTTGAGACTGTCCGGTGGGAAAATACTTCCTTAGCGTAGTCCCCTTAGTGGTAGTGATCCACCGCCTGTTCCACTCTTCGACAGTAGCTTCTCCCAATATTGATTTCCATCTATTGGGCCGTTCCTCAAACCTCACTCGAAAATCCTCCAGGATCCCTGCTAAGCCTTCTCTCATATAAGAATATTTGATCATGTCTTCTAGCAGGAGGAGATCGAGAGGTATCTATCTCCAGAGCTAAGATCTCACACTGACTTGTGAGACACTGTCTTATATGCTCTGGTGACCCGCAGCAGAGCCGTCCTCTGGATAGATGATAACTTGTTCCTTTTTCGCTTGGAGATGTTCAGATACCATGAGGGGGATGCATACCTTAAAATACCCAGCACCATCCTTCGTAGGTAGTCTTGATCGTTGAGTATCTAAGGCCCCAGAAAGTTCCACCAACACGACTGAGACCATTTAGAGCGACTGTCACTCTGTTTGCCAAGTAGTCCAAGTGCACATTTGGACACCGGAAATAATCATCTTGTTCTAGACAATGTATTAGTAGTAAAAGAACTTAAAATCAACCTATTAGCAACGGAGCCGTTAGTAGATAATGGAATGGAAATTATTTTCAACCACGAAAAAGCAACATTTCAATCAAATGGAGAAAAGGAAATGACTGCTTGGATATCCAACGGACTACACATTTTTAATTCTTCCTTGTATAATAAGAATTAATGTTATTCTGAGATAGGAGATTCCTTTTCGAACTATATCAACAGTATGCCTACGTTAATAACTTCCCCTTATCAGTATCAAAAATATTTGGATATTTAGTTGGTTTTCCATTGGATAGATAGTTTTTAACAACCATTACCATATATTTTTTTTAATAACAGCTCTTTAAAAGTTTTAAAAATTCACTACTACATCACAATTGTCACTCTAACATGATGGATGGGCACAAGATCACACCGTAAAAGCATTTTCAAAAATGACCAAGTGTGTCCAAAAGAAGACAGAAGCAACTGATCTCCTTGGTAAGACCCCGCAGAACTGGCACATAGAGGATTTAGTTATTTCTTTGAGCAGGCCGAAGTAGAAAGTACTGAACTAATTAATGCTGGATCCCAACTGAAAAGGCCCCATGGGCTTTTTAGTTTTGTCTCTTCTGAGCAAGCGGAAGTCAACAGTTGTGATCTAAATAAAGGTAGATTACACCCATGAACATGGTTATTAATATTAGGCTAATTCCAGAATTTATTATCTTCATCATCATTACATAATACTATACTGATCCATCCTATTGGGGTGACACTTGTGAGGTGATACCCAATTTGCAACAAGTACAAAAGTGCAAAGTTACAGATTTTAAGGAACCAAATAAAATAAAAAAACACAAAATTATATTACTTAGGTGGGGAAACTGCAGTCAACATTAGTTTTTGAACACCATTCATAAACAACATCTCTTGTATTAAGTAACATTTAATTATATAGATAATGACATCAACATTGAATTACAAATTGATCAAGTATGTTGATTTTTTCAAAAGAAAGTGAAAGAACAAAGGGGATTTAATCAAATTTTAATAATTTTGTTTTAAACTTCACAACAATAATTCTATAAATTATTAACTAATTTAAAATTGTACATTGAACTTGTAAAATCAATCCCTAAAGTTGAAAGGCTAAAATTTGTAATTGAAAAAAAGCTTTACAGCCAAATATTGATGGAACTAAGTAAATTTGACTGATTAGTATATTACGTATTTTTGTAACTTTTGACACTTCATTTAAATTTTGTATGTTCAAAACACTTTAAAACTATTACTTTAGTAGTGAATTTTGTTTTTTGGCACAATATACTGTCCTCCAAGCATCAAAAAGTGTTTTCAAAAAACAGAAAAATAAATTAAATAAAACTCATATTAGATTCAAAATGTATTTGACAATCAGTGTAAATGTTTATGCCATTTTTCATAAGCTTAATCATAGAACATCATCAGTAGATGACAATGTAAAACCTATCATAAAACATCATCAGTACATGACTGTGTAAAACCTGTCAAAAAACGAAAGCTATTGCTAACCACAAATAAAAACATATATTATAAAGTATTATTCCATATAATGGTAAGAAATATTTACTTACTATTGTAACTGCCTCTCCTGCTTAGTTTAGGACCCCAAAAAATAAATAGGCTAAGCCCAAGAGCGCAAGCAGTAATTCCAAACAGAAGAATAGAATCTTTATCCATTTCTATATCGTCCTGAGAACTCATTCCAAAATGCAGATATCATTGGGTGGTTAGATATATTTTATAAATTTTCACACTAGATAATAGAAGATCGAATAGCCAAGCTAAGAAGTTTAATTGAGATTTGGATGATATCGAAAAAACAATCGTCAGCAGTAAACTAACCAAAGAGGAAGTGGGAATGCCAAATGATAAAGATGATAAGCTCTATGGAGAAATTGCAAATATTTTCGTTTCATTTTACATTTATTAAAGGCAATGATTGAAATTATACAGCTTCTACCAACTTATGTTTACTGCCTTCGGAAAATGTTCGTTAAAATATCCCTTGATAGATATTGAGAATCTGATCTTTTCTTTGATGTCTTCACTAATACAAATTAACATTGGAACTTATCTAAATTAAATTCACCTATCCACACCACCCAAATAGAGAAAGTGTAATGTAATTTAACTACATTTTGGTATAAAGATCGTAATTTGTAGCAGACGTTTTCGTTTAAAAATTTTTAACGAAATCATTTTAAATTAACTATCGGTTAAGTAATTGGAAAAATAAGTCTTACTACGATTTTCATGTTAAAAATTACGCCTTCAATTAAATTACACTTAAAATACAAGAAACATAAACTTTTGATATGTATATCTCCCTGAAATTTCCAAGCAGAATTGATTGAATATATTAAAAATATCCTAACCAGAATCAATACATGTGTTCAAAACAGTTTCATTAACTTAATATCTGTCGTAATTGTAGCGTTGATAATTTTTGGATAGCGAAATAATGTATAGATAAAATGAGAAAATAGTAATGTTAAAAAATCAATATTTGTAAATAAAAATTCTTAATAACAGGGTAACTGAGACCATCGTGGCCAAGAGCTCCAAGTTAAAGAACTGGAGGGAATCAGAAGCACGCTAGTCGCCTCAGGTGGAGTTGAAATTTGTTTCCAGACCCTTTGTATCTAAATATTACCTTCTCCCTCTGGTTAGAATAGGTTGGTAACATAGAGGATAACCGGAACTGTCAGGACCGGAACTTAAAGAGGAAATAGGCAAAAGTGCAGATGAAAAATTCAAGGAGTAACAAATTCCAAATGAAATTATATTTCTAGAGTAATTTTCAAAATAAATTCAATTTTACATCGTTCATAAGTAATTTTTATTTGCCTTAATTTAAGGCCCTTAAATCAGGGATGCTCAGAAGGGGATTTCATGGCGCAAGTTGTGCCATCAAAATTTTTGAGGACATATTTTGACGGGTTTTTGAATTTTTGAGAGGGGCAAATTTCGAAGGAGTTATGAATTTTCACACTAAGGGAAATAGAGGAAACAGAACAGACCGCAGGAAGTGTAATTGTATTATGATCTATGATTTTTCTAATTCTGCCTTAGCTTCTTCTGTTTTTAAGAAAATGTGATCAATAAAATATCCTGGAAGGAGAGGGGAAAATAGGTGCGTGTGCAATCGACCTTAAGGAGAATAGGCATTTCTGCCTTAAATTATTAAGATCATTACAAACATGCTAAAGTAATTATATGATGCCAAAGGTCACAGGCAGATCTAAGGAGAGGGCTTTCAGGCTCAAGCCCCCCTCCAAAATGGTAAAACGTAACCATGTTCTATGGTAAAAAATATTAAAAAATTATCTCTTTAAGTATTAGTGTTCATGTAATTACATTTAATAAGACTTTAAGAATCACTTAAACATCATTTCTACCACCAGATAGTTGGTATCTTTCTTTTTTTTTCCTAAAGTAATTATCGTTATATATATGAGAAAACAAATTTTTGGTCTGAAGCTCCCCCAAAATTAAATCCTGAATCCACTAGTGCCAGAGGTAGTGGTGGTGGCTAGTGCCAGAGCAGGAGGACCGGAAGGGACCCGGATTCTGAAAAAAATCTCAATTCCCGCCATAGTAGCTATAGCAAATAGATGTTGATGTGGAGGCACTAGCAGTGGCTAAATAACCAGTTCCTTAATTCCAAGTACAGAGGGATTTAATTTTTGAAGGGTGAAGAATACAAATATATTTGAAATTTTTAGCCAAAATATAAATATTGGTCTTCGATGAGCTTGAGAATAATGATTCAGAGGTTAGTTCAATGAAATAAAATGATGAATCATATTTTGAATAGTAGGTTTAATGGGTGAATGAAATATTAATATTCTCAATATACAGATAAGAATGTAGTGTTATTTTTTATTGCCAATTGGTACTAATTATATTGTTAACAAAAATTTATTTGCATAATTATTAACAGAATGAGATTGAATGTGAGGGAGTGGTGTAATCTTGAGTTTCTTTTCTTTTCTGTCCTGATGTCTAAATTGGTGAAACGTCGACGGCTTATTTTATTGCTTACCTGCATTTCAGAAACACAAGGATGTGTGGTTACAATTTTTCAATTATAACCTAATATCTATTTGCTGTCTATTGGTGAGTTTTTACACATCTATCTCAATAATTATAAACCATTTTGTCAATTATATTGGAAAATCATGATTATTTTTATCATCAGTCGACAATTATTTGAAGAGCAATATTTTTGTAACACTTTCCTGACTGTCCTTAAACACAACAAAACTCATCATCAAGGTATTCTATAAAATACTACTTACATTGGTGTGCGCCTTTAGAATATTTAAAAGTTGCTTTACACTCAATGATGTGGTACTAAGATGACTTTTATCCTAAAACTAGAGAAGGAAAAGTAGGACTTAAACTTCCAAATGTTAATCAGTTATAGAGCAACAAAAATAGACACTTCTATAATTTTTTTTTTTTTTTTTTTTATTTCTTTATGACATTCACAACTGTATTACATAAATACATCAAGTAAATTTGGACATAATTGATATAATGACATGAATACACTTGCTGAGTAACTACCCAATGGTAGCACTCTAATGATATGACTACATTAGGAGATCACGGGGCCATCTTCTTTTCAGACGCCTCGGAGGGTTATCAGGAATTGAAGAGGAAGCAAGGTTAGAAACGAGAGGGTTGGGATGATTCTGAAGTTTATTATGGAAGGATAGGTATCTGGATTGGGCCAGATCTGAAACATAAGGAACATTAAGATCTTTATGGATAATTTTATTAGTGACAAAGTAAGGAGCATTGAGGATTTTACGAAGGATTTTGGATTGTAAGGATTGGATGCGAGAGGAATTCGATGGTTTAGTGGAGCCCCATAGCTCAACTCCGTAAGTCCAAATAGGTCTTATTATAGTCAAGTATATAAGTCTTTTGTAATTAATGGGAAGTTTAGAGCGTTTGTCTAGTAAGTGCTGAAGTAATCGGAAACGTCGAGCGGTTTCTTGTCGTTTCAGTCTAGTATGAGGATTCCAAGTTAGTCGTTTGTCCAGGTGGAGTCCTAGGTATCGGATTTGCTCAACAGGGATAAGTGGAGTATTGTTAAAGGAAACTGTAGGACAGGAAGTCGTTGGTTTACGACGAAGGGTAAAGGTAATTTGGTGGGATTTATTGGAGTTTATTTTAATTCTCCAGTTTTGACACCATTCTTCTAGATTTATGATGTGTGATTGAAGCATTTGGGATGCAATTGCTGGGTCATTGTTTACTGATAGGATACATGTGTCATCGGCATATGTGGTGATGACAGTGTTGGGACAGGTAGGGATGTCAGCTGTATAAACTGTATAGAGGATAGGACCTAGGATACTACCTTGAGGAACACCAGCAGACTGGGAAAAAAGGGATGAATAGGCGTTATTGTGATTTACTTTAAAGTATCTATCAGTAAGGTAGGAACGGATAATGAGGAAGTATGTAGGTGGTAGGAATTTTCGGAGTTTGTACAGCAGTCCCGGGTGCCAAACTCTATCAAACGCCTGTTCAACGTCGAGAAAGACTCCCGTACAGTACATTCCGCGCTCCAATGCAGAGGAGACTACGTCTACCACACGATGACATTGCTGTATAGTGGAATGGGAAGTTCGGAAACCAAATTGGTGATCTGGGATTATGTGTTTAGAATTTAGGATAGGGTACAGGCGTTTTAAGATGAGTTTTTCTAGGATTTTGCCCATGATGGGTAAAAGAGAGATAGGACGGTAAGAGGATGGGTATTCTGGTGGTTTTTTGGGTTTGTGGATCATTTTAACAATAGATCGTTTCCAAAGATCAGGAAAATATGTAGAACGGAGTACAGCATTATATATGTAAGTAAGGAATAGGATGGCTTTTCGAGGAAGAAGTTTTAGGATCTGGGATGTAATTAGGTCATGTCCAGGAGCTTTACGGGAAGGTAATTTTTGAATGATGTTGGATATTTCTATGGGATGAAATGCTTTGGGTGGCAGAGACATTTGGAGAGGAATATCCAGTTCTGCTTCAATACAATTGATGTGAGATGAATTAAGGATATCGGGATGTGGATTAAAAGTTTGGAAGAGATGTTGACCAAATAGTTGGGCTTTTTCTTCGTCGGATTTGGACCAGGTTTGGGAATCAGTAAGTAGTGGGTGATTAAAGTCTTGAAACTTAAGAAGTTTTTTGGTGGTCATCCATAATGATTTGTCAGTGGTTGTAAGTTTTTCAGTAAAATTTAGTAAAGTTTGAATTTTGTATTTTCTAATTTCTGATTTCAGTTTGTTAGTCAGTTGTGTGTAATGCGATTTATCTGTTGGGTATCTAGTCCTATGCCTCTTCGATCTTGCTCTGCGTTTTTCCTGTAATAAGATACGAATATGCTGTGGCAAGTTAGTATATTGTGGGAAGTTAATCTTATTGATAAAGGTGTTATTATTTATACTGTCTGTTATTGATGATGTCAGTTTTTCTATGGCACCATTAATGTCTTCTTTTGTTTTTAGCGGGATTTTGAGGTCTAGTTTGTTTTCCAAATCATCACGAAATTTGTCCCAGTTTACTCGTCCAGTGATCAGTTTAGGAAGTGATGGTTTAGGAGCAAAGTCAGAATGTAGTGAAAGCAGAACTGGACTATGGTCTGAAGAAAGGTCATCCAGGGATTTGATTATAGTTTGGGAGGAGGAAATCTGGGAGGTGATAAATATGTCCAGGATATCGGGACGTTTTTTGAGGGATGTTGGAAAATAAGTAGGATTCATGGGCGAGAGGATGGAATAATTGTTGGAAGAAGAAACTTGTGAAAGGGTATTACCACGGGAGTTGGATGATCGACAACCCCATCGTTGGTGTTTAGCATTGTAGTCTCCTCCAGCAATAAAGCGCGATCCGAGGGATTGTAAAAAGGATTCAAGTAGGCTGTACGAGAGGGAATTGCCAGGAGGACAGTATACAGCTGAAAGTGTTAGATGGAAAGGACGAGTTGAGAGGATTACAGAAGTTGACTGAATGGCATCTGTTGGAATAGAAGGAATAAGGGAATGGGGTAAAGATTTGTGGATAAGGATGCAAGAACCGGCGTGGGCAGTGTTGTCTGGGTGGTCAGATCTATAGGTGATGTAGTCACGTATGTAGAAATGTGTCCGTTGGGTGAAGTGAGTTTCTGTTAGGAGGGCAATGTCAATATAATTGTCATGGAGAAATATGTCTAGTTCGTCACGGTGGTTTTGCAGTCCATTAGCGTTCCATAAGAGAATAGCTAGGGACTTTGAGTTCATCGAGGGAAGCTAAGCGGGATTTCGGAAAGGAGTCTGGTTAGAAGGGTTATGAGCGGTTTGATAGTCTGTTGAAGATCTATCAGGAATGACGATAAGATAGTGTTGATGTCGGATGGTGTTTGGCTGGGAAGTGGGTTTGGATCAGGAGGTTGTGATGGGTAGGTTATGCGACTAGGAATGTTGGGTGGGGGATGGGCCCGTCGTGGGGTACGAGGAGGAGGAGGATCTAAATTCTGTTGGACTTGTGGAGGGGGGTTCATCCTGGGATTAGGAACGAATGGAGCTGGATGTGGATGCTCTGGCGGGAGTTTGACTCTTAAGGGTAAATGATGAGGAGGGATTTGCTGGCGAGGAGGTTGAGGCTGAGTATTAGGGATTTTGGGCTTGGATTGGAAGGCCTGAGGCGCCTGACGTTGAGGTTGCTTCTTACTGATGGAAGACTGGGAGTGAGAATTTCTGAGGTTCTGGTGAGGTGAGTCCTTAGCTGTAGAGATGGATGGTTGTTGTTGGATGACGAGGGAAGGTGAAGTCGGCAATCCTGGGAAAATTTCCTGATTTTTAATTTCAGGTGGCTCAGTGTAAGTTTTCTGAGCAGATCCAAGATTTTTCACCGCTGAGTTTCGTGATCTTTGTTTGTAAAGATTTTTATACACTTCACATCCTCTGTAGCTCGCAGGATGGGCTTCGCCACAAAGAGCACCCCACACATCGCAGGCTCATCTCTTGGCTTCTGGCAAGTGTCTGAAGCGTGTAGGCCGGCACATTTAACGCATCTGACTTCGTGATAACAATAGGCCTTTGTATGGCCCAAGTTTTGACACTTAGTGCATTGTACAATTAGAGGCTTCTGTTTCGGTTCCTCAAAACGGACTATTGAGTAAACCAATCGTTGAACCTGGAATATTTCAACATTGGTTTTTGCTGGTTCCAAGTCTATAAAAAATAATGGTAGCGGATATCTTTCTCTAGGATGTAGTACAGGTGCTATGTGCCTGACATTATGACCGATTTCTTCGAGGCCCGATTTGATAGCAGATATGGGTGTGGTTGAATGTAGTCCTCTCAGGACCACTCGATACGCCTTTTCTTGTTTTAATTGGTAACAGTGGAAGTCGTAGTTATTGGTTGTTAAAAAATTGATTAGTTTTTTATAATTGTCTCTAGAATTAGTATTAATTTTGATGTCGTTCACTCTCGAGTAACATCGAAAATTTGGCTGTCCGATCAAATCTGCAATTTGTTGACCAAACGACATAAAGTTCTTAATTTTTGAAACAAATATTGGCGGCGGCTCAGGATCAGAAAAATCTTGAAGCTGCGGAGTCTTGTGAGATAAGTTGTTTTCTTGAATTGAGTTTTTGCTTTCTGATGTTTTTGGTGCAGTTGGCTCTGATTGAGTGGCATTAGATTTGCTCCTAGTTCTCGGTGGAGATTTATCTTGTTCTGGTTGCTTATTTGATTTATTTTTCTTTTTTTTTTTATTAGGTGAGTTTTGTCCCGATCCGGGAACTGAGTTTCGGAGACGCTTTTGGAGTGTACGCCTTTTCAAATATTGCGAGTCGGTCTCGCTAATTTTCGAAAGGGTGTCTCATTCTCTGTGTCTTCACATGAGGTGTTCTTATCCAGATCCATCATGATAAGTGTTAGAGAAAATTAAGAAAAAGAAAAAAAAATATATGTATATATATAAATCTTAATATTAAAATTAAAATTTATGAGATAACTTCTTAAGCACTAAGCTATTTACAAAATTATTTACATAAATATATACAGATATAAAATAAAATATAAAATAATTCATTTCCAAAAAATAAATAATCAAAGAAAAAAATGAAATAAAAGAGTCTCTGGAAAGAAAAAAAAAAGAAAATATAAAGAAAAAAAAAATGAAGTTAAATGTCTTGGATTCGAACTGAGAATAACACTGAAGAATGTTATTGTACACAGTGCCGAGCCTTGGCTTGAATTTATCGCAGATAAGATAAAACCCGCAAGGGAATTACTAGCCACATGGGCTATCCAAACGAGCACTAATTTATAACTGTTTCATTGTTAATAAATAGTCACTCACCTGATCATATGTGAATATAAAAATGTAAAACTATTAATATAGTCACTGTTGAAAAAGTCTTAGAGCAGTATTTTAAATAATAAGCACATTAGATCGCATCAAAGGCAGAGCGACGTGTGACTTGAATTGCACTAGCGGCCATGACACTTGCTACTCTCTATAATTTTAAAAAAAAAATTGACTATTTATCCAACAACAAGATTCAAAACAATTTTTCTTTTTATTTTTTAGAAATTTCCATTTTTGCAGCAGTTTGACATAAATTTAATACACATAATTTTATAATAAACATTTATTTATAAAATAAAAATTTATACTTAACTATAAACATAAAACAAAACAAACATTTCAGTCATATAAAACTGACAGAATAATCAATCTTTCAATTGATAAAATAAATATGATCTTACTTAAGTAAATCTATCACAATCATGAAACTTTGTTAATAGTGAAAACCAAGTAATCATTAGAAGGGTGCAACTGTTCCAATTTGTTCAACATCAACTAAGTATGAGGCTAATCTATCGATGTAACCTCCATCCAAGTCATATGTGAGTAGAAATGTCATCAACCTCTTTTGTGTCAATTCCTTGGCATAGGCGTATCTCAGGATCTCATTACGTAATGTAAGCCTGCACATTTGAAAGAACAGTATAAAATAAAAATTCATGGCCCTCATTCAAAGAATGTAGCAAAAATTTCTTTAAACAGTATGTAAAAATAATTATTTTGGAACTCATTAAATATAAAAACTAGATTTATTATGTTTTCTGTAAATTAAATAATTTTTTTTTGAATAAAGTGAATATAATTTAAAAAAGTTTTGTAATTATGACAGAATAACAACAAACTTTTTATTTTTTTATAAGTCAAGGAATTTAAGAATACACCAGATAGTCAGCTACTGATCCTGATTTAGACATTCCTATAACGGGTTATAAGCAATGATATAAATTTATTTGTCCATTCTTGACAATAGTGACCATTACCAAATCGGTAATAATGGGTTCTTAACTTAAATTGCTGCCACATTAATAAATGTTATTTTTTTAAAATTATACCATCCTTCCTCATATCTAACTAAAAGATCATGAAGCTTAATGAAGAGGCTCTAATGACCATTCCATATAGAATTAGGACACCATTAGATGTTTCTTTTAATTCAATTAAGTTGAGACCAACAGCTATGATTCAAGTAAAGCTATCATTAAGCACGAAGACTGGTTTCGACATAAAAAAGGTATTTGATTTCTGATTAATTAAGAAATGAAGAGAACCCCTCAAGGGGAGAGCGGATCCATGGCAATTAATGTTCTTCCTTTTTTCTAATAGTAACCTCTAATCAAACAAAAAAAGACCAATTGGCTAACCAGCCAGACTAGTTCCTCTACTAACATAAGAGTTGATATCTCCAGGCTGATGTCTACACAGTTAAAACGCCATAATTTTTTTTTTAAATTAACAATTCAAATTGTACAGATAAACTTGTAATAAATAACAATAAAAAAAAAAAGTTAAATATCATAAAGCAATGATCGAATGAAATGTCAACAACTGAAAGTTGTAGTAAAATTAGTAAATAGTGACAAAAAAGTAATTTTTAGAAAGTATTGCAGATTACAGGTAGTGGCAGACATTATTGATCAGTAGTAAGTTTAGTTCACATTGATTAGTTGCGGATCAGGAGTCAATATTCTGGAGTCACAATTTCCTTTAATACTTGGATGTGATATAAGTATTCATCAACTTCAAGGCATTACATTAAATATAGCATGAAAAAAATCAATAAGTACATCAATAAACTTTTTTCTTGAAAAAGTAGAAAATGAATAAATAAACAATAATATTTTTATGCTTTATATTTTTTTATTGATCCATTCAATTCTGTGTTTATATATATATATATAAGATACCTGGTTCCTCTAATTTAAAGTAATTTTTGAAGAATTATTCTCAATTTTTTCTTACAATTAATTACTGATATAATATTAATAGGGTGAATAAAAAAAAAAAAAAAAAAGATCGGTTTATCAAATTCAAGATTTCAAAGGACTGTAAATACTTTAATCCTATTTAATACTTACCAATACTTAATAATCCCTTTAGAGCATTCTCTAAGCTTGTTTAATTTCATTCGACTTTTTCAAAAAAAGTCTCAGTTTAATTATTTGTTTCAGAGGAGAAACATGAGTGTCCTATGAATTTCTCTTAATTATTAGAAAAAAAATATGAAGGTGTCCTTGACGAGCGCACTGCGCAGCATTGGTTTGAAAAATTTAGCAATGATGATAGGACGTTGGAAAGGAAGAAGGGCTCCGGGCGACCATTAATGGATATTGATGAGGTTCTGCAGAAAGCTGTTGAGTCAAATCTGTCCACAAGTACTCGCGAACTTGTCAGGAAGTGTGGTGTGTCGAAATTTACTGTTAGTCACCATCTACTCTCCATGGAGAAGGTGAAAAAGAGCAGTAGACTGGTCCCTCACGAACTTACTCCTCAGCAATCAGCTAAGAGGTTAGAAATTTGTGAAAATTTATTGAAAAAACCTTGCCTGAAAAACTCCTGCCTCATCCACCATAGTCCAGAACTAGCACCATCGGATTACTACTTATTTAGATCCATAGCTCATTTTCTTCAAGGGAAAAATGTTGATAATTTTGAGGAAGTTGAAATTAGGGTCCAAGAGTTCTTTGACAGCCATTCCAAAGAATGGTATCAACATGGGATCGAGCAATTGGCTAGCAGATGGCTAATGACGGTAGATAACAATGGACTATACTTTGAGTATTAATTGTATTTTATATTAAAGAAATAATAATACGAATATTTGGTTGAAAAACAGTAATTTTTTTTATACAACCTATTACATTTAAAAAGAAAAACTTACAATTTGATAACAATCAGAGAGACAAGAGACCATTGAGATGCGTGAAGGCAGATGCTGGAAGGGCCAAGGCTGAATGTTGCAACTAACTGCTGAAGTTCTAAGCCAAGCCGGAATTGAGAAAGTTCAAGGGCATTTTGTATATCTGGTAATCTAATCATACCATAAACGTCAAAGTACATTCAAATTAAATCATGCAACAATCATTTATTTCCTTGTTCATATCAGATAATTGAAATTTATCATTTATTGGAAGATGATAGAACAAGTCAAAATAACAAATCATTCCACTTCTAAAAAAAATTTCATCTAATCATAAAATTAAAGATTTGAGGAAATTGTATAATTATGATTCTGAATGTCTGAAAAAGCTTGCAATTACTATAAAACTAACATAGGCTTCATAATTCACATTATTTATAGCTTTTTCTTCAAAAGAAAAATATATGTTATACTATATCCAGTATAGTATACAGGGGAAACTATAAAATTAATCAAGGAATGACTACATCTTTTACAGCATTTTAAGAATTTGAAGTTCACAACTGGCAATATAAGCCTTCTAAACTTTCATTTCTTTTAAAGCTTTTGGCTTTAATAAAAACTGAATTAAAATAAGCATGTTATTAGTGGCATTACATAAAATCCAACGAACATATTTGGATTAATTAATAATATTATAATTCAAATGATATAGCAGATATTAATATAAATTTGCAATGTGTAATTACTTAATTTTCAAGTAATCATTTTATAAATAGTCAAACAAAATATAGTTCGGAACCTTTTTCTCCTCTCTTTCTAAACTGATTTTCTTTCTTCTTTTTTTTTCTAGTTTGGTGGCTATTGATGAGCTTTAGAGTTATCAATAAAAAAAATTGGTTAAAGTCTTCTCCTTGAAGCCATTTTAATTTACTTGAACTGTTTACAATAAATAAATGCATAGTAAAGTGTATGTACAAATGTATAAGAAAAGAAAAAAATGTTGGAAACGTCGAAATTCATTTTTTTTTTTTAATTTTCAATAATGATTATGATCGAATTTTGACCACTGGGCGGACACTAACAAAGAGAAATATGCAATTATGATTGTAAAATCTTTATAATTTTGCTTGTTTAGAGGGGAGAGAGGGGAGGGACAAGTAAGGGGATTGATTCAAATTCTCCAGGATAAGAGTGAATATTGTAGATATGAATGTATATTAGGAGTCTTTAAGAATTTATTGTTTAAACTTATTTATTTTAAGAAGTTTAAATCGTATTCATTTTTTAATATTAACTATTGTCGAAAAGTGGGAGAGAATATAAAAAAATAATCATTAAAGAGAGCAAAAGTGGAAAATTTTAATGAAAATGATGAGTACATAAACACCAAGTTAGTAAAAAATATTTAAACATATTATACCTGCATTTCCTCAGCTAAACTAATCGTAAAATCTATAAATATGTCTTAGAGGTTCATCTTAATGTAATTTAATTCAAATCTATTGCAAGAAATAAAAAAAAAATTAATTTATATATGATAAATTCTATGCTGATGATCTGGTACTGTTAAGCGAAGACGATGAACTATAAAACTAAATACGACAACGTTAATGAAAGCGGTAAAGACTTAGAACTCGAAAATAAACGTGATAAACAATTATATGGTAACTTCAAAAGATGGCGATACTACAGGTGATATCGAATATAGATGGTAATAGTTTGAACAGGTATAGAAATTCAGGTATCTAGGTTCTACATAACTAAAAAAACGAAATTGAAGAATGGAGATTAAGGTTAGACTGAAGCGGGAAAGCTTGTTATTTTTCTGTACAAAACTACTTAGTTTCGCGCCGCTTTCCCGGGAACTTAAAAATTAGATCATAAAACAATTATCTTGCCTCCATTCTTATGATGCGAAACTTGGCCGCTTACATTAAGGATGAGCAGCATCTTAATTTTTTGAAAAATAAGTATTGCGTAGAATATTTGGCCGAAGAGGATGATATAAACCAGTAGAGATTCAACGGCTGCACAACGCGTAATTGCTTGGTTTGGTGAAAAAGCTGTATCCGGGTAATATAATTGAGGTAAATTCATCGCGCTAAACAAATGGTGCTTGTAAAGTTGTTGGTCTTAGTAACGAGAGAAATCCTAAAAGTTAATATGTGCGGTGCCGAATGGTAAGCGTCCGAGGGGTGACCGAAGCGAAGGTGGGAAGATTGCATTAAAGCCGATCTGAAGGGACTGGGTTAGGCACGGCGAACGGTGGAGGAGGTGTGTAATAAGTGATTGGTGGTGTCCGGGCATCGAACTTCGGGTTCGCTAAGCCTTTTATTATTATTATTATATATGATAAATTGCTGAATTTGAAAATGTTGGCTAGAAATTAACCAAAAACCACAATAAATTATATAACTAATGTATAAATTATAATACTAAAATACATATATCATAAACGAAAATAAGTCAAAATAAAAATTATAGCATGATTAAAAACAAAACTACAAAATAAAAATAAAATAAATACAAACTTACACTCGATTCAACTTGTCTAGAAGTATTTTCCTCCTTGCAAGAATGACATCGTGGTGGTCAACAAGAGGCAGTATTGGATATTGGTCCTCAGGTATCTTATCGGCATCAGTGCTCACATCTTCTTTAAAAGTGACCTTTTCATCACCTCGATAAAAAGACCTTACCTTCAACTCCAATTGTTTAGCCTCATCTAGCAGCTGCTCATAGTTTGGTAATGGCTTACTAGGAAGATGCTTCTCCTCTTGCTGCATTTCCTTCAGTTCGAGCAGGTTTAACCTTCGGTAAATTTCTTGATACTTCTCATACATACGGGTGTCTTTCACTCTTAACGATTCAACTTCTTCCAGGGTGCTCCCATTAAGTTTTAGTAGCTCCTTTACACCGTCTTCACCCAATAAAAACATAAGCGTATCAATAGTAAACCAACTCTTCACTTTCTTTTCAATTTCTATCACTATATCTTCAGATGATTTGTAAACAGTCTTAATCTTCGTGGCTGCTACTCGATTCTTCTCAATCTTTCCTGAATTAGCTTGTTTCATAGATTTCATTAAAGTTTCACTATTTAAAATTTGAACATCTATTTTTTTCAAGTCAGGTTGTTTCTCAAGAGTAACTTTGTTTTCTTCAGTTTTAGTTATGACTATTTCACAACCTTCAACACTGTTTTCTTTTTTTACTTCCATTAATGTAACATTTTCTTTACTAAATTGAGACGGAGGACTCTTATGCTTTAGGTTTTCTTCCTTATCATCATCATTATTTTTATTATTGCAAATGGTTTCATGATCATTTGAAACCTTCACAGGGCTTGTGTTTCCAAGGTCAATCTCAGCACCTGAACCGCTTGTACCACTGCAATGATCAAAATATCTTACTAAGTGAATATTAAATATAAAAACATATACTATAAAATAACTTGCATGTTCTCATTCATTAGCGTGAATTACAAACAATTCCAATTTTCTGCTAACTTAACACAACCTACATCTTTAACCCATAAACTTTTTATAGAGACATTCGACGATTCTGCATCACTTGAAATAACAAAATCTCTAGTTACATTCAACTTGTAGGCCTTACCATTTTTCCAGAAATGATTAAAAATTAAAATTCACAATTTACATCCTCTACTATACACATTAATTGAGATTTATGACTTGAAAATATAATGCAACTGAAAAATGATATTCTAATAATGAGAAAATATGTCTTAACCAATATTTATTAACTAATTATAATAACCATCTATCTTACAGAGAAGCAAAGGGGTAGAAATGCGGATTAGACAAAAAAAAAACTACTTAAAAAAAAACCAACCTATTTTAACCAGAGTGGAAAGGTCAAGATTTATTCCAGAGGTCTCCCATGAAACAAATTTAAACCTGCTTAGTTTGGATTCAAACTGGCACTGCTTTTGACTTGAGAATGCTAAAATAGGCAATGCCTTAGCATGCTTAGCCACCACGGCAAAAGTTATAAAGGTAATTATAAGTTACCTAATCATTAATGACAATATATTAAAAAGACATACCCCTGTTTTGAAGATAATGTCTTGTACTCGACAGGTATTTCACAATCTCTTAGCCAGAGAGGGCTGGTATAGAGTTGATCCTTGAGAAAGATGCCAGCCTTGTAACAGATATTACTGCAATAATTCTGTGGGCATGACAGAACTGTGTAATACAAGTTAGTGCATTATTATAATGATAATGTAAATTAGTGCATCATTATAATGATAATGATGCACTAATTCAGAAAATTATACCAAGATAATCAAATATTTCATACTAACCTTACGATCAGTGATATCATAAACCTTATTTTCTTTTGTTGATATTTTATACATTTTCTTCGGAACATTTGACAAGGTTTTATCACACAAAGGGTAACCGCAACACATTGTAATTGCTCTCTCTTCAACAATATCTTGAAAATGGCATTGGTTAATATGTTTTAACTAAAATAAAATTTTCAATATTAACTTCTAATTTATAATTATTTCATTTTAACAATGATTTAGCTTAATCTGAAATTTATTTAAATCAGAAATGCGTCTGATCACAATCATTTCGAATAATTGGGCACCACTATATGAGTACATAGAGTGAGAAGCATTATGAGATGCTGATGATTCATCCAACCAAATAAGGAGAAATTCAAGCAACACTAATGCATTAAATGTATTAAATTCTTTTGACCATACCAGTCTCAATATGTTGTTCATACCTCAAAAACCAAAAAACAATTAGGAAATTCATTGTTTGTTTTTTTAAATATTATTCTTCAAGTAAAAATAAAATAAAATAGTGGTTTCTAACCCATACAAAAAAATTTTTAAACTTCTTTTCATTTATAAAAATGAATAATTTCAGAATAGTAACCGCAAAAAAATAGAATCAAATATCAAGATCTCTCCAAAACATACTCCTTTTAACTGAAATTTTACACTGTCAATTCAGTGCTTTGAATCAAGCGAATGAAGTTCACAAGAGCCACATTTGGTTGGCATGAGGGTTAAAATTATACTGATGATAATGTACACAGAATTCCACAAGTAGGCAAGTGTGCCCAAAAGTATATGGAAGCAACTGAATACCTAAATATTGTGATCACAGCTGGAAAAGAGCCGTTGGGACTTGTCTATCTCTTGAGAGACCCCACGCCCATATAAAACAAACTTGGCTACTATTGAAAATCCAACTTCATTTGATTTGATGTTGATCTATTGTCAACCAGAAGGGGCACTGTTGAACTAATACCTATTAATCTATTACTCACATTATCTAAAAGCCAAAGTTCCTCCACATTAGGTTCAATGAGCTGCTGAACTATATCCAATGCTCTTGCATTGCACTCTTTTTTCTTTGCGATTGCAGCTTGAATAGCCTCTTTCCTAAAAAACAAAAATCAACCAAACCTTAAATATAATTAATAATTTGAAGAACATCTCTAAAAACTTATGAAATTCTAAACTAACCTAAATTAAAAAAATTGGACAAATTTTATTGGACTCCAAGAACTCATCAGAAAAAATAAGGTTGTTACTTGAAAAATAAAATAAGAGTTATAGCCTTGGATCTTCTAAACTTAGTCCCATTACTTCATAATTCTTATGAAGGCAAAAATGAACTATGGACCTCAAGACAAGAAAAAAAATTCCTCTGAAGGTATGTCCGCAAACACTTTGTTTAGGAGATATTCATATTTAAAGACTTTCGTTCTTTGATAAGATTGTCCGGACTTGTAAAGACCTTTTGTTTAATGTCACCCCAAACAAAAAAATCCAGTGGTGTCAGGTCTAGAGGGTGTGCAGTGCAGTGCAGTGCACTGGTCTTGCAAGGCCAATCCATTGATTGGATATGGGATATGATTGAGCAAGTCCGGCCAATGACCTTAATCCCTTATGAAGAAGGATAATTAAATCTTGTGAAACAATAATACATATCCAGTGCTATTCTGTCACTTCTGCTGTTGAAGAAAGATGCCGAGTCTGTCTTAATGCTCAAGGAAATCACTTTAAACAACATTTAATATTAATGCTAATGTTTACATTTAATTAATAAAGTGGTTAGAAACAATAAATAGGTTTTATTTATGTCATATAACATAAATAATTCATAACGACTAAAATCTTTAGGTGCGAATATCTCCAAAACAAAGCGCTTCCGGACATACCTTCAGAGGAAATGTTTTAATTGTTTTAAGGACCATAGTTCATTTTTGCAGTTTGGTCATTGTATAAGTAATAACCATTGAAGTACAAAAGTATTTTCATTCAGCAATAAAATTTAAACTTGTAACTGCAAAAATTTAAGTACCATATATTCACTTCTCAAGAAAATTGTTATCAGGATTGTTGAGAAATGAGACTTCAAAGTACCAAACAAAAAAACTTGTAACAACACAAAGCATAATTTGTCATTCTTTATAAGAACATTGCTATACTCTGAGAAAATCTAGTAAACATGTACAATATAGTTGCAGTAAAAATTACTTTTCAATCATAAAATTGATATTGAAAAGTTACTTACGACATATTTTTAAGTTTTGCTTTAATTTCCTCATTTCTCTTCTTTTTAAGTCTTGCATTTTCTAAATTGCAACTCATTACCTTACAATACCAATAATTGTTTAAAATTTAAAATAATAGCAATAATCTCAGTCCTTCGAAATTTATAAGAAAAATTTCACCTTATTATTGTAGGAAAGTGTAAAGATAAAAATAATAAATAAGTTGTGATAAATATTGGGTACCAACAAAGGTTTGGTAAGTGATAAATATAAAATGCGGCCGATCACTAACGATTAAAATTCTTGATGACTAATAAACCTCTGCAAATTAGGAATGCAGTTGGTATTGAAATTAATGATAAAAAGTAAGTAAAGAAAGATCAAAATGAGAAAAAGTAGAGTCGATAGTAATTTAATTTGTATTATTTTCAATTATAGTTTTAAATAGTATTTTTAAAATTGTAATCGTAACAAAACAAATTATTGAAAGTAGTAAGATAATTTTATATATATAGTGTATACTGATTTATGAACTATTTGTAATTTTACGTAACAATTAACCTGAAATTCGTATTGCTAATTAAATAATTTATTAAAAAATAATAATTTTACGATAAATTTAAAAGCTAGGAAATATGGGGCAATTTCAAAAATTGCTTCCCCAATTCCAATGGTAAGGATAGAAATTTTTTCTGGACCATGATAAAAAAGTTATGACAAGAATTCGAACTTGATTCTATGTCGGGATTCAATTAATATTCTTAAACTCTATGTTCCTCTGGAAAATCAACTCAAAATCTTCCATCATGTACTAACAACTTATTTTCTCCTCTTCTGAAAATTGAAGTAAATGTTTAATACAAAATCAAATTTAGATGATTAATTAATTGTTCATAATAGCAATAAACCACTGTTAGTCAAGATGTATGATTTGGCAAGTTGCTTGTCCTTGTCTCTTCGTTTGTAGAAGAGTCTGACATCAACAATTTTCCAGCTTCTTGGAAAGTATCCCCTATCAAGCAGCCTATTCTCTAGATAGGGAATACTATTCTTGAGCATTGCCTCATCAACCGCATCTAAACCTGGAGCTCGGCCAGTCTTTTGCCTTTCCACGGCACTACGGAGGTCCCAAATGTCCCATGATGGGCACGGGTCCGTCCCAGGCGGGTACACCGTTGCTCTTCTCACAAATGTATGGTCATTTTTTTATTTCATTTTATTTATTTGAACCCTACTGTGCCATTGAGGCAACACGGGTTTTGCAGATCTGGACAATTATACGTCACTGCATAACAGCCTGCTTCTGCAACGATACCAATTTTCATACTTAAATTTGTTGTGTATGGCCTTATTCCGCTCCTCCTTGTTCCGGCGGCCTCCCTGGCGCGGGTCCTCTTCTTGTGAGGTTGAAGTGTGCGGGTCCAATGGCTTCTTTCCACCCGTACACAAATTCTTTGTAGTACGGGTAGTTTTCTTCCGTAACTAGCTGAGGGAAATCGGACTCTGTGAGAACATAGAGACCGGTCTCCCTCACCAATTTGGCCCTTAGCGACTCAAAGGCGATGCAGTTTATGATAATGTGCTCAGCAGTCTCCGGGATCCCACAGCTAGGGCATAGAGGATCGATATATTTTCCAAATCCATAGAGCTTGTCTCGAAAGCCCCCATGCCCAGTAAGGAATTGCGAGAGCCAGTAATCCGGGAGGACCCACTTGGCTTCCAATCGTGATTGAACGGTGGGGAAGTACTTCCTTAGAGTGGTTCCTTTCGGGCTTGTCACCCACCGTTCATTCCACACTTTAATTGTATCCTCCCGGATAATAGATGTCTATTTTCTGGGATTTTCGTCGATTTCCTGGTAGACCTGCTGAACCTTCCTTCTTATACATGTACCTGAACATATCTTCTCGCAGGAGGAGTTCGAGAGACACTCCTCCCGCTAGTACCTGCACCGCCTCATGAGAAACAGTCCTGTACGCTCTGGTGACTCGCAGCAGAGCTGTTCGCTGGATTGTCGCAACTTGCTCTTCTGTCGGTGCGAGAGATTTCAATTCCAAGCAGGAGACGCATACCTCAGTATACCTACAATCATACCGTTATAAATGGTCATTGTCATCGTCATTATCATCCTGTGATGGATCAACTCTGGGATATGTCTCTTTAATACACATATTTGCTGTTTCCTCCAGAGTGGCTGCCTGAGTGCCCCCTTGGTTCAGGGCTGCAATGACTTGCTGTGGGGTCAGTTTTCCAAGGGCCACCCTGTATGGGATACCGCAGAGATTCTGCGCTGACTCTTCCTGGATGAATTCATCCCATGATCTTCGTTTCTGTGAGTGCACCTCATTCCGGCATACCCTAGCCTTAGACCTGTACTCCTCACGAAGTGTAGCACGCCTCTCTTCGTTACAACACCTCTAATATGACCGCCGGGCCTTGTAGAGCTCTCTCTTCCGTGTGGTTAAGGCCGACGATCACCATGGGACAGGTCGTTCTCTCGCTTTGCGGTGCTGAAGTGATTCTTCCGTAATGACTTCGGTAATCCTGGATACCTTGTAATCTAGATCATCCTGTTGTTAAAATCCGCGGAATTCATCCACTAGCTTTCCCTCTAGCGCTGACCGGGAGAAGCTCCAGTCTTCTCTTCGAGTCACATATAACTTGTAAACGAGTTACATAACTTCAAAAGCACTCTTTCCTTCCTCACCTATGGTTATAAAGGTATGTTTAGGAGCATCTTCAGAAGGCTTTTGGGGAAGGGACTTCACAATGTCAGCCATAGTTCTCCCTTTATTTTTTGCCTTTCAGTAGAATGAGTCCTGTTAGTTTCGGTCTGTGATGTTCCTTGATTTTCTACTGTTTTCTTATTATTCTTTTTTTTTTCTTGCTAATAACTTCCTGAAAATCTTGTTCTGGAGAGCTGGTCACTGGCTGAGGCTTGATCTCACTTCTTACTTAACAACTCTAGATGTTCCCACCATTGGAGGGAGAAGAAGTAGCTTAGTTTTGTTTTCTTATTATCATCGCAAAGATCTTCTTTGATGTTAGGTAAGGCAACCTCCATTACTTTCCTGGTGATAATTTCATATATTTCCGTAGATGCCAGGGACTGCTTTACCATGTGCCTCACTATCTGAGGAATTCCATGGATCCTGGACCTATTCTTTATAGCTTTATAACACAGGGTTTCCAGGATGTCTACAATATTATTAATTTTCCCCAATATTGCTTTCTGCTGAACTCGGTTTATTTTCTTTGCAGCAAGATATTCTTTTAGAGAAGTCTCGGATTTCTTAGCCTCTTAGGCAAGGCTATCTAAGTTCAATAGTTAGTATGCTATCTTTTAATCCCTTGGATAAAATTAGGTAACTTTAAAATAAGAATTTCATCTACACTTTAGGTAAAAGGAGAATAACATGCTTAACTTATTCTCAGGAGTGTTCATAAGGTAAAACATTGGAACAATGCATCCCTTAGTATCCCGTAAAACAATATGAGTATAGTTTCCTCTGGATCAGAGTAACATCCAGTAAAATATATGGTGCCGCATCACACCACCCTATTCTTAACAGAAATAAGTATTTTCATACAAAGAGGAAGTGAAAGTAAAAATTATAGACGTTATATTTATTTACAATGCAGTCAGTGTATGTGTTTGTATTTGTTTAATTATCCTTATATACAAATTTTAAGTTTTATATCGCTGTAATCTATAAAATTAAGTATTAAATAATACCACATTTATAAAAACCGCATATGTATATTTACATAATATTATCGGAATTCGTTTGATATTAAGTTCATATTATGTAGGGAAGCCTGTTATAATCTTTCGGGTGAGCTCGGTACGTTCGTATTCCTTTGGTTTCTTCATTTCAACCATTATCCGTTTTGATATTTTAGTTCTCCTTTATTTAATTATCAAATTCTTTGATATTTTATATTTACCTATTTTTTATATTAAAGATTAATGTGAAATGGTTAATTATTTCAAAAAAAAAAAAAAAAAAAACTAAAGGTACCTTAGAGGAAGCTAATATTGAAAATTAGCCATTTAAGCCTTGTCAGAGAACATCAATGATAATAAAGCCTACATTATTTTAAAGACTGCTTAATAATACACTGATATACTGAGTTTAATCAAAATCGTTAGAGCCGTTTTTGAGAAAATCGTAAAAATGTGTTAAATAGATTATATAAAATACCACTTCCGGTAAGTCGATTTTGACGAAAACGTTTCGTCCAAGGTATATTAACCTATGAAATTTCACTATTATAGGATTTTTCGTTTTTGACGACTGATCACACACACACACACACACGCACGCACGCACACACGCACGCACGCACGCACGCACGCACGCACGCACGCACGCACGCACTCACGCACGCACGCACGCACGCACGCACGCACGCACGCACGCACGCACGCACGCACGCGCGCGCGCGCACACACACACACACACACACACACACACACACACATATATATATATATATACATCATTTTGGGGGACTCAAGAAACCTCAAAACATGTATTTCCGTTGAAAATTTAGATTAAAAATTTTCACGATCGCAATACTTACCCTTACTATATATATTATATATTGCATATATATGTAAGTGAAAGTAATAACTGTTTCTTCCTGTTAATGAAGTAGTTTAGCCCAATGTAATGACAACAATATCAAATATAATTATTAAATATATCTAGCCCCATCATTCTGTTTATTTTAATGGTTATATATGGATCATTGTTGGATATGACAATTTTAAAACAAGGTGAAGAATCCAGAAATTATTACAAAGAGATAACTATTCGTGATTGTCATTTAGAATTATAGTCTATCTCTTAGTTTTGTTTTGATCCTTGGCTTATCTGCTTTATAAATATGAATTTTGGTGATATTTTTAGTCCTTTTGTTGGTGAATTTTGATTTGACAATATTTACAGATGCAAATCATAAAATGTTTATTTTGGACTTAATATTATCTTTATGGAGATCACTTGCTGGTTTAGTATGGTTCAGTAACCAAAATTTTCCCAAATCTCTGAGTGTTTATATCAGATCAAATGATGGAAAAAAGTTATCCGTGGATTTAGATCCTAAATGGGACATTAAATCAGTTAAAGAAATTGTCGGACCTAAGTTAGGTCTTGAAGCTGAAGAAATTAAAATAATACTTGCTGGTAAAGAATTAGATGACTCCACAATAATCGAGGTCTGCTTTATCTTTCACTATCATAATTGGCTTACTTATTATTTGTTCCAAAATATTAGTAAAATTTTTTGACACAGGAAATTGACTTGGGTGAGCAAAGTACTGTTTATTGCGTACCATTAGACCATAAAGGAAAAACAAAACAGAAATCTGTGAATAAAATTCTGGTGAACCTTCCTGAAGAGGAAGTTATTACATTTCATGTCGCCTGTTCTCACTGTCATGGTATCAAGCATGGCAAGCTTAGGGTGCGCTGTGCTGAATGCAAAAGTGGGGCAATCACAGTTGACAGAGACCCAGCATCATGGTCTGATGTCTTGAATCCATCTCTTATTTCTGGGCATTGTGAAGAACAAGGCTGTGCTGTAAGTTTAATTTCTTTATGTAGAATGTAATTCTTGATTGTGTACTTTTTTTTCTGATTACCTCCTACCTTGCTACTTATGGCATACAGAAGAGGGTTTGTTCTATACATATAACCAAAGGAAATCACTAGAATGGTCGAGTGCTTCTTAAAACAGACGGATTGACCAAATAGTCTGGTAAGGCGCAACCAACCGAAAAGGATCTGTTGGGAGTATGTTTATCCCTTTTTGGCAAGCGGAAGTCGAAAGCAGCGATGGAATTAAAGTATATTAATGTCCTAATTTTAACTGAAAAGGACTAGGAGGGTGTTAACTGAAGTTGTAAAGCTTAATCTTAATAAAGAAAAGTTAGACTGTCAATCCTTGGTCATTTTCAGAATCCCATGTATAGTGTGATCAAGGGATCTAGGACTGCTGGTCACAGTGGAGTGATACTTAGGTGCTCAGAACCAATTGAGTACGTTTAAAAGTAGAATTACACAACTGATTCCCTACTCTTTATAGCAGAATGTTTATTTTAGGTTAGATCAGCCTAAGTATCCATTATATTAACTTATTTTAATGTATAAATAGCAGTGCAATCCGCCTTATAAAAATGTTTTTCACACCTATTCGTTGAAACTTTTACTTTTTCCTAAAAAATTATCATATTTTTTATGTTTCCAACCTATGAAAATCAATTTCCCCTGCACTCTTTCAGATTATTAAGGTCTATCAATAATTATGACTCCAGGAATTAAGTAATAATGATTAAATTGAAGAACTACTGAAATATAGATTAAATTTTAATCTTCAATGTACTCCTCTATATCCTCCTACTAGATTTATACATTAATAATAGTATCATTTGATTAATAATTTGGCCCTTTGGCTGTGGCATGACTGTATTCATGAGCCCGATTATGGCTATTTTTGAAACTATGTATCCTTATTTCTTGTAAATAATGATTCAGAAAAAAAATATATATATAGCTAGCTTATGGATAAAGGAGAGATCTCGTTTGATATACTGAATGAGGGAGTCATCCAATGTAAACTCTTTATTGTTGACAGTGTTGGATGGAAATATTATTAAATGAGGTTGGGGTTCTCTATGGACTGTAAAAAAAAAAAAAAAAATAAAAAATAAAAAAAAATAAAATAAAAAAAAAATAAAAATAAAAAAAAAAAAAAAACCTATTGCACTACAACCCATGAAAGTCTTGGGTTCAGTACTGCTTACGGAAAGCATTGTTTCTAGGTCAACGGTTGTGCAAAGCATGGAGGTGATTTGACCGAGATCACTCTCAACCGCCAGGTTTTCCCCCTTAATTAATTATTTAATTAAGGGTACCCATTTTACAGAGGCTGGGTGTGCCCTAGGAAGGTCTCCCAACCCAGGTTTGCCCCATGGCCAATGAAACGGAATAAATAAATGTTCTGCCATGAGCCAGGATTCAAACCTAGGACCTATATATATATTCAGCATTGGAAGCTCAGTACCCTACCATTGAGCTACTTCACTCTATGGACTGTAATATCTTTAAATAAACAAGTTTTAGTATTTAGTTTTTTTTTTAACCCTTAAGTTTGTTGATTGTTTTAATCATTTTTTGTTATCACCATTTATTTTAGGCAGGCCCTGTGGCTTGGTGTGAGTTTTATTTTCGTTGTAAAGAACACGTGAGTGCTGATGACATTGCTATTCCATTGCCATTGATTCATGCTAATCTCCGCTCCATTCCCTGTCTAGCTTGCAACGATGTAAGGTACCATTGATATATAATTTTTAACAATAATAAATATTGTAAAATGCTGAATAAACAACAATGTATTTATTTTATTCCTCAGTATTGTATTCTTTAAAAAGTTTATTCAATTATTATGATGTTCAAGGTTTGATTTGATCATGTTTTCAAGAATAAAATACGGATTTAAGTGTGGTTTGTACCATCGTGATATTCATATTTCCATTAAAGTTGATTATTCTCTTCCAGTTTATATACACAAATATGTATATTTATAACTTTTCCCTTCAGACCATAACTTTTTATGGCTTTTCCTGTATCTTTCAAAAAATGTTTAATTTGTCTAGCCTGTTTTTTTTTATGCAGAAAACTGTCAACGTGTTGTTTCTGGTCTGTTTTTGGATACCAAAATCTGACATATTTTCATCTTGACTGACGTTTATATAGTTTTGGGATCATTAATTTGTTACCTTTTCTCCTCTTTTCTTAAAGGAAATTTCCAATCCATCATTTAACAAAACCATTTTAATTCTTTTGAAGTTTGCAACATTTTTTGATTCTGTAGTTTATCCGCTACTTTTTTTTTAATCCTTGAATTGCTTAATCGTTTCTTCTCAACTTTGGTTATGGTTTCTCTTTGAGAGCTCTTTCAGTTGATATTGTTGACATTAAATATATTATTGAAATGTTTTTTATTTTGTCAAGGAGGTACAATTAAAATAAAGCAATAGTGTAGAGATGGTTGACCGTGATGATAATATGAGAAGGAGTTGGTCAGGAGGTGCGGTGAAATGAATACTATATATCAAAATAGTATTTTATTCTTTACGCTGACTTGTATCTTTTGTTGCCGTGATGAAGAAATACAAAATGGGTTGAAACATTAAACAATAAAATACTATTTTGATATATACTATTCATTTGACCATACCCCCAGACCAACTCCTCAAAATAAAATAATATTTATCAAATTTTTGTCTCTAGATTATAAAAAATTATTATTTTTGGACAGACTTTTAGTTATATTGTGATATGTGATAATGAAACCAATACCAATATGGGCTTAGCAACTGGCACCGTATCTATTTGGAATCCACTGCCCTCTTTCTAAATTGAAATTTTTTTTTCGAGGAACTGCCAAATGAAAATTGAATCACACATTTCTGTTGGGACATTTGTCTCAAACAAATGCTGTCACAAGATTTTGGTCCTTACAATAATGACACACAATAATACAAATACTGCTGAATGATGTATAATACCAGTCAGATTCTGCAGTAAATCGGTTAGGAAATATAAGTTGATTGTATTAATAAAATCTAATCTAAAACATGTTTTATTCTGCAGCGTTTTTTTACTTAGTTTGACATCTAAATTTGTAAACATTCTATTGTTATATTTATTAATATTGGATAGTTGACTAGTAAATTTTTTTTTCTAATTATAGAGACCCGGTTGTTGTGTTCGAGTGCTCTGACAGACACACGATCTGCTTGGAATGTTTTGGCCGCTACGCCAGCATTAGATTGCGTGAACGTTCCTTTGTATTCTCTCGGCAATACGGATACACACTTGCTTGCCCAGCTGGCTGTGAAGGTTCCTTCATAACGGAGCCTCACCACTTCCGAATACTTTTACAAACAGAGGTGAGATTATCTTTTATAAGCGTTCGTGTAATAATTTCTTAATTTCATGTATATTAGTAAAAAAAATGCCTTTTCAGTCTCGATAATAATTAATTTATTTCAAATTTTTGTCTCTTCAGGGATAATCTGATTTACATGTAATTTAATTTTTCATTCGCATATAGTAGTGCACCCACTTACACACTTAGTCAAAGAACACAACCGAAGACTCAGTGAAAAATTAAATTACATGTAAATTCAGATTATCCCTGAAGAGCCAAAAATTTGGATACATTTGAAATAAATTAATTATTATCGAGACTGAAAAGACCTTTTTTTACTAATACTTATTATAGCCTCCTAAGATCCTCTTTTGTTCATATATATTCTAATTTTTTCAATATTACTATAACTAAAAAAATGTTGAGAAAGAAAGACAGCTTATAGATAACAGCAATAGATTTATATTGGCAACTTTTGAACAGTATGAACTGTATCAGCGGTTTGCTGCCGAGGAATGTGTACTGCAGGGAGGTGGTGTGTTATGCCCTCGTCCCGGCTGTGGTGCAGGAATATTCCCAGATGATGATTGCAACCGAGTCGCATGCCAATGTGGTGTAAGGAATTTTTTTTTATTTTGCAATATCAATTAAAAATCAGAAGACAGAGTATTTTAAAATATATTAGTTTTTTATGGTGTATTTAGCATTAAAACTTATCTTATTATTCAGTTTTAGTTCACCTTTATTGAATATTTTCTCTAGTATGTATTCTGTAAGCGATGTCTGGAAGGATTCCATATTGGGGAGTGTGGTGAAAGAGACAGTGCCGCTGAAGGTGGCACTTCAGGGGGATACAGTGTTGATCCTGCACGCGCAGCTCAGGTATGAAACTTTCAGCATTATCTTATATGGCACTTTTCTTTTATTTTATAAAATACATTTTTTAGATTTGTAGCCACTTCAGTGTAGTTTGAACAAAAGTGTGCTTTAAAGTGGAAAAAATGAGGGTCGAATTTAGTATTAACTTAAATATATTATTGTTTGAACTACTTGTCAATATTGTTTTTAATAGTGAAGTTAGTACTTTTGTTCAGGCTCGATGGGATGAAGCAAGTAAGCGAACAATCAAAGTGAGCACCAAGCCATGCCCCAAGTGTAGAATACCCACAGAAAGAGATGGTAAGTGTTCTCTGAAACTACATTTTAAAAGAAGCTTTAAGTTATTTGAATATATATTGTAATATACACCTTAATTGGAAGTTGGTAAAAATGGTTTAATAAATTAATGTTGAACAGTTAAAAGGCAAGCTAATCTAGTTCCACAAGTTCAGGGGGAAAAAAATAGCTGCTCTGTTGTTTCTCCAAAAAGGAAAATCCTAAAGAGGGGGTAAACAAAGGATTTTTGTTTTGGTAAGCAGTTGGTGTTTGGATGGGGTGAAGAGAGGATGGGAAAAGGGATCTTGCCTCCAGTGGAAGGGGAAACCCAGTAATAGTATTACCATCTTGGAAGTTGTTGTTTAGGGGAGAGTCTAGTTGTTTGAATTACAAGAGAGAGGTTCTCCTATGGAGCTTGAGTTGAGTAAATGGGAGTGTCACCATTTTGGAAGATGTGTTCGGCAGAACATGGGACAGTTTTTTAATACAAATGAATTCAGTGCCAAAAAGGAAGAAACAGTGTATATAGAAAAAAAGGTTAGATTGCCAATTCTTACTTGATTTTATTTTAAAATCATTGTTGTTATTATTTAACAACCTCTTATTTATTTTGGAAGTATCCCAACAGTATAAAGTTTTAGTGATCTTCCAAAGTTATATTACTAGTTTAAAATATAAGAGATATTATAATATATATTAGGGTTATGTAGTATAAGTGCACATCAGACTTTAAATTTCTAGTATCTTTATTTTTGAAGATTGATTTTTTCTCTTTTATTTTTTATAAAATGTTCCTCAGATGATTATGTTTTACTTATTACTCTCAAGTCCGCATTTCAATCATGAATTGTGAATTGATAATTTAATTTAGAAGTTACAAGGTATATAAGGATTCATTATGGAGTTAGCTGTTGGCATGCTAGGGTATAGATCGAGTCAGTGACAATCTGTGATTAAAGTGGTCAGATTACATTAAAATTTGTGGTAGTGTTATATTTAATATAGAATTTTATAATATTATTTAAAAGTAGGATAAAATTAGCTTATATTGAGTTAATATCAAATAATTAAATCAGCGGAGTGGAGTGGATTTGAGACAGGAAAACTAACCGTGCAAGCAGGTTAAATACGTCACCAGTGAGTAGACCTCTTACTAATTACTACATTTTAAGTAATAAATACTTCTTTAAAGAACGGAGTAACAATAAAAGTTTTATCAAATAAACATTGAACAAAATGGACAGAGGAAGTTCCCCTTCAATCAATAATGATGGAAATTCGTAATAACAGTAACAAAACTAAAATAATAAAAGAAGCAGTTGAAAAAATGAATACCCTTTTTGAAAATGTTTTATCAGAACTAAAAAGTGTTGAGAATAAGATTACAGCTATATAAATATTAAAATTGTTATATATAAGGGTACTTAAACATATAAAAATACCCACAAGGAAATGTAAATAAATATACTGTCTGTAATTTTAACTTTCACTTTCCCTTTGTCTGAAAATAATTGTTTCTATTAAGTGGGTGGTAAGTGAAAGTTATGTGATGCGCTCACCACACACCAGATTTTTTATTTTTTTTTAGCTGAGGTCAATTTACTAAGGTTCATTTTCATTATTAATTATAGCAAGTCAATAGTTTTGCTAGATTTTTTTTATTTAATCCTTGCTGTAATTATCGGTTGTTAAACCAGTTAAAAATCTGTTGGTTATATTAAAATACCCATTTTTAGATCTGACTATTGTTGCTAGTCATATGAAAAATTCTAGAGTTCCTCTCTCCAAAGTTTTTTCTCATAGTTTTTATATAATTTTGATGATGCTTTTTGTTAAATTGTATTGCAGGAGGGTGCATGCACATGTTATGCGCCAGGTGCACATTTGAATGGTGCTGGGTCTGCCAGACTGAGTGGACAAGAGACTGCATGGGCAGCCACTGGTTCGGCTGATAGATCTTTAACCGACAGCTACATCTTTATTTCATTTTAAAATTTATTACACCAAAGTTTTTTCTTTTTTTTTCTGTTTTCCTAATTGTTTTAAATAATAAATCATAATTTGATTTAACATAAAAGTTTTATTTTTTTGTTCATCCCAGAAGTACATACATTTTCAAATAATGATATCCTTTAATTTTTTATATCCTTGAACGAAAACTTCATTCTTGTAAAGCGTCAAATTTTCCTTTATAATTTAATGATCAGTTTTTTTTTTTTTTTTACTAAATTTGTGTCTGGTTATGAAGGTAACATTTGATAAACTGATTCCATGAATGTAGATACTTAAGAGCTTGTATGTTTATGGAAACATACTAGCTCTTCTGAGCTTCTAAAAGATCAAAGGAATCCACTTTTTATATCTATATCAACAGTTTGGTAAATTTATGCTTTTATTTAAATATTAATTACTTGATTCATAATATGAAAAAAAATTAAAACTTTTTATGAACTGTGTATTTTATTTGATAAAGATTGTGTTATCATAACTGTTATAGGTATAGAAGATTTTTCTCTTCTGGAACTCTTTTAAAAATTAAATTAGATTATGAAGCTAATTTGATGGATCATGAATACTTTTAAATAATTCATTTTACAAAAAGTAAAATCATCACAAATTTAAATTAAATTACTTATAAGTCGATTATTTAACCTTCAATTGTACCTAGAAAGTAGAAAGAATTTATAATTGATTGTAAAGACGATTTGGATTTCAAAACAAAAGATGTAGATTGACATCATTTTTTAAAACCTAATTTAAACATAACAGTGACAACTCTATTTTTTAAGTGAAGTAAATAAGTTTATAGTTAATAACAATAAATAACTTAAACAATACATAAGTAGAATATCACAATTATTTCAAAATCATTATAAATTTTTATTCTATAAAAATAAAAATATTTTGAAGGAAGAAGTAAAACTTGGAAGTTATTAATTACAATTGTTTTATACTTTAAAATAATGGTAGCTCAACAAAAGTTAGCTAACTATACAATAATTTTTCCTTGTAACTATATACTTAATGAATTAACTTGTAAGAAAAAATAGATTTACATTCAATAATAAAAATATTTCACTGTACATACATCAAATATTTTAATAATTACAAATCAATCAGAACTAAATAATTAAAGTATCGTATATTACAAGCATATTATACAAGTGATAATTCTCTTATCAAGTTGTCCATTATATGCCGCAGGTTAGTAGTTTGCATTTTGTCAATAGTCGCCTGAACACGTCTGAAGAGTATAGGGCAATCCAATGAGATGCAATCTGTTTCATAAGACCGACTGCAGCAAGATTGGCAGATCTAAAACATTCTTATTACAACAAGTCCAGGGTAGAGAAAAACCAAATATACAATAATAATAAGTGCGCTGCACCTTGTCAAACATAAATGCTTTCCTCTCCAGATTAAAGAGATTTCTTGAAAGATGAGCAATAGCAAGATGAGGCTCAACTTGGCAGGATTCGCAAAGTCCTAGTCGTGTTGCTCTGGAGCATACCACGCAGTTAACAGTTGCGAAATATTGCGAGATGGTCGCTTTTCGTACAGCATTGGAACCTTTCAGTTGCTGCCCTCGGAATAACTGCTTCTTAGGCAAGGTGGAATACCTAGATCAGTCCAAACGTAAAAACAAAAAAAGTGCAGTTTTTTACTCAACAAAATATAATTTTTTTAGCTGATCATAATATATTTTGTTTTGATTATTTCAGTAATATATGGAAATATAGCTGGATTCGGATTGAAAGGATATTATAATCTAATCTTTCACACTCGTGCTGAAATTGATAAGGGGCCCCAGGAATAATTATTTTTTTAATGCTTAATTTAGTAAATGTTAAGTAGTTTAATAAGCATTTTACAATTATGGAATGAAGTTATGTTTGATTTTGATAAATTTGTAATAAAAAAATAGTAGACGTCAAAAGTTATTTGTACTTCATAATTCACAAGTAAATAAGAAGAAAGGGTACTTTCTGTCTAGCAGGCCGACACTGACTGCTATCTGCCAATGTTTATAACCTGACCACTGATAATTCCCATAATGCATTGATAAGCCTTCTCCTTCTTCGTATTATTGAATTAAATTTGTATTATTGAAAGTGTAAACAGATACAAAAACAAATGTAATAACAAAAAAAATACTTATATTTTACGACACATATATTAATGAAATAATAAAAAAAACACTTGAAAAACATATGTAGATATAAAAGATGAAAATGAAATAATAAAAAAACATTTAAAGAACATATTTACATAGAAAAGAAAAAGTATCAACATTATAAACAATATATGTACAATTTATTTTCACTTATTCTTATTTATTTTGGATACAAAATTGTTTTATGCTATTTAAAATAGCGAGGAAGGGGTCCTCTTCTCTGTGAACCCGCCGCCACAAAAATTCGCACAATTATGAATCGAGGTGTTGTCTGGCAGTTTCTCTATGTACTTTATTTCTCCACTGCGCTGAACCCCATAATCGTTCTATGTGTTGAGTATGAACCCCAGTTGATGGACCACCCATAAATCAATTTTAAAGCTGTTAAAAACGAAATACTCGAGTCCTCCAACCATGTTCCTTTCCTTATTGAAAGTTTTGTGTCACAAGTCCTACGAAAGCATCTCCATTTGGCGTTCCTGGTTTGAATATTTTGAAAATATTGAATTGCCTGTTCTTCTTGATGGCATGACGGAAAATCCCATATTCTAAGAAGATCCATAATATGATGAAAATAAACGGGAAAAAAATGAAAAATAAACACAAACGGGCCACAAACTAAAAAAAAAAATGAAAAATAAACACAAACGGGCCACAAACTAAAAATATAATGAAAAATAAACACAAACGGGCCAAAAGTAAAGAATTTAATAAGTGAATGTAACAAGGGAATAACTGAAAACTAAACAATGCAATAACTCAAAGGTTAAGAAGAGGGAGGTTATGTGACGTGACGTTAGATAAGAAGTGAGGTTTCGTGACGGCCCTCTAGACAAAAAGTATCGAAGAAAGTTTTAAAACTTATAAGCAAATCTTATTTTAAAATATTATTCTAATGTATTTGAAGAAAAAAGTTTGTTAACATATATGATGACGATGACGTAACTATCAATTCAAAGATGTAGAATTGGCACAAAATAAGATTTGACTTCTATTGTATAAAAGTAAATCAAATCATCAACAAAATGTTTTTGTTTTTTTAAAATAAAATGAAGACATACCATGAGAACACATCTGCTCCTACTAGAGTGAGGCACCTCTCCAGTGGTGGTATTATTGCCTTAGTGATATAATAGTCAGCATTAAGGACCAGCTGGGAACAATCAGCCAGGTAGGCGGGAAGGTGCCTCACTAACGAAATGAGAGGGAGGCCTGGAGGCCCGCATACCACCACGTAAGGCACTCGCTCCGATCTCCGTGGCTCTGCCCTTCTGTCTCTGGATAACAGCTCTCTGTTTTACAATTCACAAACATCTGATGATGAAAATAGGCAATAAAATCTAGTAACTAATATTGCTAGATTAAATGCTTCAAATTGAATAATATCTGTAACAATGAATATTCTAACTGTGAATAAATAATTAAGCTTTAAATATTATAAAATTAAAATTAAGATCTTGAGTTTCTAAAATGGAGCATGTGTATGGATATTTTGGAATGACATCCGATCGTTAGATATATTATGATACTTGAATGGGCGGAACGTTAATGGGTTAATTGTTTAACTGCATTTTAATAACTTAAGACTTTTTGTTGGTCATTTTTCAATTATATCTCAAAAACTAATTATTTCTATGAGTTATTTGTTGTTTTATATACTATTGAGAATCAAATTCTTAACACTAGATTGAGAATTAATCTTAATACCTTAAATTGAAATAAAGATTGTTATACCCAATTTTTATGAGTAATACAGTTATGATAATAATACTTTATTTATTCTGGGACGAGTCCCTTTAGAATAATACAGGAAGACAGAAATGAGGGCTAAGGAGCCTCAGAGATATATAAATAAAAATACAGAGTAATTGAACAGTCTTGGTTAAAAAAAATAATATATATATATATATCCACATATACATATAAGTTGCTTTCCAATTTTGATCAGTTGATAATAAAAGAGAAAAAAAAAAAAAAATAGATAAACGAAAATTGGAGAACAAATAATGAAGAACGAACTAATAACTTATGTTCATATTTTCAGTAGTATCTATTTACGATTTTATGGGGACTGGATGGATAAGAAATGATTGAACAGGCGGGATTTAAAGGTAGGAAGGGTATTAGATTGACGGATATGGGAAGGGATGGAGTTCCATAGAGATGAGGATCGGATAATGAACGATTTGTCGAAAGCAGCGGTTCGGTGGGCCCTTATGTACAAATCAGAAGACCGGGAACGAGTATTGCGGGAACGAACAGAGGATTTGAATTGAAGGAGCTCGGAGATGTATGAGGGACGGTGGGATTGGATGACTTGAAAGAGGAAGGATGCCAGGAAATACTTACGACGGTAGGAAGGATAAAGCCAATTTAACTCCGCGTAAAGATGGGAAACAGAGGCGTCCCTTGGGATCCCGAAGATGAATCGTACAAAGCAATTCATAGGAAGTGATAGGACAATAGTTTAAATTATAAAAGAAAGTTTATACAGAACTGAGATTTTTTTTTTTCCAGATTGCAATAATTACAACTTAATTCAGTGAATTTTACACTTACTTGGTGACTGCAATAATACTTTTTATGATTATAAAATACAAAGTCATTTTAATTTTATTATCAAAAACAAATTTTAGTGCATAGTAAGTAATCATCAAAAAGTATATAGAATATATATGCACTTGGCTTATGTCATATAAAGGCAAGTTTATAATGCATATATTTTTATTTCATGTAAGCCAAACTTTTATCTTCTCATATTAATTTCATTATAGCTGCAAAAAGTGTTAACGAACGAAGAATTATATTGTAGTTGTAATCAACGTTTTAAGCTTAATAATAAGTATTATAGCATATTAAGTTATTATTAAAATCAGCTTATTTATGAAAAAAAAACAACAATATATAATGTATATTTACACATATATATAAAACTAAAGAAAGCAGTTAATTAGGATGGACCTTGCTATCTTGAGGGCTGGAACAGGAGCAGTAGGATGATAACCGGAAATGCCCCGATATTCCTTCGCAAATGACAATTCGGCAGGACTGAGGCGACCAGAAAGTACCTTGGTCAGCTGAAGTCTAACATACTGACGTACAGCGCTCATGTCTCCTTGGTCAAATAACAGTTTCAGGCTTTTTTCCAGGATCTAAAATAATAATAATATTACAAATTAATAAATACATTTAGGTCACCAGGTTGACCTGTGGATCAAGATTTTGAAGAGAATATTAAAATATATCTGGGGTATAATATCAGAATATTATTTTTAAACTGACTGCAATGCAGATATTTAAAAAAAGAATCTGGTGAGCACAACACACAACTTTCACTTACGGCTCAACTTTGAATAGAAATTATTTTCTGGCTATTACAAAATTTTTGAATTGCATTTTTAACTGAGCTAAAGCTAAAAGATTACAGCTAACAAATCTAAAATACCATGAAAATAACTAAAGTCCTATTTATTATATCAACGGTTGATTATGGATTGTACGATTCGTTGATTATGGATTGTACGACCATTAGTTATTAAACTGTTACTTTACATTGCTAAATTTACTAAAACGGAATTAAGAGATTTGTATTATCTGTCATAGACAGGTCTCAAAAGTTGTCACACTAATTATAAGAGGGTACTGTTGGGATGTTGCAAAGGGAAAATTCATAAAACTATTCAATAATTTAATTTTCTAAAAAGTTTACATATAGTAAGAAAACTTATTTAATTTCCACGAAAACAAGTGATTTACTAGGTATATAAGTAAGAATATTTTTTTCCCAGTGATTTATTCTCCCATTCATTCCACTCAATTACATCATTACATCATAACGTTTCGGGATCCACTTATATCCCATCTTCAGACAGTATCACACATCATCTTATTCTCCATAAGACTTGTCATGTTTTATTATTGTCCTATTGCTCAGTATCTGACTAGCCTCTCCCTAGAAGAGACTAAAATAGGATTTCCAGCAATAGGACAATAATAAAACGATTTAATACAATATGACAAGTCTTATGGAGAATAAGATGTGGAATACTGTTTGAAGATGGGATATAAGTGGATCCCGAAACATTATGATGTAATGATGTAATTGAGTGGAATGAATGGGAGAATAAATCACTGGGAAAAAATATTCTTACTTATATACCTAGAAAATAAGTATCTCCCTTAGGATAAATGAAGAAACAAGTGATTTACATTAAATAATGTTAAGTTTTTAGAAATTATTATTTATATTTTTTTCATCACTTTCTGTTACCTTCTACAACTTTCTATAGTATATATTTATTTATTTTAATTCTCCGCTTTCCAACAATATATTATATGAATACCTTCTGACTAGTATTTCCGGAGATTCATTTTCAATCTGGATAAGCATTTTTATATTTTTTTCCCTTTATTCAATTATCAAATTCTTTCAAAACTTATATTTAGCATTTTTTTCGTAACTCTGAATAATGAGAGATAGTTAATTATTTAAAAATAAACCATAATAAAGATACTTTAGGGGAAGACTCATATGAACATTAGGCATTTAAGCCCTGTAAAGTGACATCAACGGGGATAAGACCTAAATGATATAAAAAGACCACTTAATTATACAATGATACACTGAGTTTAATCAAAATCGCTAGAGCTATTTTTGAGAAAATTGTAAACATGTGTTTCACCGTTGATATAAAGTGGCACTTCTGGTTAGCCGTTTTTAATGAAAAAGTTGCAGTGACATCTAAGGCATATACCTATCTTAAATACGTAATATCAGTTTCGTAAGGCTTTTTATTTTTGAGCTAGAGTGTTCATATATACACAGACCATTTTTCGGGACTTGGTTATTTGGACTCAGCGTACCTCAAAACGTGTATATCCGTTGAAAACTCAGATTCGAAAATTTTGACGATTGCAATACTTTCCCTTACTATATATTACATATATAGGTAAGTTAAAGTAATAAGATTTAAAAAAGGAAAGTATCGAAGTAGAAAGAGGGTTTGTTTAAACTAGAAAAGACATTCACCTTGCTGGCAGCAGGACAGCCGTCCCTACGAACTGTCTCAATACCCTTCGCAAGATATATAGGTGTCTCCTGGTCTGCAGATTCATACATATATCCAACATAACGTTTTTTAGTCTGAAAAGTTTATACATTAATGTATTTTATTAATCCAACTGATCAAGGATAAGTACAGTGTAAAAAATTTAAAAAACCTGCAATATACAAGGGAGGAAGACTTTTTCAAGCTTGAGTTTAACAGGAGGGGGGTTGGCGTTGGTGACCTGCTCTGCAATCTGCTGGCCAATGACAAATGCTTCCTCCTTAGTGCGCCCAGGGCACAGAACAAATAAGGAATCAGTATCGCCATAAATGACCCTGGCCTTCCATTCACCAGTTTCCTCAACCAGCCTAATAGCTCTTTCCAAAGTTTCTCTGCCCTTGCTCACTACACTGTCTCCAACCTATTAAGTATTAAATTGCGATATTATTATATATTTGTTTAATTATCTAATTATAAGATAATTATAGGAAAAAAGTCTAAATTTTTAAATATGTAAAATAGTTTTGTAATTAATGTCTTAAGTTGTGGAAACTAATAAATATAACAATCCTTAATAATACCAAATGAGACTTACATCAGATCTCGCATTAAATTCAGATACATTAACACATTGACTGTGATGCGATCAACCATGAACCTTTTCCTAGTGCTGATTTTTTTTTTTTTTTATAATACTATCCTCTAACATATGAAAAGTAACATACTATGAAATCAGCAACTAGACTTGCAATAATTATATCATAAAAAAGACAAACAGGTAGACTAGATCAAAATCTTATAAATAAATGACTTTTAATAAAATTAGACGGATAATCTCTTTTATAATTTTAAAAACGAGATACAACTAAAAAGAAACAAAAGTGAATTATTATCAAAAAACCACAATTTTTTACACGAAAAATTGAAGTGAATTATTTAAATGATGCATATTTTTGGTGAATAGTTTTTAAAGCTTCTATAATGCAGTAGCATTTCAGATATTATCTTGGGATTCTCTATTAGTCATCTCTCCAGAATTAGTTCAGTCGAAGTTATTATGAACAATGAGGAAGCTAACCAACTTGCCAAACAAGGAGCACTAATGTATCAGCCCAATATTCTTCTGACTTTACAATACAAAAATAATAATAAAAGAAACAGTCACTGACTCATCAGCTGAGAAGTATGCTGACAGAAATTAGCAGATTAACGGTAAGAAATTTAGTAGTAGGATAAAGGACAACTTCCACTAAACGTGAAACAGCCAGATCTAGTTTCAGGATGTTAACTGGACATGATCACCTCCATAAGCATCTTAATCTTATTTGTGTAACAGAAGATACTAAATACATGCTTGGGCAAGAGGAAGGAAGAACGCAGAATTTTTTTTTATCTGCTTTACATTAGAAAATACTCAAGGAAACTTCAAAGGAGGCAATGACATTTATGCCAAAAATGAAAAATTATACTGGCCTGCTTGGAAAAAAAATCATTAAAGTGGGCAAAATTAAAATGGCAAATAAAAAATTTCTATAATTAAGGCTAGTACCATGCCAAACAAGTGGCTTTTTTATGGAGATCTTCAAAAACCTAACTAAATATGCAGATACCATGTTCTCTCAATGTTAGACATCAGCACTCAATGTTTTAAAGTAAGCATATGATTGCTTATAAAACCAAAGATTACTATTATATAGGTATATTTCGTCTGTTTGAGGTTACTCGATTGATGGAGCATGTTATGCTGTATGGTTAAAGCTCACCTATCAAAGTCAGAAGAACATGCAAAGTTATGAAAAAGTTGAGAAGTAGATTTATAAATTGGTTTAATTTCTAATAATAACATGGTAAACATTTCAAGGAAAGTTTCTTCTCTATTTTGGCAGATGTCTCAGGTAGATAGATCATACCGCATAATTAACTATTTTTCAGTCATGTAACATCGAACAGACTATAGATCTAAAAGGAAATATTTTTAAAAATAAAAATGAAAAAATTGTTATTCTCACCCCAGTAAATTATAAGATAGATGATTGCAATTCATTCTTGGAAGTTACATTACTATGTAATTCGAAAACATAAATCTAATAAACGTTCAAATAATCAATGTGAAAGTTATTATTTAAGTTAATAACTATTCTTTTTGTTAAAATTAATTCTTCCTACCTCAATACATGGCATCCTTCCAGAGAAATTGGCAGATGTATACCCATAAGTGACATTAGCGATAAGTTTTAGGCCAAGCTGCCTCGCATCCAAAGCTCGAGTGAGCAATTTCTTATCTTTATGGCGTTTCATAGATGCTTTGACCTAATAGAATAATATGAAAATTGTAAATCTACCAACAAAAATATTTATGAACAAAAAATTCTAGATTGGATCAGTAAAAAACATAAATAAAAAATAAGATAAAATTTAAGTTAAATAAGATCACACAAACTAAATTTAAGATTAGTAAATGAGTCAAATTAAAAACTATGTATGAAAAGCTATGTGTAGAAATTAAATTTTAAAAATAAGAAGAAATAAGTTTAGATGTGTTGATTATATTATACAGCATAATAAGAAAAAAAGACATGCACGCACGCCCACGCTCACGCACACATTGCCATCTGGTCAGACGGAGTTATAGCTATTATTTAAAAAACTTTATAGCATTACCATCAATCTGGTCTCCAGTATTTCTTCCAACATTTGAGGTAATACTCCTTTCCGGATTGATTTGTCAACAAACACAATACCTGCAGGAGAAACATGAATGTGATTCTGTAATTTGAACAACTCCTTCAAATTTGTCTTCAAAGATGTACAGCCAAACTTAAACTCATCTGATCTAAAATTAAGTTGAAAAATAATAATTGAAATGCATATTGAGCATTGTAATTCTAAAGATTTACTACTAAAGCTTAATATATTCTTATAAATTGCTTATTAGAAAACATTTTATGAAAAGCATTTTCATTTTTAACAAATAGTAACTAAAGAGTATAGAATAGTAGTTGACAGCAGTCAAAGAGAAAGGATAAATTATAAAATCAAACTTTGTATGAAACATAGTTTTAAATCAACAAAGAAGATAAGGTACATTGAGACATTGTGTTATGTAGGTCATTAATTAAAATATCCTTTTATATTTCCTAATTACTACGTAAGTTTATGAAAAATGGGCATTAGAACCCCCCGAGGCCATCATGATCCACCATCACATTTCAAAGTGTCAACAGTACCTTGATTCCAATGACTAAAGGAGATAATATAACAAGCCCAAAATTTCAAAGAAAAATTTTGGCTGCCAATTAGATCTTATTTTGGAATAGCAAAAACATTAATAAGTCATCTACTATCAAGAAAAACCAAGGCCGTATTTTAATGTTGCTGGTACTGCTACTGGTAGAGGAGAGTAGTCTGACAAGTGGGCCGGACATATCATGGTCCTTTTTGCCAACAACTGACAGTTACCTTGAGGTTGCCACTGCCTACTTACAGAGTGGGAATGTCATGATCCATTTCCTTGAGCCACAGAGAAATGAAAAGTAACTGATCCAGGTGGGAATTGAACACACAACATTCAGAATCGGGCACTCTGGGACCCACACTCCAAGGTATTCGGCCATCCCATCCTCATATCTTAATGTTTTAACGTATGTCTCATAAACAAGGTCTCTGTCCGGTCCGATGCTAATAGTTTCCAGCTCTTTGAAAGAAAAGTATTCAGAAAAATATTTGAAGCTGCGATGGTTGGTGAATCAATTCAAATTAAGACACAATGTAGTATTATACAAGATTAACCAGGAGCCAGACTTGGTGCAGCATAGAAGTATTTCTAGGCTAAGATGTACTGGCCATGTGGATGGATGATGATACTCTACAAAAAAATAGTTTTCTTGGGGTATGTAGATGGAAACTTGGACAACGAACAAGATGGACTGACAAGGCCAAGAGAGATGTATTTTTGATTGCTTTCAAGGACAGTCATATCATCTATACAGCTTTAAATTAATATTACCTGTTTATTAATCTTAAAAATTAAATTCTTAAAATTACTATTCACAGAGATACAGAATATAGACAGGCAAAGATAGAGAGGGTTCTTTATCAGTTATGCCAACAGAAAAAAAAAAAAGTTATTGTGTTTGCCATTTATTTCAAATCCTAATAAGATACTGTGAATAATAGAAAACCTGTACCACTAACAACCCAATGAAGGTTCGTAGGTTCAGTACAGTGTGAGGAAGCACTGTTACGAGGCCAACAGTTGTGCAGGGAGATGATGGGGCCGATATCGCGCTCAACCACCAGGTTTTCTTCTAAATTAATTACTTAATTATGAGTACCCAGGGTCGATCCATGGCAGATGAAACGTTACTAGTCACATGCTGGATTCGAACCGGGGGGCCTGGGAGTCATTTACATGGCAAAAGGTTATAAAAAATAATTTACTAATACTTACGCAACAAGATCTGCGATCCTTCCAAGGCACGTAGAAAAACAGTAATTGTAGGCTATCATCATGGATGGGTAAAGGCTCTGAAAGTCCAATACAATAACAGGATCTCCATAAAATCTAAGCACAAAACAAATAATTCTTATTAAAAAAATCTGATAATAAAAGAAACTAATCCAGTATTTAGAATTTTTTTTTTATATTCTATTAGCAATTCAAATAAAGAACATCTTTATATAAACTTACACAACTTTCCTTATTATTTTTTTATCATTGTTAATTACTAGACAGTTATCTTTCCTTTGTACCAAAGTGGTGATAATGGAGAAACATCAGGAGGGTATTTTTCATTTATATGTGAAAGACTGTTTTTCATATATTTTATTTAACAAATAATTGATTTATTGTAGAAAGTACTATAGTAAAAAGCTATATATATTTTTGAAAAATAACTTTCTATTATTAACAGTATCATCATGGATGGGTAAAGCCTCTGAAAGCACAACACCATAACAGGATCTCCATAAAACATGGGCACAAAACAAGTAATTCTTATAATAATTAAAAGGAGCTAACCAGTATGGTTTGCAAAAATATTTGAAGGTTTTTTTTTATATTCTAGTTCCAATTCAAATAAAAAACATCTTTATAAAAACTTTCTTTATTATTTATCTTCAAAAAAAGTTTCATTATTATTTGGTCATCGTTATTTACTAGATGTTTATCTTCCCTTTGTACCAAAGCTATGGTAACAAACAGACATCAGGAAGGTATTTATCACTATACTATTACGGCTGTTTTTCATTTTTCAACATTTTTTATTTAGTAGAAAATTGATTTATTGTAGTAAGTAGTATAATAGAAAGCTATATTTTTGGAAAATTTGAGGTAGCTTTCTAATATTTCAGAACGATAAAATTAAATACTAGATATTTATTACACATTTAAAAAATAGTATATTAATATCACGGAGGCCAGTATAGCAGAGTGGTTAGCATGTTCTATACTGGTTAAGTAAAGATCATAGGATCGAATCCAAGTTAGACCATCACCCCCTTAATTAGGAAAGGCCTACAAGTTTAAATATATATATATATATATATATATATATATATATATATATATATATATATATATATATATACTTTAAATATATTAATTGCAAATCAAAACAAGATATCAATAAAAAATCCAGTTCATATTTATTAATCAATGAAAACTCAATGAATGATGATGGCTTCACTGGCAATAATTTCAAGATCAGAAAGGCAATACTTTAATGCAACTGCATCTTAAAAAAAAAAAATTGACACTAGGGTGAACACACCAGTTATGGACAGGGGGTCCACTGATGGACAGGTTGGACTTTAAATGCACGTAATAAGCTTCCTTGTTGATTTAAAGGTTCCAGTTTTTTTACAGATTGAAGAACAATGCTCTTTATTGACAACTGTATGAATAATGTCCCCAAAAGAAAATTATAAAATGACTATCATTGTTGTTTCTATAGGGCTCTTGAGATCAGTGTGTTTCATACCTTCCTACTAACAGTTGAACATTTATCTTATCTTTATCATTATATTTATAGTTTTAAAAAAATTTAGAATTTTTCTGAGGTATATCCATAACTGGTACCGACCCCCTGTCCATTACTAGAATAATTGAATTTCGGGGTTGTCTATCACTAGTGCAAAAAGGTGTTTTTTGTTTTTTTTTAATGGAGATGATACCTGCATAACTGAATATTTTTTTCAATTTTGAAGTTCTAAATAGAAAAAGGACTTTTTAAACTTCAAACAGAGAAGTTTATAACTAAAATAATTATCGCGGTATAAGCCAAAAACATCCTTAGCTATGTCCATCACTGGTGCGCTTATCCTACCTTGATTAAAAAAGTCACGATTTAATTCAAACCTTGGAAAAACCATGAATAATACCTGGACTCAGGTTCCATGATGAGTGGTAGCGATTGAGGTGCCATCATGTGCGCCCTCTGCTCGACACTTGGCGAAACTGCCACAAACCCCAACCTTTTCGCCAGCCTCAACATCATAGACTCCACCCGAAACTGGAATAAGATAAGATATGAAAGGAGGAATCAGTAATAATAAATGTTAAGCTCATAACCATTATTAGTGCACAATTTCACCATAAAAATGAGACTAGGGCAACAAACCTGTGAGCCCCGAGAAAAGACTTCGTAGAACTGTATCCCAAAGAGGCTAGCCAATTCGCTAGTCCGCCTCACTAAATCTAACTGGTCTAGCAGTCTCTCTGTACCATCTACCATAGTCAGGTAGTGCTGAATCACAAGGCACCTAGAGTGATTTAACAAGCTTTTTTTGTAATACTGATGAAGAAATATTACAATAATCCATTATTGGGACAATTTAATAATTAATGGCTGAGCTGAAAATATACAAAGGAACTGATTTGATTAAAAATATGCTATAATTAGGTAATTAGAAGTGTAGTAGTTTCAAAGCTGGCAATTAAAATGCTGAATCATTAATATAAAGATTTTGGAACCTTTTAAAGAGCTTAGTATTCACAAATTTGTATTTTTTAACATAGCATTTTTATTCAACCTAAAGTGGATTTAATGAACACATTCTTATTTTCTATAATTTATAGTTCCATTCATTCGGTACCTAAGATTGCATTAGAGAGACATGAAAGTTGAAGTAAAAGAGATTAACTTTGACAAACACTCAAACAACGCTTTGAATAACTGAAAGAGTTTTAATTTTTTTTTTCTTAAACCCAAATATTTAAACATTCAAAGTTTTCCCTCCTGACTGAAAAAGTATTCTCAAGGTGAAATGAATAATAACATCAGTATAGAAAACTCAAGTGCCATCAATAGTGTTCCAACAGCTCAAAAAATGTTTCTGTAACTAGAATATTTTGGATTTAAAACATTTAACATTAATTTTTCAATTGGCAATAATTTAGAACTTTCACTTCTTGGCTAAATTTTTATGAACCAATGAGGTTTAAAATTTTTAACCAAAGTGAAGAAATATAAGGTGGAAAAAAGGCATTTCATGGTATGTAATTCTCAATTGTCTAAATAAAAACTTGATTAAAATAAAAAATCCAAATATACAAAATGTTCAGTCAAAACCAAAATTCCCCACACTCACTCCAAAAAATAACAGAAAATACAAGCATATTTTTATCTTTTTAATAAATGCTTTCCCAAAAATAGTACCTGAACTTGTAAGAACCATGGTTCCACCACTGCGTCAAGGTCTTATAAGAAAACTTGGGAACCCTGGTGTGCAGGACATGGTAGATTAGACTCTCGAAGCTGTAGCTCAGCAGTGCAACCTGTAAAAGATACATAGTTCAAGAATTCAAAGAAGTATGAAATAATTAAAAAACTATCAAAAGAAATGACTCAAATATTCTGGAATTGACTAACACTAAAATACTACGTTATTGAGTAGAGAAATTTAGTTACAATTTTATCATTGAGCATATAATTCATATAATAATAAAAAATAAGAATGTTTAAGCTTTAGAAATTTAGGTAAAAAAGGTCACCTCATGTCTCATTATTCTCCATACATTGAGAACTATCCTGCCTGGGAGCCTGAGGTTGTAATCTTTCTCAAGTGTCTGTCCAGATAGTTGTGAGGGAGGTGGCCCTGCCTTCTGTATTTTTACCCTAGAAAGATCTAAAAGTAAGTTGAAACCAAGTGTATAGCCACGTTGAATCAGGTAACCCCATGACTGCATTTCTATCTAGAAGAATATTGAATGATTTATATCTGCTAAAAACTTAACTTAACATTAATAATTCAAATTTTCAGAAAAAGTAGAAATATTAAGTTCAATCAAAGATACAGATAAAAGGCATATGTTTCAGTCAGCAGACCTGCTCTTTATTATACAAACCTCCAACAAATTACAAAGAGAATTCTTTATAAAGTAAAACTTCCCCTAACGGACATAGTTCATATAAGGACAATTTTATTTTCCGTCATAATTGATTCAGGGAACGGTAGGAAGAAATTAATTTATTTATGTAATGATCTCTGTTTTGAAACGGTTTTTAGGAAGATTAATTTGATTCAACCGAATATTTTGTTCAAAACTGAAAATGCATTTAGTTGAACAGTTGATTTTGATTGAAATGATTTCAAATCAAGAAAATAAGTATTAATGACATTTAAAAAAAAAAAAAAAAAAATTGAAGCATGAGAATGATCACTAAGTTAAGGCTAACTAGAATACTATGGATCAGAAGGAAGTCTCACGATCCAAAACTTCTATTCATATTTATCTGCCAATTGATCTCGAATAGATATCATTTCGATATCATACCCAAAGTTAAGAGAAAAGAGGCTGGGGTATTGTGCAAAGTTGTAATTTTATTTTGTATATTAATTATAATTTTTTTTTATTTTTATAAAGTTTATATACACGCATACTGTTTTCATTTTTATACCTTTTATTCTTCACGATTTTCATAAGTGGACAAAATTTCCATCCCGATGGTGTCCCATTATGGGAAGTTCCACTGTATATCAATGTATTCAAATGCCTTCTATTTATCAGATTGATCCTAGAAATAAATACATTTTCAGATGGCAAAAGGACTTTCAACTTGCAAAACATTAATAGATATAAGCCAACCAGAGATCAATTTAAGATATTCTGAATTCATTAATAACATTTAAAAAGTAGTAGCGATGGACAGTTTTGCTTTAAAAAATTTATAATGATCACTCTTTTGATGTAATGAATTAAAATCGAATAAATGGATAATTGCTAAATTACAAATTTAATTTTCTTAAAAGAATAAGTTAAGCTTTTTTTTTTTTTTAGCATGGTAACAAGTTAATTCAGAAAAACTGAAAAAATCAAATTTTGTAAAGTTTTTCAAGTTAGCTTCTTGTCCCCAAAGGAAATCAGAATAAAAACCTTCAGTTTTTAATTTATCACTATTAAGTATATACTAAACTTTCAAAAATCATAACCACCCAACCTCCTACAACATGTTAATTAGAATATGAGAACTACTAATAGACTAATCTGAACACAATGTCTTCTGGCAATGTAAATTAAAGTATTCTTGAAAAAGAGGCGAACGGGAAAGAAACTTTATTAGAAGTATTAGTTCTAATTCAGGTTTCAGTGATCTTAGTTATTAAATCAATTTACTATTAAATAATCCAACTTTTTGCCAATTCACACATATTCAGAGAAACAGTACATTTTAAATATATTTTAATATATATATTTCATGTGTATGGCAGTGCCCATCCTTGCACTCCTTGGGACTAGGTGTGCGAAGTTGGACACCGCTATACACAAAATGTATATTACCAAAATATTTTAAAAATGTACTGTTTCTCTGAACATGCCTGATGCAGCGGAATCTTTAGATTATCTAATATTAAATTAATGTTATGCCTGAGAATATTGAGGCCTAAATTACGACTTGTATTCTTGAAATTCTTTTATTATTTAGATAGATAGTTACTTTTGAAGCTTCTTGTCAAAATGGTAAATTCATTTTGTGTAATTGTATTTACTGATATTCCATTACAATCCTCTTTTTTTAGTTTAAAAACACAATTAATAAAGAATATAATATAATTCTTTTACATTTCAAGGTAATTGTTCAGAACTTTGATTATAAAAATACATCATTATAGGTCTCACCTCATAACCAGCAATAATATCTGGGTCATGACAATTAACCACGTCAAGCAGGCTGGTAATCAGTTCTTTTTCAGTTCCTACCATTTTCATATCACATTCATAGGGAATACCATGGCATGCTACATTAGAAACTATCACAGCACCTAAATAAAAAGAGCAAACATATACAATTATAAACAGTAATAATCATTTTTTACAAATTGATTAACGATAACATCAACATAATATAATAAGCAATGTTTTATTATTAAAATATTTCTATTTCACTTGGTTTGCACTGTGCACAATAAACTTCTTAAATAATGCTTATTTAAAATAATAAAAAAATAAATAAATGAATAGAGTTTTGAGACTCAGCATCCATTCATAAGAGACGGAATCAACAACTAACAATTGTATCAAAAGCAATTACATTTAACTTATGGGCTTAAGGAAACTACATAGTAGGAAAAATTAAACATATAGTCTATGATAAGAAACATATAAGATATATAAAAATAACTTATTCGCTCTTGGTCAGTACGTTTCTTTTCTCTCTCTCTCTTTTTATGGATACATCTTGTTGATTCAGTAACAAAAAGTGACCAGAAAATGGTAGAAAATTGATTTTGATGAAAAATTATCACTGAATTCATCCTTAAAGATTTTTCAAATTACTTTACTGACAGACTGAATGGGAGAGTGAACTTCCCATTAAAAGGAGAATTAGGAAGCACAATATGGCCAGTTATTTGTTACTGAATCTTAAATGTAAGATGGGATTACTTTATTATTCCAAAGCATAATGAATAACTTTCATCAAAACTTACCCATTAAACGAGTGGGTTTATCACTGCCGGGGGGAACATCATTCATCATCAAATAGAAAATAGCCTGGATAGCGTCGTACTCAGGATCTGGACAAAGCTCACCTCTCGTCCCTGCATGTATTTCGAGCACCATGAGAGTAGTATACCTGTACTGTGAACCAGAAACTATCTCATTTTCTAATCCAGAATATTTATAATTTTTAAACTTATTTCTTTGATAGAGTTTTATTCAGTTTTACAATAAACAGTTTTCTAGTCTGAATTGAAGTTGTGCAGGACTAATCCTCTCCCAGAACTAATAGATAGTCTAAACCAACAAAGGATTTAATAACTGATTGCAAATTTTCGAATAAATTAAATTATTAAAATAAAACACATAAAAATTATGAAACAGCCCCGGGCCAATTTTCAAAGTCACCATCTTAAAACTAGGATACCACACTTTTAGTTATAATCTAGCAACTGTTGCAAATTATATTCCTAACACTGACCAGGCTAGACATATGAACTTCCTGAAGGTTCTGGAAGTCCATTTTGAACTGACCGGAGTTATTTGGGGTAGCGAGGTCTATCTCTCCGCTCTGCCTCTTCTCTCTCATTACCTGCAGACCAATAACAGTTTTCAATATTATCATTAAACATAAATATATTGTTGCCACCCTGTTCAATCAATGAATGAGAATCTAGCTAATTTTCAGTAGACTTATTCATACATATATATTTTTAAAATTTTCAAAAGTGCTTCTGATGAATAAACAAAAATAGTTAATTCCAAATAAGGTATTTTTTTAAAAAACATTTCTTTCTATTTAAATATGAAAGAGACAATATGATGAAGTAAATAAGCATCAAACCAATAAAAACCTGAGTAAGACGTCTGTTCCTTGGCTTTGCAGAGTCCTGGGAATCTAAAATTTCAGTACATGAATCATCCTCAGCAGTCAGAGGTATGATGCTGCTGTCTACTGAATCACATTTATCGTCACAGTTCAAAAGAATTTCACTGGGTAGAGGAGGATCTATTACAGGCTGTAGGATAACAGGACGCCTTGAAGACGTGGCTCTATTAGGATTCACTGAAATTTTGTCTAACACAGAGCCAAAGTCACCAGTGAATTCTTCGAGATGAGGAGGAAACTTGCTCTTAAGGGAAACTATGGTAAATCCTATCTCCTTTGATGAACTACCATCACAAGGATTACTATAAAAAGGTTCTATTGGTATGGCTTTGCCAATATCATAAATAGTCATTGTTTCCTCTACTTCTGAAGAAGACGGTGCATCTACTGCAGGAGTCAGGATCTTATGATTAGAATCCACAACAGCAGCCATCGTGGTGTCACCATAAAAACTAGCAATACTGTGCTGAGTAGCATTTACGTCACTCCAAAGAACAGTACTGCAACTGTCATTACTGTCATAGTTAATATGGCCACAAGTCACTGTCTGGTTGGTCAATCGATCATTGGCAGTGACTCTTTCAGAAGGTGGTGAAACAGATCCGTCTGAGCTAGTAATAACATTTGATGAGTTTCCCAATAATATTATTTCCTCACTCGCCACTAAAAAGTAACAAAAACATATAAGTCAAGATAATATAAAATAATAAAATGTAGCTGTATTTTTAATATATGCACCATCAAATGGCAGCTCTGCCTTGGAAGAATCAGATAATGGATTAGGTCCTTTAATAGAGATATTTTCCTCAGCATTGCTAGGATTGGCTAAGACAGTAACAGTTCCTGTTGAGATGCTATTTCTGCTTGCTATTATTTTATTAGTTCTACTCTTGATATTATTAGAATCTAAACAGAAAAACCATTAAAAATATTTCTTCTCTCATCACCTACAACTAATCAAATACAGAAGTTATACAGACCATTGCAAATTTTTTTTTTGGTTGATTCTTGGCTATCATCTTTAATTTCAAACAGAACTTTCTTTACAGCCGAAACGTTAGTTTGTGTGTCATTTGTACTAAACAAATTTCTCCTAAAGAAATTTACAAAGACTGTTTTTAAAATAACAAATAAATTAGATTTAAGCTAGCAAAATTTCATGCCAGATTTAATTAAATTAAGCTAATTTTACCACTTACCTGGCTCTAGACCTTGTAACCCTCCCTTCCTCTGTAAAATAATAGTAAACATCAGCATAAAAAACAGAGAAAATTCAAATACATCCAAAAATTAATAATAAAATATTGTAAACAGAAGAACCTTTTACAGTGAATGTGCTGTCAACATTAAATGATGAACTAGAATTACTGGAAAGATCAGGATGAGTTTTATTATTTCTAGGACTCCTAATCTTCCTCAACTCTGATGTATTTTGTTCAAGAGTACGGAAGATTTCTGGGCTTGAAATTTTCTTCTTGGAAACTGGAAACATGTATTCAAAACGAATATATTTAATATACATACAAACACTGTTACTAAACATCAAATTAATCTCACACCTTCTCTTTTTGGTGATTTATACACCTTCACATCAAGTGGTCCATACTTATTTCTCCAATTAGGAGCTTTTCTCTGCCGTCTCTTGACTGGCTCATCTTTGGTTGGATCATCAGCATTACCGTCCACATACAATGGCTGCCATTCATCCCCACTTGAAGATGAATTTCTTTCAACTTTAAAATTTCTTAGCCTACACACAATTAAAATCATATCTCAATAACTGGCATTTTTATTCAAATTTTCTGTACTTTAATTATGAAAATTCAATATATCAAGATTAAGAAACACAAGACTTTGACCAATGAATAAGGAAATAAATAAAAAGAAATATTTCAAATAGAAACAAATTAATTGAGAAATGACTGTAATGTAATGAAAAGCTGTTAATTAAGCAAGAGCTTATATTTATTGCACAATTTTGCATGGGCTAAACTGAAACTAAAATTATCTTCCTTTCAGTACCTATAGGAAAGGAAATGGCCACTTTTTTTTTCTTCTTCTTTTTCTTTTCGGCGACATGGGTTTCTACCACGGCCAGGAGAGAGGGGGAAGGATTTATGCCAAAGTTAAAAGTCTCCCCCCCTTTCCTCCCCTTTCCGCCCCCTGCACCACCGAAAAAAAAAAAAACTTAGTACTTTCCTCATTTCTGAGAAAAACATTGAGTTGTAGAAGCTTTAAAGAAATCAAACTTTGAAATTAATTAAATGAATAATTAAACAATTATTAAGGCTTCTTGTTCCCTCTGCATACTTTTTGATCATATTTGAGTTATAGAGAATTTGAATTATTTTTATTTCAGTGATCGAATTTTTGTCACCTTATCAAGCTCAAAATGAGAAAAAAAAAAGATAGATCTGTACCAAGTAAATAAATTTCGAGTGAACTAGCTGTGAATTATTAGGGTAGGTCTGGACATGATAATAATCAATAAAATATTTATAATAATAAAAAAGTTAGTTTTGTATTGGTACTGAATACAAAAAAAAAAAAAAAAAAGAGCATCAAGAATATTCTAATATTCCTAAGATAAACAAGAAATTTTCTTTTTTAAAGCGAATTAATTAAAAGAATTTATTAAAACTAAACAAACCAATATCTCGTGTTTCAACTAATATACATAATTTATGAATATAATTTTGATGAGATTGCTAACGCTTGGTTTGTTGGAATAGCTTCATCTTCTGAGTCAGAGAGCTCGATAAAAGAAACAAATGGTTGGGACAGATCATCTACTTCTTGATGATCTTCAGTTTCTTCAAACACTGGTTCATCATTGCCCTCATTATGTGGTGACCATGACCCAAGAATAGAATCTTCATCTGGGGCATCATTATCAGCCACTAACCTGTCCAACAATACTTTCAGCACAGATACATCTTCACTGTCAACTGAAATTAACAATAATAATGAACTATTCCTGTCATGAAATTAATGGATAAGAACTAAAAAACAAACAATCAAATTAACATTATTTTCTAAAATATGAGATCATAAAAAAATTAATAAGTTTTGATTTGAATGTAATTTCAAAACTGGTAATGGATAAAAATGGAAGTGGAAATAAAAAACTTTTCTACCAGGATATAATTAACAAATCAAACAGTAACTACAAAGCTAAAACACAAATTACATAACCTATAATTGTGGGTTGATGGTTGACTGTAGTGAATAATTAAAGAGAAAGATGGTTGGGATGATCAGTAAAATTGAAATGTTAAAAAATAAATAATTTTATTTATTTACTACTGTTACTGTTATTTTTTATAAATAAAATTATTTATTTTTTAACATTTCAATTTGACTTATCACCCCAACCATCCTCTTCTATATAATCTATAAATTTTAGTGTTAAATTAACTTACAAGCAACATGCTGTGTTCCAATTGAACTGGACTGTGATAGACCATCAAAGTTGGCTTCGCTTGCTTCCAGTTCCTTTCTCTCCTGAAACAGTTAAAGTGGGCTCGAAGAAATAAACTAACAAACCAAATACAATAATAAAAACATTGTTCAGAAACTATATTTAATAATAGCACAAATTGGAATTAGAAAATAATAGCAATAATAAAATCTTAACAAAGCTAATAAAAAATTACCAGAAGGATATAACTTCATGTGCTCTGACAGGCTAAGATAAAAAAAAAAAATTATTTTTAAATTAAAAAATAGATTAACATGGAAAAAAAAAGAGAGAGATATAATATAATGATCCATAAACATTATCTAAAAAATACCTTAATGCCATTTATGAACTGGTTCCTAAACTGTAAATCTGATTTAGTAGGTTCAAAGTTCCTACTGTCAGACAAACTGAGGCTACTTTGGTCAATTCCATCTTCCATTTTCCTCCTCTGTTCTTCTTCTCTTATTGATGCAAGTCCTGGGTTCAGGCTATTTCCATCTAGATAAAAGTAAATTGCATATCAGTATTACAATATTACAATGGATCATAAAAATACAAAAATTCATATCAATAACAACAAAGTAAACTGACAAGATAAAAAAAACAAGGAATTTGGATACTCTCAATAACGTTAACAGAAAGTCTCAAGAAAATAATTATTAAAACTGATTCACTTCCACAAGAAACAACCCCCTTATTAACAAATTACTTTAGAAAATTTTCATTCATAAAAATCAGACAACATTTCTGGCTTTATGCTCATTTTCAGATCCAAAAATAACAGGTCGTCAATTCAAATTAAAACTCAATAAAATGTCATTCATTATTCGTTTTTATTAAATACCATAAGATAATTATTTTTTATGTTACTTTTCTTATATACCTTTATATACTTATATCTTGTTCCTTCATCTTCTAACTATAACAAACTAATGGCCACTATTTAGAAGATAATAATATAATGAACAACTATAACAACTAGAAGAAAATAAATATAAAAATGAATATATTTATAATACAGAATAAAATAAAATAAATAATAAATTGATGGAAATAAATGACATTTTATTGAATTTACAATCATGAGAGCTACTTTTGGACTAGAAAATGGGTAAATCATCATCTCATGTTTTATGAATGAAAATATTATCAAGTAATTTGTTAATGAAAGGGTTGTTCCTCATGAATGTGCATTAGTTTTTTAAATTAATATACCCTTTCGAAAAATAATACTAGGGAATTTATGAGAAAATAACTTATAAAGGATCAATTAGTCTGCTTAAATGATCAGTCATCAACAGTGACATAAATAATGCCAATGCAGCACAGTGGGACACTGTACCTGTAGGAGAACAGTGCACGTTTTTATTGAAAAACAATTAAAACAAATTAAAAAAACAAAAATTGTTAAAAAGATCAATTTATTTATGGTGAAACTCTCTCCATTTAAGGGAAAATTTGAAAAATGTTAAAGGGTAAAGTAGTACCTAGGAGTAAATAGAGGTTTTCTATTTTTTATGAAAGAAGAGGGAGGGGAGTACAGGAAAAATGTTTGCGTTGGGTCTTAGTCATTTTTAGTTGCACCAGCGATCAACAATCAGCAAGTTACGCCATCAAAATTTTTGAAATGAATTTATGAATTTTCGGAATGAAAAGTTTCAGAATAAGAGACAAGGAGAAAACATGGAACAGACCACAGCAAGTGCAATTGTGTATGATCTACGATGTTTCTAATTTTACTTTCACTTGCTCTGTTATAAGAAAAGTGAGTAATAAAATATCTTGGAGGAGGAAAGGGGTAGGTCCTTGCGTCATAGACTTTGGGGGAATGGGCACCCCTGTCAACAATAATAAGCTTTATAAACTTTTTTGTCAACTAACTTGCTGCTTCATGCTTATTCATTATGTGTTCTACGGTGGCATCTAACTCAACTTGGCAGCTTGTAGTTTTACTAAGGTAATCAGCAACAGTAGGTGTTTCTGTAAAAGAAATTTTAAGTTATTTCAATTTGGATACATTTCAATTCAATATTCATATTTATCTAATTAAAAACAAACTAATAATAATAACTACATGATCCATTTTGAATGTAAAAGTGGCGTAAGACAAAATCAAAAGCTTTGAGATATTTGACATTCCAGAGAAAGTTCAAAATGGATATTCTTGCAAAAAAAATAGCCAGTTAGTTTTATCTGTTAAAAATAGTCTGACTCAAGCATTTCCAACTATTTAAAAGTATGAAGTTAATACACTCAGTAAATAATTAATAATTTGTTAAGAAAATGACTAACACCACTTTTGCAGGCTATATATATTAATATGTAAATTGAAATTAAGGCATTCCATTAGTTTGGAAGCGTAGTCAAAGTCACACCCACCTAAATGATCAATGATTAATCAATTTAACTTCGATAAAATAAAATGCCTAGTTCACAATAGATTAGATTACTTCAAGGCATTATAATTTTTCAATATCCTCCAAAAGAATGACTGATGTTTTTTTATTTAAAAAACTGGTGCTGAGTCAGAAATGGGGATGGTTCATATTGGACTCTTTGGGTTGAAATTTATTTTGTGGCAGACCCTTGAAATAAATCTCAATATTCTCATTTTGGATAGAATAAGCTACTCATTATGTGTAACCCACTCTTTTTGCCTTAATTTAAGAACATTTAATCCAAAGAAATAAACTTGACTTCCAAAAATTCATTTACTTTCAGACTTCTTAAAGATGTTATGAGAACTGTATAGAAGAAACTAAGGACCATATTTAAGTAAAGGTAGAAAGGCATGACAGATACATTGGTAAATGTGCAAATGAAATCACATGAATAAACGAGAGGGCAAAGAATTATCATCTGCCTTCGACAGTGACTGCAAGAGTTCGAAACCTCCTAAGCCTATAATCCCTTATGAGTAGCTACCTCTTCTATAGGAGGGGGAAGTAGCTCTTATGAAGAAGAGAGAGGGGTAGCCCTATGAAAGCTGGTGTTTGACAAATTACTGGTGATGAAAGCAGAGAGGAGTGCCAGTCAGATAGAAGAATGATGCCTGAGAATGGCAGCAGCCAAGCCACAGGCTATACTTTTGAAAGGAAAGAGAGATGGAGCCCACCGTGTTAACATGAATCAGGGAGGAGTATAAGTATGAGCATGTGAGGTGACGTAGTCAGGTTCAAGAGAGGGTTTGATGCTACCCTGCTAATCTCATATTTTAGAGATAGAGTGATCTACACCTTGAACAGGCTGTCGAGAATAGAGAAAGCCTTTTGAGGATTCAAAAACGCAGCAATTAGGAACATTCCCTACATGGGACCAATACCTCATACAAACAAAATAGAAAAAACTTTGTTTATTGACAAAGAGATTGACACTGATCAGGTTCACAAAAGCATACAGGATGGTTTGGGATGAAGCAATTCAGATAATGGCAGGAGAAATAGAGAGATCCAGAATGAAGATGCCATCAAGTTCAATAAGGGACACAGGCTTGGATCACTTCCAGCAGGACTTCGACAGAGAGCAGAAACGAACCTGAGAAAATGAAGAACGATGCTAAGGGAGGAGGAATGACTCACTTGAGGAGTGTATGGTAACTGAGAAGAGATAATCCTCAGCAAGTTCTTTCTCATACTTTATTCAAAGCTGGGCTGGAGGAGAAGTAGATCTAACTTGACTACTGGTCCTCATAAATCCTTTGAGGCATAGGGTGTTTGTAGATAAATTGCATAAGTGAAGGAAGAATATTGACCCTCATGGCCCAGGGGCGGGGTGGCCAAGCGAGAAAATGCATGTGCACAGCACAGCATGTTGCCTGACAATCTGATAACCAAGTTATAAATGATAAAATAATTATGAGTTTGCATCTGGTTGCCAAGAGGGAGCTTTTAGCTCAGGCATTATCCATTATTCCCTGGCTGGGAACTCCCCGTATAGCTTAAAAGACGAGAAAAAAAAAAAACAACTCTCATGGCTCCACGTGTAGGGTTCCCAACACAGCAGAACAGACTGCTTACGTATGCAGAAATGGACAGACACCAGGTCTGGCTGGTTCAATCTTGAAGAAGATTTCCCTGGACTGAATAGAAAGGATAATTACCCTTAGTTCCTGGAGTATGTGATGAGGTATCTATGAACTGTCTATGTTATTAATAAAGAAAAATGAAACAAAGAGAGCTTTTGTCTGTGTCAGTGACTTGTGCACTACTACAATGCTGCTGAAAGACAATACCATTTCATTTAATAAAAATACATAATAAATAATTCAGAACTTTTTGTTACCTCCCATCAATGAGTACTCATTTGTAAACTTTGTAGGAACAATATTTAAACTATTAAGAAAATTTTTGAAAGATTACACAATATTTACATAACATTAAAATAAATAAATAAAAATATGAAATTGACTTTGTTTTTCTAAAAAGGCTTTATGAGAAGGAGTTGATTGGGGGGTGCGGCCAAATAAATACTAAACTATAAAAATACTATTATATAATTTTTGCCGACGTTTCGACCCACTTTGCAGGTCTTCATCAGGGCATAGGATGTAGCACTGCAGGAGGCAGTTGAAAAAGACTTTAGTACTACTTAGCTAACTTCACTGGAAACACAAAATCCTTTATTCCCAAAATCAGACTTTTTAAAATTATAGTATACTAATAAATGTTACTTTAATTTTATTTATTTTGTTATATTCTATTATAGATGCAGATGAATGCATAGTCCTTGGTGAGGACGACTAATTAATACCAGAGTTAGAAGCCTCTCGGCACCAGAATTTGAACTCGTAATCTTTGGTTTATCAGGTTGTCGAGTAACTAATCTTTACTAAACTAAAACCATACTAAATTAAAACTTAATTTTATTTTTCCATGACATAATAATCTAAACTGTTTATCAAAATAAGTACAGACCACAGTTTGTTTCCATTCTGTAGGCAACCTCTGACAATTTTAAGAAGTTCATTCCATATAGATTATAATCAATGAAGAACTGTAAAATATAAGAAAGATGAGCTTCATGAGGCTGAAACTTCTGGCCACATACACCTCCAGCTTGTAAAATCTGGATAGCTCTTTTGATCATAGATGGACGATAAAACTCAATCTTTAAAAATTGCTGTTTTGATGAGTTGAAACCATAAAATGGTCTAATGAACAAAAGAAAAATATCATTAATAGTAGAAGAAACAGAGGTACTATTTGAAAAGTGTCTTAGCTGATCAACAGAGGGGTCAGGATAACATTGATTATAGTGTAGATGAAATTCCAAAAGTAGCTAACTGTTGAAAACTGTTTTCACAGGTATGCTCACAATGCACTTCTGATAAACAAATCCTATGATTTGATCCTATGATGGTTATTTTTCAATTCCTCCTTCAGTTCTGCCTTACCCAGCAGGGACACCTTATCGGTGAAAACGGATCCTACTCGATACATTATCCTTCAAAAATTTATTTTTAAGATGCCTCCATAGATTTTCAGATGCTTGGCCACTTTGAGGATTCTATGGAGCGTGTCATCAATGAGATTGTTGTTACTAGCAAAAAGTCATTCCATAAAACTAAATATCTAATATTTCATAAAATTCAATACTTTAATACTTGAATTATTTATCTCTTTTCCTTGTATGAAATCAAAATATTGGGCCCTTTGTATTTTGTATCCATAGATAAAATTGAAATTCACAAAAATTTACTTAAAACTGATCTCTGTCAACTGTTAATGACTAAAAATATTAGTCACTTTCTACAATAAACTAACAAGACCTTGACCCATCTGTCAACCAGACATTAGACTTATGAAGTAGTTAAAAATCAGTAATTGACTTACATTGCAGAAAATTCAGATATCTTATATACATGCTGCTGCCTACTGCCCCCTCCAAAAGAATTGTTTATAGCACTGTCTAAACATTCGGCCATGGTATAAGTAAATGAGGCACGACCCTCCTTAGAGTCGTAAGGTATGCACACATAGGGGAAAGCTCCATGTATATGAGCACAAGCTTTTTCACCTATTAAGAGCATTAAATAGCAAGGAAGAAAGGTAATATTACAAACTGTTAATTAAATAAAATACCTGATGGTGTGACACCAAAGATTCGAATAACTGGTACTTCTTTAACTGCACTGTTTCTGAAGTGTGAGTAGAGTGGATCAAAACCACTCAAAGGCTTAGACATATAATGGTCAACTGTTATTATTCTTAAAGAACCCATTCTTTGAACAGTCTTTATCTACACCATTTGGTTTCAGGTAATTTAAAAAGCAGTATATACTCCTCATTTCAATATAACGACTATTTAATTTTTTTAATTAAAAACATTATGAATTCAACTTATGCTGACAGAAACAGATTTTTTTTTATTAATTTATGGTTTTAAATACAAATTGGATCAAACAACCCAAAAAGTTCATAGGAGCCACAAGCTTTAAAGAAATGTCAAATGTTGATAAAAATGATAAGACTGTTGGGATAAACCAAAGAGGTAAATGGACATTTTGGCGGGTCTAGACAAAATATCACTGTTCAACCATTTAGAGAATATGAATTCAACCTATATTTTTCACTACTATTTTTTTTTTCCTAGCTCCCTTAACTTACAGGCAGTACAGGTTGTAGCAGCAGTGGGGTATTACGCAGTCTGCATATGCCACTGCTGGCAGTAAACGTCTATTTAATTAAAATTTTGTTTAACATTATTATTTATGAGGTGTAGACTTGTTTGTGTGAACAAGCCCACGTTTTTCCTTTTCTCCATTCTTCCACCTGAAGCCGGTCCTCGAAGCTGCAGCAGCTTGTCTTAACTTCCTTCTCTTCTTCTCAAATTAAAAGTGTAGGGCCTACAGCATCTATCCACCCGTATACGAATTCTCTATAATGTAGGTAATTCTCTCTGCTCATTAGCTGGGGGAACATGCTCTCTATCAGCGTATATAGCACCGTCTTGCTCAGGAGCTTAGCTCTAAGTGCCTCATAGGCAGTGGATTCGACGACCACATGTTCGGTGGTCTCGTTGCAGTTGGGGCATAGTCGATCAATATTCTTCAATAGTTTAACGTGCTTCGCTCGAAAGCCCCCATGTCTCGTGAAGAGTTGAGACACCCAGTAATCCGGGAGGACCCATCTTGTATCTAATCGTGACTTGGCCGTGGGGATGTACTTTCTTAGCGTAGCCCCGTTCGGAGTTGCTATCCATCGTCGGTTCCATTGATCAACTGTGTCCTCCCTTATAATTCTTTTTCATCTTCTTGGGTCTTCATCAATTCTCATCTTAAGATGTTCCGGTAGATCCGCCGAACCTTCTCTTTTCATTTTAAAAGGGTAATAGTCTTCTCAAAGGATTAGATCGAGAGGTGTCCACCCTGGCATTACTTGCACTGCCTCATGAGATAATATTCAATAGGCTCTAGTGATCCAAAATAAAGCCAATCTCTGAATCGATGCTAGCCTACTCTTCTGTCAGTGCGAGAGGTTTAGGTTCCAAGCTGGGGGGCGGATATTTCAGAATACCCAACCAAACTACTCCTTTGCATATAGTCATTTTAGCTGGGTATCTGAGACCCCAGAAGGCACCTCTACATTTCTATGTATTTTCTAATACATATAAATGTGTGAAATAAATTATTAGGTATAGTTTTCATTACTTTAAAGGTGCGTTTAGATGTTTCACAAACTGTGGGACAAACAAATATATAAATAGTTATTTTACTATGCTAGTATTTTTGTTTTTTGTTTCTGATATTTTCCATCTGCTGTCGGGATCAAGAGAAATAAAATAAATAGTTTGGTTTAGCAATAATGTAGCTGTTAGTTAAATTAGATAATTGCGTTTTCCCAAGCTTGTGAGATGTAAACGCACAAAAATAATTGCATTTTTACTTTAAAAATTAATGAAGTGTTATTACGATTGTTCAAAGTTTAACAAATTTTAATAAACCACATTATGTTTCATTTCAGCTATGCATTCTTTGGAATTATCGATAAATGAACATTTCAGTTTACTCACTATTGTTTAACAGTCATAGACAGTTATTTGTTTTAATTTCTTTCTGAAAATGATTAGTTAGATTTATCTTAAATATATACCAAATTAAATAGATTTGTGAAAAAGTAAATTAATACCTCTAACTAACTACAACTAACAAATTAATACCACAATTTGCATTCAATAATTGCAGTATCCACAGTTCAAATTTTGTTAATAATATAGCATGTTTGAAAATTATTTATTTTTACTATGTTTAGCGAAGACATTTTTCAAAATAAGTGTCTTCTAGAAGCTTAATATCACCAATTCAAATCTGGATTGGTAACACTGCTTAGAGTATTCAGGATTATTAGTGGTTACACTGTTTTTGGGAATGGTGCCAATGTTATCATTAGCGGTAGAGATAAATTTGAGATTACAATATTAGGCGACCTCAGTTATTCCCCTACCGTTTGATAAGTTATCCTTCATGTCCGGTAATACAGGAAAATTAACTATGATAGTTCTTATTTGCTACAACATCGTGTCTACGTGTTTTATACATTACAGTATAGGCTCTTAAAAGGTTTGATATAATTTTGTTTATTTTTATTGCTGTCAACAGGCATTTTAAAATCCAAATTAAAATTTTAAAATCCACCTTGAAGTTTACTCAATTATTTTAGTTTTAACTGTTTTATACTGATCTGATCATTTTTTAAAAATAGGATATTAGAATAATTTTGGGCTATTATTTTGATTTGTTTTTTAGGATAGCCCACCCTAATAGAGGTGGCCGCAAACAACGTTATAGTAATAATTTACAAATGTACTCTTAATTTTAGCGATACCCAATTTATTAGCTTAATATGAAATTAAATTATAAATATTATTACATTTCTATTTTCCATTTAGGCATTACTAGTTTGTTTATTGTTTTAGATATGCAATACAAATACATTGTGTTTTGGTAGAATACTTAAGTTAATTCCTAAAATGTATATATTGACAGTCACACCGCAAAAGACTGTAAGAGCAAAACCTTAAGTAATTCATAAGATGAAATAGACCACTTTACACCGATTATATTTTTTATTTAATATTTATTGCACATTTATGACAAAAATTTAATGTTTTCAAAAAAGTTCTTGGATGAATTTCTAAATATGTCTGAAGCGAAGATTGACCAGAAATGTTTAAAACAGGACTTCATAATAAAATAGTACTTATAGGCTCTTTGAGTGTAGCTGTCCCTTATTTTTGTCACAGCATTTATTATTGTAGAACCTTTTAATTAGTCATTCGACTTATATTTTATATAACTACGACATATCAAATTGATCAATTCTCTTGTATAATATAGTTTCGTATAATATGCTACTTCATCTCATCTCTTTATTTTGTGTTTTTTAAAGTAGGATCATAGTTATATATGAAGCTAAATCTTATATTCATCTCTACAATAGAGAACCTTAAGAGTGTTGAACGTCATGTGTGCAAACTGTAATATAGAAACTTAATCACATATACCGTAGTTAGTTTTAATGACATGAGAATATACTTTGGATTAATTGCAAATTTAATTTATTAGATTGTGAAATTTAAGTATTTTATTTTTTTTATATAAAAAGGTTAGTGCTTTTTTGATGTAATTTCTTTCTTTCTTTTTTTTTTTTTTTTTTTATAAATAAGGTTGAAATTTACAAAAACATACTTTGAAGTCAATCTAAAATATAGTTAATGATTTTTGCAATAAACTATCTAATTTAATAAATGAAACATTCAATTAAAGATAACTATAATAATAACATTAAAGTGATTATAATTGAAATTATAATGTGAATGAAAAATTTAGAACTTCGAATTAATATAACCAAGAATTGATATTTAGTATATAAAGTTCATTGAAAAATTAGATCCTTTAAGGATTGATCATTAATCATTGATTTGAAAGTTTTAGCTGAAAATTACTAGAAATTTTAAACACTGGTTTACTTAAAAATACTACTTAAAAAAAATAATAATACTTAAAAATTGTACTGTGATCAGAATCATTGATTGAAAAAGAGTTCATCAACCTCAGTATAAAATGATGTGTGATGAACATACCAACCTTAAGCAAAACCAATTTAAAATTTTTATTTTAATCATATTCAATAGCATTAAGAACATTTCATAGTGAGTATAATTGTCGTATTTTTCTCAAAGTAATATTTGTTTCATAAAATTATTCTTTTTCCAGAAACGTGCCAGGAAATAGATATGGGAGGTCATGCAGTGGTGGTATGGGAATGGGAAAATAGACAAGGGCGATGGCGTCCATACAGCCCTGAAGTTAGTCAGTTGCTGGAGCGAGCGCATTCCAAACGCCTAACAAGAGTGATGTTAAGCGATGCTGACCCATCATTAGAGAAGTACTATATCAATCTGCGCACTTGCCAACAGTGCTCAGAAGACGCAGGAACCAGTATTCCTCACAGTGTTCGTCGTGTATGTTACCCTACTGAGTCACCTGCTGCAAAGGGTGCTAAGTGGGAATGGCAAGGCGACTGTCCCTCAGACTGGCATGTGTATGACATGGAAGTCCAATGTTTGATTGAAGCAGCATGGGCTAAGGTACATTTCTTCCATTAAAATTCAGATTTTTCATTATGCTTTAATAATTATTGTATTGATTTTTAAATCAAGGAAAGAGCACATTTTAGTGGACTCGTGTTTCAATTTTTATCAAATCCAATGATTTATGAGAAAATATATCTTAATAGCATTGATCATTAACGTATCGTACATAGTTAAAATACATTATGAATTAAATTTTTTCTTGGTGCAGGGGGACCAAACCATAGATGTAAGCAAGACCTACCTCGGAGTACCTTACATTATCAACTTCTGCAATCTCACTCAGGTTAGGAACAATACTGGATTTGTAAGGAACATTAGGAGGGTTCAGCAAGCTCCTTACCCATGGGTCAAGATTACTAATGATGATTTTAACATGATGACTAGTAAGTTAATTTTAAATTTAATTACTGAATTTACTATCTGTAAGCTGAAGGTTGTGTGGTTTAGATTTCTACATAAAAATTTATTTAATTATGGGTCATATGAAATGAATATTGACACTCTGGCCAAGGGTTGGCAAAATATATATATATATATATATATATATATATATATATATATATATATATATATATTTGCCCATTTTCAAAATTATTTTCTCTCCTTTCCACTTGTATTATCAGACTTATTTTTGCCGATGTTCCTTTGATATTCTTCACAGGTTCTCTATATACGCAGGTTCTGGTCTCATAATAAAGAATTCTGCTTCAATCATTGTGAGGGTTTTGGCTTTCTCATTTCCTTTAATTCTCTTGTGACCAGGAACCCACCCTAGTTCCATAGCAGATAATTTATGAGTTTTTAAAAACAGAACTTAAAATAGTTTAACATCTCAAAAGTCCTCTTTAAATGGTTTTAACTATGACAATCTCTATTTACATTTGAAGTAAATTTTTTCTAGTTTACAGTGAAGCAATTGTTAATTACTTGAATTGCATAATTCTTTAGTTATCGCTTCCTATTCAACAAAAAAACATGACAATTATTAGAAAACACAAATCTTGGATTTCATAATTTTCTGATAATAATTGGTCCATTGTTTATTTGAACATTTTTGTTGCTCTTGAGATCTGCTATCACTTCTATTAAAATGTCTCTCTACCTATGGGACACCCTGTGTATATTACAAATTTTTGCTCGATTTTTAAATATTATAAATCAGTATTAATGAGAGTCTTGATTTTTTCCCATCTCCTGCCATTCCTCTTGGTTGGTGAGGCTTTTCATATTTAAATTTTAAGAAAATGGACAATAGTTAAATATTCTTTGGTTTTAAATGTAGAGACTATAGTTGTATATTTAATGTATTTTTCAACAGCACGGAGGTCGAACAAGGTTATATCTTCTGGCAGTACAAATGCGGCAGATCGATCTCATTCTAATGGCTTGAAAAAATCTAATCATTCTAGCAAGAAGGGAACGAAGAAGTCAAAGAACAGTAGTGATAATCATGGGAACATTGCCAGAACAATCCTCAGCAATCTCAATATTTTTAGTAAGTATAACTTTGTTTGTAAAAAAAAAAGTTCTATTAAATTGAATGATTATGAAAATGTAGTGACCACGTATATGTTTACAACCTTTAATAGCAGAATAACTCGTAATTATATCCTTCATTATTAGCCATATAATAATAAGAGCCATTTCATGATTCTCTTCAGTAAAGTACCTTACTTGAATGTTCTAGTTGTGCTGAATTACTTCAATTCTATAAATTGGGTTGAATATTGGTTATCTGGTGGAAGATCAGACATATTCTGATTTATATTTACCGTTAATATTAATTTACAGAAGGCCAGTATAACAGAGTGGTTAGAGTGTTGTAATAGTAAAGTGAAGATTAGAAAGGGATCAAATCCCAGCCAAAAAAAGAAGTATAAAGGCATAAAATCCTAAATCAATGCCTATGAGCAATTTACCTAATTAATTTATATGGTTGTAAGTCTGTAAGGAATTATTTTATGGTAAATAGTTTTATAAAAATGTTAATTGCAACATTAATGGGTTTGTGATTTTTTTTGTGGGTTCATTTAGAATTTTTATAAAAAAGTGGTCATTGGTATAATGGATGTTGTGAATTCTCAAGAGGAGTGGTTCTTGACTTGGGCTCCATGCACCTGTGAGAGTATGAGAGAGCATTTACAGGGGTGCAGAAATGCTCCTCAAGAATCTTGTTTTATTAGAATTATTATCAATAAACAACAACCTAGCCATTAAAATTTAAATATTGCTTTTAATGTTTTATAGTAATAGTTTATATCACAGGTGGGGAACTTGAGGCCTTCGATATTCCTCATGCAATATTCATAAATCAAGTGCTAGAATTAATTAATATTTAATTATTTAGATTTCAGAAAAATTAATAGTATGAAGTTGAATTTCTGAAGGTGTGTGTGTATTTACTTATAAATAAAATAACAACAGTAAAATATAGAAATATGTTGTATCTTTGGTGCAAAGATAAGTTGTTTCAAATATTTACCAAATGTTCTAAAGCAAAGCTGTGTGATATGCCGTAATAATAATCATGTTCTAGAGGTTCCAAGCCGATAGAAATCACAACCCCGCTTTTCACTGACTACTTTCGATACAGTGCAAATAGTCTATTATTTCCTAAGAAAAACTGTATCTTTGTTATTACTGGACAGATTAAGTGAAATATGTTTTAATTAAAGAAGGGCAAAAAATGCATACTTTTTACAGAGTTACTCTCAAATAAAATTTTATATTCATCAAAACTCCTTTTCTATTCCTTTTTCGAGGAAGTTTATTATACGCATAAATTTAAAGGGCTTCATAGAATTACAAAAGGAAACTTTTTATTGTTGTTTATGGAGAAATCGGGTTTTCTGCCGCCATCTTGAAACAAATTGGCAGCTGGTTCTCCCTCAAAGGCACTCCTCCAAAACCAACTTAATATTAAATACAAAATTTTAACATTCTAACTTTAAAGTTCAGGTAATTTAGCCCAACAGAGGCCTATTGGCAACCTGAAGTTAGCAGAAAAAAAAAAACGCTGCAAATTAGTTCACAATGGTTTATTATTTCCAAACAATTATATATCTAAAGTAACATTACCTTCATAGTTACAAAGAAAAATAAATAAAAGGTTATTCCAATTATTGGACTAAACTTTTTTTTTTAATCATTAGTAATATGCTAAAAAAAATATCATTACTTCAGTAACTCATTCAAAATTTAAAAACCAAACAAAGGATATAACATTTAGGGTAGAACATACAGAAAAAAAAAAAACTGGAGACCATATCTTTGCTCCTAATTGTCCGATTTTAACAATTTCTTTTTGTTTTTTAGAAAATTCCGTAAACTTTTAAAAAAACCATCGGAATTTAATTTTACCATCCCTCATAACTTTTTTCCAGCTTCTTTTCATTGAAGTATGTTATATAGATATATTTAAAGGGCGTCGAGAAAATGACTTTAGCGAAGTTTCATTGAAATTGGTAAATTCGTTTAGGAGCTACAGTCTATAGCAACGCAGGTTTTTCGGCCGCCATTTTGAAAGTAAAATGCTGATAGTAATGTCATTGAAGGAGGATCATCCTTGGGTGACCTCTGATTTTAAATCCAAATTTGAAAAAATCGGTCCAGTAGTTCTGGAGAAAATGCGTGGACGGCGTACGGACAAAAAAAAATTTTAATCGTTTTTCGAGTTATACGCATCCTGAAACGTGAAACCTCAAATTTTGAGAGGGAGTTAAGTTTTTGAATTTTTGGGTCGATCACAATGGTTGATTATGAAAATAATAAACCAACATATATAACTGACATATATAAAAATTACAGAATCGTGTTCGAGGGGTTCTAAAACCGATAGAAATCGCACCCCACCTTCTACGACAACTTCTGGTACAGTGCAAATAGTCAAAACGGTTCTCCACCTATGGTATATATACGTATTGTAAATAAACAATATTTATTTTTTAAATAAATGTTTTTTCTTAAATAAAAAATATGCACATTTTTTAAGGGAGTCCTAGTACTTATTAGCAGATTCAAGGGTATGGTGACCACTAGAAAGATTAAAAACTACTGCTTATTTAGCAAAGCCGACATTATTATTATTTTCAAAGTGAAATGACTCAAATGAATATCCACCTATTGGGTGGGTGTTTTTTTTCTATCCAAGAAAGAATTATTCATAGATTAATATTTCGTGAAAGGGTGTTTCTATTCCAAAACATCTGATGGTCATATGGTTCTATCAATGAATGACATAATTTTCATTAGACATCACAGGTTTACAACATACGAGATTGCTAGACGTTATCATTTCATTATTCTTCGACCATTAGTCAATGGCTTCTGATTTATTGAAGATGTTTATTTAAAAATGTATGTATAATTGTCATTGATTCTTTACTAGACTATTTATAAACTTACAGGCCATGCTAACAAAGGTTCAGAAAGCCAACAGCAGCCTGCAATGAGCTGTCAGGAACCACCGAATGAGAATGGTGAGCAGGCCAAGGCTAATAGTAGAAGCAGTTCATTATTGGACGCAGATTCAAGCAGCACTAAGAGTGGTCGTCGCCCGTCACTTGATACTGTGTCCACTTACCTCAGCCATGATTCAGAGCATAAGCTCAAGGTAACAATAATCTTTCAGAAAGGTTAACATCTATATAACTAGATACTTTTAGTTAGATTAGCTGCTCCTACTTACCATGACTTAAAGTCGTAGTTTTTTTTTTTCCAATTAATTATGATATTTATTTTGGCCTTCAGTCTCTTTGTGCCATGATTATCTCTGGAACGTGTCAATGGATTGCTAATTTTTTTTTCTTTTATTGGCTGGAATTGGCTGCAATCTCTTTTGAAGGAAAAAACATAATATTAATGCATAGCCTTACAATTGAAAAAAAAAAGTATAAAAAATGTATTTATTTTTTTATGACTAATTTTCACCAATGGTTTGTTGAAAAGATATTTTTATGTCCTGAGTACAATAGAAAAATCATTTAAAAAAATTCTGCATATAAATTTTTTTAAAGGGATCTTGAGGTGTAATAAATAGAATTTAGACTACTCTTATATAATTTTTCTTAATTATTAATGGCATAATAATTTTATTTCCGATCACAGGTAGATTTACTGGATACCAGCATAGGCAGTGATGATGTCTTCATCATCAATAAAAAGCCTTCATCGCAAACACAACAAGGTGCTATAATTGGTAAGTTTATATTTAAACATTATTTGTACTTTCCTTTCGGTTCTAGCTAATAAAAGTAATTATTGTAATTGGGTATAAAAGGCATCCAAGTTTCAAATATTGCACACTTAAATTTTATTTAAAAAAAAAAAAAACAATGCTACATGTTTTAAAAATGTTTTCAAGTGTTATATTTATATTTTTGAAATTCTGACTTTTTAACATAACGAGATACCTGTAGTTTTATTCAGAAAATCTAATGCAATTTATCAGATTATTGATTTTGTTATTAATGTTGTAGGTACAGATGCTGCTAGCTCAGAGATATGCCGGTACGTGCGTACTTGCGAAGGTCCACCAGGTGGGGATTGCCCAATATGCCTTTCCCCTCTGAGCCAGGGCATAGCTGTTTTACTTTCCCGCTGTCATCATCTTCTTCATTTAGATTGTCTAAATCTCATGCTCACGTCACAACCCAATTTTCCTCAGGTAATTCATAGTAAATTAAGATGTTTATTGTATGAATTAATTTAAACCAAAATATAGAATAATTTCTTATTGTAACGTCTTCACATTATTAATTAACCATTAGGAGTGAAAAGTAATGACAAACTAAAATGATTTAAATGAACTATTGCAAGCTTATAATCAAATAAAATTTTGGTCTGTGTAATGTTATCATACTTATAACCTTTACACTTAAAATATGAGTTTAGAGCCACAGTTATGATATAGCTTTAAAAAAACAGTAAGATACTGATTTTTAATGTTACATGAAAGAGCTGAATCAATTAAAAACAATCTTAATGTAGTACTTAAGATTGAGTCTGCTTTATTTACATTTATCTCGCCTGTTTTTTTTTGTTTTTTTCGTTCTTTTACATTCTCCATCCTGATAGTGAGTGCTAAATTTTAATCGCTTCTAGAAAGATAGATACTTTGAAAACGATAATGGATCAGGACATTTCTTAATAATAAGTTTTTTGTTGCCTTAAAGTGTGTAAATTAAGCAAGCAAGATATCAAAAGGTTACTATAATTTAACAAAAAGTTTCCTTGATCAATTACTTTACTTTACCCACCTTAAATATAGTCAAGAAAATTATTTCTAATGTTTTATATCAGGAGCAGACATTGTAACTAATCAACAATTTCTTATGATTGTTTGTTTACCTATTTTGTTATGTTACATGGTCAGGTGCTTATTTAATAAAATTTTAATTTTATTTTTTTAGTTAAAGTTGTCCAGTTATGACTTAACGGAAAGAAAAACTTGGTTATTTTATAAGATTTCATGCATTTTAATGTATTTTTCTAGCTCAGTTTTTAAATTGGACATCACTTTTAAAATAATTTTGCTCTGTTTTAGTGGTTATACATCGAGTGCCCTCTATGCCACGAGATATATGGTGAGAAGCGTGGAAATCAGCCCCGAGGTTCAATGGAGTGGACATTAGTTAGCCCTCAGCTCCCGAGTCGTTCAAATCCAGTATCACTAATACAGATCACATACCAGTTAGTAAATGTTAATTAAGTTGTATGAATTTTTTCTTATTAAATTACTGACTTATTTTTAGAATAACTATTATGGAAATAAATTTCTACATTATCTTAGAGTTGTTTCATTTGTTTTAAATAAAATTTAATGATTATTCTTAAAAAATTTAATTACTCAATTGACTTTTCCTTGTTTATGCAGTATAGCTTCTGGCATTCAGGGAAGAGAACATCCAAACCCTGGTAGACCATATTATGCAGTCGGTTTTCCCAGAATATGTTACCTGCCCAACACCAAGCAAGGACGTAGGGTGCTCAAGCTGTTACAAGTAAATAAATTTCTTGACAATTATAATAGAACTATATAATTATGATAATATATAATGATAATATATAATTACTAATAATATTATGATTTGTTTGAATGAATATTTAATGTTATATAATCTAAATTTGAGGTCTTGATGGTCAATCATTCCTGAGTTGCTGTTTCAGAATGGTATGGGTTATATTTTCAACTGGATCAGTCAATATTTATGTCTCGTCAGTCTTGAGAAATAAATCTTGACTCTGCCACTATGATTACTATTGGGACTGAGTCAAGTAATAATCTCTGAAGGTTAAATCCTTTAGTCATAACTCTCCTATTTATAAAATTTTCATCCATCTTGGTCTCAGTTCATGGTTTTCCTATGAAAATTTCTTTAGTATTTAATGATCCAAGTTCCTGGTTATGACCTCCTGAATTAAACTTTTTTTTACATGATGATTTTTCATTCTATAAAAATGATTGACTTGAAAGCTGTAGTAAATTAAGGTCTAATAGATTCGATGAAGGTAATTCCTTAAAATTCTAAGCGATCATACAGCTAAAATGTTTCTATGGACTGAAAGGTTTTTATTTTTTTAAGCTTGTTACTATATCTTTATTCGTATAAATATTGGGTGGATCCATAAGTTTGCTCGGTTTTTGTGCGAAATCTTTTCAAATTTCTCCAGTTCTCTTTACCTTATATGACAATAAAGATGTTTATCGGAAAGGTTAAAGTCTGTTCTTCGAAACTGTTGTTTGGATTCATGGGCATTAGTTTTGTTTGTGCTACAGCATAGTAAATATGTCAAATGATAAGTTGCATTTTCGCTATGTTTTGCTTTTTTATTTTAAAAAAAAGGCATCGAGCTTCAGAGGTCCACCAAAAGATATATTAGGTATACAGGGATGATGCTTTAATAGAATGTACTGCTCAAAAATGGTTTGCCAAATTTCGTTCTGGAGGTACGAGTCTCGAAGATACACCCAGCAGCGGTCGGCCCACCGAGGTTGATTCGAATGATATCAAGGCTCTAATAGAACAAGACCGGTCGCTACAGGTGTGAGAAATTGCGGGGCCACTGAAAATATCTTTTGGAACAGTTCAAAGCCATTAAAAACCACTTGGCTGTGTGTCAAACTGACTAAGGTAAGTCTGGCCAACTATATCAATCTGCAACTCTCTTCTGAACTGCCACAAAATGGATCCATTCTCAATTGCATATTAACGGGTGGGTGGATCATCTGTGACAATCTAGTGCGCAGGAGATCGTGGACAACCGCTGACGGCCGCCTAATGCCACCGTCAGATCCTGATGGCTGGATAATATTTGGCTCTCCATATAGTGGGCTTATTGCAGTGTGCTGTTTTACCAGTTGCTTCCACAAGGAAAAAGGATTGTCTCAAAGATTTACTGCACGTGGCTAACGAAATTGGACCAAGCATTGCGACAGAAACAGCCAAAACTAGTCAATCGCAAAGGTGTTGTATTTCATCATGACAACGCCAGACCACACTCTGCAATAATCACACAGTAAAAGTTAGTGCAACTTGGATGAAATGTTTTATTATATACACTGTATTCATTACAAGACCTTGCACCATCGGACAACCTCTTATTCTGGTCTCTCCAAAAATCCCTCAACGGGAAATCATTGAATTGATTGGGAAATCTCATTCGCTGATGAGAGAGATGTGAAAACATATCTCGATCAGTTTTTCACTTCTAAGCACCTTATGTTTTATGAGAACATAATAATGATGTGTCAGAATGATGGCAAAAGCTCATAAATAAAAACGCCAAATATATAATGGAATAAAATTTAGTCTTTGTATGAAAAAAAACATGTTTTATTTCACCCTTCAAAAACCTAACTAACTTATGGATCCATCCAATACTTTCACATTTAAGAAAAACTTTTTCTAAGAAAGAAAGAATTTATTGATGCTAACACATTCTAATAAGTGAAACAATTTAGCAAGAGAAGGGCCCTATGATCAGTTCCCTTTACAGGTTCTGTTTACTCTTATAAATTTTCAAAACAGTTAAGAAATTAAGAGAATTAAATAAAATAACTTAAATCAGCAAATGTTGAAAAAAAAAAAAAGGAGATGAAGATAATTATTTTATAAAATTCATGTCATATATGATTTCCTGATTACAGTGCTCCTTTTCTTTTGGTATCAGGAGTGTTGTAACAAAGTTTTACCGCACTAGGCATGAGTTTAATAAATTCATGCTCATAACTGTAAAGTTTAGACACAAATAATTATCAAAATTCATTAAATATAATAAAATTTAATTAAATTATTATAAATACTAATACTCTCTTAATAATTAATTTGTTATTAAACATTAACAATTCTGTTCTTTTAGGTGGCTTGGGAGCGAAGACTTGTATTTACAGTCGGCAGATCGCTAACTACAGGCCGTGAAGATGTGATTACCTGGAATGGCATTCATCATAAGACAGAGCCGAGTGCTGCGCTTGAACCTAACTTCTTGGACAATTGCATCAAGGAATTGGCTCTCCTTGGTGTCACCAACTGAGTATGTCCTTTTATAAGTCGTAATAATAATATTATCAATGAATCTTAAGTTTCTTAAGAAGTTTTGGTTTTTGTTAAAAATAATTATATTTAGTAGTTTTTTTATTAAGAGAAATACTGAGGTTTGCAGTAGCTGGTTACACACTTATACTACTTCATATGCTTTACTTTGCTAAAAATTCAGTGTGACCTTTTATTTTTATTTGTTGTTTCACTTCCTCCCACTTTGACTTTAAGTTACGAAGTATTGTAATGAATAAAATGGCTCTCTTTAGCACTACTTTTTCCTTTTGGTTATCAATAATCATCTTTATGCTTCTTCAATGATGCCAGGCTAATATGCTTTTAATCATTGCATTTAAGATATTTTTAAATTACAATGACACGTATCTATATCGAGTCACTCAAAAATGAATTTTTTATACATATTTTTTTCTAAAAATCGACTCATTGTTGACTACTATTTTTAAATTATGAATATAATAAATAGTCACAGGATTTAGATTCTGAACTATCAGTTCTCATCGCTACTCTAGACTGTGATGATGACATTAAACTTTAATATAGGACTGCGAATATTGACTATTTGTCATTCTGTTTTTGTATTAAAGAAGTTGACAAACTAGTGAAACAGAAATCTCTACTGACCCCTCAGATCATAATCTTTAGTTGGTTAATACTTTGTTTCATTTGAAGAGTCAAATTTAATAATTAACTAAAAATTCTCAACAAATTTATCTTGTTTTAGTGTGTTATTTCCAAGATGTAAAATTATTTTTTATTTTGTTACATTATATTAAAACTACTTGTTAGAATCTTAATTAACGATTTCCATTTTTTCTAATCTTAATTTTTATAATTTGTTACAGAACGTGTTTGGCTATAAGAACACTCTTTCAGTGCCAGCAAGAAGTTGAGATTATATACCTTCATTCCTAGAAATTATCTTTGGGTGTCGTCATCATAACTTTCATTGCAAATAAAATAATTTGTTTTATTCTATTTTATTATATAAAAAAAGTATTATTCATAGTAAAAAATATATATATATTCTGCAGAGTAACTTAGTTAATTTGAATTTTATGTATGTTGTGTTTAAAGATAGCTTTGTGCTAAGATATTTTGTTTAGATTTTAGTCAAGCTGAATATCTTCTGATTGGATCAGTTGGTTTTCAGTTTCTTAAATGCTTTAATATTTGTTATGAGTATTTTATAATTATATTCCTTTAGTAAATTATATTTCTATTATAATGGTAAATGATAGGGTGTTCAACCATTTCTAATCTTGCCAAGTTTATGAATAATTCTGTTATTATAAATGTGATATAACAATTAGTTCTACTGTACCTCAATTAGAACTAATCACTTGGTGACATTATTAAAAATATTTAAGGAGATTATCTGTGCCTTAGGACGCCGTCATCAATAGCATGGATACATTAGTTTTAAGTTTAAGTGAAAATCACTAAATGTAAAAGACCAATGCTTTTGTGCCTCAACTGCAATAATACTGAGGGAACCACTGCCAGTTCCTTGCCAACATCTACAGTTCCTAGATCTATGTGGCATTTATTAATGTGTACCTCAGAAAAGATTTTAACTATTTGAATTATTTTTATTTTATAAAATATAGTGACAAAGTTAGATTATTAATATATTTAAAAATATACATATATATTTATATCTTTAATGGAATGTATATACTCTATATTGAAAGTATTATATATTTTATTATAATATTTAATTGTGTGTCAAAATCTTATTATGTCAAACATTTGTTATATAATTTTTTTAATATTTATGTAACCCATTAGATAGATATTTTTATAATTATTTTATTAAATTAATTTTTTACTTTATATAAACACATCACTTCCAGCATTTGGAAATAAATATTTGTTATACTTTTGAATTTTTGTAATCTTTTAAAAACCTTTTTTTTTTTTATCAATGAGGATTAAAATTAATTTTCTAATAAGCCTTGAGATAGTTTGATTTCTAGAAACTTCAGAAATTGACTAACAATCAAGGAGGTTGTTAAGGTCTGAAAATTGTATATTTTCAGCATCATTAGTATAAATAAGTAGCTACTCAAATAAAGAAATAGCTGCTCAAGAAAGTCAAATTATTATTGGGAGGGTTTCAAGCTACATGAAACAGACCACTGTAGGCATACAGATGTACCATCTTGAAAGCAACAGATTAATTGTCCTTCTCATTTAAGAGATGAATCATGAAGTTAATTAAAAAATACTATTATGTGTAGACAAGTTATAATATTAATAATAATGAGACAAATTACATTGAACAATGCAAAAGGTACGATTTTTATTAATTCAATAAATTAAGTACTTATTTTGTTGATTCAAATAAATATTAACTACTAACAAATAAAACTTTTAATTAACAACTCGAACATTAATGTAGATTTAATAAGTTCACACAGATCCCTGAATTAATCCAGATGAAGATTTGTTCTCAAATATATCATTCAGCGGGATCCACTTACATTTGATGCTGGCTTTTGCTACCTCTGCTCGAATATCTTCTCCCAACTCAGCCCTGCAACAAATTATTAATAATAGATTAAAGAGATAATAGGAGATATTTTAATTATTAAAAATATAACCATTACTAGAATTACGGTGTGAACTAAAGATAAGTAGATGCCATATTTTTAAAAGCAAATCCATATATTTGAGTAATATCTCTTCAAATGTCTATATCCCCTTAATTACCATGTCAAATATATTCCATTTTATTTGTACTTATTTTGAAAAAAATTCACTATGGACCTGCTGTGTTATATTTTATCTTCACACAACAAAACCTTTCCCCATCAGCTAGCACAGAGATCTCCAATCTTTTATCACCTAAGTGCACATCTATAGGTTATGTGTTAGGTGGCAAGCACCAATTTTTTATTTTTTTTATTTGAAACAAGTAGTGAATGTGTATTGCAGGTAATAATAATTTATTTATTCTGGGACAAGTCTCTTTAGAATAATATACAGAGATAGAAATGAGGGATTTGGAGCCTCAGAGAATAATCACAAATAGACAATAAATTAAAAAAAGTATAAGTTATCTTCTAACTTTATTAATTAACAAAAGAAATAAAAGTGATATAAAAATATTAAACAAGCTAATAATTTATATAAATATTTATGATATTATAAATTATAAAATACAATTTTATGAGGACTGAACAGACATGATTTAAAGGTGGGGAGAATATTTGAGCGATGGATGCAGGCTATCCTCTGAGACAGAAAGCTTTGTTACCATTAAGTTACCATTGTTAAGTTACCATTCAGGATCATGTCATCGCCACTAGATCTTCTATAAGACATGTACTGAAAGACACATCTGATAAATGTCCACTGTACTCAATGACTCTCGACTCAATCCAGCATCACAGCTGAATGTGGAGTGCTCGACGGTACAGAGTATCAGCAGAGGCCCGATTATGTGGTGAAAATATTTCTCCAGGCTTTGGTGATTAAATTTAAATTTTATAGAAGAAAAGATGCCGTGTCATAAATATAATCCCAATAGGCTGCTTCAAAAAGGTTTCCTCATGATATATTGGGAGGAATCTATTATCTTGTAAAAAACACTCTATATATTGAGAACAGGATTTTCAAGGATTCCCTACCTAATTGTGGTGGTAGCATGTTGTAGACCATTTGACGTTAGCTTCAGAGAAGAGAATCCAAATGTCAAAACATACTTGAAACCATTACTTCAAAATTTATGGAATAAAAATTTTATCAATTCTGATCATTAAATGTTTTGAGAGAATCCTTCTGAAGTTACTTTGCTGATATTCCTCCTAAATCAAAATGTTTTGCAAAATGGCTAGAAAATTATATTTTTCTATTATAAAACTTTCCAATACATTTAAACTCATAAACAACAAATTAAAATGGGCCAAAATAAATAGAGGATTCTAAGGATTGTGTGAATATTTACTTTCCCTGGAAGTCGACTGAAGCCAGTTGCTCATGAGACACTATTCCTTTGTTGGCAATCCATCTCTCAGCTCCATTCCAGGCGATCATAACTCCATTGTCAGTGCAAAGCTGTGGTGGTGGTACATGGAGGCTATAACCATAGGCTTGGCAAACCTTCCAAAGAGCTGCCTTTATAGCTTTGTTGGCTGCCACTCCGCCAGATACCACCTGAAAATAATATCTTCTATTATGGTTGTGAAAAACAATATATATATATATATATATGGGTAAAGAAATAATGATAGTGGTAAAGGATGGATGACCTGAAATGGTTGATCACTTCATAATAGAAAGGAATCCTGTTCCCCCCATCTAAAAATAGGAATAGACTGATAAATCTATAGGAGGCAACTTGTATGAATTGGATGGAGAAGGAATGATCTATCTTGTGTACTGGAATCGGTGATTATGATAATTTACTTACTAGAGACTGCTTGTCATTAGGGATGAGTTGATTCAATTGACAGAAGGCAATCGCTCTTTGGATTCTGCGACACAGGTGTTTAGCAATAACAAACTGTGTGCTGGCACATAGGTCATTTACTGTTGGCAAAACTTGATCACCTTCAATGCCTGCAAAACAAAAAAAGTATGATCATGCAGTAGAAAAAAAGAATCTGTGGCATAACTCCTTACATAATGTGTGAATTTAAAAACCCATGACTCATATACAAAAGAAAAACAGGTTCATGTGAAATCTAGAAACCACTATTATTTTGAGTCATTCAAAAACAAGTTATCAGTTAAAAACGAAATTCGACATACTGAAAGTTTCTTCTTGCTCAATGATAAATTGACGAGCTGAGTTCTTTACCCCGGCAAAGCTGAAGTCACAATCCTTTTGGTGTAAAAGGGGTTCTCCAAGTAGAAAAGCATTGTAATTTCCTTGTTCTGCTAACATCTCAATTGCCTTTCCACCAGATAACCCTTCCATTCCTTCTAAATTGAATACCTTAAGCCGCCTAGCTATCTGTCAGCATATGAAAAAAATTCTTTAAATAAGAAATAAGAAGAATATTTTTAGTAACTAGTAATAATAATTCCAATTGGCATAAACCAAGGTTCCCTTAAATAACCTTGATTATAGTATCTCATAGTATACAGAAGTTGAATCAACAGTTCACTTTAAGAGGTTAATTTAAAAAATATATATTTGATGATCCATTGGCAATTAAAACTGCTAGTCCAGGACGATCAGGAATTGGATTGCACTGCTGTACATTTGTTACTCTATTTTGATGAGAGGGTACAAGATCTCATAATCATCCTATGAATGGAGTTCTGGGAATCGCCAAGTATTAACATTCTATTCACCTGTATAATCTTCCTTTAATTAGATCCAGTACAATTTACCTTTATTTAGATCAAGCAAAATATCTCTTTATTTAGATTCTGATTTATGATTTTTGCAAACTCAGAAATAGTCCTCTTCAGTTAAAATAAGGCTCTTAATTACTTTTAAGGGTACCACTGTACAATGTAAACTCCACCTTCTCCAGTTGGCTAAGATCCCTTGTTCGAAGTATACATTGGATTCCGAGATTAGCCAAGAATTAACAATGCGTTTATAGTATAACCTCACTTTATTTAGATCAAGATTTACGACTTTGGCAAGCTTTCTTCTGGTCCTTTTCAGTTAAACCTTGGGTGTTAGCTTTAATTAAATCAGTGCCTTCTACTCCCACTATTCACATTCGCTCTAAGACATAAACAAACTTTCAATACGTCTTTTCCAGTGAAAGTTGTAGCCTAGCCAGAGGAATGTCACTTCAGTCTACTTTCGAACAAACTTACCATTCTCGGGATAGAGTTTATGGTATGATCATGAGGTCTTGTGTCACAGATGAAAGTGGAGTGACATTGGTACAATAGCATCACTTTATGTATAGTTACCAGTCTACTTTTGGACATACTCGGTCACTCTTGGTATTAAATTTAAAATGTGATCATGATATCTGGTGCACACCCATCAAAGTGGAGAGTAACTTGTATAGCAGTACAGAATTTCTTTAACAATCAACATTTTTTAAACAAAAGTAAGATAAATTTAATAAATTAAATAGTTACCTTATCGAGAGCTTCTCCAGGAGCATCATCATATGATTTACCAAGAAGCAAAAAACTATCAACTGATTTTACTACAGCAATCAAACTGTGTCCACCTGAGATAAGAAGAACTAAAAATGGAAAATCTACCTAAAACAAGAATTATACAATAAAATTATAATTTTTTGATGTTTCATAAAATAGGAAATACATTGAGGGAATTTACCCTTCATTTAAAAAAAAACCTTTTCCAACATTCTGATTGTAAGGGCATGAGCTTCCATATGATGAATAGGAATCAAAGGTTTCTTATACTGGGAGCATAACTTTTTGGCATACTCTACACCAACTGCTAACGATAATTGTAAACCCGGTTTAACTGTAACGGCAACTCCATCTATTTGAGATATATCCAAAGATGAGGACTTCAGTGCATCATTAACAACATTATCGATATGTTCTTTGTGCAAACTCTTTGCTATGGGTGGGATAATTCCACCGAATCTGAAAGCAAAATAACTTCAAAACTTCATTGACACTATTAAATTTCAATAGAATTCAAACATACTCTGTGTGATATTTCTGTTGGGAGAATAAGCCTTCACCCAACAACTTTCCATCAGTGCTCACTATACCACAACCTGTATCATCACAGCTAGTTTCAATTCCTAAAATCTTACTGATATTGGTGTTAGTGGCAAACGTCATCCATTTATGTTGGAATAATCTCTTCCTTAATGTAAATTTATAAAAAGGTCTGCACATTGAAAAAGTCATTTTACAAGCAACTCGTCCAGCAAACATAAACACTTAACTTGCTTACTAAGCAGGTTAATAATTAGAAAACTTGGATGATCCAAAGACCATACTTTCTGGCCAACTTTCCTCTGGAAAGATTTATCTCTCTTATCTATAACCTCTTATCAATAATAAATAAATAAACGCTTGAGGTTACTTGTCAACATCAAAGTTTCCAAAGAGGTATAAATTATAAAATAATAATTACAATTCACATCTTAGTTTTCTCAATGTGACAAGGGAGTAAAAAAGGCACTTCTTAAGTAAGAAGAACATAACTCGTATAAGGTCAATATATTGAAGAAAATTTATATCAATCGAGTAAGGGGGCATATAGTTCCAATATGAGGAATCTTAAAAAAACAATTTAAGGGCCTCCTTACTAAGTAGGATCTGGGGCAGATGTCGTTTTGAGGGCCCCAAAATAAAAATAAAACCTATTTTAAAATAAGAACATTCATGTGTTAAAAAAAACTAATGTGTATGCATTGGACTACAAGATAGAAGTGAAAACGTCAACAAGATGAGATTAATATTATGAATTATAAAATATAAATAATAGTTCATAATAAAGAGAATAAAATGTTTAATATTTCCCCCGCTTACGGTGTGAAGGTCCGATTTTTAGTTTTTGAGATATTTTAATCCATATCATCAATAAAACTTTTTATTATTTGGTTTTCGATGCTATTTTTTTCCTTTTTCGTCTCTCTAAAGGGCCCCTTACACGATTATTGAGCCAATATTATTGAAGAAAAATAATTGAAGGGTTACCTCACATGGGTCAATTATATTGAGTCAATATTATATCAGTTAAGATCTTGCTATTACTAAAGAAGGGGAGTTAACCTTCCCTTCCACCAAAAAATAAAGGAAGAACAAAGTATCACCCACCTACGGAAAAATATGTATATCCGTTTTACCTTTTAAATACGAAATCGGAGTATCCCCCCTCCAAAAAAAAGTTAAATAAAAAGTATCATACCTCCTCCCACTCCAAAAAAAAGTAAAATAAAAAGTATCATACCTCCTCCCACTCCAAAAAAAAGTAAAATAAAAAGTATCACCCCTCCCCATCCTATACCGTACGCCAGGAAGATCGCCGGAAATGTGGTATCGCCCAGAGCTTCTCAAGATCCGTATAAATGGTTTAATATTGCTCAATATAGCCTTTACACGTACAATTATATTGACACTTTCAATAATATTGAAGGAGCTTTAAAAAATTTAAAAAAAATTATATCAACAAGTTTGATTGACCTCAATATTATTGATGCAAATTTAGCCCTTACACGGTAAATATATTGACAAAACTCGATATTGACCGTCTAAGGGGCCTTAACACAGCGTCGCGTTACGAAACAATTTTAAATAATGACTCATTGTAGAGAGGATGAAATGATACACATTTCCCTCGCTTCATGTATGCATGTCCAATTTTTAGTTTTTGAGATATTTTAATCTACATGCAAAAAATACTTCAATTAATCGACCCCAGCCGACTTTTTCCAAGCCTTAACACATCGGAAATCTGACGGCTCAATGTAATTCACACTCTACAAAAAAATGCAAAACGCGTCTAAAGAATTTTTTATATGCAATGATGTTATTATTCTATAAAAAAATATACCAAAAACAACTTGGTTACGAAGGCTCATTAGTACGTAGAGCCCTGGGCAGACCATTCCCTCAAACCCCTTAGGTAACTATCTATTTTATACAAAATATCAACCCTTTAATACAATTGATGTTAAATTTAGATATAGCTGGATCATGTGTGAACATTGATAAAAGTGAGGTTAATTTTTCTTTGAAAATCTTTTTGACAAAATCTTAGAGTAAATTAACAGTGAAAACTTTTCTTTTTGTTGCATTCTGTTGTTGAAACCAATTAGCTCCAAGAAATAGGAACTCCACACCTCGGTGTAGCGGTTTCACCGCAAACGATGTCTGAGACGTCGATATCTGCCAGTTCTACAGAAAATGTGGACGCTTTAAACTCAAACCAAACTACTGAAAATAATTGGGAACTCGTTACAGGAAGAAAACGCTCAATGGACAATAACAGAGACCCAAGAAAAGCTAAAAAGGTAAGTGAAGTTACAACAGTAACCACTAATAGTTTTGAAGTTTTAACTAACATTAGTGACGAGTCTGAAGCTACCACTAAGCAACCAGTTTCTGTAAAACCGCCTCCTATCCACTTGAATGATGTACAGAACTACACCGAACTGGTCACATTTCTCCAAAATGTAGGAGGTTTGAACAGCTTTAACCTAAAATCCACATCAAGAGGAGTAACCGTATATCCTGAAAACTCTGACACATATAGACGTATAGTAGCTAACTTAAGACAGGTAGGTGCCGATTTCCATACCTATCAGTTAATAGAAGATAGAAATCCAAGAATCGTATTAAAAAACTTACACCATGCTACTCCAATTGAAACCATAAAATACGAATTAAAATGCCTAGGCTACGATGCCACAAGTATTGTGAACGTTATTTCCAGATACAAAAATCCACTTCCCATGTTCTTTATCGATATCTCTAAAGCCACATTTAATGAAAAAATTTTTGATATCAAATTTTTATATTATACTAGAGTGAAAATCGAAGAGCCAAGAAAGAAAAGAATGATTCCACAGTGCACCCGTTGTCAGCAGTATGGCCACACAAAGGCTTACTGCAATCACTCCCCGAAGTGCGTGAGATGTGGCCAAGGACATGATAGCACCGTCTGCACAAAGACAAGAGAGACCGCAGCAACATGCGCGAATTGTAGCGGATCCCATCCAGTAAATTATAGAGGTTGTGCAACTCTAAAACAACTGAGGGAAGTACGCAATCTCCGTAAAAATATACAAAGTCCCCAAAAAGCACAAACTAGCGCACCCCCAGGTATAGACGAGTTTCCTTCTCTTCCGCAAAGTCAGCATACCGTAAATTCAGGTTCTTCAAAACCCGATTCCCAATATCTAGGACCAAAACTGCGAACTTCTCCTACAGAAGTCCCAGAAAATCACCTTCACCAGCCAAAGCATCCAGAAATGAAAAAGGGCATTACTCAACCGCCACTACCGACTTACAATCACCCGGCTTCAGCTCAGCTCTTCAACTTGGTAAGTGGATTGAATAACCTCATCCAGCCTCTTTTCAGCCTTCTCCAAGAACTGTCTCACGTTGCACAAGCCTTATCCTCCAGTTATGGCTACTAATCGGCTGACAGTGGGCTCCATGTCCGTTCTTCTCTGGAACGCAAATGGTATAAACCAACACAGGACTGAACTTGACATGTACATACATGAAAAACGGACTGACATTGCTCTCATCACTGAAACACACTTGACTCCACATTCTAAATTTTACATTCCAGGCTACAAAATATATAGAACTGACCACCCTGATAAGACGGCACATGGCGGTACGGCAATACTGATTAAGCAATCACTAAAACACAACCCTTTACAATTACCCATTACACCTGACATACAATCCACAGCAATTACTCTGTATACCCAGCACCATACCATTACCTTCGCTGCAGTGTACTGCCCTCCGAGATACGTGCTAACATCTGCAATGTTTTACAATTTTTTCCAACATCTCGGTCGGTGTTTTATTGCAGGTGGTGATTATAATGCCAAACATCAGTCCTGGGGAGCACGACTCTGTACTCCTAGAGGAAGAAATCTAAAGTCTGCCATCGATCAGCTTTCATTAAACACGATCTCACCTGATACACCTACTTACTGGCCAACTTCAAGACAGAAAACACCAGATTTACTTGACTTTTTCATTACTAAAGGACTCAGGACAGTGCCGTATACTGTAACTGCAAGCTCTGATCTTTGTTCTGATCATTCTCTTCTCAGTTTGGTACTATGCGATGAGCCTCGTACTGCATAAAAAAAAACAACACTTCCAGATAAGATAATCGATTGGGAAGCTTACAGCGACTACTTGAAATTCGACGCTATCAATCCCAATGTCAGTTAAGACCGAAGAGGAACTCGAAAAAGCTGTTGATAAGTTCACAATCAGCTTACAACAGGCTGTATGGTCTTCATCTGTACCAAGACCCAGCAGAAATAAGTCTCTTCCAATCTATCCGCAGTACATTAGAGACCTGATCAGAGCAAAGAGAAGAGCGCGCAAAGTGTGGCAGACTGGTCGACTCCCATCTGACAAACGGACTTTCAGTAGACTTAACAATGAACTTAAACGTCAGATTAAGAATTTTAAAAGAACGATCTACGACAATTACCTCAAAAATCTTTCGACTGACGATGGAAGCTTATGGAGACAGACTAAGAAACTTGTAAAGCATTGTGAGGTGTCATCACCACTCCGAAACGTAGATGGTTCCTGGGCTGTGTCAGACCTTGAAAAATCTGAGCTCTTTGCCAACCATCTTTCTTCTGTTTTCATACCACATACTGACTTCTCTAATACTGATCACGAAAGACATGTACAAAATACTTTAGACATTCCTTTACAACTGTCATTACCTCCACTTTGCTTCACTCCCACTCAAGTTGCAGAACAAATCAGACAGTTACCTAAAAAGAAAGCTCCCGGTCATGACCTGATAAATGCTCAAGTGCTCCAGAAAATGCCAAGGAAAGCTCTAGTATACCTAACATCAATTTATAACGCAATACTCAGAACGACTAAATTCCCCTTACAATGGAAATACTCATTCGTAAAAATGATTCACAAACCTAACAAAAACACTGACTTTCCTTCATCATACAGACCCATCAGCTTGCTCCCATTATGCTCTAAAATCTTTGAGAAACTTCTCTACAAACGACTTCTTGACATACTGACTACTGAAAACATAATACCTGAACATCAGTTTGGATTTCGTTCACACCACTCAACCATTCATCAGCTACACCGAGTGACAGACTACATTGCGACAGCACTAGAGCACAAATTATATGCAACAGGAGTATTTCTGGATGTTGCTCAAGCGTTCGATAGAGTCTGGCATCAGGGACTTCTTTTCAAACTTAAGACTATACTCCCTCCAACCTACTATCTTATTCTTCAATCTTTTCTTTCTGACAGATTTTTCTCTGTTTGCCAAGGTACAGAACTATCTACCATTAAACTAGCCCTAGCAGGGTTGCCTCAGGGGTCAGTACTCGCTCCTCTGTTGTATATTATTTACACATATGATATTCCAGATCCTCTCTATACTCTGACCGCGACTTACGCAGACGATACAACAATCTTGACAAGACATCAAAATTCAGCATACGCCTCACAGACTTTACAATATCACCTAAACAATTTCTACGACTGATGCAAACTCTGGAAAATTCGACTCAACCTTGACAAATCACAACATATCACTTTTACCCTTCGACGTGAAACTTGCCCCCCTATTTACCTTGACAATATCCAAATTCCTCAGACAGACAAAGTTCAATATCTTGGACTGACCTTTGACAGAAGAATGACATGGGGCCAACATATCAAAAACAAAACAAAAACTTTAAACCTAAGACTACGCCTATTGTACTCACTCCTTGCAAGAAATTCGAAATTAAAACTTAGACAGAAATTGAATACATATACTTACCTACTCAAGCCTATTTGGACCTACGCTTTACAGATATATGGGACAGCCAAAAAGACTCACATACGTAAATTACAGACTTTTCAATCTAAAACTTTCAGGACTATTACCAAAGCTCCCTGGTACGTCAGTAACATTACTCTACATAAAGACTTACAGATGCCAACAGTTAACGACCACATACGAACATAATACAAACGATTTCATAATAACTTACACGGACATACAAACTCATTGATTCGAGGCATGGCCACAACTAACATGCCCGATAGCACCCGAAGGAGGCTTAAAAGAAGCTGGATGAGGGATCTCCTCCACTAACTAGAAATATTACGCTCAAGACAGGAAGGACGCCGCTGGGTACTCCTCTCCCTCACGCCTATTCCAAGACCAATCTCTTCATCTTGACATCACACTCGCTGATTGTCGGAACTTCTGACAGGTGTGAGTTGAAGAATCAAGTCAAAAAAAAAAAAAAAAAAAAAAAATGTAGATATGTAGACTCTGAAATACTACATCGACTTCAAATAACACTACTTTGCCCGTATATAAAGTTTCCTGCTGAAAGCAAAAATTTTCTCACCTTGCTGACCCCTTAATAAAGAAACCAAATGAATATGATACATACAGAGATTTATTGGAACAAAAAGAGAGAAGAGAAGAAAAATTCAGAAAAAACAAGCGGTTGAGCGGGTGAAAGAGCGGGTGAAAAAACGCCAACTTCTAAAACCTGAATAAAACTTTGAAACTTAAATGAAATAATGAACTCCTTTAGAAGAGTAAATGCCAGAAAAGTCATATTTAAGCCAAGGGCCAATTCTTGCAAAAGTGAAGATAGTACCTTTCTGCAGAATAATACATTTGATTGATGAGGTTAATAATACGAACAAGAACTGTAAAAAATAAGAAGGTTCCAAAAGAAAATGCTTTTATAGGAAAAATATCAATATATGTATATAATGTAGAAATAAATTTTGAATGTTGACTTAATTGATCCTCTAAAATAGGAAGACGCAGTTTTACAGAAAAAGTATTTAAATGCTCTATCTTATCTCAAACTAAGTTTCTTTAATTGACTTCTACTTCTTTGTCTGACCTTGTAACCTCCTATGATTACGAGTGACTCACTTGTCAAATGAAATTGTTTTGTTTGGTGAATTAATTGGTTAAAATTGATTGAATTTTATAATTATTAATATGGCTGTTTCTGGTAATGCTATTTAATATACATGATTGTGCTATGTAGTTTATTTATAAGTTCTCTTCACTTATTGCTCCTTTGATTATTTTCCAGATTCCAATAGACCTGAGCTATATGAAGAAATAAAATTGTTCAGAAATGCTCGTGAGAGAGAAAAGTATGTTTTTAGATTAAGATTTTGATTATATATGTTCAGTTTTACTGTTTATGTAGTAGTTTCTGAGTTTTCTATCAGAATGGCCAATGGGCCAAGATAAGTTTGATTACATTTATGAGGTTCTAGAAATATCAGAGTGTGTCTGATAATAGTATTTCATGATAACAACAATATTTACATTAAAATAAATAACATTTTATTATATATTATTCTTCTTTGTCAAAGGTTTTTTATTAGGTTACGTTGCATTCATTCTTTCATATTAAAATTTTTACTTTCCAGGATTTGATCGAGTATCCTTAGGATAGTATAGATTATCATGCATTTTCAAATCATAAAAACAAGGAATATATTTATTAATTTGTTTTTAATGTTTCATTTGCTTTCCATTTCACTTTTATTATAATTGGATTCCTGATTCAGTAATTTTAGTTTTTCATGGTTATTTTGCTTAATAATTCAAAATAGCAGTGGTTTGTGATTATTCTTATCTTTGGCCAGCAACATAAAAATTACATTTATTTTGCTATTCGATCATTGGCAAACAATATAACTTAAACTTTATGTACGATTCAGGCACTGCTTTATATTTATATTTATTAGTAAGAAGAATTGAAGATGAATGGAAATTATGGGTAAATACAATTCTGGAGTTCAGTCCAGACAAATTCGAATATTACTGGTACTATCTCGAGGTGTGATCAAAGTGATCTTAGCCCATGTGCCATCCATATGATTCTCCGTTCAGTAATTCATACCACTGAAATTTATTAAGTTGCATATTAATTTGAAGTGATCACTAATTGTTGATAATCTTTGTTATTCCTGTTTTGAAAAATAATGTTATTTTCAAATATCTGGTGGGCGATTTCATGTTTAAAAGTAAACGGTTTGATAGAAAGACACAGGTAAAGAGTACCATTGTTTTTGTTTTAGATATAGAATTTTATATTTTATTTCTTGGATAAGGTGATAAATATACGCTTTACTTACTACTTTGTATAACCGCTCTTAATATTTTTTTATTTTTACAAGTAGTAAGTGATAATTGTGATTGTTTAAATGAAGAATCAAACAATGCCAGATCTATTACATTGAGGTGTACTCTACAAATATTTTAAACTATAAATTATTTCTTTTATTTTCTTCTCCCCAAAATGAGAATGTCTGTAGTTCACACCTTTTTTTTATTTATTGATTTACATCAATCATTGTCAATGAAACTTTCAAACTGAGGTAGAATATTGAATTATGTAATGAATAGTTGAATTAAAAAAATTAATTAATATTTTGTTTAAAGATTTTGTAAATTATTTTATTATGATTAGATTATAGGTCTGTTATATGGTGATAACAGACATCCAGACTTTTAAGAGATCCTCATAAAGACCAATAATCAAAATTTATTTAGATGGTTAAGGCAGTATTAAAAATTACAGCTAATTTTTTTTTAATGTATGATTAAATTAATTGTATGTTAAATAGTTTTTGCACTATTTTTTAACCACCAAAATCACCATCTTCTACAAATGTTTTCTTTTCAAATATGATTTTTAAATTCAGAATATGAAATTTAACATTATAGGAACAATGATTGGTGGTAACTTAACATTTAATATTTATATATTTTTATTACATTATATCAATTCAGTGATAGTGGTGAAAGAAGATAATTAAGGATTGTTTTCCAGGTATGACAATATGGCAGACCTCTTTGCTGTTATAAATACTCTTCAGCAACTGGAGAAGGCTTATATAAGAGACTGTATTACAGCTACAGAATATACTGCTGCATGTTCAAAACTTCTTGTACAATATAAAGTGGCCTTTAAGCAGGTTCAGAGTGATGAGTTCCATACCATTGGATCATTTGTTACTAAGTATAGGGTAAGATAGCGCTTTGCCACTTTGAAAGTTTTAACATAGGTTTATTTGGTCAAACCATGTTTTGTTTAAAGACTTTTTGTAAATTATTTTAATTTAATTAGATTATAGGTCTGTTATGTGGTGATAACAGACATCCAGACTTTTAAGAGATCCTCATAAAGACCAATAATCAAATAAATAAAATGTTTAGCACTATGCATATTATCAAGAATAAGGGGATTTTGAGATAGGAAAGGGAAAAAAAGTATTGTCGGAAGAAGAACACAATAGATTAGTAATTAGAAATATCTGGTGTGTCCACTCACATGACTTTGCTACCTATTTCAAAAAAGTTTTTTTATCTCTACATATGTTCATGAAGAAACAAAAATAATTGAACTAGATACATTTTCCTGAAAATTGATCAAACATAAGATTTGAGTACTATATATTTGATAAACTAAAGCAATGTAAACCAGCTTAAGGTCGAGCAGTGTACAAATTTCAATACTTCTTAATATTGATGATCAAAAACTTTTTGCCATAGCTTAGTATTGTCAAACAATAATTTCTTTTAAAAGTAGAGGAAATAGTGAAGACTGTGATGCGGGCAACAGATTTTCTTACTTTCACTTAGTCATCTTTATTCTCTCATTGACCCCTTTCTGACACCGGGATATGAAACCGTAATCTCACATTGGAAATTGAATAGCTGTAACTTCGTTAATAGTTGTCCAAAGTTGTCTACATGCAAAAATTGAAAGGATAATGATTAGAACATCATAGAAAAGTTTAATCAAAATCGTTAGAGCCGTTTTCACGCTACAGTCTATAGAAAAACATGTTTTTCATTTATTGCGCATGGAGCAACGAATTTCTGTCACAGGCATGAGTAGTCAAAACCCTACAAAATAAAAAAAGAAGCAACAAAATCGGTTCAGTAGTTCCCGAGAAAATCTTGGCACAGACAGACAGACCAATGGCTAAAAATGTGTTTTTCGGACTCAGGGGGCTCTGAAACGGATAGATCCGTCGAAAGCCGCATGTCAGAAATTTGACCCGATTGCAATACTTTCCTTACCTAGTATAGGTAGGAGAGTAAAAAAATAGATAATGGTTAGACTATATCAAAACAACTTGAATGAAGAAACCCTAAACAATTTAATGGATAAATGGCCATAGATTGTGTTAGGGATGGCCTTGTAAATTTGAGTTTTGTTTATAGCGGAAAGAGGTTAGCCATTGCTTGTAGTATTGCTCTACCAGTTGTAAAAAAAATGTTTTAGAGAAATACATATTTTTTACCAGTACTTGTGTCATACGAGGTCAGGACTGAAACTCTCTTCTTACCCAATCTTACATCACGTAACCTCCCTCTTATCTCCTGTAAGCTCTTGTTATCCTTCGGTTACCTGTGTGTTATTCCATTGTTTATATTTTGTTAATTTTGTCATCTGTTCAAATGGATATTATTACACTTAGGGAATTGCCTTCTTCAGAACAAGAAGCTATCAAATACTTTCAAAAAATCAGGATAATTTCAAGGGTGAAATTCTGTGAACAAGGTCATGATATGAAGTTTGACAGGAAGACCAAATGGAGATGCTTTTGTAGCAGTTGTAAGAAAAACTGGTTAAAGAGGTCAAAGATTACCTTTTCAACGCCTTAAAAATTTATTTATGGCTGATCTCATAATTTAACAATTCAGTGGGGTAAAGAACAGCTGAAACTATCCAACAAAAATGTTATAATGTGGAACAAGCTTTTAAGAGAGGTTTGTGCCCATAGTATATTATACAGGCCAACTAAAAAAATAGGAGAGCCTGGAAAAGTCGTTTAAGTAGACGAGGGTCTTTTTTCTTAAAGAAAAAATCATGAAGGGAGAGTTCTCCCTGAACAATGGATGTTTGGCAGAGGTTGCCGAGAAATAGACGAGTGTTTCAAGGTAAAAATAAAGGGCAGAAAAGCATCAACTTTATTAGAATTTATTTAAAATAATATAGAAGAGGGAAACACCATGTATACTGACTGTTGGAAAGGATACAACGCCCAGCAACTGAATGAAACAAATTATAATCATTTCCAGGTGAATCACCGGTATAACTTTGATGATCCTTTAAGTAGGATCCATACTCAACACATAGAACGATTATGTGAGCTATGCTGAGAAATAAAAAATATCAAGAAACTGCGAGGCAACATCTGGATTCCTATTTATGTGATTTTTTGTGGCGTTGGGCTCAGAGAGAAGTTCCTTGCTATTTTAAATAGCATTAAGCTATTTTGTCTGCCAAAATAAATTAAATGAAAATAAAAGTTTTTTATATGTATATATGTTGTTTATATAAAGTATGAACATATATATGCATTATGTGTTTATGTTGTATTTTATATGAAATGTAAAATAAAAATATTTTCTTTGTTTTTGTCAATTTCAATTTCCATAAATATGAATATGAAGATAGATATTATCATTGCCTTATCAGAATTATCAGTGTTCAGGTTATAAACATTGGCAGATAGCAGTCTGTCTGGACTGCATAGGATACAAGTACATTTTTACCTTTAGAATATGTTGAAGTAATGCACTGTTTTTTAAGTTACCAAGGCGATTATTTGGTCTTCATTCCTGATGATTCCTAAATTCATGAAATATTAATTGATTAGGAAGACAAGGTTTTGTTTTTCAATAATAATCTAAATGTAATTTTGTTACCTTTTTGTTCTTATTATTTATAATTTGCAAAAAATAATTGTAATTAAAAGTATAAGAGTAACTTATTTGTTATTTGTTTGTTTTTATATTTTTTTCAGTTGGACTGCCCTGCTGCCTTAGAAAGAATCCGAGAAGATAGACCTATCACAATAAAGGATGATAAAGGAAATACAAGTAAATGTATAGCTGACATAGTGTCTGTAAGTATGTTCTTTTAACAACCACCTCAATATTTTTTCACCTTATTAACAAGTGGCGCCCTAATCCCATTTGAAAATTATTTTGCTTCATTATTTCTATAATTTGTTTCAGTTATTTATCACACTTATGGACAAGCTTCGTCTTGAAATCAAGGCCATGGACGAACTTCAGCCTGATTTACGTGATCTGTTTGATACAATGAACCGATTGTCACTATTACCCTCAGGCTTTGAGGGCAAATCTAAGGTAGGCGATTGGTTGAGGACTTTAGATAAAATGCAAGCTTCAGATGAACTTACAGAGCAACAAGTAAGACAGCTTATTTTCGACCTGGAGTCATCTTATAATGCTTTCAACAGGATTCTCCATAACACATAATTTTTCCAAATATTTATGAATATGTTTATCATATATTTAGATATGTTAATTATAATATTTGTAATATAATTTTAAAGTGATATGAATGTTTATATTCATATAGGTTTAATTTATTTCCTAAGTATTGCTCATTTATTATTTTTTTTAAAGTCATTTTATTGGAATTTTAATTAATATAAAAATAAATTATCTTTAAACATTGCCTGGATCATTAAAAGTAGTTATTTTATACCTGCTGTCCTGATATGAAAGTGGTTTGGATTAAGGATTTCCTACTTGATAAATGAACTGTATATAGATCATTAATGTGATAATTATGTGAACACATGATGTTTTCTTATAGCTTTTATGATAATATAGCTGGCATAAATAATTATGATTTTGTTCTAAAATCTAATCTAAAAGATCAGTCATTGTATTTTATTTTTATTAAACAATAAATATTTTTAAGTATTCGATGTTTGTTTTTTTTTTTTTTTGGTTTTTTTTTTCCTTTTACTGCCAAAATGATGAAATCTAATATAATTACGCAGCATGTATGGTAAACATTTATTATTCTGTGTTGTTGGTTGGCCATAAATCAAGGAGATGGTAATTAATTTTGTTTAAGTGAAAACGGGACCAAAATATAATGCTGATTTTGAAATAAATTTATAATGATAAACAAAAATGACTAACTCTTTTAGAATGAATTTAACACTGCTCAATAAGAAAATAATTTTATATTAAATGAATTTAATAAATTTAAATTGAATGAATTAAATTCTTCCATGTAATTCTAACTACTGAATTTAATACACGAATTCTAAAATAGTGAAAATTGAAGAGAAGTTGGTTGGGGTGTTCAGTAAAAAAAAATATATTTATTTATTTTTTTTACTGAACACTAACCGATTTCTCTTCAGAATTCCAAAATAACTATAAGTAATACTCTCTACCATACAAAATATGTACATATTTCAGAACTAATCTTCTGTCAATGCTACTCCACTGGGCCAGAGACAAATTAGGCTTATTCCTGTCGCATACTTGTTACACCTCTAGTGGTAGCTGTTTGAGTTAACTAAATATTACCATATTTTTTGCATAGCATTTTATATATAATATAAAATAATTTTATTTATATATATAATTTTGTTTTTCTTTTCTCTTTATTGATAGATCTTTGGTTGCGTGATCCAGCCTTCTCAGCTTGTTTGCTGCATGTTGCATCCTTGTTGATTCTATTTGCCCATCTCGTTTTTGGTATATCACATGGTCTCTTTCCATCTACTGAGGCAATTATTTGTTGTTTAGAAACTTCATGAGAGCCTATTAGTTTTGTAGCTGATTTTTCAGATCAAGTTGGAATTTAGTTTTTTTACTTCAGGATTTTATTCAGCACCTGTAGGGCTTATATGATTGTACTTGTGGATGTTTTTGTGTGAGAACATTGTATGGCAGATTACTAAACCTTCAGCTGCTGTCAGACTAATACATCTCACTCTATTGTCATTCTCTTTTCTTGCAAGTTAAAATTAGATATCAGAACAGTAGCCGGCGCTTCAAGATCATGAAGGGTTCAGGACACTTTGTCACATAAAGGATAGAATGTGCCAGAGACATTGATTTTTACCGGTTTGAATTTTTTTTTAAATTTGCTATGTAATCAAAGAAGCTTTCACGGACCATAGTTTGGAGACCTCTGTTCTAAAGTGATGTAGAGATTCACAAGTTGCGTAAAGTTCACGATCATTTGTGGAATTCATGTTCTTTTTAACCTATGTAAAAAAAAAAGGACACTTGATTTGCAGTAATTTGCACAAATGCGAATGTCTGATGTATCACATACTAGTGCAAGTTCTTCGGCAGTCGGAAGTTGAGCATGTTTAGCTGCAATACATAAACATTCCTTGCTTTCCCTAAAGTCTTAAATAGTTTCTTGAGTTCAGTTAATGGGCATCTTATCCTTCTACTTACAGCTATGGAGGAACTTGTCCAGTGGTGCTGAACGGTATCAGGGATGAATGTAACAAATTTGTAAAGAATATAAGGTTTTCTGCTGGCATGTAGCTATGTAGCTATTATAATATTGGTATAATATTATTTTTGCTGATTTTATAATGTTAAACTTTAATTTTAACGAATAATTGTTAAGAGCTAATTATCGAGAACTGCTTACATAAGTTCCCATTGTTGATCAGTTAGAATTCGACCACCATTGTATGGATAATAAACAATTCAAAAACTATCTTTTTAATGAATAATCGTTATTAACAAAATATATTGATAAGGAAGAGGCCAAATCTTGGACATCGGCAAATTGACTTCATTTACTACTTCGATTGCCGAACTGTCTCCTATAAGGTTTTAGCATTTTGAAAAAAAGCTTATGTACAGACTGCTGACACTAAACATTTATCTTAAAAAGCTGTTATTATTTAAGTAATGAATTAGACGTAAAATACATCATCAAATCATTCGCTCTCAAAAATACTCCTTTAGAACTAAATTCTCAAGTTATTTCAGCTGAATACTATGTCACCTGATTAACATTTGCACCAAATTATCTTTTTTTTGTTGTCAGTCCTGACTCTTCTTTAAAGCAGCTGTTACACAGTCAATATCAAATATATTGACTGTCTGAGGGATACATTGTAACAAGAGCATTAATAATAATAATAATAATATTTTTATTTATTGTGCGACGAATCCCTTTAGAATAATTAACAAGCACAGAAACGTGGGCTTTTGAGCCTCAGATATATATAAATGTATTTACAAAGTAAACTAATAGATATAGTGGAAAAAAAATTATCTTGTAACTTAAATTGATTAAGAAGAAAAAAATGACAGAACAATGAAATGAAAATAAACTAATAATATATATACATATTTAGAATAGAATAGAAAAATCATCTTTATTCTGGGACTAGGTCCCTTTAGAATAACAGTATTGTACATATATATTAACTACAAATCTGGTCAAAAGACTTATTACAATGAATAATGACAAAATACATGTAATACATTAAGTATTAATTAACGAGGACAGTTTGGTAATAGGGATTCAGTACTACAATATTGGAGCTAAAATAATTGCATAATAATCACTGAATGAAATTATAAAGGAAAGTACAATCTATTTTATAGGTAAATCATTGTAGTGATGGAATATAAAAATTTAAAAAAATAATAATAACTGTTAATATGTAGGGAAAGAAATTGTAAAAACTAAAACAAAAAAATATATAAAAAAACAAATAATGATATACATATGTTCCCTAAGATATTTAAGTGATTATGCGTAAAGATTAGGAGAAGAGAAAATAAAATAAAGTATATATATACACATAGCGAGAAGTATGTTGAAGATAATTAGAAATAAAATACATTTCACTGAAATACATTCCATGAATAACAAATTAGAACTTAAGGAAAACAAATTTTATCTACTCACAATGCTTAGTGAGTGGTGATGAAAATTCACGTTCAACACAGAATAAAACAATAAAAAATAAGAGAAAAAAATAATGTCTAAAGAAAATTAAATCCTTATAACATAGTATGTATTTAACCAGCATCTGATTGGATTGTGAAGAGGAATTGGAATAAGAGGGTTTTAAAGGTGGCTAAGGATGATGCATGGCGGATTTTTAGTGGGATGGAATTCCAGAATGCGGTGGAACGGACAACGAAGGAATGTTTAAATGATGCAGATCTGTGGAAAGGAGTGTAAAGGTCAGAAGGACGAGATCTTGTGGAGAGGGTGTGGATAGATGATTTGAATTGTAGGAGATTGTATGCGTAGGACGGACGATGACTATTGATTATTTGGTAAAGGAATGTGCCTAGGAAATATTGTCTTCGGAAGGAAGGGAAGAGCCATCCTAATTCAGCATAGTGGTGCGAAACACGGGAATACCTCAGGGCCCCTGTGACAAATCTTACGAAGGCATTCATAATTCTTTTCAGTCTCTCCCCGAGTTCTGCCGAGAGGCCACCGTACACCACGCAGCCGTAATCAAGGTGGGGGAAGATGAGGGAAGTTACTAGGAGTCTACGTGTGGAGATGGGTAGGAGATGGCGGAAGCGATGGAATAGTTTCAAGGTACCAATTGACTGTCGGGTAATGTGAGCAATATGGTGTTTCCAGGATAGGGTTTGGTCTATGAAAATGCCTAGGTTTTTTACTGAGGAGGTGAAGGTAATGGGATGGTCATTTAGGTACAGTATAGGTATGTTGGTATTGGCTCTGATAAGGGGTTTGGAACCAATGACAATGGCTTGAGTTTTTGCAGCGTTTAACCTTAACCCATTTAAGTTTGCCCAGGCACTGATCCGATTCAAGTCTTCTTGAATTTTGGCAAACACTTCATGCAACTCTGAGGGATGGAAGGAAAGGTAGATTTGGGAGTCATCGGCGTAAAGGTGATGGGAGCAGTGAAGGATTGAATTATGGATGTCATTGATATAAGAACTAAAAAGGAGGGGAGATATGCTAGAGCCCTGGGCCACTCCTGCGGACAAAGTAAGATAGGAAGACAAGGGTTGATTAGGAATAGCGACAGCTTGTGAGCGTTGGGAAAGGAATGATTGAAACCATAGGATAGAACTATGGGAAAAGGATAATGATTTTAATTTGGAAAAGAGAATGGAGTGGTTGATGGAATCAAAGGCTTTGGAAAAGTCAATGAGTATAAGGACGGTTAGTTTTTTGTCATCAATGGCGGACTGAACATCATTAATGATTTTGATTAGGGCGGATTGTGTGGAATAACCTGGTCGGAAACCAGATTGGTAAAGGTCAAGTTGATTGGACTGTTCAAGGAAGGTGGAAACTTGGGATTGCACAATTCTCTCCAGGGGTTTGGAAAGGTTAGAAAGGATTGAGATTGGCCGGAAATCTTCAGGGGAAGACGGATTAGAATTTTTATTTAAAGGACGGACTGTGGCTTTTTTCCACAAGGAAGGGAATACTGAATTTTGAAGGGAAAAATTGTAGATGAAAAGGAGTACCGGAAGGATTTCAGGGAGGCATAATTTAATTATTTTGACGGGAATGCCATCTGGACCAATAGAATTAGAGTGTGATTTCATCACGGCGGATATGAGGTCTGTGGGAGAAATATCTGAAAAATAAAAATCGGCGTCATTGAAAGATGTTCCAGGAGGAAGGAAGGAAGGGAGAAATGAAGGAGTTGAAGAGGAAGCAGATATAAAATAAGAATTTAAGTCATTTGATGAAACTGGAGGCACTGCAGAGGCAGGAGATCTGGTAGGATCACAAAGAGAGAGTTTACGAAGGAGTAGCCATTTGGATTTGGAATCAGGAGCTGAGGAAAGGGCTTCATGGAAATAGGTAGATTTGGCTCGTCGGATTGTGGATTGTGTCAGGTTGCGGAGCGCCCTGAACGCTTGATGGTTTTTACAGAAATTTCTATTTAAAATTTCTTAGGGACTGGATGGAAAGGAATTGATTGAATAGGCATGATTTAAAAGTAGGGAGAGTGTTGGAAGGACAGATATCTGAATGGATAAAAGATTTATGGAAGGCAGCTGTTCAGTGGGCCATTATATATAGACCTGAAGACCGGGAACGGGTATTGTGGGAGTGAACAGAGGATTTAAATTGAAGGAGCTCGGAGATGTATGAAGGACGGGGGGAATGAATGGATTGGAAGAGGAAGGATGCCAGGAAATACTTACTGCCGTAGGAAGGATAAAGCCACTTCAACTCTTCATAAAAACAGAAAACAGGAGCGTCTCTTGGAATCCCGAAGATGAATCGTACAAAGCAATTTACCAAACGTTTTAGTTTCGCCTCGAGGTCCCCAGAGAAGCCTTCATACAGAAATAGTCAAAGTGGAGAAATATTAAGGAGGTGACCAGGAGTCTACGGGTTTCAAAAGGAAAAAGATGACGGAGGCTATTTAAATGTTTTAAGGTGCGTGAAGTGCAATGCGAAACGTGGCCGCTTACATTAAGGGATGAGCAACATCTTAAGGTTTAGAAAATATAGTATTGCGTAGAATATTTGGACCGAAGAAGGATGAGTTGACCGGATAGTTCACACGGTCACACAATGCCGAATTGCGTGAATTGTATCCAGTTAATATAATTGAAGTGATTACATATCGGCGAATCAAATGGCCTTGTAAAATTGTTGGACTTAGTAACGAAAGAATTCATAAAAGGTTAATATTTACTGTACTGAATGGTAAACGTCCGAGGGTAGACCGAAGCGAAGGTAGGAACATTGCGTCGAAGCCGATCTGAAGGGACTGGGTTTGGCCGGCGAACGATGGAGGGAGTTATGTAGTAAGCGATTGGTGGTATTGGCATCGAACCTTTGGCATCGCTTTATTATTATTAGACAGGTAGCCCGACAACTAGATGATCGATTAACCGAAAAATATAACTGAGAGTTCGCGCACCTGTTCTGGTGTGCTTTTAACTCTGGGGTATTAATAAATCGCTTTCTTCCCTGGCCCAGGAAAATCCCCGTCTAGCCTTAAGCCCATCTTACACGGTCAATATTATTGAATCAATAATATTGAAACAATATTCGTGAAGTTGGTACACATATCGGCGCGGTGTAACCGTCTGAACTCTCCGGTTAACTCATCTTCGGTCCGAAGATTCTACGCAATATTTTATTTTCAAAAACTTTAAGACGTTGCTTTAATGTAAGCGGGCACGTTTCGCATCCATAAAGAACTGTAAATAAGATAATGGTTTTATAGTTTATAGTTTTTAAGTTCCAGGATAAGAGGCGCAAGTTTAGTAGTTCTGTCACAGAAAAACAACTATCAGGACGATATATTGGCACCTGTTGTCAAGCCTCTAAATGATACTCTGTTTGCTGGAAGTCATTGGATTTTCCAGCAGGATTCCACTCCAGCTCACAAGGCCAGGTCAACTCAGCAGTGCTGCAAAAGAGCATTCCAGAGTTCATCTCTGCCTCGGATTGGCCCTCAGGAAGTCCTGATCTCAACCCACTAGATTATTGGCTTTGGTCCGAACTGGAGAAGATGGCATGCCATAGAGCTCACCCTAACTTGGAAAGCCTCAAATAATCTCTGGTCCGAGCCGTTGAGGGCTTTCCTCAAGAAGTGCTACGTGCTGCTATTGATGACTGACCACGGAGATTAAATACCTGTGTCAAGCCAAAAGAGGAGCATTTGAAGCAATTTATTTTTTTGTCTTGCTCTCTATAGATATACATTTTATTTTCTAATATAGTTTTTGAAAAAAATAATTTTTCTGTTGAAATCTGTATATATTTCCTTGTAACAATATTTATGACAGGACTAGGTAGTTTCAATTATATGCTCAAATATACTTCCTAAATATATTCATCATTCATTATTGTTTGTATTTCAGCTTCCTTATTATGTATTTCAGTTTACTCTGTTCATTATCATTTCCTTTACACTTCATTTCATTCTCTTATTAATTAAGTATAAACGATCTAGTATTTTATAGTTCAACATTTTTTTATATTGTTGTAATTTAACATTTTTCATGTTTATTGTTCTTTTTAGCCCTGACGAAGACCTAAAGCGTTGGTTTAAATGTAGGAAATCAATAAATATAAGTTCCATATATCATTTGTGTTACTTCTTTGATCCTACCTTTGACCAACTTTTCCTTAAAGAACGATCTTTATTTTTGCATATCTAGTGCTACTACCTATTGACTGCTTAAGGAAACTCCGGCTTATCCCCAACTTCTGTAGATAGAACCACTGTTGAGAAACCTTAGATTTACCTTGCTATCTGATTAAAGACTAGTTCAGTTAATTTGTCTAATTTAGTTCCATTAAGTTTAGTCACTTAAGAGTTTTTATGTTTGAAGGAAGTACATTGATCCAATGAAATGGGATATTTTTACAAGCAAGAGCTTTGATAATTTGAATTTAGATTTATTATGACAATTTTATTGTAACTTGTTTTTATATTATTAATATACAATGGAAGGCATACAGCAAACAACAGAGCTAGAATTTAACCAGGCCATGCAAGATTTCAAGACCATGTTTCCTACAATGGATGTAGATGTCATTGAGGTAAATTTTATATAATTGTCATTTCTTAAATATATTTATCCACACTGTGGTAGATTAGTATTTGAAAATGATGTTTGTTGTTTTTAGAGGACATTCAAGAATGTAAATTTAATTTTTATTTCAGATTAAAGTTAATCTAACTTAATCCATTTCACTATTGATTGTATAATTTTATTATAAACTTTGGAATAGTAAAGAGTTATCTTGATGCATATAATGACTGTTAAGATTTAATGTTAAAACTACGTAGTTCATTGGGAGTTCAAATAAACTAAGTGGGTATGAAGCTCTTACCAAGAATTGTAGCCAGAGTTCTCACTATTCTTGAGTGTTATGGTCACAAGATGCTTAGCAATCACTTCCTATTTGTTATCTTTAAAACTATATTTTGTCGTATGTCTTCTCTCTTATTGTGTTTATGAAGAAGCAGTTACTGTTAAAATCTGGTTAGCCAATGGTTATTTGAGATGTCATAATTTATGGTACAAATGGTCCAGATTTAAGATCAGTTAAATGGTTCAGCTCGACGTTATTAAGCCAGTATTAGAATATAAAATAAGTACTGTGTGTTATTTGTCTCAAAATAAATTTATAGAAGATTGTACGGTAATGCTCTTAAAATTAGTGATGTTATAACATATTTTGCATAAAATAAGTATTGCATCTTATTTGGAATGTTAATGATTATTCATTAATATCTTATCTATATAGCTCATTAGTAAATATTCCTTCTTTTTTAATTTTTATCTTATTGATTTATGACCAAGGTTTATTAAGTATCAAGTTTATCAGTCTATTTTCAGATAAGATTTATTAAATTTAACCAAACAACAATGACATTATGATACTAAAATACGTTTCTCATGCATATTTATGAAAGATAACATAATATGTACTGAGTTATATGCAATTCTTTGGTAGTTTTAGCTGATTTTTGTTAGATTTAGATTTACCTGATGAATTGTTGCCCTGAATAATTGTATTAGATAAATGTGTAATTATTACAATATAATTTAAGATTGGAACTTTTATCCAAATGATATTAAAAACCTTAACAGATCATTTAGGTATATACTGATTTTAATTAATTATTTATAAATTAATGTTTAATTATTTATTATTGAGATAAATGATACCTGCAAAACTGATTTATTTTTCTGATGTCAAAAATAAATGTATAATTCAAAACCATTTATCTACAATACTTTTCAGTATAATTTTTGTAGTATAAAACCTCAGTGCCTTCATTTAAATTTTAGAAAAGCTATTTATTTTAATGAAGCTAAGTATAAATTTTTCTTAAGGTTAATACACTCTGGGCCAATGAAAGCCAACAAATGTCGATCACAATCATATTTGTTTCAGATCCTCATATTAAATCATTTGTGGCCGAGAGCTAGTTTAATTTAACTATAATTGACTCTTAAGTCTTGTTGAAGTTTCTATCAGTTTTCATACATCATACATCTATTGATATGTATTATTATAGAGATTTTGATGAATGAGGTATTAATCGAAGTTTTATCGAATGGAAGTTTCATGGGGAAGTGATGAATCATAATTTTAAAACAAGGTTACTAAATTCCCTACAAAACCTCGCCCCCTCCAGCAAAAAAAAATTAAAATATCTACTATTGTTTCTCAAAGGTTTTGTGGGTGCATCAGATCTTCACCCCCAAAATTTCTTGTTAAAAAGTTAAGAAGAAAAAGAAAGTTTTTATTAAAGTATTTAAGGTTACTAAATTCCCTACAAAACCTCACCCCCTCCAGAAAAAAAAAAAAAATCGAAATCAAGGCATTATTAGGAAAGATACAGCCTATAATAGTAAGTAATTTATATACATGTTTTGGTTTATTATTAGTATGAATGAACTATTGTAATTCGACCGTGATAAAGAAAATTAATTCCTTCCTCTCCTAATATGTTACATTAACTTATATCTATATTATTTGTAATTTATTTACTAACCAATATAGTTTGGAAATTATTTGCATGGGCCAACTCATATTAATAACTGTGATTAGCTGGCTGATATTATGACAAAAACTAAATTATTGTAATTAACTTACCTCTGTGTTCTCTGTCTTAAATTTATCTGGAAGGATGCCTTCTTCTGGTACTAAATACTGCTGTGATCCTTGCCTTACTTCAACAGTTACTTTTCATAAGGCTTTGTCTTCAGCCATTCGATTGATCGAGTGATGAAAATTCTTTCTTATTGGACCTTCTTCACCAGGCGTGGTTACAAGTAGAAGAAAAGCATTATTTATTCATTTGATTGATATTTCAGCCTACTCATTCTTACTGCATTCGACAGAATGAGATTGTTATAAAAATCAAATATCTCCTAATATCTCTTTATTTTTTATGCTTACTATTTAGAAGAATTCCTCACAGCATGAACTTGTCAAGAAGGAAGCCAGCCCATATTGTTGAAACCAAACCATAAGGTTTATTAGCACCAGATCCAATTATGCTTTCTTCACTTTATTGTTTAGATCAAAAATATTTCAATAAGGATCATATTTACTTTTTCACATCATGCAGAATTCTTAAAAACTGTGAAAAAAGTACTTCATAAAATAAAAGAATTAAAGGAGCCTTAACAGTTCCATCCAATTACATTTTTGGGGGTTTCGTAATTTAATATAAATAAAAAACTGATCGTAAACAATTAAAATCTGTATAATGTCTAGTATTATTTAAATTTGAAATCTAATTATTTTTTTTACATTTTAGCACTTCCAACATGTAAGATTTTTTCTTGGTAGAACAATAGCATTACAATGTATATTCTAAGCATTACATTCTCAGGTTTTGTAAAAGGGTAATTCTAAAAATTATTTGAATAGTTAAGGCTTTACTCTTATCATTTTATGAAAACCTAAATTCTTGATGAAATTACCAAGAATGAAAGATTACTAGTCACAATAAGAAATTTAAGAATAATAATGTTTTCAAATCATTTCCCTCAAAATACTTTTTTTAAACATTGTGGTCGTTGAAGTTAAATATGTTAACTTGAATGATTTATATCATCATAAGTGATTTTATTTAATTGCTATAAAAAAGAAATGTTCAGACATTATTTTTAAAATTTCAGATGATATATTTTATGCATTGCTATAGCCAGCTCATCATTGCTTTGTAGATGCACTATGATCTGAAAGGGCAAAGGAAGGTTTTAAAGGCTTCTTAACATAATGATGATATTAATGAGATATAGATTCATATTATGAAAACTACATACTAGCATAGTGCTGTGCATTTATCATACCGATATGGATGGAACAATAAATGTGAATATTAGTAATTTAAAAAAAATGTAATATTGAGCTACCAGTAGGTATAGCAGCTTGCTTTAGAAAAATCTGGTAACTATCACAATTCGGTTTAGATTGAAGTAGTATCCTCATGAAACTTGACTTTTGAAAAGTCAATCTTGAATGAGAAATTCAGTGAGAGAGAGATCTAGAAAACAACTCAGTGGTAGATAATATACATGTTAATGCATTGTATATGATGTGATTTGTTCTTGCATCACCGGTTAGTAGCTCATCAATCTCAATGCTGTATCAATATATTTCTTTAAATCTCTTTATTTGTAGTTCTAAGATTTAAAATAAAATAGAGTACTATTGTTTTAGAGTTTAATTTATTTGATGAAATCTACTTTAACCTAGATAATATTAATTGTTTAACATCCTTTGTAAAGGTTATCTAATTATAAATATCTTATTTCAATCTCGCATACCATTGGGATAGAGATTGATGGAATTTAGCCTTGGTATAAGGCAATCAGAAAATGCATTTCTATAGATCGGTTCCCTCTGGAATATGCTGTGATTAACTATCACAACATGCCAATTTATGAATCGCTTGACTGTTTCAGGTAGTGCTGAGATCCAACCAAGGTGCTGTTGACGCTACCATAGACCAGTTACTATCAATGAGTTCTGATAATGAAATGGAGCGGAGCAAGGTTATCGCTGCTGAAATGCCTGCTCGGTAAGTAGGGAGTTTGTATTGGGTAGGCAGTTGCATAGCAATGTGACGGTGGTTTTGTTGCAGGGCTGGAACTGATAAGAGTAGTGGGGTGGGGCAGGAGCCACTGTCGGCTCTAAAGGGGTGGCGTCCTGCTCTCCTTCAACCTCTTCCGCCTGGCTTCCTTAGGCTCCTGCCTGATCAAAGGCAGGTCTGTATTGTGTCGTTCTGCACTCTTTATCTAACATTTAGGATTCATCTCTGATCATATTAATACATTTTATATTGATGCTTAAACCTCAATTAACTGTATTGAGAAATTAAGAATTAAGAGGTTGGCATGGTTATGCGCTTTTCATTATCAATAAAATCTGTTAATTTAATTGGAAACCAAATTAATCTAAAACAGATAATTGAGGTTTTATAGTATTTTTGCATGTTCATTTTAGTGTATTTGCCATGCAGGTTTTCCTTTTATTGTCTTAGCATGTCAATCTTTTTAATACATTTTTATTATCGCTCCTTGTTTGTTTCCAAATATTTTTCCTGAGCTACCCAATGGATAGTTCTGGATCTTCTTTATATACCTTTTATTCGTTGATAAATCATTGATGAGTTGAGGAAAGCATATGCTTTTAGAAATTATTGATATTTTAAATAATAGAGATTCCTTTGAATATTGAGTATTTCTAAAAGTTTCCAGAATTTGTGTGATTAATCTTATTCTGGAGATAGCCTCATGTTATGGCTAGTTTAATTCATCACTGATTGGTAGGTTCTCCAAATTGTTATCATTTCCCCTAAAGTTGGATGTTTTTTTCACACAGAAATAAACAAGAATTTATAAAAGTTAGCTTTAAATTTAAATCAAAAGCATATCCTTCCCTGATATAAAAATATAGAGTGTGACCGGCAGTAGATAAAACTTCAGTATAAAAGAATGTTTTTTCTATGCTGCGTGGAGGCATATGTGATTGTGAGAAATATTAACATTAACTGTGGATTGATGGTTGACTGTAAATGAATAATTGACGAGAAGCATGGTTGGGGTGATCAGTCAAAATAAAATTTGTAAAAATAATAATTATATTTATTTTTATATTTTCCGACATTTCGGCCCAAAGTTCAGGTCTTCATCAGGGCTAAGAAAAAAACAGATAACAATTGATATGAGAAACTATAAGCATTGAATAATAAAGAATTAAAATTAAAAAGGTGAAAGGTTGGCAGAATAAACTTAAAGTAAAATAAAGTAGGTAGAGTGAACATTAAAGTAAAACAAAATAGGTAGAATAATAACAGTAAAAGCGAACTAAGAAATAAATAATAACCGCAACAAAGTACAGACTAATGAAATAAACATAATTAAAATAAGGTAACATAAGAAATGAAAAAAAAAAAATCATTTCCACCTTTTTAATTTCAATTCTTTATTATTCAATATTTACAGTTACTCATACCGATTGTTATCTGGTTTTTTTCTTACCCCTGATGAAGGCCTGAAATTCTGGCCGAAATGTCAGCAAATATATAAATAAATATAATTATTTATTTTTACTATTTTTTATTTTGACAGATCACCCCAATCATCCTTATCTTCAATTATTAACATTAACTTATCTATACTTCTTAGTGTTATCTTAAAATTTTCAAGAAGATAATTATTATCAAAGCCAGACAGTGGCTTGTGGACAAATTTCTAGGCATAAATGACAAAAATCAGGAAGAGGGTGGCCATCTTAACATTATCTAGCAGAAGGTATTTCTGAACTTAGAATAGGTCAGGTCACAGTATCTCTCTCTGTGGCTTCAGTTGTTAGTAACAATTAGTAATTGTTTCCAACTACTGAATTTGAAAGCATGAATCCAAAACGATTATGGTAAACAGACGTTGGTGTAATTGACTGCGCCACTCAAAGGAAGTGAGTGAGAATATTAATAGGAAAGGAAAACTTATATATATATATATATATATATATATATATATATATAATATATATATATATATATATATATATATATATATATATATATATATGTATATATAAGCCATTTGTCATTCAAAGAAAAGTTGACTGGTATTGAGATTAGCTGGTCTGGATATGTGCACGCTTCTTAGGATATAAAAAATTCACAGACTTGTTTACTTACAAGAAACAAAGAAAATATTGTGTTGACTGGATGATGGCAGGTATGGAATAGAATAAACCCATAATCCTATTGAAAAAGCTTATTTCTAGTGCTATGTTCGAGTTTAATAAACAGTTGAAAAAGTAGTACAATAATAATAATCAAACCATGTTTTGGTCTAACTGAAGCATCATTTTCCTGTTTACACTGAGGAGTAAATATTCATATTAATAATAATCAATATTTGACCATCATCATTTTATTTGTGTGAGCCTCTTTTCAAACTATCCTTTGCTTCCTGTCCATTTCCTTCTCTCTGGAAGATAAGGAAATTGCTTCTCTAAGAAAGATTACAGTTTATAATTGTAAGAAGACAATTTTAAATATACGAAGAAGTAAATCTGATGTTTGCTATGATTTAAACCAAACAGTATTAACACACAAAACTATTTTATATATTCCAAGTATATAAAATTAGAAATGCATTATTACTTGTAATTACCTTATTAATATTCTTTATGTTCTTTGTTATGTTTTTTGTTAAAAGTTCTAAACATCTTTTACATTAAAAATATTTTTCAAATTGATGATGCAGCTTAGATTGAAGCAAATACTGTGCAATTAATTATTAATATATACATGTCATATTAATCACATAATTTGAATCATAAAAAATAGAAACTGCAAATTTTATAGAATTTCTTTCTAATCATTTACCATTTTTCTCTCGGAAGACTGATTTTCTGTTCATGCTTACTTCATCCTCTTGCTAAACAATGGCTGTGCATGAAGTTAATGAGCCTGTTCCGTTGGCCAGGGTAGCTTGGAGTGGGGGGAGGGCATGGGGAAGGAGGTAGTTACCTGACTGTTCACTGGAGACGTGTCATGTGGTTTGCTTCTCTTTTCAACAAGTTGAGGCTGCGGCGTCGCTGGAACAGAAGAGAGAAGCACAGGTTCAAAGCAGAGGCACTTCATTTTAAAAGTGTAGTTAGATTATTGATTAAGTCTTAAAATTCTGTATATTCTTTAGTTCTTATAGGAAAAAAAAATGGGCTTGATATGTTTGTTAAGTTAGATGTTTGTTTTATTGAAGGAAAGCATTCAGTAGCATTTGTTGAAAGTGTGGTACAAAACTAAATTAAAGCACACCATTCAATTCCCTCAAGGATTTAGTCTCTTGTAGAAATTCTTGGTTTCTATGAAGCTATAGTAAATATTTGTATCGTTTTATTTCTTTAAAGTTCTATAGAAACCAAGACTTTTATTGATAAAATAATCGTTAGACAACAAATCTTATTACTGACTTAAAGGTAAATTTGTTCAAGTTTAAAGTTAAATAGAAGATTTTGAAAATATGTGAATCAAATTATAAGTATTTTTCCGCCCTAATATTGGTACACATTGAATTAGACTTGCATAAATTGTTGTTGATAGGTTTCCTTGTGCCTAAGTTACAACATGTATTATTGAGCTAGAAAGCCCATATTTTATACCATTGTATGAACAGAGTGGTATGACTGAGTGAGCCTTCAAGTGTCGGGAGGGGAGTTTATTTTATCAATTGAACAATTGGTTGATAAGCCGTTAGCTCCAATCGGTGCTATTTGAGGGCTCTTAACCACTGGGATTGCCAATTGAGGCCTATTATCACAATTTTTACTTTCAACATCTTTAAAGTATTTTGTAGTTTTGAAAATTTGTTATCTCTTTTCTCTCAAATCATTTTAATTCGTTATCCTAAACAATATTTAGATTTAAACTTCTATATTCGTGAGAAACAATGAGCTAAATTATTATGATTGGTTCTAAAAATTTCCCGTAAATTTAAATAGTCATTGAGAAATGTATGTGATATTTTTAAATTTTATTTATTTCTGAAATTTACAACTGTATAAAAACAAATAAACATGTAGTAAATGTAGTAAATAGTAATGTAATGACATGAGAACACTTTTAGAGAGATCACCAATTAGTAGCACTCTATAGAGATCATATATAAAATGAGAAGTACTTGACAAAACTGTAAAAAGCCAATTAATATTTGTTTTTATTGTTGTTTTTTTAACATAATTATGTTGATGTTGACTGGTTTTCCGCTTGTAAAATATCTTTATAGCTTATAGCACCATGAGCACAGCCAAAGCACCTCCCTCCCCCCACATTTCGGGAGCTGAGCGCATTAGAATGCAGAGGGATTGTTGACCCGTTACGGGCTATTGTTCTCGTGCCCACCTCCTCTTCCTGCTATAGCTATACCAGGTTTTGTTTCGTTCTTTTCGGAGGATATAGGACAAAGTTTGATTTTGCTATGGCTCCGTAACGAATGAGTGGAAGAGATGATTAAGGGACCATTCTGCGATTCAGGAAGTGACCAAATGGAACTAATCCGCTTAGCGTAATGAATCCCTGGTTCGACAGCCCAGATAGAGACAAGTCAAACTGGATGGTACTTTGACTTCTGGAAATTGCTTTATATTGGCATATAGCAATTTTTTATCTTAAACATAAAGGCTACGAAGTAGATAAGTCTTATAACGGGTTCTCAAGAACAACACACATTCAGGGCTAAACGATTGACATATTAGTCAATAGCTGTATTTAATTTTGGGTCTATTGGGGAGGAGGAGAGGACAAACGTTCATCCATAGCCCTGTTGCTTTTTTTCAAGCTGATTGTTTTTTATTTTAGCCCCGAATTTCAATAATTAATATAACAACTTCTAGCACAATTTTCGGAATCATTTAACATAATATTATACCATTGTGATAAGCGATATGCTTGATGAGAAACATTAAAGTAAGGGAAATTTACGGAAGGTATTTACTTATGTGATCATTACATATTTGCATGTTGGATGAAATACTTAAAGAATTACAATGTATACAATAGGTTCTCTATTGCATAATGGGGTAAAACTTCAATTTTGATTAGTGACCTTTGAATATTGTTCCGGGTTAGGTATCTCTACCATTAAAAGAATCAATTAAATCCTAGGTCCGCTAGGTAGCGCAACAACTATACAGTATACCACTAGCGGATCCAGGATTGCATTTTGGGGGAGCTTCAGCCCGGGAAGATTTTTTTTTCATATACATATAACGATAATTAATTTGAAAAAAATAAAGAAATTAATTACCTGTATGAAATGGTGTTTAAGTGGTTCTCGAAGTCCTATTAAATATAATTACACGAACAAGAATACTTTAAGAGGTAGTTTTTAATATTTTTTTCTGTAAAACATGGTTATATTTTACCATTTTGGGGGCGGCTTCAGCCCGAAAGCCCCCCCTCCCCCGTTGATCCCCCTGTGCAGTATACAATTAGTACTCATGTAAACCGTGAAGGTGTAGGCGCAGGGAGATTCCAAAGTGAACAACGATTTGTACAATGACAAAAAGTTTATTTTTATGTTTTTATTTTTTCCGTATGTTAAAAAGGAATATTTCAGTTCAGTAGTTTCTTAAATTCTCCCTATACTTCTATTAAAGTAAATGTTGAATCCTGCCAGGCAAGCACTTAAAAAGGATTGCAGCTACAGAAAGGAAGTACTTGTTCATTGGTAGCTAACAAAACAAAGAAAGCTTGAATAAGAAATAAGAGAAGAAGTAAAGAACTGCATTAAAATTAATTCTTGGCAGTAGCAGCTGTGTAGTTGGAAAGGATAAGGTAATGGGAGTAAGGCTGTTGTTCAAGAAGCCACAGGGTGGTCCTAGAAGAGTATAGTACGGACATTCTCTGTTAAGCTCTGAGTAATTTGGAGGCACAGAGGAGGTAGGGGGGCGGGGTAGCCGAATTTGCCTGGCAACCGGATAACAGAGATTTGAGATGATATAAAAAGTACGAGTTCGCGTCCCGGTGCCGGAGGGGATTTTAAATTTCCCCGCCCTCACCCCCCGGCCCGGGAAAATCCCGTATAGCCTAAAAGACGAGGTAGGGAAGAACAAAAAAAAAAAAAAAAAAAAGGTACAGAGGAAGGAAAGGAAGAATTAGAACAAAGTTTTATTAACTTTAAGAATTATGTAGCCTACTGTTAAAACGGTTTTACAAGTTTTTTTTTTACCACACTTCCATGATTATAAAAAGGAAGTAAATAGAGTAAGAATTATTAAATTTATTCAAAGCAAATGCTGTTATTTTCGAAGGTGTAAAGTTCTGAGAAAATTGCTGCTAAAACAATCGATGACTTGTACAGTCACTTGACATCTTTAACAACTCTGTCCTAAATTAAAAATTTCATTTTTTTGAATGGAAGAAATAAATTTATCCTTAACAATAATTCACTTTTTTAAGAAAAATCTCTTTATCTTTATTCACTCAATTCTTCATTTATTATCCTTCTAAAAATGAGGTTTTAAAAATATATTCTCTCATGACTTTCACCACCCTTAAGTTTTATTTTTTTTAATCAAAAGAGTATACCTCCAGAGTACCCTTACAGGTTTCATTAGGATTCAATAAAATATTTTGGAAATAGATAGCAAAACTTCTCAATGAGCTATCGCTAAACATTCCTGATAATTACATTATTCATAATATGGATTAGTTATGAATGTACGTTTCTAAATCTATTTCTTTCTTTTTTTTAAATAAACAAAACAGGTATTTGCCCTTAATAGGATATTATTAATAAACGTAGCTAGTAAAAAAAATATGTGAATCAAACATATGTATGAAGAAATAATTTTTCTTATAAAACTAGATCGTTAAGTAATTATTCCAAATAAACCTGAACAATACCATAATTGACTGTATTTTAATGTTAGTTCCAAGCTGTGCCGTAACTCTTAAGTTGATATAATTTCTTCCTTAACTTTATCACAGATAGATCCTTGACATAGTAACAATCCAGTAATGGACTTTAAATACTTTAACTGGTCATAGAACCATATGACACACTCATAGTCTTTTAGGTTATCTGATGTTGCCACGAACTGTTATGTTTCCATGATTTAATTTATTGTTAAATGTTCGAAATTTTTTAATAAACATGAGAACTTCAAAGCCAAAAAGTTAAAACAATTAAGAGTTTAAATGAATGAGTTTTGGCGCTTGATAATAGAGCAATACTAAAACTTACTTGGTGGCCAAGATATACAAACGATTTGTTTGATTATTACTGATAGCTGTTTTAGAAATGCCATGCAGAAGATTTGCTTTGGTTGATAATAAAATTAGAAATATAATTCAATAAGTTGAAGAAGTATGATACTTAAAAATATTGTAATCTATTAAATATCCATTTTTTTCTACCGTTGTTCTTAAAATTAGTAGTTGGGAATAAGTTATGGTAGAAGCACATCAAAAATTTCACTATGGATTCAATTAAAGAAGTTTGATATTATAATAGCAATACATATGTGTATATATTATATTTATATAATATATAAATATATGTATACAGCAGTATATATGTGCATATATTACATTATATATTATAGCTGTATATTTGTTTTACTATCTCAATATACTCATGATTTGATATCGACTGTCCTTTCTTATAATTATAGCATTTTATATAATTATAAAAAAACAATAATTGCATTGGCTGCAGTACGAGTCATTAATTACATAGTTAAAGTTTAATTTATCCTAGATTGTAGAATTGTTTTTCTCAAAAAACAACCAATTTTCACTTATATACAATAGTTTGTTTCTGTATTGAAAGGAATGTATGTGCATCATTAATTTTGAAAAGACTTAAGAATTAAATGTGTTTAGATGTTTTTATTAATGTAAAGTGAAAACATTTTCAACTACATTACTAACAAATGTTGTTGAGACCAAATTATTGTATTATGCAGGTAACTAATGTTGATTAATTAAACATTACAATTATTAGTATCTAGTCCATATTATTAATTTGTGACCCTCTTTTATTCAATATAATATAAATTATTGTTAGTTTTCCCTTCTGATTTATTTTTTTTTTCTTTCTAGATTGAATCTGATATTGAGGACGAGAGGATAGCAATGCTTCTGCAGAATGAAGAGTTTATGTCTGAGCTGAGGTGGAATAAGGACTTCCTCTCTGCACTCGATGATGGTATATAAAATGAATATAATTGGTCTTAATTAAGTAATGAAAATATAGACATGGTATTACTTTGACATTCTAAAGATAGTTTAATTTATTAATTTTGAATTTTATATTTCTTTTCCATCCCACATCTTGAAAATATAAAAATATTGGCCCGTGCAACTAATGAGCTTCTTCTACTATCAACAAATCTTATTTGATTTTTTTATTATTATTACCTTTTAAAACTAACATATTTAAATTTATGGAATCACCAATTAATTTCACAAAAAAAACTTTAAAATAAATATTCTATTGTCTTGTCTTGATTAAAAATTTTAATGATATATAGTAATGAGAAATATTAAAATACGTGATAGTAGTCCTCAAGAACAAAAAAAAAAAAAAATTCTTTTCGACCCTTGTCCTATTCTACAAAGAAAAGTAGAATATTTAAGTTGTGTGTTTCTTAAGTATCACTTATTTTAGTTTCACGAATAAGGCACTCCTATTATCCCGGCCTAGGTTTGAGTCTGGCTATTGCAATTATTGATTCTGTTACAACCATGGATCACCAATTGAATCAGCAGTCCCTCTTGGGGCATACCCAGCCTCTACAAAGTGGGTATTCTTAATTAATTAAGAGAAAAAACCTCTCTATTGAGCATGATCTCAGTCATATCATCTCCGTATAGAACATTTAACCTATAAACAGTACTTCCTTAGGAAGTACTGAACCCAAGACCACCTTTCATGGAATGTTTTGGTAAAAGATTTTTTTCTATGTTGATATGCTGAAAGTGATATTTAATTTATTTATTGAATCGTAGTAACTGTTTTTAATTATATTTAACTGTAACTGACTATAGTTCCTAAATTTATCCAAAAGCTGTTATATAAAATATCTTGAAATTCATTCAAAAACCGTTTCGAGTTTGACCTCGATAGAATATCATTCTGATGTAATATTATGTTTAGCAAATATTTATGTCATAACGCTTGACATACATATTACTGGTAGTGGTACTACTGGTGGGAAGGACTTGTGAGGCAAGTGGACCAACGTACATTTGTCCTTTTAAAATACATATTGTGTGAATTTCAGAAAGCCCTCCAGAAGAGAGATCTTCAGCCTTTCCAAGCAGACTACACGATGATGATGCCATGTTCAAAGAGCGACTCCGCAACATGGGCAAATGTAAGCTGTAATTTATTAATTAATTATGGAATACATGGACCTTGTGGAATACATAAACTGTACAACCCTATGGTATCCTTATTAAGCATCAGATGAAAAAAAATGAAAACTTATTAGTAGTTGGACCCTTCTTTTCATTTACAAATAACTTTCTATGTGCATATAATTGTGCCACAATTTACATATATAACAGAAGGTTTACCAAATGAATAGAAAAAAGGAAAAGGCAAATCTTTTTTTTTTTAATTATTATGGTTACTCCAGGGGAAAATGAAAAAAATAATATTAATAAATGTTGAACATACTTTTTTTTTTTTTAAGAATGAGAAGTTTATAAATTATTTGGAAAAATTGAGGAATTTGATTAGTAAAGTTTGCTAGGCATTGTATTTATTACAACTGCCATAGAACTAATGATGGAAAGAAAATTTTTAGCTCACAGCAGATTTGATAGTGCAAATTTAGTCATCGTTTTGAAAGTTTAACTGATATTTAAAGTTCGATGAGATTTCAATAATTGGTGAAGACAATTAAAATAACCATATTGAAAGAGAAGTTACAGAATAAATTCTTCAAAGGGTAAAAAAGGTTGACTGTATTTCTATAACTTACACTGTTCTGTGATATAATGTTGTTTTTTTAATTTTCTTATCTTTTATTCTTTAAAATGAATAGTTGATTTGAATGATATTTTTACTGCTTAAAATAGTTTTGTCTTGACATTATTTATTGTTTAATTCATTACAGTGTCCAGGAAAAAATTCTCACAGCTGGCAAGGGTATTCACAGGTAAGAAGAAGAAGAGTGCAAGAAGTGTACTCAGTGGAGGACCTGCTCCTTCTCGCGATGACCTGCTTTTGCGTGAAGATCATGATGGTGATTATTGATTGATCCAATTGCGTCAGTTCTGTTTATATATTATTGTGCATCTCATTTAAAATTCTGTTATGGCAATAATATTAATGTAGTTGAAACCATTGTTCACCACAGGTTGTGTTTCTTAGGTGAATAGTTCTTAAATTTAGAACTACACCTTCACTTTTTCATTTCGAGAAAATTAGAATAATTAAATGTTCCCCATGAAATAGTCACTTAAAGATTCCTTAATTTTGTGCTAGGTGTCAAGATCTAAATACATGTTTAGAACTCAGTCATCAGGATAATTGTTTTTATTTTTTTTTAAAGTGTAGCTTAAAATGTTATCTGTCTGTTGGATAATCTTTCCAATGTGTCATAAAGCACCTCTATTTTTGTGTATTAACTTATTCTCTTCTCATCATGTAATACTCATGAATGAAAAAAAAAGTTTAATTATTCCAAGAAACACAACTTCTATTTTATTCTAATTAGCTATATATAGTTAAAGTATAATATTAATTATCAACATACATTTACTTTAAATATATTAATTATTGAGTGTATGTTTATCCAAACTCCAGAATTAGACTGAGCACTATTTATGTTACTATTTGAGGTTTAAAGAATGCCGACATATCTGCCCTGCTTTCAAATTGAAGGGGCACCAGGGGTCTTGTTAAATCTTTATTGTTGAGAGGTTACACGAATAGAGCTTTAGTTTGGACTTTTAAAATCGACCATTACTGTCCCCTTCAATTTTTTATTTCCTATTGTTGATAGAAGTGCAACCATAAGGGTACTAATATATGTTTAAATTTTAGTGTCAGAGTATGAGCGAAATGGTTTAGTGATAAGAAGTAGGTTTCTAGTATTTTTATAGATCGTGTGGAGGTTGTTCAGGAACTGAATTTTAAGCCAAAGCAAGTTTATTATTTGTTGGATTAAAAATGAATTTTAAGTTATATATTCCAGTTATTTATTTGTTACCTTATTCAGCCTATATGTTTGTAATTTGTTATTTTATTGAGAGATATTTTTATTTGTTGAAATTCTGCAGAAGTTTATATTGTTATTTTTTTCTTGTTATTACTTATTATAATATTCGTAATATTATTTGTTTATTATATGTCTTAGGCAATGGTAGTGATTTTGTCTATGCCCATTTTCATTACTGTATATGATATTATATTTGGCATTTAATATTCAATTGTTATTACTTAGTACTTCCTTATTGTTTCCTAAATTTATAAATTACAAATAATTTAGTTCAATGAGTTGTTTATTTAAACCTATTAAATTGTAAGAGGTGAAATATGGATTGATTGAAATAAGGGGATCTACTCTGAGAAATTAAATTTAACAAAGCATGAGCTAATGGCCTTTATTGAACATTTTAATACCCAAAGGTTTATGAACTAGATGAAAGAGAAAAATAATTTGGCCACATAGTTATTTGTCTGCCTCCTTATCATTACCAGTACAATCCAATAGAATTAATTTGTTGATTTGAAGATTTCGCAAGAAACCATTAAACATAAATTTCTCATGAAATAATTATAAATCGTATGGTAGTTTTTTCCAGTAACTGTGGCTGATAGAGGATTTAATCTTGGTGTTTTTTTAAACTGATTACTCTAGAAGAAAAAGAGAAAAACAATTCATCACCTGTACAAAATGATTTTTAAATAGTCTTTGGAGGCCAAAAAAATAAAAATAAAAACTCGGTATTTTTAGGAACAATAATGCTTTTAGAGATAAATTTCTTCACTCATATGATTTTCATTTACTTCAATGCTAGACAAGTTTTGTTTTACGTTTAAGCAGTGGCAGGTTCAGGATTTAATTTTTGGAAGCAGCTTTATTTATTTTTTTTATAGTATTCTGTAAGATAAAAAAAGAAACTATATGAAGAGAAGTTCAAGTAATCCTTGAAGGACTGTTAAAATTTTAAAAATTACTTTAACAATGATTATATACTATTAATTTTAATTTTAGTAATATTTTTTCATGTCGCTTGCTTACATTTACTAGGTTGTTAAAAAAGTAATTGTGCATGAAAACAACCCTTAATTTCAACTCTCATATTTAATTTTGGTTCTATCTATTTATGTCAACTTTTACTTTGACCAATCCTTTAATTCCGTGTGACTTAAGATGGACTTATGGGACCATTTACATTTTTTAAATGCAGGTGTAATGTTAAAAGAAAAAATTATGATCTGTAGTCTTTTGAGATATTACTGGAAAAGGTATAAACGCAAAAGGCAGTTACTTAAGAAATTTGACTTGACAATGTTCTAAGCACAGTAACAAATTGATATTTGCTTAATTTTACTTCAGAATCCAAAATATGACAGGTGCTGGAAAAAAACATTTATCACAAGTGACGGAAAGCGGATACTTAATTGCATAAATTACTCTGGTAAATTATTCTTTGTAATGAGCTATTATACAAACATATATCTTAACTTTAAGCTCTGTTAGAGAGGCAAAAAGAGAACAAAGTAGTGTCAAAAACCAAATTTCTGAGATATTTTAATCCAATGTAAAAATTTGTTGACTTTACCTGAATGAGCTTTATATAGCCGAGTGTGATGGCTCAGTCTGATTCACTATCCACAAAACAAGTGCTAAGCACACCTAATAAAGTTTTCACTTAAAAAATCATAGCAAACATTAACAGAGGTGAAGCTGCACAAAGAAGGTCTGCCAAGATAGGTTTGGGAAAAGAATTGTTTTGTGTTGGGTACAACTTCTAAAGCATTTTGCATTTTGAGCTTGTCGCTGATAGTCGAGTAGTGGATTCAAACCATTACCGTGAACAGCTTGGCAGAGTTTATTTAGTTTTTATTACAAGGTACTCCCGGGGTACTATCCCGCTAGGGTCAACAGGAATCAACATGACAATGCTCCTGCACATCGTTCTCGTTTGACCAAGGAAAAATTATTGGAACTGCAATCAGTAAACGTTTTGACTCGTCCTATATATAGCCCAAATATTGCACCATCAGATTATAATTTGTTTAGATCAATGACTCATTATTTAAAAGGTTGGATTGTTTGCCTCAAAACCAAAGGAGTAGTACCGGCATCAAATCCAATTAGTGGCAGAAAGATGGGTGAAAGTAGTTGAAAACAAGGGATTTAAGATTGAAGAGTAGCATTCAATAATGTTTAAAACATATTAATATGAAATAAAGCTATGCACAAGGACTTGTGTAATAACCTAGTAGTAGCTGTACATATATTATAGTCTACAAAGAAAATATATTGTAATTATTTAAGTATATAGCTTACATCACTTGCATGAACAAATATAGACCAATGGAAACAAATTAATTTTCAATTTTGGAGGACTTCAGCCTCAATGTCCTCCCTTTCCGCAGATCTGCTAGTGGTCAATAATATTGCATACATAGAAATATTCTGATTTCATGTCTTGCATTTTCTAGGTAGAAGTCATAATTGTATAATACCAAAATATGATTTACCACAAAAAAGCAAGAAATTTCTCAATACAATTCTTCATCTTAATATTGACTCAATATTAAGATGGAGAATCAGATTGTGAATTTTTTATGTGATGAATCATGTTTTGATATTATACAATTATAACTTTTACCTAGAAAATGATAGACAAAATCAGAATATTTTTCTATCATACAGGAGTTACCATCTCCCCCCACCCCAAAGTCAATGGCCCAAGAACATATCCCCCTTCCTCCTCCCAAGATATTTTATTGCTCAAATTTTATTAAAAACAGAGCAGCTAAGTTAGAATTAGAAAAATAGTAGATCATATAAAATTACACTTGCCTGCGGTATGTTCCATATTTTTCCCTTAGTCTGAAAATTGATAACCTTGTCAAAATTTGGCCCCCACAAAAATTCAAAAAACGCCTCAAAACGTGCTCCCCTCAAAAATTTTGAGGCGCAATAACATATGCCCCTTCTTTCTCCTAAGATATTTTATTGCACACCTTTTCTTCAAAACAGAGCAGCTATGGTAGAATTAGAAAAATCGTAGATCATATAACATTACACTTGCTGCGATATGTTCCATGTTTTCCTCCTTTTCCCTTAGTCCGAAAATTCAAAAACCCGTCAAAATATGCCCCCCTCAAAAATGGTTTTGAGGGTGCAACTTGCACCATGAAAAATGTAGGCATAGACACTCAGCTGGTGTGTAAATAGAATGAGGGAAATATGAAGTACATAATACCAGAAACTTGAAATAAGATTATAACTAATTAATTCTTTAAAAAATGCAATCTATGTATATGGCAATTATAGAGGAACCTCCATACTGTCTTGTGTATACAAAATGTTGCTCAACATTCTCATTCTGTGTTGGCAATAATAGTATATTCCCACTTTCAAAAAACAGTTTGGGCCCTGAAACATTGTAGTAGTTTTCAAGAACGATCAACGATTGCCCTTATTTTCTGCTTATGTATCACAGTTATGAAATGGTACGAATATCTTCTTCAAATACACACCAGACGAGATGGATGAGAATGATTTGCAAAAGTAAGAGGCATTTCATGGAGGCAGGCGAAAACTTTTTTAAATGTTTCGACCATGAATGGATAGAAAACCACGAACAGTTTATTATTCAAACCCAAATAAAAGTCTCTGAAGATAAGTTTTAATTCATTGAAGTTATATTAATACAATGCATTTAATTTTTACCACTTACAATGACAACCAACACCTATCTACGGAGGGGGAGGGGGAGGGGAGAGAAAGAGTGAGGCTTTCGGGCTGAAGTCCTCCCAAAATGGTAAAATATAATCATGTTTTATGAAAAAAATTATCTCTAAAAGTATTATTGTTCGTTTAATTACAGTTAATAGGACTTAAAGAACATTTTATAAAGATAGTTATATTCTTTCTTTCTTACGAAATAATTATTCTACTATATTTATACAAAAAAAAATAATCTATCGGGCTGAAGCCCCCGTTCCAAAATTAAATCTTGGATCGATCCGTTAGGGAACAACACCATAGACAATTTTTCTATTATGTTCCTCACGATGATTTAAAATTAAACAACAATATATCGCTCGAGTTAGATGTGTATCTTTCGGTAGTTGCACGTAAAGCAGGAGATATTGGAAAAAGTGGGCCGGTGCAATGGGGTAACAAGAATGTTTTTACAAATCAATTTTTTGGACTACCTTAAAATCAGCGTTTCCGTCATAATTTTTATTTTATTTTCCTTTTGGTCAGTCAAATGTTCCCAATTTTACCCTCAAAACGAACTTAAAAATTCTTTCCGCTCAAATATATACAAAATAATAAGTAATATTTTATGTAACCACTGATTTTATGCCTGCTTTATCTATATTATTAAAACAATCGATTAAATTGTGCTCAGATTGAGATTTGATTAATAAAATTGTTTCCATTTTTTCCCTTCCATCCTTGGAATTGCCTTCAATAGGGAACTTTTTCGCCAAAGTGTCAACCCTTCTTAAAACATGTAGACTAAATGTCAGAGGCCCTTTAATGAGGTTTGGAAAAACAACTGACCGATTAAGTAGCTTGCAATATATTGTTCCCACTATAGTTAGTCGAGATTAAAACATTAATAAATATTTCAAGGATAAAATTTTACAAAAATGTTATAATTAACATTGTTTGGGATGTAGGAGGTTATTCACTTTCTTCAATTACTTGATATGCCTAAACGCGTGGCCTTATTGATAATAATCAAAGTAGTATAGGCGATAAATGAGTCATCTGTTTATGTTAATATCTCACTAATCAAGAAATTAATAAAAGTTTTTAGTTACACTCCTTTTATTTTATTTTTGTTCGTTTTAATGAAGACAAAAAATTAAAAATAGTATGATATAAAATATAATATAGATTAAGTTGAAGCTAGAGTATTATTTTATGCAAAACTATTCCAGTCATAAAAAATGATTAAAGATGAATATTTCGAAGGAGATTATAGGAGAAGACCTTCACAGAACTTTTCTGGAGCTAGGCCGAGTCGAAAAATCCTAGAATTCATAAACAAAATCAAGCAGGAGAGAAAGAAAAGGGAAACCAGCAAGACGGAAATTGAGAAAGCTATTCTTATACAAGCAGTTTTTAGGGGTCAAGTATGTCGAAAATACATTAAAAGCAAATTGACTAATGAACTTAATGATAAAATTTCAGAAATAAGTCGAAAAGATTTAAGAAATATCGAATTAGACTTGAACGATATTCGGTACCTAATAAGCCACATGCTACTAATATATTCCAGAAATTCTTTCTCTACTACTGGTATTAAAGAAAATTGTGATTGTGACAATATAAGGTACATTGTTCATGTAGTTTCTAAATATCAGAAAAAAGTTAATTTAGCTGTTTTGAAAGATAAGGATTGGCTATGGAGAATAACATATTTGCTTGGTATATACATGGACTTCATTAAATCGCATCAGCATAATTTTGATGAAACAATACTTACAGTTTTAGACACAATGAAAAATTTTATAGACACTGACATTACCAAAGAATGTGAGCTATCTAATGATAAGCTCCAAATATCATCATCTAAACTCATAGAAAAACTACTGTCTAATGGCCTTTTCAAAAATTTAATTATGTTGTTAGAAAACAAAAGTACAGTACCACCCCATTCATTAATTAACTTAACTACTCTTATACATGATTTATTTAAAAGTATATTTCAAGCAATGAGTTCTACGAACAATGTCACTTTTCTTAATATATCTTTGAGGTTGTTAGCTGAAGAGATACTGTGTAAAGACTTAACAGCTGAAATTAAAAGGCTCGTTTTCTTTTCTTTTCATGAGATTGAAACATTTCCGATTGAAGCGCTTTGTGAAATAATGTACAACTCTGATGACAAACAAGTATGCTCCATTCATACTTTACAAAACTTTCTTATCTACTTTGAAAGAGAAAAGATTTTAAGATCTGTTGAAGAGCAAAGGGCATATTTCCAGCTTTTATCTAAGCTTACCATGAGCATACCATTGTTAGGAAACTGTAGAGACTGTGTTGATGACACACCTGATGAATTTGACAGTGATAGCGATGATATTGAACATGGTATTTTAAATGACTGCTTAGACCTAATCAATAGTACTGAAAGAACTGACAAATGGAACTCTGCTTTACTTGCTATGATAAAAAGAAAAGATTATGATGGGTTGTTGTGGTTCTGTAAGTGCTTATATCATGTTTGGCTTCATGATTCTCCTCCTATTTATAAATATAGGCTCATCAGAAAAATTGGGTTTCAACCATCTTTTTTGAAAGCATTATGGAATTATATCAATCAACAAAAAAGAATTTTGAGTTTTTCTTCTCAATTGCTCAGCGTAACTGTTTTAAGTATGTTGTCAGCTGGAGTTTTTATAACAGCCGAGGAAGCAGACAAACTAATACCAACTATGACAATGTTCTGCTTCTTGTTAAAAAATTATATTGCACTATCAAGTGATGAAACTTTGCATAATGGAGAATTGCTATCAGAGGCAGGGCATCCAGTCGCATTTTCCTTGAATGATATAGTTTCAATTTGCAGTGTATTTAAGGAGGTAACAATAGGAATTATTTCACTAGCATTTCCATCCTTAACTTTTGATGGAACCGAACAGAGATTAGATTTGTCAACTCCAACCCAACATTTGAAGTTGAATTCCTTGGAATGGAAAACTCTTCTTGAACAAATTGTAAGTTTGTTGAAGTCATTGTATGACAGAGATTGTCGACAGCAATTCACAGATGATTCATCACACTGGTTATCAAGTGCAATGGAAGACTCAAATCAATTATTTTTTCAATTGAAAGGATTTGAAAATATAAGCCTATTCTCTTCCAACCTCTTCTCTTCACTTCAACAGAATACAATTAAACCATTTACTGTTGCCGAATGTAGGTATCTTACTGTCATAAAGACTTTGCCATTCACAGTCAGTTTTCTTAAACGTTTTTCACTTTATCAAAAGTATATTGCTGAAGATAAACTGGAATTTCAAGATCCAAACCTGCATTTCTTAAATGTTTCTAATATACTTTTAGGAATTCGGCGTGACTACCTATATGAAGATACTTTTGAAAGGTTGCTTTTAGAGCCTGAGATTAAAAGAGTGATAAGAGTCAATTTGATCAGCACTGTTGGTGTTGAAGAACAAGGAATTGATGGTGGAGGGATGTTCAGGGAATTCATATTGGAATTTCTTAAAACAGCATTTGATCCTAACAGAGGTTTTTTTATAATGACTCGTAACAATGAATTTTATCCTAATCCTAACATCCATGTCATATGTAATGACTACAAAACACACTATAACTTTATAGGAAAGATGCTTGGAAAAGCTTTATTCGAAAATATAGTAGTCGAAGTGACCTTGGCTGATTTCTTTCTGACTGAGATTTTGGGTTTCTACAATGAATTTTACCTAAATGGTTTAGCCAATCTAGATCCAGATTTATACAAAAACCTGATATCCCTGACTTGCTATGAAGGAGATTTATCTGAATTAGGATTGGATTTTACATTAACACTTAATGATTTTGGAGAAAATAAAGTGGTCGAATTGAAGCCCAATGGAAAAGATATTCCAGTAAATGGAGAAAATGTACTCGAGTATGTTTATTTAGTGGCACAATGTAAGGTTCATTCACAGATCAAAGAGCAAACATCTTCCTTTTCTCAAGGATTGGACAATGTTGTTTCTCTTGAATGGCTAAATATTTTTACAGCTAAAGAGTTGCAAATAATTATTTCTGGAAATAAATGTCCAATAGATGTTGATGATATGAAAGCACATACTGTTTACACAGGAGGTCACACACAAGACCATCCCTCAATTGTAATGTTCTGGAGGGTTGTAAAGTCACTTAGCAATAAGCAGCGAAGTTTGCTATTGCGGTTCGTCACCAGTTGCTCGAGGCCACCTCTTCTTGGCTTTAAGGAGCTCTATCCACCTTTCTGTATCCAACTTACAGACTATGATGACAACAGGCTCCCTACTTCAAGTACTTGTATGAATATGCTAAAATTGCCCATGTTCACCAATGAAGATGCAATGAAAGAGAGGCTCATATATGCAATACAATCAAGATCTGGATTCGATTTGGCTTAAAAAAATTAAATTATCTTTTTGAAAAAAATTAAAATCAACAAAGAAATTAAGTGACCTAAATAGTCAAGCTTTGATCAGCAAGCCAATCTGATTGTTTTAAATATATCAGAATTTCCAAATTTTACAGACAAGGTCAACATCTTTTGTAATTGTCTTTGTCTATTTTCAGTAAAGCATCTACTGTAAATATTAAGCAACAATTTTACCCAACATGTGCAGTGGAAACAATGGTCAGAGTAATTAAGGAAGGTATGTTTAAATGTTTAGTCAATGTGACTATTAATAATGATATATAATCAACCACAGTGCATGTTAAAAGTAAGACATTAATACCAAAAGGAAATATATCCATTTAAAAATTAACTAAAACTTGAAATATAATGTTAACAATAAAATTTCTTTAAGCATTAACCATTACTTTGTCAAAATGTACCAAACCAATTATTAGTCTAGTGATCTTCTTAGCTGCTCTAAACGAATACAATATGTACAACTGTGGCCAACTAGGAAAATATAAAAGAGATTCAATAGTTAGCCTCATAACAACCCAAACTATATTATGATAAAGAAACTTAAGTCAGATTCTGATAGTGGGGGAGAAATAGTTCTAGCTCCAGCCATCTGAGTTATTCCCAGAACAAATTCAAGTACTCATTTTAAGGCCGAATAGAGCCCAGAAGTATATACCAAGTCAGTCTTATATATGTAAGAAAACTGTAACTGGAATTTAGACCATAAAATAAAGTGACAGTCTAAGAGGTTCAACTCAACTCTAAGAGACAAAAATAATAAGCCACAAAGTGGTTAATGGTAGTCAGTGACAAGGTGGAGTGAATATTTTTGATGAAACAAACTGTAAAACACTACCATGATCAGAAAATGAGTAAACCAAAACATAAAGAGAATTTTACAGAGCATATTTGCACAACGTGTACATTGGTATAATATTTCAATTTCAAGATAAATATGATGCATTTTTTTTATTACTTATAAAATATAGAGGAATATAACTGGTATTGCATGCATTAAATAAATATTGTAAATTGATAATTATTTTGTTTAACACCAAGTATTTTCTTTACATTCTGATAGTTAATATTAAAAATTACTGTATATTCTATTTTTCATGAATATGTTTAGAAACACAGAGTTATAAGAATCTAATCTAAAGAAAACCTGCTATTAAGAATTAGACATTATTAACATAGCTATAATTTTTATAATTTAGTTTGTAATCACAACAATAGTTTAGTTCTATTGAATCAGTGAGCGATTTTTTGAATAAATTAGTGTAAATCATTTTGATATGAATTGTCAGTTTCCATTTTGAAAAAGAAAGTGACTATTTTAGTAATTTCAAGTTTAAAAAAACAGGATAACTATTGCATTAAAAACAGGTATAATAAATACAAAACTAATTAATAAAAATTAAATATTTATTAAAAAGTAGGGATACAAAACAAGGCCAAATTCGATTGGGGCACCATTGTTGTAGCCATTTTAAAAACTACTTAACAAAGTAAAGAAAGAATCTTCAGATAATTTAATATTATATTTATATAAATATATTTGTGTATATATATATATTAATATATACAATTCGATACTATATTTACAATATATACTTCATTTAAATAATTGACGGGTGTGCATCATTAAAGAGCTTCCCATGAAAATGTAAAATATAAAATTAAAACAGAATGAGAAAGATTAAAAAAAAAAAAATTAAATCCTTAAGATTAATCAGCTATTGATTGACAATAGGTTTGATCAATTATCTTACTAAATAGCTTTTATTCTTTTTTAAAACAACACAGCCAAGCACATAATAAATCACCAGACAAAGTTTGGTACTTTTTTTATACCAATTTACTTATTGTACATATATAAAATATATTTTCTCTTCAATAATAAATAGATAATAGCTATCAAATATATATAACATATATATATATGTATATCTACATCGGTTATATTATGTACAAATCTTACATAAGCATTTTCCTAAAAATTTACAAAGAAAAAACTTTTGATTTTTCGATTGTCGTAGAGAGAAAGAAGGAAGCAGTTTCCCTCATCTGGTAAGCATCAGCAGCCGAGGCAGTTGGTAGTACTGTCATTGTGGCTCCAGGTCTACCATCACTATAACAAAACACTTGTATTTTAATAAACACATAACAAGTAGTATAAAAACATATAAACAAGTAGTATAAAATCATATATATTTTAACTATAGCTCATCCAAAAGAATAAGACAATAATGAGAACAGACGTAACAGGAAAAGAAACCCTTGCCTTTTCGGTATTTCAAAGTTTTTCCACCACTGTAATTTTTTGAACTGTTTCTCCCAGTTTTTAAGTTAATTGGGGAACATGAATATGGAACAAGTAAATTCAATTGTTAGAGAAGTGTGTGCAGTGCCTTTTGGAAGTTCTTAACCCCCCCTCTTTCTACCATTTTTAAGACTGCTCACATTTACTGAGATCGATTTGTCCTCCAAATCGATTTAGAAGGTTTTAAATTGTTATGTAAATTCAGTTGCTACTAGAGCAGTATCGTTTGGGTGTCAAAAGTTTTTTTCATACATTAAATTAGGAAAAAAAAATATAAGATATTGAAGAACATATCAAGCAGATATTCATCAGTTTAATTAATTTTGGAATTCTATTTCATTTCTTCAGGTAAATGAGCTCCACACAAAGCAACATGGTTGGACAACATTAATTGAAAGGAAACAATAAACAGTCTTTTTCCTGTGATTTTGTTATAATGATGTGCGGTGTCTTATTTTGTATTTGATATTACTGCGATTTTAGTGAAGTTGAAGAATATTGATATTCACAGTTATAATTGCTGCTTGTACCGAAACACAAGAAGAACGATATGGACAAAAGATTGTCAAACATTTAACGGGAGAACTTAAAGTGGCACCAATGTCAGATAATATAAGTTTTTTTCGCATTAACCATACTAATTCTAACTAGAATGAGAAGGTTGAGATTCATTTCGTGGGTCCATCACTGATTTGAACCAGCAATAATCTAACATGTTCAGCCATTACGACTTCATTGGATGACGACAGTGCAAAATTTTTTGATGATATAGAACCATTAAAATGGACCTGCACCTGGGGCTGGAATTAAAAAATAATAATCCCTACCAATAAGTAGTTTTCCTTACTTTAAGAAGCTATGTGCCAAATCTTGAGAAAATTGAACAATATAGGATGTGTGAATAAGTTTAAAAATTAAACTTTATTTATAAAAAAATGGTTAGATGCAGGTTACTAAAAATATTGTCCATCGCCAACCATTACTTTCTTCCATCTTTCAGATAATGTACGGATTCCACATTGAAAAAAAAGAAACGTCTTTTGAGGCAATGCTATCATCAACCCATTTGTTAGTTTCATTATAAGAATAGAAGCGCTGCTCGGTGAAGCTATAGGTCAGCAATTGGAACAATTGATAGTCAGGAACAGTGTTTGGTGAATACAGCGGGTGGGGCAAAACTTCCCATTTCAGTGTTTCCAAATATGTTTTAACCGGGTTTGCAGCATGAGATCGAGAGTTATCATGCAGTAAAATTACCTTATCATGTCTCTGCTCGTATTGTGGTCGCTTTTGCTGCAGATCTAGACTCAAACGCTTCAGTTGTAGTCTATAGTGAATTCTTGTGATGGTTTCATTGGGCTGAAGCAGCTCGTAATAAATGACACCACTAAATGCAAAGCATAAGCTTGGAAACATGAATGTTTGGCTTTGCTCTCGATGTTGAGGTGTGTCCGGGTAGTCCTCACGATTTTTTTTTCAATTTCTTCGCTTTTGAACCATTCCTAATTAGTAAAAGACTAATTTCTTTTAAATTAAAAAGTGCATAAATTTAACATTTTTTTTTCTTTCAAAAATATCTTTTTCCAAGCTTGAATACCTGTTTGTTACCTTTAATATAATACATTCTGTATGAGATAGTTGGCTTATTTCGGAGTTGTATGGTTATAAAAGTTTGGTTGGAAAGAGAGAGAAAGGAGTCACAATCTGAATTTAATTTTGTGTGAGCAAAAAATGATTTCATATTAACATTTAGATTTACACTGTAGGTTATTTTTAAATAGGCAAACCAGCCTCAAGGTCACTTAGCCACTTTTTTAAAATTTCGATTATGCACAATATGATCTATTTGAATAAATAGATAAAGTGTTTTTGGTTTAAGATATTAACATGAATTCTCTTATAACAGATTGAACAGTTTGAACAAACATTATTGTGTTTAGTTAAATATTTCTTCAAGTTAATAGAAATCAAGCATTAATTCGCTATTACTATCAAAATTCTGGAAAAAATCCTTATATACATTTAAATCATAAGTGAATTTCCTTTGGCAAATATGAAATTATAACTATTTAGTATCAGTGGTCTTGTTGAGATAAAAGCTAGGGGATGGTGTAAGTGTTTCAACATCTAAGCAGCCTATACTCACAATACATATGTCATAACCTCCTGAGGGAAGCCACGCTCAGCGACGACTGCTTAGATCTTCGGGTTGGCTGCACTGATAGCGGAGCCACATACTGGGTCACTGTTGGGGAATTATTGTTGGCCAGCTCCTAACAGCCACATAACACCAGTATTAGGCATATCACTATACAAAACGCATCTCACTTACTTAAAATTAAAAATTAATACCATCATAATAAAGTAATATATAATCAAATCAGTTTTATTTTGGAAAGAATCAAATTATAGGAAAACAAATAAAAACTGAATATAAAATAACTCTACTGGGACCAACAGAAATTTTATTAAATGCTAATTTATTCATATTTTCATATTCAATTGTGTATTGAGTGAAATAAGGCATACAAAATGTCAATAATGGGGAAAATAGACCTTCATCGGAACATAACTTGGATATTTCTGCTCTAATAGAATCTGCTCTAATGTGGAATCAGCTTATTTCTATGACCGGTAGCAAATGAGAACAATAACAAAAAATATAGAAAATATCATAAGATGATTGTAGATCACCAGCAAAGTTCCACTATTACACCAACCAATAAGACAATTCCATAAAATCTAAATTGCTATTGCTATATATTATATATATATATATATATATGTATATATATATATATTTGTATATGTAACATACGAGTTGAAAACATGCTATGTAAATTTATTATTTCACCCTTCAATACAATAAGAAAAAACTCTATTTAATAATATGATAATGTCAATGATGAATTTTCTTTTAAAATTATTAATGTGGAGAATAGAAATACAAAAATTACAAATACAAGTATAGGACCTAGCCAATCAGATATCCAACTCATTAATATGTCATTACTTTAAAAGACTATTTTCTGCCTGCCTGACTAATCTTTAGAAGGAGCCATCTGGAGTAAATCATCATTTCTAAACGAGTCGTAGTTTTATACATAAATAGAATTTAATTACAATAGCAATATACGAAATGAGGTCTTGATTGATTTAGCCAAGCTAAAGTCTAATTGGAATAATTAATAACAGAAGGTATAATGAGTAAGGACAATATCTTATGTAAAGAGCTATTTTTATTTGTTAATTGCAAATAATGCTTAGATTATTTGTAAAATGAATACCACATAGTCACAGGTAGAGAACTTATTTCATCAAAGAAAGATTAATCCTGCAGTCGATTCATTGAAGAATGTACACACCACAAATTAAAATCTACGCATTAAAGATACTCACAGATATATTGGTGCAGCTGGCTAGCCTCATTTGAGCCAGTTGTGTTGCTGCTGGAGTGAGGTTGGTAGTGCTGCCAAACGGAGACATCATAGTCGACACAGCCCGCTTCAACTTATTAGGTGTCTTGTTAAAACTAAATGCTCGGCCCACTTTCATTCTAGTCCTCGAGGCAAACCTGAGAAAAGTTTATTCGTAAATATAAGGATCATAATCCATGCAGTTATCTGCATTAAATATAAGACTTTTAAATTAAAAATATTGTGAAAGAGTGCAAACAAAAATAACTTCTTTAAATCTTTGTCATTACCTACAGATTTGATGACTATTTTATATACAACTTACACATATTGGCTAAATTACAAAAGGGTGAGTGAAACTACAAGTCGGCTCTGAAATGGGTTCAAGCGAAAAAAGTATGATCTATATTTAAAGAAGCAAGCTAAATTAATAAATAAAATGTTGTTTTTTAAATATGGAGTCAGAAATACATATACTTTGTTTAATCCTAGTATTTTTTGTATATATTATGAAGCTTTATAAATTTAAATAAAAGATGCTTTAGATTTTTTGGCTTATATAAAATCTTCAGCACACTATGCATTACAGTAACTGAAAAATGGAGAGGTGTGATGTTGGACCTTAAAATCACCTGATACTCCATCGAACCTAATCCAAAGCCCTCGGATATTTTCATTAAACTGTTCCTTGATCTAAGAAGTGAAATATGAGGAACTAATTATAATTTGAATTGGCTTCAGCGGCTCTAATAGCTGCTATCAAAGGTCTCCAGAACTTAAGACAATTAATTCTTTAGGAGGCTGCTTTAAAGAAGAGGTATAGTGAGTACACATTTTTGAGCTATAAAAAGCTCTCAAGTTTCTAAATCATCATCAATCAGATTAGCAGAGATGATTCATTAAGGTAATATTTTCCTCTTTCTTTTTTTTTAATGCTTATTTCAGGATACTGAATAGAATTTCAATATCAACTGAGCTACTGTACTGACTTTCTTTCTAATGTTTTGTTTTGGAAGACTTAATCATTTGTTTTGCAATTTAATTTATTGCAATGGAGGAGGGTGTGAAAAAAACAAAACAAAAAACGTGAGACCTCAAAAAGCACTGCTCAAACACCAGCAAATTTTCAACCTCCAAACTCGAGTAAAGGGAGGACTCTCTAAACCTAAATAGGAAGGGATACAAAAGTGTAAAACCTTAAAAAAAAAAAGCAAAAATCAACAAGAAAAATAAGATAGGAAAAAAAAAGTTGAGGCATTTCTCCAACTCCAATTCAAATAACTTACAAAATTTTGGCCCTCTAACTTTATTTTGAAGGGCTATAGAGGTTCCAAAAGATATAAAATGCACCACCACCCCTCCGATGCCCTTTAATATAATGTAATGGTCTTAAAGTCTGAATTTAAAGGAAAAATGTGCTTATTTGAGATGTATGATAAGTACGGTAGACTATATTAAAAAGTATTGTGGATCATATTAATTTTCCCTGTTGGAATACATAAAGTTCTTCCTTTGTTATTATTTATTCAAACTCATTATTATTAAAAATAATTTTTTTTTTTAAATCAAACACCTAGATCCTAAATAAAAACAACTAGATAATAGTAATTATAAATCGCCTTTGGAGAAATACTTGTGGGTGCTTCACTTGTTACATCAGAAACTAAATCTATTGAAGAGACTCACTTCAAAGAGACTGAGCAGCTCCAGAATTAATCCATGATGACAAAATTCCTTAGCATTTCTCAAACTCATAATACACTTACCTGATTTTGTTGAATTTCTAAGCCCAGATGAACTCTGGGAACAGCCATTCCTTTACAAACATATTGGAATGATGTATTTCAGCTCATCTGATGAATAATTTACACGATAATACGAATGGTTGACGAAGATTAATTATGAAAACACCACTGGACTACTCTTACATACAGTTAATTTTTTCCAGTTCCAGTTAGTTAATTTAGAGAAAAAAATAATAAAATAAAGAAGATAAATATATTTTAAGTCTTATCATCATCGAGCTCCAGTTCTCTACCAGCTTTCATCAACATTGTTGTATGTAGTTTTATGGTTTCGGTACCTTTGCTTAAAAATACCAAATCATCAACGAACGCGAACACAGATATTTTTCACCCAGATTCAAAGTCTTTTCATTCGGTATGTATCACCTGTAAAATGGTATTTATAGTGCTAAATTAAATGGGACTGATGAAAGGAACTCATTTTCTTTTAAACTTAAACGAACATCAAACTTCTTTTAAAAATAATTACCGATTCTAAGTTTATTTAATGTTTTATTCATGTATATCGTTATTACATTTACTAACTTTTATTTGGTATTGCCTGCTCAATAAAAATATTATAGAGCTTCAGAAGATCAAGCAAATTATAAGCCTTCTTGAAATTTATAAAAGCTCTGCTATACTCAAATTTCATCTTTAATATTTGAACAAGATTCAAAGTAATAAATGTGCCAAAAATATAACTTTTTATGATGATTAGGTTCTTTCTAGTAAATAAAAATATTATTTAGTTCTGATGTATAGTCAGATCTCTACACACACATCCAAAATGAAGATATAAAAAAAAAAAAAAAATCGATACAAAGAAATTTCAAAGGACGGGATCTTTATCTTTTATGGTTATCATACTAAAAACATTACAATTATTTTTTATAGGGTTAAATAATGACAGCTTTTTTAGATTATATAAATTACATTTCAATATTGTTTCTATCAAACTTAAGCATAAGACGTTCTAAATCTTCTCCTAAACCTTCAAACATTTAAGCTCTGCTATAAACTTTATTATTCCAGATTTTTATATCTTTTGAGAAAATTGTTTTTACACAACAATAAAAAGTAATTTCATTTATTAAATAACAGCTAATGTAGGAAATAGACTATTTAAAAATTATTTTATTAAAAAATAATCATTAAAAGAAAAAAAAAATCCAATATGTTTAGAAAGTTGAGCTGAGAGAGGTTGGATGTTATTATGATTTGCATCAGTACACGCCTCACTACGGTGAAATCTGGCTCTTCCTCTAGTTCTCACCACAGCTTCCTGATGCACTGTTATTTAAAGTTTTTAGCTCAATACGAACCTTTCATTATTCTTAAAAAAAAAAAACGATTATAAACATTTTTTACAACTTGAATTTAAGTTCAAGTGAGTATAGCTTTTTTCAGTGAAATTCTTAGTTTTTTCAAACAATTTCATAATTTATTCGACCAATTTCATGCAGTTAATTTAATGAGGTGTCATTATCAAAAACTCATAAGGAATTCGTATGAAATTAAAGAATTCCCTACTTATTTATTTATTTTTCTAAGTAGAACATCAGTCTCAGTTATTTGCCGGTCTTGTTACGGCACACCTTAGCTGTCAAACATGAGTTGCGATAGTTCATCTTCACAGAAGCCTGTGAACAGAGGCATAGATTCCGGAATTCGATTGTGAGTCTTCATCTGCATCTTCACAAGGTTCAATGGCCAGGCCATTATACAACAAGCAACGAACAGGAGGTAAATATTATATTAATACACAACCACAAAAACAGTTATTAATCAGATTGGTTGAACGAGGTCTCGCAATCAAGGATAGTGCAATAGAATCTGGTCTCAAAGCTCCAACAGCATAATCTGTTTATAAAAAATACAAATCAAATGAATGTAATGTTGTTGATAAAAAAAATAGGTGGTACCCTCTTTAAAGAAAAAGCAGCTTAAACCTTCTAAAGAACTTGACTGCATGAACTCAAGAGTTGGCCATTGAGCAAAGAAAACGGTATGCTCTACATTTTAAAAGGTGGATACCTCAAAATTGCTCTCTCATCGTCTTCATCGATGAATCTGGATTGAACTTAAATTTAACAAGAACGACTTTAATTTATAAAGACTGTGATGTTCTCTATAGAAAAATAAATAAACAGAGGAAATTCTCTAATTCCTTTCGAATTCCACATGAGTTTGTTGATAACGATACCTCATTAAATTGAATGTATGAAATTGGTTGAAAGAAATATAGGATTCACTGAAAAAAGCTGTAGCTCAAATTCATGCAATTTCTCCCCCCCCCCCCTGCAAGTACCTAATTTCCACCTAAAATAACTGAGTAAGAAAGGAATAGTAATATACAAATTTTTAATTTTTGGGGCATTTAATTCCATGTAACAATGAAAATGTATTTTAGGACAGTCTTAGATTCATTAATAAGAGTGTAAACAAAAGAAAAAAAAAATTAAACAACAGATATAATCAATTGATTAATTGAATATGCTTACGGAGTTAAGGATGGCTAGTCTTTGTATTTTACCATTCCTTACTATTGCTAGTTCACTTAGCAACATATAGAGTGAGCCATTTTAGATGAAAAGTAAAAGAAAAAAACTCCAATAAGGTACGGAGTGTGGAGAGTGTGCACACAGAATAATAGAACATTGGGGCAACTTAATATTTTTAATTTAAAAATTAAAAAAGAGTACTAACAATCTATCACTAAATGAGTAAGATACAAAAATGTAAATTATTCCAAACATATAGAAAATCAAACAAGAGCCCATGTTTCATGTTGAATCCTAATATCTTAATGTAGAATCATAACCGAGTAGCCAAATATGGATTTCCAATGAAAAAATGAGCAGTTACAGTTTACTTTCGGACAAAAATTAATGAGAAAAGTAAAAAACTACTCACATATACTGTAAATAGGAATGTATCAATAAATAATCTTTATCAATAAAAACTAAGGTTTTGAACATATATAGATCTAGCCATACAATCCGAATAAAGTAATATAAATCAGTTGAACAAGATTAATTATTTTTCATATTTTAGATTAAAAGATCTCACGGGTTTTACAAAGTATATTATTTATCTTTAAAATTGATCACGGTGTGAATGTACTCTCTGAACTCTATTACGAGTGTCCTTAACTGAGACAGATTGTAATATTTCTCAATAAAAAAAATTTATTAATTCCCTTAAGAAGGATATTTTGAATTATAAACTAAATAAATGTTGAAGAAATTTGTGATATAAGCACCAATCCAAACAAACAATATTGATGAATAATGAAAAAAATATGAAGATTAGAAAAAAAAATGAACAAAAACTTTAAAACATTTTTTGTAATGCAATCTTAGATTTGTTAAATTGTGGCTTTAGGACACAATGGGGAACTCAAAATTAGATAACACTTTTTCTCTCTCCAATTTCGAAGGATATTAAAATTGTCATGCATATTTGTAATTCTATTGCTTTCTTCAGACGTCATTCAATATTAAACACTTATTTTAAATGTGAAAGAAAAATGAACTTGGAGAACAACCCGGACGGTAAATGGCTTATGGCAGAAAAACAATATTTGATTATATATTTGGATTGCCATCTATATATGCCACACCTTAATCGAAAAAAGTTATCTTAGAACTTGGATGCTAAGATGAAAATCTTAATTCCATTAATTTTCTGACAATGCATTCTATATTTTTCAATTTCCAGATTTTAATAAAAAATAATTTAATATCATGAGTATCAAATAAAGAATTATGAAAAATCATAGAAGATCATTTGCTTTCAAAAATTTGACCAAAATAACATGATTTTTCGTCATCATAGTGTTAGTGACCACAGGAGAATCTTATAGCAGATCCAAATGGATCAGAAACAGTGAAGAAGCATTTTCCATCCCATAATACACTAATAATAATAAAAAAATAATCAATAGGATAGTCAGGAAGATTCAAAGGCAAATCATAGGAGAAGCCAAACTACAACACATAGACAAGGCACTACATAATACATAGGTAATATAAACATGACACATGCACTACAGAAACAACATAGATGGAATAAAGATAAAAGATAATAAATAAAAATTGCAAATAAGATAAAACGAAACAATGAAATATATTTGGAGCTAAAAGATATAATTACAAATTATGCTGATAGATAAGCTGACAATAATCCAACAGCTCTACATAACATACATTATACATCTAAATAAACAATTTTACTAACTTAAACGCCTTTCCAAGGGTACCAAGGCCAACGTCGCTTGTTTCGATATCGAGATTCTTAGGATCAAGCGTTGCCAAGAAATTATCCTAAAACAACAAAAGAATGATATCATAAAACAGAAAATGAAATCTGACTTATTTTAAAAACTACAATTAAAATTAAAAACATATGAATTATTAAGTTAAGTCAGATGTGTCAATAGATTGCAAGCAATCATTGAGTGTACAGTTAGATTGTTAAGAAAGGATTCAGTAATCAGTACATTTTGATAACATTATGTACCCTTCATTAGAGGAAAACTGCCTGTAAACTCTAGCCCCGAATCATAACAATGCAATATCTTGAAACTTGATGCTATACCTACAATAAAATATAATTAGATGTTTCCATGATACATCCTATCATGCAGTTAACATTACTTTTTATCCCACACAATCCATATAATCTAAATCAAATGAAACAATAGAAAAACTATAAACACTACTGTTTAAAATGTTTTAAAAAGTTATTTGATAAAATTTACAACTGTCCACAAGAACTCCCAAGGAACTGAAAACATTTTCCTTTTATTTTCGGTGATATTTTCAAAATATAGGTTTTTAGGGTGTTGTCACAATGTTTTGTACAAAAAAATCATTAAAGCTACTTTAATTAATAATTACAATGATTTTAAAAATGTATTGTACCAACGAGTTATTTTTTAATATTTGCATATCTCCTTTAATCTGCTCCGAAAAAAAAAACAATTGTTTTGATGGAAGAGCCATGTTAGAATATTTTTCAAACTTGAAACATATAATTAAGAAATTTCATCACATTATTTAATTTTCTTTCAAGTCCCAAATGAACAATTGCATGTTGATCTGTTTTCAATGTAGAATCACAAAAAAATGTTGATCTATAACAGACATACCATACTCCCTTTGTCAGTATGAAGTCGCTATATTTAATTTAACCCGCCATGTTAAATTTAATTAGTTAATAATAAATTTAATTAAATGCAACTGCAGCAGATACTCCATAATTAGCAATTTGAATACCTTTATCTATTATTAGTCCAATGAATACCCAATGGGCATGATGGACTTACGAGAAACAAGGATCTATTGATTTAATTTTATGTATTTATGTAAGGGTTCCATTAGTATCCATAGATAAATAAGTCTAAAATCTGGTTATAATGATTTTCATAAACATTAAAATTGTTCAAACAATATTCAATCAGTGATAATTAGAGGATGATGATTCTTTAATTTGTTTTTACTAATAAAATCGACTGATTCCTGATTAGAAAAAAAACCATTGATTCATTTAAAATCAACCATAATCTAACAAATTTCAAATTATTGCTTTTAAATATTATTTCCTCATTAAAATCATATTATTAATTTATTGTTTGTCAAATAAATCATTATTAAAATAATATTTGATTATATTAGGTTAAAGAAATAAACATTTATTTTACTTACAGCATCAGGCCTACAGGCATTATTCGCCATCTGCCTACAGAGAGTTTTTAGAAACAATGACTTTTCTGTCTCATCATCGGTTATGGTAAACGTATAAAGCTTTTCCTTCAAGTCATCAGTTGAACGACACATCATTGCAAATACATTATGACACACTAGAAAAAAAAAAACATGATTGTCTTCTAAAACTGTTATCATTATTCAGTTTTCATGTTCATTATTGTTAGTGTTCTATTTCCAATATTCAGCCTTTTCTCATAGAAAATATTTTAAATAATAATCAACTGTTTTTCCATTTATAGAGGCCAATAAAAAACTAACATAACACAATTATATATAAAAGACATTGCTAAAAGTGATGAGATATAACATTGCTACTAATTAATTATAATCTCATTAGATCAAATTGACTAACACAGAAATACACAAATGTTCGTATACAAGAATATATCAGACCACGACTCAACTCACACAGTACTAAGTTGAAATTACAAGTCATGATATAAACTAATAAAATTAATATAATAGGTCTTACCAACACTATTCACATCACAACCTATTAACTGAATATAAAGCTAATATTTGTCAATTGGTATCCATATTTTATTATTAATCAGCTATAGCTTGTCAATATAAGAATTGTCCCTGAGCATCCATCCACATAACTAGGTTAGTTACGTGAGTGGCAACATCAGCTTTGAATTGTAGATAGTGTATTAACTAAGAATACACTAATAGTCTGTGGGCCAGACCACCTCTACTCATAAATCGGTAAAAAGTTTTTAATAATTAAATTTTCTTCAAGAACATATATTATTTTACTAGTTTATCTTCAACGGTTCAAAAGTTAGATCAATTATAATCTTATATGTCAATTCCCAAAATTTGCAGAAAAAATAATTTTTATGATATATATTATTACATTGCTCTAAATCTCTACGCGTTTTCTATGTAGATACTCCTATATACATATAAAAATATGACAACGAATATTATAAAAATCATTTTTTTTCTGCAAATTCTCGGAATTGACATAAAAAGTATTAATTGTTCTAACTTTAGGACAATCAAAGGACCACCTCCTTTCTAATTATTATACTATGGTCAAACATTTAGTACTCAATATATTATTTTTTCACCAATCTCCAACATTCCTCCAACTTTCGACCTCATCAAACAAGCCAATTTTAAATAATATGTAGGCATATCAAGGAAACTACATTTGTGCATAAAATTCATGCAGCATCCCTTTTTCACTAATTCTCAACTTTTCTCTAAATCGAACGACTCATTTTGGAAAGGTGAATCTGAGAAAATGCATTTGCACAAGCGTAAAAGAAAGTGGTAAATGAAAATTTATACACCATTTTTTTCAGTTATTCCAAAATTTTCTCTAACTTTGAACTAAATCAAATGATAAACTGTTTTTATAAATATGTGTATCTAAGGAAATACTAATGTGCAAGCATAAGCAAAAGTAGTGAATGGAATTAGATTAAATTTGAAAGATAATTTGAGAACCAATCCACACAATCTTAGAAAATGCCATCAAAATCTGATTATCAGTTGTAGGAGTTAAACCCATCAAAAGGATTCGATTACAATTACAAGATACAGCCCTTTCACAATGTGCTCATCCTCGTACTTTACCACAAGTTACCCTGTTTTATTGTTCTCATACATATTCTACACATACTAATTTAAGAGCTTTGAAACAAAGAGAGGTTCTATCAGTGGCTGAGAGATGGGCAATACCCCACTTCTACTAAAAAAAACTGTATGCCAAAATGCTTTTTTAGAAAGATTTTTTCATGCTAAGTAGGATGAGAAAAAAAAATTATTACAGACAAATATATAATTAAATTTGTTCCTTGATAACTAAAGTGTAAGACATGGGTGGACATTTTTTAATCTGAGGACAAATATTTGTTTAACCTCACAAATAGATAAAAAGCTTCTCTACCTTCGGCAGTGAGAAAGAAAATATATATATATATATGTAAAACAACCTAAATTTGTAAGAGCAAGTTTGGTTGTGTTGCAGAACTGGGAACAATCAGTAACCAGTGTTCTACAGACTTACTTATTTATAAATTAACAAAATTAATTATCTGTAAAGTTATACCTTCTGTTTCTTTAATGTCAAACACTTTGCGAATGGTTGACAGAGATATCAGCTTGATGTGCTTGTAAGGTTTGATGTTTGCCAGCTTTCCAGACATCCCCGTGCTGGGGCTCTTCAAAGAATTGAAGGCCTTAGATCTCTTTTTACAAACCTGTTTATAAAATGAGCTGATATTATTTTTGTTAACTTTTACAATTACATAAACATTATATATATGAATTAAATTGTTTACCTCTAAAATATCGGTAAATAAGTAGAGAACTAGCTGATCTCCCCTCCCGCTTAGGGAATCACTGAGCTCTGTCACTTCACATCTGATGATGAATGATCGATGTGAAGACACCAGGTGAGCCTGTCATCAAAATAACATTATTAACAACCTGGCCATTTGACATAGTTTATTTATAAATTAAATAATGAATAGTTTATTATACGATCAAGCAAACTTAATATATAAAACTAAAATGCCAAATATTCACTTCAAATTATTGATGGTTTAGGAATTATAATAAAATAAAATAAAATCATAAATGAAGGTTTAAGCAGATGGAGGCGATAAATGAGGCTTAGATTTTCATGCTATTGCATATTTTATTTAATATAAACAGCTGATCAAATATCTACACAAATCAATATATCCAGACTCAATTATTCAAATTTTATATTTCATATTCAATGATAAATGCATATGATTGCATATTTTGATTGTTTCAAATAAAAAATAATAATAATTAGAAATAATGAATTAAAATGGAACATTAAATATAAAACTTCATAATACAATTGTTTGCCAATTTTCAATCAACAAATAACACTACCTTCAGTTATTAACTTCTTAAATTATGGAATTTCTTTCTTTTTCTTTTTTTTATGTTGTTTAACTTCTTAACACCAGACTCAATGTCTTTTATTTTTTACAAGCAGCTATATTTTGTATAATCTTAAGTGTGTAATTTTCTTCTAAATGGAAATATTGGATCGACACTTACGATTCCAAAGATGAAACCGCTTTAAAGCTCATTGAAAGGTTCATTTTTAAAACAAGTTTCTATTGAAAACAACCACTCAATAATTTTAAATGGATTCAAATTTGTTTGTACCACCTCTTTTCCATACCACCATTTTCTTATAAAAATATTTTAAGCCATAGATAAGGTTTTCAGAAAAAATATAAAAATTTATTTACAAACTACAAATTTCCAATCCATTGGCGTTTATTTATTTTCATCATATAATTTTTTAATTTTTTTTTTGTTAAAAACAGAGCTAGTTTCCTTTTATTACCAACTATAAATTTTATTATTTTAATGTTTAATAAGCATCACACATTATGTTATTAATTAGGCATTAATTTGTTGTTTATCTATTTTCATTCTCATTAAAGTTTTTTAAATATTATCATTTAGTTATCATTTTTAAATACTATTTATTATTATTTTTATCTCTCTCTCTCTCTCTCTCTCTCTCTATATATATATATATATATATATATATAATATAATAAATATATTATATTTATATAATAATATTTACGATTACGAATTACAATATTTATATAATAAATCATTATTAATTTGAGACAGTTGAGAAAAACTTAAATGAAATAAAGATCTTTTCAGGCATAGAACAAAATTAACTTGGGACAGACTCAATGAAGAACCCGATACAGTATTAGCTGTAATGGATGTATACATTATTTAGAAAAATTTAAGAGAATTCATCTACTCATAAAATGCACTCGCTATCACTGCATACCAAACCAAAGCCAATCCCAAATTCTTCAGAGTTGAAAGGTTAACTATGGATATACTAATATAGTTAGTTAATCTAATATTACTTGGTAGTTATACTTACTGGACAGTTATCAATTTCATTAAAAATATCGAACATGACCACTTGTCCTTCAGTTTTACGTTTATCTTCATTAATGTGTGTCATTACCTCACGGATACTACTAAGGGCCTTCTCAAGAGCAACGTGATCTGAGTTGCTCTTACCAGTATGCTTCAGAATATCTGCAAGAAATGATTCAACAAATGAAAAAGAAATTATTTATTCTGAGACTGCTATCTTATAATAAATATTTTTAAATATAGTCTCACTAAATTACATTAAAATACAAAAGTTCATTAGTGAAAATAATAAACCAAAAGAGAAAGCTTCTTGACTTAATATGTGTGTAATGTACGATATGTTTAATGTAGTAATGATTTTATATTTATTTACTTAAAATTATTACTTTGTAATATTTTTAAAAATTAACTGTGTAAGTAGCATGATTTTGGATCCCGAGGGGTGTTGGTGAATTGATGAAGGTGTACAAATGATTCTAAATATTGAATCCTAATGCAAGAAATATTTGAAGCCTTGAAAGTTGGAACTGGTTTGTAGCAGGGAGATGGACTCTAGCTGATGTGGTTTAACGCACCCCTGGAGAAGGCAAGAGACGTGAAATGGAGGAGTGCACGTTGGAAGCAATCAAGAGGGCAATGAGAGACTTGCTTCTTGTTCTTTAACTTTCTTGTTGTGCCTTTCAACGTTGTGTTAGGTTAATCCAAGCCAGGATCTCCATCTAGCTCTGTCTCTCGCAAGAGTTGTCATTGAGAGACTTGCCAAGACGGAAAAAGGGGCAGAACAGCTGGGGCTTACAATTAAACAAAGATAACACAAAATATATGATAGTAAGTTGAAAATTCCACCTCGACAACAGGATCTATGTAGAATGGTAATTATTCCCGAAAACAGACAGATTGAAATAACTTGGCTCCACAATGACTCACAAACAGCCAGAAATAAACCAGCTGGTAACAAGTGCTTTATTCTCTCTTTCAAAAGTATTGAAATTCTGAAAATTTCTAATTAAGGGTGTACTATGCTATGATAAAGCCAGTTCTGATATAAGGATATGAGACTTTAGCACTAAACAGCACCCTAGAAAGATTTGAGTGGAAAAAAATAGCATGAGCGAATGGGGTCAGAGTATTAATTCATGGAGAAGGACCAATAATAAAATGCTTATAGAAACTAGTTAAGCAATATAATATGATATGAAGACAAGCAGGTTAAAAGATGGGTGGGACATACAGCTCGTAGCAATCCATCAGGAAGCCTCTACTCTACACAACAATGAATGCCTCAGCAGTTGGCAAGAGACCACATAGGAAACCAAAACCAGATGAATAGATCAAACTAAGATGCAGAAAACAGGTAAGCATAGCCTAAGATGGGCAGAGGTAGAGAAGGTTTAGAATAACAAGAGTAATAAAAATAGCAAATATTAAAAAAAAAAAAATCTATATGGCACTGAATCGAGTTTATTCTTGATCAATTGAGAAAGATCGGGGCATGGCCTGCAATCTATATAATGGAAAAGTTCATAGTCAGTCTGTTGTTTATGAAAAGTTTGAAGTTAGATGTAAACAATTATTCTGTTGTTTTTATAGTGTATGTTAATTTATTTTAGACACTTCACTCACCAGATAGTAAAAGAGATATGGAAGGAAGCCTTTGAACAGGTCGGATGAGGAGCTCGACAAGACTCTGCCTACCACACTCAGCCCTCGTTTGGCGGGCTTTAAGGAAAGCATGGAACCTTGGTTTCTGCTCATCACATTTAACCAACATCTCCCGGGTTGTTTCAAAAAAGTTGACGAATGGAGGATAAGCCTTCACTAAATCAGGAGCCTGTAATAGATATAATAAAAAAATATATTTTATAAAATAATTGAATTTATAGTTGAAATGTGTATGTAACAAAAAATCTACTTACAAACTTGAGGAATATACTTCCTATCGATATTTCTTCAGTCCAATTATGAGCAGCAAAACGCAGCTCCTCTAACATGTGACAATGGCAGTTATATATTGGAGGCAGATTGCCAAAGATTATTTTTAACTCTGTACCATTGAGCAATGGGTCTTCTTCTTCCAGCATATCTTCAAGTGGTCCTTTAAACATCTATTAAAAAAATAAAGAGAGTTTAGGTTCAGTACTTTGTAAGGAAGTTACAACTTATGGTTATACAATCAATGTATGTACAGGGTAGTGGTTGGCAAAGATCACGCTCAGTTAATAATAATTTATCAACTTTACTGGTTATAAATGTCCTTGTACATAAGGGGAGAGATAGTGCACAGAACCGCATTTCCCAGCAATCTGATGGAAGATAATTTGATAAAACAATTATGAGTTTGTGTCTCGGTGCTGGGAGGGAGGATTTTAATTCTAGCATTAATCCACCCGCTCTCATCCTCTGGTCCAGGAAAATCCCATATAGTCTAAAAGGCAAGGAAGAGGAGGATAAAAATAGCCTAATTCTGTGGGCGGTCATTAGGCTACACCCGAATCTATCTGTTGATGAGGAGCTACCAGGGAAGTTTGGTGGAAGCCAGTCGACTAGGGTACAACTCCTCTTGGTCAGTGAATAAGTTAGTGATTCCAGTAGCGTTGTCTATCAAATTCATTCATTGACTCAAACAAATTTTTATGATGAGGCTGATATTTATTACTACTTTTTAAAAAGGCGTTTACTTATTTCCAAATTATTTTACTATACGACTGACCTATTTTGATTTTTTATAATAATGTAACCTTAAACTTACTGTCATAATAGTGTTTAATATCCCAACATAATTAGATTCTGTTTGTAGCAGCTCCAAGAAAACTTGATGTCTTGCACTGAGATTCTTTAAATGAGCACCATCATTACATTCCTCTTCTGTTTCTGAAAAATACCATTCCATAAATTAGAAAGAGAATATGAAGCAGACAGCTGTAAAGAGAAGAAGAGTAAAAGTCACCTACCAGGGAGGGGACTTGAGTCGAGGAAAGATCCTGAGCAAGAAAGGAGAGTGGCATCAGTAATACTCGATCTCCGTTTGCCCTGGTCACAAGAGGCAGGAGATATGACCCTCGCTAGGTTGGCACGCAACCTCTTTCTTTTTCTATTCCGTGAAGAACCTGGAGTTGACGAGATTGATACTCTAGGAGTAGTGTTGTTACCAACATACTGAAATAAATATATTACTATTAATAACTTAATTAATTAAATCATCATATTACAAATTTTTAAAAATTTCCTTAAAAATTGATGACTAGCAAAATGTTCAGAAAAATTCAATAATAAAAAAAAAATTGTAATTGGCTGACATTTTGAAACAAAGTTGGAGATGGTATGTCAATTTCTGAGGGTCTTCTAGAGGTGACCTATGGCTGAAACGTCAAGTAAAAAAAAGAAAAAAAAGAACAGTGAATAGCTATGTATGAAACCTCTAACCAGCTACCAATTCAAATAAAATAACAAATTATAATATTGAGTTCCAAGGGTCTTTCTGGAGTGAATGTAACTTACATGCTAAATTAAATTTTAAAAAAATCGAGTGTGTTTACTGACATGATTTTCTTATTGATTTCAGACAAATTTAAACACCTGTTAATTAGTCAATCAAAGATAAGGAAAGAAAAAGTGAATTAGTATTATTTTCTTGCAAAAAATACCACCAAGAAAAATATGTAATATAATTCAGAATAAAATATATCACCGGTTATACTTTTGTATATTTAGTAAAATAACATTTTTGGGGTATGGTCAATTTCCAAAATCTTTCAATTGACCTATTGGACAAAATTTTTTTTTTAATGAAAATTAGGATGTATAATTCAGTAAAAGTAAAATTGAAAAGTGTCCACAACTACTATTTTATCATTTACAAGCAGGAGAAAACTTATTGGGTGTTAGATATTGTAAAAATTTAATTTTAGCTTAAAAAAGAAAGAAAGACAGAATTAAAGGATTGCCAAATAAGTCTATAATGAAAATAGGAATAAAATAAATGTTTACCAGTAACATAAACATGGAAGATGGTTTAGTCAACGGCAGGTCCAGAACTAGCCCAGCGCGACAAATTTCAAGGCAAAATGTTAGTTTAGCTTATCCAAAAAATATTTTAGTTGTTTTGACCTAATTTTAGTCAAAAAAGAACTTTTTTTCTAAATAATCTAGTTTTGAATTTTGTAGCTTGAAATTACTTATTTAGCAATTTTTAGCTAAATTAGATGATTTCGATTTTATTATTATAAAATTGAACCAACTATTTAATTTGATGATATATGATATGGATAAATAGGTATTCATATTTTGATATACAGGTATAAATGTAAACATTAATTAATTTTTTTTTAATACACTTATAACTAAATGGCTTTATACACATATGCACCCATAAGTTTAAAGTAATATTATTCCAAAAAGATTGTCTTCTTCATACTAGCTCATAAAGATAAAACTATAAATAATATAAACAATTAATTACCTCCTGGAATAGATGTTCTTTCTCATCAACACAGTACTCATTCTGGACTGATGCCCAGAACCATTCTGCTTTGACTAGATATGCCCGCGTAGGTAGTGATGCTGGAAGTGCTGATGTAGTCGACTCATCAACAACCTTTCAGAAAGAAATATATTAAAATAAATATTCTTATGAACATCATAATGGTCAAATAAATGTATAACCAGTATGTTTGTATACACAAATATATCTTTTGAAAAACATATATGACATATAATTAGGAAGAATAGCATGAACTAAAAATTATTTTTTAATATATGCACTATGTCTAATAATAGTTTAATCTTCTTAATTCTCAAAAACTAATTCAAAGACACAAAAGATAAATATGCATATTTCAACAGTTTTAATAAAATGCAACATGAATCGCTACATTCTTTAATAGGTACTATAATGATGCATGCACACATAATCAACCTTATGCAATGCAAACTAAATTGAGACACCTCAAAGAAGACTTTTTTGTCCCAATATAGCAGGTAGTGTAATATAAGCATAACATATTACAAAAAATAGTTTTGTCGGAATGATCGACAATGGAAGGAATAAACTTTTTATAATTATACTAGACATAAATGTACTAATATCAAATTTCTTACTTTGTATTTTAATTAAGTTAAAACAAGAAAAAAATATTAAATATTTTTGCTATTCTTATGATTTAACTGTTTTTCTCTTTTTAGAAATGTCTAAAATATTTATTTATTATCAATCCTAATAATAAATTAAGAGGAAATAAACTTCAACTATGTTACATGAATTTTGATGGGAGTATACATACTGATATTTTATTCAAAACATATATGTATATCATGAGTACAGAAAATTCAATGGAAAAAATAATTTATAGAATTCTTTCACATAAATTATACAAAACCGGTGTAAACATTCATAATTGAGGCCTTTATTTATAATTATCAATTATACATATGTATCTTTTTAAATTGCTTTAAATAAGTACCTAATATCCAACAAAAGTCTATTTTAAAGAAATTAAAACTAGAATTACATTGCACTAACTTTACAATAATGAATGATTTATATTTAGAGATGGGCTAATACTACTCTGAGTACAGAGTACCAAGTATTTTACTCAAATTGAATCACTATTGGGAATTCAATCACTACTTAAATTAATTATTTGATGCCAACTGAAGTAGCAATTAAATTCTTTGGTACTCAAAAAAGGTCAATATTTGAGTAAAATACTTTGTACTCGGTACTCTGAGTAGCATTTGTCCATCTCTGTCTATATTAACTACACAGCATGTTCCACATAATTACAGAGAAAAAATTCCCAGCTATGCTACATTAAAGTTCCAACCAGAAAATTCTTATAAAACCATAATACCCCTTCTTTTTTTTTCGTAATTGAGTTTTTTAAATTTTTAATTAGTTTTTTTTTTTTCTGTAAAAGGTCCTATTGTGTTTGAAGAAAAAGAAATAGAAAATACTGCTTTCCCCAATCGAAAGATCATAAAAAAAAAATCAAATAACAGAAAAGTTGATATTGACAAAAACTTATTTTTGAAACTGTGTCTTTACCTAGTTTCCTCCCCCCCCCCCTCTTCTTTTCATAAAATCTTAAATTTGCCAACTAAAAGTTTTCAATATCCAACAGAACCTTTCTGACAAATCAGAAATTGGCCTTGATCAATATTTCATGCCGTTTTGAATGATGAAAACAAACATTTTCTATTTATTTTTTTGTTCGAAAGCTATAATTATTTTACAGAAAAACACTACTCACTTTGTTGAAAGAGAGAGATAAACCCTGCTATTATAAGAACTTTTTGGTTGGAAACTTGATGAAGAATTATTGGTATTTTTTGGTTGTACTTATATGGAAAAGCCTGAATTACTTTGATTGAATAATTACTCACTTAAAAAGAAAATTTATATTACATAGCATGCATTTACAAAATAAAAAACCTATGGACACCGTACATTATTCTTAGAGAACTACAACTAATTTTTTTATGTTTACAGCATTATTCACAAATAAATACAAAAAATAATGATTCTACCTCATATAAAAACGAATTAGGATTTATAAGAGTTTTCCAGAAATAATGAATAATGATGAATCTTACATGCTTTGTAGTAGTTGTAAGTGAACAATCTAAGGTATAATCATACAATAAAAGGAAATGAATGGATGCACGATTCAAAGAAATATGTAAACAAGAAACTACTCAACAGAGGAGCGTGGGTGAAAAAAAAAAAAAATTATCACACAATATAATTTACCACATAATTTGTATGCGAATAATAAAGAACTATTATTTTCCCCTCCTAATCCCTCAGTCCTGTTGCATTATGTAAACTATTGATCTTCAATTTATTATTTATTTATTGTATTCTAGAAATGATAGGAATATTTTCATCAATTGTACAAAAATGAAGCAATAAATAAATATGTGAAAATAATTCTCACAAATTAATAAAATTTTAGAACAATTGATGAAGGAAAATATATGGTACATTAATTTTTACTTTCACATACCAATATATGAAATATATAGTAAAGGAAAGTATTGCATTGTGAACATTGCAATTGCGAATTTTCAACGGAAATAAAATTTTGAGGTCAGCTGAGTTCAAATAACTAAGTCTCACAAAATGATGTGTGTATAAAAAGTTTAGCTTAAAAATGGAAACATAGATATATGCCTAGGATGTCACGGAAACGTTTTCACCAATATTCACACTACAATTATTAAAAATATTTAGAACTTGGAGTTACTTGCGATTACTTCGAAATTTGATATTTCGTCTCAACTCAAAGGATGAAATCTTTGATAACTCAAAGCATTGAAATGCAGCCTAAAATTATTAAAAATATTACCGCTATTATTTAAGATTACTTCTATTACTGAAAATATTTACAACTCGGAGTGATTTGTCATTATCTTATTATTTGAATCATAAAGAGTTGAATTTATTTAATTTTGGAATAAAATTAATAATAAATAAAAAATAAATAAAATATCATGCAAATACTCAACTATTATTTTAACAGTGCTATATTAATTATACAGAATTAAATATATTACACTACCTTAATGATAAATTTTAAAAATGGAACCTATATTTTTACATGAGTTTCAAACATGTAAATAAAACCAATAAATATTTTTACTAATGCTACCAACACCATTTTAACTGAGAAACTGCAGGCATGCATTCATAAAGCATAAAATCATGACAAGCAATGGCATAGGGAGATAAGATATTGTATCCATCTAGAAGATAGTGCACATACTTAGCAAAGACTCCAATGAATATGTTCAGGCTAAAGTTATAATAATACAATTTAAATGGTGCATTCATTCCACTCAAAAATGATAGTGAAATATAAAATGAAATAAAATAGTATAGTTTGGGTGTTTTTAATATTGAAAAAAAAAAAAAAATATGTGCACATGATAATAAATGTATAACTTTATCATGAATTTCTATGTAATGAGTACTTGAAATAAAGGTCTTGTTTGTTATCTAATTTTTAAATATCATGAAACCAGTGGCATTCAAGATATTAAACTAGTACAGATTGAAATTTCATGATCTTGATATAGTTTTGGCAGGGGAGGGAGAAGGAAATTCCTTCAGGAGGAATGTATTCAGTCATATAAATTTAAGCAATAAAAAGTGAGCTAATATTGTAAGAAAATAGAAACATGATAAAAAGTTTGACATTATAGCAACTTAAATTATTAGTTCACATAAAACCTTTAAAATAAATAAATCATGGCATACTTCTTATCATTGGGTTTTTACAGAATTTAGTTAAAACTATTCAAATAATAAAAAAAGAAATGTTTTCAAGACTCATTTCAAAAACATTGGAGTCTCTGCTTAAGGAATGAATAACCAAACAAACAAAAAGTACAGAGCTGAGGAATAGGAGATACCGTAGGTGGTGTTTGCCAGCAACATGTGGGATTGGGGGGAGTAAATCCAGCAGCCAACATCCTAGAGGTCGAATCTGTTCGTGCTCTCTTGGGAGTCTCGACAGTGGAGTCAATACTTGTCACAGTTTCATTATTGTTGTATGTTCTGCCAGGTGTCGCAGAAACTAGCTCCATACTATCGCACACCTGAAATTTTTAGTGTCACACAGGCATATCCATTCGCATGCAAGGGAAAGTGTTATGCTTCCAATTAATACCATTATTAATTTGACAGGAAAAATTAATAATAAGTAAGAGATAAAAAATAAGCTTGGGTGAGAGAGAATTTAATTGGTTTACAGAAATAATAGGTACCAAACAGTATTCTTGTTTAATGAAAGAAACCTTCTGAACAAAGATGCGAATAAGCATAAATTTGTTAGTTGCAGAATCAATGAAGTAAAAGTATGGACTTCAACAGACACCATCTGCACTATTTCATTTATCTACTAAACTAGTGTTTATGTCTCAAAGAATAGTGGAGTTACTCTGCCCCAAAACAAAAAATATTGTGATGCAGATAAGGGAAGACACATAGAGGATAGAAGAGGGAGTGACCAACCTGTGCCAATGGTTTGGCTCCAGGGTTAAATCTTAAACATGTTTTCTGTTGTCTCATTAATCTATTAATATTTTTAAAATATTTTGAGTCTAGTCCAGTGGAAGAAGGATTACCGCAGGAAAATAATAAAACACGAAGCAGAACAAATTTTGTAGTTTTTGTTTAGAAATATGTACAACTGATGATTGCCAATAAGCACGAAACATGCAATAATTGTTGAAGATCAGTGAAAAAAACAATTAAAATAAATTTATCATATTAATGTTAAATTCATTTAAGTTTTCCCAATTATTTTTTTATAAATTGTTGGTAGATTTTTGTATCAAGCCAAGCCAAACAGACGATATTATTAGCATTTTTGAGAGGATTTAATAAAATTATTCCAATGCCTAGTGGACGAGGTATCTGTTAATGGCAAAAATAAGGAAGTACTGGGTGCAAACAAGAGGGCTTGAAGGACTGGTTGGCTTATAGAAAGGGGAGCCACCCATCTCGAGCAAGATGCCAGACCGAATCTCTTTAACTATAATTATTTAAATAATATTTTCCTAACATGCATTAGACTCCTGATTTTGTGCCAGGCTCAAGCAGGCTGTGGCAGGGAATTCGAGTCATTACTTTGTATGTGTGAACTGATTATTTGGTCAGGAAACCTTTCAGCACACCTTGTCTCTATTAAGTGAGGATCTGAATGTTCATCAAGTTGGGAGGAGTACTGAATATTGAGCATGGATGCCTGCCAATCAGTAAGTAATTTCCGTATCAAGAACTGAACCAAGAATATGAAAACTTCAAAGAAATACAGGCGCCTACCTATCCCCTCAAGAATTCTTCAAATAGATAAAGCTTTATGTCATAGTAGCATAATAAACTTCTGAATAAGTTATTAACTGGGATCAATGACAAATAATATAGTATAGATTTGTCAGGATAACAATTTTTGAGAAAGTATCTTCCATAAAATTATACAGAAGGCCTAATTCTTAGTTTTGGTACATAGATCAACTTTAGATTTTTATTTAATTTCCTAAAAAATAATAATCAGCATTCCTTTCCCAGGCCTCACAACTGGCATAATTTCTCAGATTCAGATCCAACATAAAAAAATAATGGAATCATTAAGAAACACGGAATGCCCATTTACATAGATGGTAATAATTAAGTCAGAAAAAACACGCTTTCTTAAAAAATGTCTTAATCCAAAAATCAAAACCCAAAATATCATATCTCAATTAGTTATTGCAACAAAAACCACAATGAAGGTTAATATCACAAGAAAAATGATGAAGCGACGATAGCAGAAATCATTAGTTTAGTACCTTGAAGCCACAAATCAAATCTCATTGTCTTAGGTTAGAAATATTAATTTCACTGATGTGACAATATAAAGCAATTGTGAAGGAAGTATGTGAGCAAAAAGAAGGAAACATGCAACATGATATAGATAATATTAATTTATATAACACTCACAACATGAGTACAAGCTGGGTCTGCTATGTCTGTACTGATTCCACCGTTCTCAGCAAGGATATCTGCCATGTGTTGTCTCTCATCCTCAGGAAATCCTAAGAAGCAGACTCGGGCTCCATGGAATGCTTTCAATCGATGCTCTGCCTGCAACAGAATATATTTTAATTTTTTTTAAAAATATATTTAATAATAAAAATCTTAATATTTTAAATACTTATGGGAAAAATAGCCAACTTTTAAGCGGACACAAGATTACATTATAGAAGGAATCCTAAAAATTTAGGTCGGTAGCAAAGAACTTATGAGACAGCATAAACACATAAAATTTAACTATAATTGTAGTAGCTAAAGGCAAATCTTAGGGTAGTTCTATTACCTGAAGTTGGCCGTCGACTTCTCAGACAACTTTCTTATCGATATATTAACCTTATAAATATACAAAACCTTGATTCGTATATCTAAATTAGATTTTACTATTTCACAATGAGAATAAAAAAATATCTGGTGTGTCCACTCACACGACTTTCCTACCTATTTCAGAAAAGTTTTTATATCTTTAGATATGTTCATGAAGAAACAAAAAAGAATTGAATTAGATTTATTTTCCTGAAAATTTATCAAACAAAAGATTTGAGTAAAATTTATTTGATAAACTAAAGCAATGTAAACCGGTTTAAGGTAGATCAGTGTAACAATTTCAATACTCACTAATGTTGCTGATCAAAAACTTTTTGCATTAGCTTTCTGACACCAGCATATGAACCCGTAATCATACATTGGAAATTGAATAGCTGTAACTTCGTTAATAGCCGTCCAAAATAAACGATTTTTATATGGCTTTGAAGGGAATTTCATTAACTTTCAAACGACAGCGTTAAACAGCGTTTTTTTTTTTACTCAGGAGCCTCTGAAACGTATAGATCCGTCGAAAACCGCATATCGGAAATTTGATCCGATTGCAATACTTTCCTTCCCTAATATAGGTAAGAAAGTAATAAGTTAAAAAATATAAGCTGTATCATTGCTAATATTGGTTCGATTCCGATGATTTTTTTTGTTTGTTTTGTTGGTAATTTAATAACCTTTCAAAAGTTTTATTATAAATTTTACCGTATAATATATACTTAAGGAATTAGGCCCCATAACATTTTTCTTTTCTTTATAACTTTTTTTCCTGAATTTTTTTCGGGAATTTAGTCTATATACGAAAATAAGAAGGACAATGATTAGAACATTATAGGAAAGTTTTATCAAAATCATTAGAGCCGTTTTCGCGCTACAGTCTATAGAAAAACACGTTTTTCATTTATTATGTGCAAGCTATTGCGCATGGAGCACCGAATTTCGGCCATAGGCATCAGTAGTCAAAATCCTACAAAATAAAAAAAGAAGCAACAAAATCGGTTCAGTAGTTCCCGAGAAAATCTTGCCACAGACAGATCATTGGCTAAAAATGTATTTTTTGGACTCAGGAGGCTCTGAAACGTATAGATCCGTCGAAATGCAGTTGCATATCGGAAATTTGACCCGATTGCAATACTTTCTTTACCTAGTATAGGTAGAAAAGTAAAAAATGATCGTATTGATTATTTAATCTCCAACCAATTTTTTTTCCCTTCCCCCGGTATAATTCCATTTTTGGCACATGACCCCTTTTCAATGGCAACACCTCAAATTATTTATATTTAAAGTTTTATTATCAATATACTAATCTGAAAATTTTATTTTTTCAAAAATGTTAAGTTAATGGTCAATGGTAAAATAATAAATATTTCTTACCCTGAGAGGGGACCATCATGAGCAAAATAGCCACCTTTATAAGCAAATAAGTATTAAAATAAAAAACATAATTACAAGGCCGTGGGCAACTGCAGAGAAACCTGGCTGGTTCCTCATCGCCCAACTGTTGTGTACCCAGGAGGCTGACATGATTGGCACCCTAAAGGCAGTAGCGTATTGGTACTTTTCTCCTCCGCAACAGTTCGCGATGAGGTGGGTAACCTTAGTTATCATGTCCTTCCTTATGCTGCCACCCATATGATGTATGAGTAAGATAAGTCGAGCCTGGAACAGATAAGCCATTTGAAAATAGAAGTTAATGAAATTGTGGTAGTTATTTATAACTGCAAAAGAATAGTAACTACCATAGTGTAACCACTATAAACTAACTATAATAATGCCATTTTAACTCCACACAGCACAAATATAAAAACTTAGTAATTCTGTGGCCTTACCTTAATCATAAAGAATTAGTTATTTTATTTGTCGTAATTTATAATAATTTATCGCATAAATATTTTAATAAGTTTTCTACCAAAAGAAAATGATACAACTTAAGAAACTGCTAACTGAAATTTTTAATCAAATATACATATATATTATAAAAAAGAAGAGGTTGAGGCAGTTGAGCGGATGAAGGGGCTTGCAAACTAAACGGCCAAAGCCAAATGGGGAATAGTTAAACAAATATACTTCCTTTCTGGCCAGTATTTAAGGTCTGTTAATGAAGGCAACTCACACAGTCCGGGCATAGAAACATAGCCTTTAAAATATATGCTAAATGTATTGTTCTACTTTCTCAAAAATATGTCGCATAAAATTTATGTTGCAAAGAAAATTGTTAAGAAGGCAGTGAAAATTCAGTGGGAATTTTAAACTTAAGACTTACAACTAATGACACTTAAAAGTAGAAGTGAAAATAACAAACATAATTAAAAGATTTCATATTGACACATTAATTGAAATGACATTAATCATATTTCCAGCTGAGTCCCTTAAAAAGTTCTACAAGCCATTAATTATAATGAAATATTGAGCTGAGGAAAAAGTAATTTCATTTTTCATTATGTTTTTCAAAGCAAATTTATGTATATAAATTTCAAACACTAACCAATGGTATATATGACATTTTGATCGATAACCTTTTGCCACTTTTCTGACAAAATGTTTTCCCTAATGTCTTTTAAGAATTGGGGACCTGCCATCGGGAAGAAACACTCGTTATGAGGTCTCACAGTCAAAGGGTTAAGATAAATATTTATACATTTTTTGGGGTAAACCTGTGAATAACATTTTTCAGTAGCTTTTAGATGTACAACTTAATACAGAAACGTAGGACACATTACAAATAATAAGTATACTTATAAATAAATATACTTATATTTTATTATCCTTTTATTGCACAACCAGTAAAAAATAAACTATTTTACAATAGTTATGAAATTAAATATATAAATTAATTTGTTGATTACAATATTTTTCATTTATGTTACCGTAAATAAGTCATATCATGGATAATTGGAAATAGGCTACACAGACAAGTATAAATAAATATTTGACAGATTAAAATAATAATGAAATAACTAGTACTCTTTTTCATCAAATGCTCATTGAAATAAAAAATTGTAGGCTTACCAACTCTTCCTTTTTCCTGAAACCAGTGAAACAAACTACGACACCTGCCATCGCCTGGCAATATAATGGGCGCTGTAACTCTGGGAGGCATGACTCTTTTTCAGCCAGTTCCTGAAGAGCGGTTGGACCAATCACCCTATTAACAATACATAAAGAACTTAAAATGTAGTAGAATTTTTTTTTAAAAATAATGATTGTCAATAACACATTAGGTTGCTATGGTTACATGAGGTATAGGCCTCTTTCACACTGAAGATGCAAGACACAAGACGTATGATCCTTAAACACTATACAGTGTAATAGAGAGCTTTCACACTGAAGATGCAAGACGCACTTGCCTCTTAGGAACCAGCTGGCAGGAGATATTAGCATGCATTTTTGTTGTACTGGTCTTGCATACTCACCCCTTCCAAATTACCCCGTCCGCTAAATCTAGGAAGCAAAATATTTTTGAAGAGGAATAATCATCGGGTCTGGTCGGCTTACACCACAAATGCTCGGTCTCTCCTCTCCCTTCTCAATTTTCTCTAAGCTCTTGCAAATGAAGTCTTAATCATTTACTTTTTAATTTTTAACTATTGTTTTCTTTTTTTTCATCCATTGTTTAATTTTTTTTTATTAATTGCTCTGATTTTCAACTACTGCTCTATTTTTCTTGTTATTACCACAGAAGATTCAAAAGTTTATGATAAAATTGCAATAAATCGTTAGTAAAAAAGTAATCAAAATATAAATAAAATTAATCTTATTGTGAACTTTATCATCCATTTGTTTTTATTACTTCGTATATGATCAACGTTTTCAGGTTCGTCATCTGAAGATTTAAATGATTGATTATCCATCTTTCAAACTTATGCACTAAAATAACAGAGATAATGGATATGCATCCAGGATGCATGCATCTTCAGTGAGAAAAGGGCCATAGAGATGGGACATATCTCGTTGGACCACTAAGTGGAACTAATGGCGAATGAATATGAGTTTGCAATTGGTCCACTGAGGCTCGCTTATCAGATCCAGGTAAGTGGTGAAGCTTGAATATTATATAATATTCAGTTTAAGTAGAAAAACATGTCAGAAGGGAAACCGATAATCAAGCAGAGAAAAGATTCTGAACAGTTCATGAAATGTAGTTCAAACTAAACTGATTTATTTTTTTACACAGTAAAGGTAGCAGACACTACAGAAGAACTCTGGTGCAAAAGATACCTATTCTGCCCACCATCTCTTTTTCTAATATGCCGTAGTGTCCAGCGGCCCAGTTAATTGGCTCCTCACTGAATTAAGAAGAAACTGTTTAAATTCAATTTCAATTCTTCCATAATTTTAGTCAGGACTCCAAAGCTATTTAGAGGATAAACCTGCCTTTCAGCTCTTCTTCAATTAGGATTTGGGCACTGATGTTAATTGCTATTAATATCAGTCAGAAAGTCGCATAATAACTTTAATATTACTACATTTCTGAATAGTCTTCAAATTCAAATATTCCAAAAGATACATAGAATGAAGGCAATAGAAAAGATAAGCGAAAATCACCTCTGTCCGTGCTGCTTTAAGTAATCAAAGACAGGACCACTGAACTCTTCCATTACAAAAACATATGACCGATTACATTTTTCTTTCAAATCACAATCTTCATCACAAGATTCAATGTCCACTTTAAAAACCTGAAACATAGAAAGAACAGTTTTACTTTTAATCCTCAATTAATAACACAGATAAGTACGATCATTAATAGTTATTACCACAACAGTATTTATTTAATAAGATCTACATCAACAGAAAATTTATAAAAAGCTATAACAAAAATGAATATGAAATAAATTTCATATTCCATAGAAGGTTCACTTCCAATTAACAACTAATAATAAATAATGCTAAGTAAGTTAAGTTATGGTCTTAAGATTTTTTTCATTTCACAGATTTTCAACTCCCCTTCTTATCCTTTATAAACACTACACTCGGTTTCAATTTCAGTTTGTTTCTTATTTTTAGTACCAGGGTTTATATTTATTATTATTTTCAAATCCAAATATAAATGCATCGGTTTATACAAAATTGAAACCTTGGATTGATTTACCCTAACAATAATGAAGATGCTTAAGTTATTGTTCAAAAGATGTTTGGAATGAAAACAACCACCTGATAATTTGAAGTGCATATAAATTTGCTACCATCTCATCTGTTGATGCCGAATGGTCATTTGAAAATTATAAACATATATCAAACTATAGAAGATTTACAGAAACAAATTTAGAAATTCGTTAATTAATTTTAATAAAGATCAAGGAACATCATCATCACTTAACAATCCATACACAGTTCATTTATTTTTTTCAGGTTATAAATTACTTTTATTGAATTTAAATTACTTAAATACAATTATTACAAGTTTTTTTTTAAATTACTAATTGTATTTAAATAACTTAAATACAATTATTACAAGTTTTCTTTAATTATTAATTGTAAGCTTATCTTTCATTCATATTTTAGTTTCTCAAAAAGTATCTCAAATTAAATTTTTAAACATCAACATGCATATTCCAATTATATTTACATTATGCATTTAATTTCTTATGTTTTTAAAATTTCATATTTTTTAAAAGTATTTATATATTTTTTAAGAATTCAGTTAGCTGTTTAATTTCTGTTACTTATTGCACAATTGGGAATTTTTCTGCATACTATGACATTCTGTGGGTTTTCACAGCATAAAAATCCGTGCTCTGATAATAAGTAATTAATATAACAAGTATCAATAAAAATAACACTTAACAGTTTAGTGAAATAACCTAAGACATATTGAAAACTTTATTAAAGCAAAAGAAAAATATACTATATTACAAACATTTTTTTTAAACAAATTGAATAAGATGTTTATTCAACCAAGGTTACCAAATCGTGACTAACAATAATATCTGCTAGTTGCATAGACAGTTTTATGATAATTTTCTTTTATTTCCAACTGACGCTAGGGTCAAGGCTTCTTACAATATGATTAATTACATAAATAATAAAGTTAATTTTTTATTTATTATAAAGTTATCTTATTATAAAGTTAATTCTTTATTTATAATAAGAGAAACAAAAAAAAAAAAAAAAAAAAAATCATAACAGCTATTAAAATAATTTATTTTTCATTGACTGATTTGTTTAAAATGTAAGACAAGATAGTTAATTGGAATGACAACTGTGTCAAATGTACTTTAACTATTAATTATTAGCGTAAAAAGATAACATTTAATAATCATAATCAAATGAGAATACAGCGTATTAATTAGTGTCCATGAACCTGATTTTTATAAAACAAAACAAAAAACACTAATAAAAGCTTGGATTTTTATACAATACTATAACATAATACCCCACGTTCATTGTTACACTTCCTAAACTGTTATAATTAAACTAAGTAAAGTCTTCATTTCCCAATCAAACAGTTCATCTTTTAGTGACATCATTGAATGAACAGTCACAATTAATAACTGATCATTTAATACAAAATTCAGAACATTTGATTCAGATAAGTCTCTTTAAATGAAATAATGTATTATTCTTACCTTGGCAGCTGTCAGAACAGTTTCATTTTGTGCAATCTCGCCAAAAAGCCATATTTTTGAACATTCTGGAGCACTTGGATCTAGAAAATAAGTCATTGATAACTGATAACTATCAGAATCTGTTAGTAATAAATACATAACATTACACAAATATAAGTAAATTATCATAGAAGTTACATAATTAAAATGAAACCAAAAAAAAAGGTGAACCTGAATGAATTTGACCATTAACATACCAAGTTGTCAATCTATAACATTATCGAATTGAGATGCATGATAAGAACTTATTAATGTTTAAAATAATGAGCACTATAATACATCTAATTGAAAAGGACTATAGGTAATCTGATAAGTAATAAAATTTCTAAGTTGCAGATATTTACATTTTACACACCACTTTATAATCAAGTATCATGAAAATCATAAGATCTAAAATTTCATAAGCAGATAAATGATAGTAAATATTCCTATTAGAAAAACACCTTTCATTAATGATTAATTGAGTACAAATGGGGAAAAAAACATAACTTCAAACAAATTGAGCACTTAATTGAAAAGAATTACAAAAGTAAAAATGTCAAATACAATAACCTCACTCATTGATGATCTTTGGATATTCATTTAGATAAGAATAATAATCAATAACAATAAAAATTAGTCATAAAAAAGTATTTATGATAGTAAAATGAATGACCTTGAAAATAATTTTTTATAACAAAGAAACTTAAAATAAACATTCAAATAGATAAAATGAATTGTTATTAAGACATTCAGAAGAAATAAAATTGTATTTCAGGTCCTATATAATTTTGTTGATGATAGTGCATTTATCTACAACTGTAACATATGCATTCATAATTGAGTCAGAGGAAAAATTTAGGTCTGATTTAATCTATAAACTCACCCAACATAGCGAGGTCCTCTTCAACATCACTACACTCCATGGGTTTTTCAACAATAACACTTGCTTCAGTCTCTTCGTTAGCGCCCTCCATCTTAATTAATCTGCTCAGGCTAAAACGAACAGAACCGCACTAAGAACTTATTCACAAAAGAAAAAACCTGTAAGCTAAGTTCGGAGCTAAGAGGGAACGAAGGAGTAAAACAGCGACAATTTTGCCATAATAAATATAAGGGGAAACACAAACATTGCCTTCAACAAAACAGAAATAGTGAACTGAGGAGGGTACACAGCAGCTAGGCCAGCCACCGACTCTTCTCTCTTCTCATTGGTCCAGGCGGTTGAAAAAAATTCAAATTCCTGGCGGTTACATTCAGCACCCAAGAATCCAATTCAGTTTCTAAGATGTGTAGATGAGTATAATCTTAAATAATAACTATTGTTTATTTTATATTTCTGTGGTATTCCTAATATTAAATCATTTCAAAAGCTAATCACAATAGTTGAAGATATCTCTATCAGTATTATCATTTTAGAAGTTGCTCTTTGGATCATGTTTATAACCTATCCCCACCAAACCTTGACAATTCATCATAATATCAGTATTGCTTCAATTCAGTCTTCAATCTGTTCTTAATGATTTTGTATTTCATTATAAATGTGCTGATAAATGGAAACCAATAGTGAAATAGACGATCCATTTAAACAGTTCTCCATTTCTGACAATTGGTCTAAACTTTTAGAAAAAGATGAAAGAGACTTTTGTCCTAAATGTAATAAGTCTCGGATGTACTTTTGTTACACTTGTTACGTTCCAATGAACGATTTCAAAGTTATCACTCCTAGAGTCAAAGTATGCTTAATCAATATAATTTTATACTTTATTATATCAAATATATTTATTATTATTATTAAATTTTTAGATTTTAAAAAGTTTTGTTGTTTTGTTATAGCTTCCTCTTCCTCTTGATATAATCAAACATCCAAAAGAAATCGATGGAAAAAGCACTGCAGTCCATGCTGCGATAATTAGCCCAGAGGATGTTAACATTTACATTTATCCTTCTATTCCAAACTACAACGAGTTATCGAATGTAAGGAGAAACATGATTACTTTTATTCAATAGTATTTTGATTTTATATAAATACTGACATGTATTATAATTTATTTAAACCTCTAGAATGCTTGGTCTTTGCAATAAGAGAACATCATTTTACCAGTTATATATTCTCTCACTACATGCAATACAAATTTATTTATGTATCTAATATAATCTCATTCCAGTGTATTTCTGTACTTATTTGTTCCTGGTCAGATATAAGGAAAGTAAAAACTCTTCCTGTTTGTTCCAATATCATATTGTACATTATTGTTGTGTTACTGGTGTACAAATTTCACTCCATTAATTGATGGCTCAAGATCTCATGATCGCTCCATAAATGGAATTCCGAGAATGGCCGAGTGTGTTCTTAAGTAGATGGAAATGACAACTATCTGGTGAGGCCCAGATTTCCACTAAAAATGACCCATTATGGGTTTGTTTATCCCTTTAGAGCAAGTGCGAATCAACAACAACAATGTAATTAAAGCTAATAAATGGCTCAATTTTAACTTAAAAGGACTAGTTAATAGTTCACTGAAGTCATAAATCTCAATCTAAATAAAAGGAGGTCATACTGTGGGATAGTTATCAATCTTCAACTATTCTTGAAACCGGATTTATACCGCAAATAAGGTATCATATTCCACTGGACAAGATGGAGTGACATTTGTACAGTGGTACCTTCCTATCTAACTTTGGATGACTAACTCTCAAGGTTCCATACATCTATTAGATAAATCCTATGGGATTTCTTCTGAATTCATCCATAAGGATCATTTGTATGCTCCATAAGATGTGACCAGCCTATCTCACTTAACTTAATATCTTTGAGCTTATTCTCTGCCCATCTTCGCTAAATATACATACACTTTCGCTATACATTCCAGTCTTGATATTCTTTGGAGAATTTTCTTCTTAATTCTCAAGAGTAATTATGCAGTAGTTTTAGGCATTATCCTCAGAAACAATAATAATAATAATAAAAAGAAACAATAATGAGAAATAAAAATTCATGGTGCAATTAGTAAGACATATGCCTATTTGTGAAATTGTTTTAGTTCTTCAGTTTGTTTTGCTTATGCATGTGGTCTGTTATTTTACTTCTAGAGGATAATGTTAGTACTATTTAGTCCGTAGTACAGACTCCTTTTTATCGAATTATTAACATCCACCTGAAACTTCATAAATAGTTTCATCTCTTCATAACCTACAACTATTTTATTTACAAAAACTCTTGGAATTGGGGTGTTTTCAATCTGGAGGGGGACAAACTTTGTCTATTTAATTAAGTACTAAAAACTTGTAAATACCCATTTGCTTTAATACTTGGATTTTTAGATAATTTGATCACAAAATCGAGAAAAAAAGGTGGCCTTCAAAAATATTGAGCCATTGGCGTGACCTACACCCCCAAATTTTCAAAGTAACGAGGTTACATGGGACAAACGGCTCAATATTTTTGAAGGCCATATTTAAAGTTTGCTCTCTGCCAGATTGAAAAATTCCAAGAGTTTTCGTAAATAAAATAGTTGTAGATTACGATGAGATGAAACTATTTACGAAGTTTCAGGTGGATGTTAATAATTCGATAAAAAGGGTTCTGTACCACGGACTATTATACCTATCATAAAAAATAAAATAAAATCAATTTAAGTATATTATTTCCTATTCTCGTTTCTAGGAATATTTAAATTTTTTAAGATTATGTATTTAATTGATATGATTTTTTTTTCTATATATTTTAAATTTCTTCTAATAGTAATTTATAACTTAGTTGTGAAATGTTCATATTTTTTATTATTTTGGTGTATGAAGTGTAGCTAGGAATAGTTTGCAAAGTATTTAATCGCACTATTCTTTAATATATTTTTTTCTTATTTCAGGTTATTTTAATTTTTCCTAGTAAAGATGCTCTTTGTTTGGAAGAGATTGTTAAACAAACATCATTATTGTAAGTATCTTAGGTCATTTTATGATTAGGTTAAATTTAAAAATAAAATTTTAAAAAAATAATTTTTTTTTACTTTATAAGCTTACTACTCATAATATAGATAAAAATTTTCTATCACTTGAATCCATATTCAATACTTTTCCTTGATTTGGTAATCAAGGTCACCTTAATTGTGACTTACTTTTGAGGTTGATATCCTCTAAGTTTTTAAGCTAATCTGTCACATGCCCTTTCACATTTTTAGTTTTACGTATGGTGTATGTGATGTAGTTTCCATTATTATATGTGTGTAAAATACACCAAGTACAGGGCAACTCTTACCATTTAATATAATTATGTAAAATACATTGCGTTCAGAGGAACATGCTATTTCACGAAATTGCTTAGCACTATCGTAACACTGATTTTTTTTGGTTTGCTAAGTACTTAACTTGGGTTCCTAACTCTCATTCTATAGTATCATCCGGTTCAAATCCTTGAGTTGAAATGGGTGAAGGCGACTTTAATCTGATACTTCTCCTCATATTGATTAGTTACCGACAAACAAGTTAGTTAAAGTACCGTGTTTTTATGGGATCCAATTAATAAAATAAAAACTTTAAAAATGATATGCCTTATTATTACTTTAATTCATTTAAATGTTGTGAATGTTAGTAAGCTAAACCTCAACCATAATTTATTGGTAGCCTGAGGACGAACTCGTGCAACACTAAGTTGAAACTAACAATTTTTTTTTCTCTAATCTTCTATATTACTTACAAAATATTCATAAAAATATACATATATAAAAAGATGATACTGTGATCTTCTAATTTGTAAAATTTTTTGGAATAATACTGGAGGGTAAGGGTAAGTATTAGTTTACAACTTCATGACGCACGAGTTTGTGCCTGAGCTGCCAACTCATCGTGATTAAAATATTTAGCTGTTCTTCCAGGTAAAGAAATCACTCAAAATTTGTAATTGTTAGTTAGATTGGCCAATTCCAACATTATATTATTAATATAAAATTTGAGGATTGGGTAGAGTCCGTCTGAGATAAGTTTGCCAGTGGGTAGAGGGTAAATGGGATACGCAGCGGAAAAATATTTTCCCGTCTATCCACCATTATTTTATCTTCTCTACTCATTCATACGTAATTTCTTTTACCAATTTTCGTTTACTACGTCAAGTAAACTGGGTAGAGGAAAAACTATCCACTCTCGGACCAAAAACATAATTATGAACGTATATAAAGAGCCTCCCTACAGGCAAACTCATCTTAGATACACTATAGTTGCATGAATATTAAATTTTTAATTGTTGGTGAAGATTATAATTATGAAAATACAAAAAGACCTGAATTTTTCCAATGCACATTTACAAAAAATAATTAGTGTTGAGAAAAATTGGTGGAGACACATCTATGCAGAGGCTACTAGCAACTACCTTGGACTGTTTGACATCTTTTAGAGAGGAGTTTGATGATTTTATTATGAGCGGGATAACTCAGTGGCAGGGCAGTAAGCTTCCAATGCTCAAGGTCCCAGGTTTGAATCCCGGCTCATGGCAGAAATATTATTTATTTTGCTTCATTGGCCGTGAGGCGACCATGGGATAGGGAGACCCTCCCGGGGGCACATCCAGCCTCTACAAAATGGGCACCCTTAATTAAAATTGTTTTTTTTAAATAATTGTTTTTTTTTTGGATGATTTTAAGGAATGTTTTTATATAATCTCATAAAGGTAATAAGGAATTAAGAAAGGAAACGAAAGCTCTTAATAGGTAGTACATTACAGGTAATGTTATGTGGAATGAGGAAGTTTTAATTATTCCCACAGCAGTTTGTGGGTCGATTATATTAAGATGATAATGGCGGTAATAACCAGAAATATAGTGCACTGAATGAGGGTAGGTAGATCCAGATTAAGTATAGCAGGACCAGTTTATGACATGGCACCTGATCCTAGGATTAAAGATGTTTCTTAAGCCAACGGGAAATTAACAAACAGGAATAATTAGTTGTAGTACTATAATAAAAAAAAATCAGTGGATTTTATCATCCTTGTCAATATTATCATTCAGTTACTTGCTAGATGATTGATGTATACATATTATTTTGTGCATTACTTTTTCTAGGAAAGAGGAAGAAGATGCTGAACAATTGTTCAGTCGAGTTGTTTTTATTGATTCTACTTGGAACCAATGCCGAACTATTCTTAATGATTCAAGAATCAAAGGTATTACTTGCTATATTTGTTTGTTTATTGAACTTGTAAATTTATAAGACTATCACCAACTGGGATAACTTTGGTTCAACAAAACAAAAAAAAAAATTTGTTTTGTTGAACCAAGATTTAAGATAGGTTTGTGCCTTAGATGTGACAGCAACTTTTTCCTTAAAATCGGCTTACCAGAAGTGCCACTTTATATCAACGCTGAAACACATTTCCACAATTTTCTCAAAAATGGCTCTAACGATTTTGATTAAACTCAGTGTATCATTGTATAATTAAGTGGTCTTTAATATCATTTAGGTCTTATCCCTGTTGATGTCACTTTACAGGGCTTAAATGCCCAATGTTCATATACGTCTTCCTCTAAAGTACCTTTAATATGGTTTATTTTAAAAAGTTAATCATCTCAAATTATTCAGAGTTACGAAAAAATGCTAAATATAACTTTGTATTTGTATGCTAAATATAACTTGTATTTTGTTCATGAAAATAGTATGCATATTTAATTATGTGTCATTTCTGAAAGGATTTGATAAGTTATAAAGGAGAAAAAAATAAAAATGAATCTCCGGAAATACGTTGGAAAGCAGAGAATTTTAGAAAAAGAATATCTAATTTAGAAAGTTGTAGAAGGTAACGGAGAGTGCTAAAAAAATTATAAATTTGACCTATCTATGACAGACAATGCAAATCTCTAAATTCCGTTTTAGTAAACTTTGCAATGGAAAATAACAGTTTAATAACTAATAATCGTGCATCCATAATCAACGGATCGTGCAATCCATAATCAACTGGTGATTTAATAAATAGGACTTTTGTTATTTTAATGGTATTTATGATTTTTTAGCTGTAATTCTTTAGCTATAGCTTAGTTAAAAATGCAATTCAAAAATTTTATAATAGCCCGATATGGCCCGGAAAATAATTTCTATTCAAAGTTGAGCGTTAAGTGAAAGTTGTGTGTTGCGCGCACCAGATTTTTTTAATATCATCTTGTCTGCAAACCAAATAATTATTTCTAGCTAACCATTTTGTATTAGTGTGTATATAAAAAGCTAATGGTGTTGTCTGATTTTCAAAATCTTTAAAACTTAATACAGCAAAAAAAAAAAAATTAAATTGATTTTGTTCATGAAAATAGTATGCATATTTAATTAATTATGGGCCATTTCTTGTATGCTTGAAGACTGAGTAAAGCATTGCTTTTATTTATCTAATAGTGGAAGGCAATCAAGAGCTCAGTGGAATTTGAACATCACGTGATCTTTCTTCTTTAGTGAGACTTACATTTTTATTAGTCAATTTTGAATAGTAAAGCTGTATTTAATTATCACACCAGCATTTTAAATAATTTTTACAAAAATTTATGATTTGCAGTTTTGTAATTTCCTTCTTTTGAAAGATTTTTCTTCTTTTTTTCACTATAAATTAGACAAATCAACGACTATCACTTTTATGAGGTTCAGCCATTAATTTAAAATTTACATATAAATAGTATTGTTTTCAATTTGGTGTAGAAAAAAGACCAATATATTTTAGAATGATATAAATCTAGCAATAGGACTTATTGAAACTGACCTCCAATTAACAATACAATTTTGAATATTACTAGTTAGTTTTGGACTTATAACAATTACTTTAAACACATCACCTATATAGGCAATTTTAATTTAGTTATGATTTGCATCTTAGGATTGCCTCGTGTGGTGCTTAAGAAGAGGGAATCGCAGTTCTGGAGGCATCAGAAAGGCAGCCCGATAACGCACCTTGCCACAATTGAAGCTATTCACCAATTTCTTGTTGAATACCATAGCTACAGCTCTGGTAGAAATGAGTACGATGGACGCTATGATAACATATTGTTTTTTTTCAAGTTTATGTATCACAAGATACATTCATTATATGACCATAGTGATCTGTTATCATATAAAAGACCAATGCTGCAATAAATTTTATATTTTTACTTTTATCATGACCTATTAATAATTCAAAATGAAAAAATATTCTATTAGATCTTATTAAGCCAGTGTTGATGTATTCTCTTTGCTGCAGTATTTATTTATTCCTCTATTTAAGGACAACAGAGTACTAAGTGTCCTTAAGATTTTTTTTTAAGGTGTCTGATAGAATAATCATCACTTAAATTTTAGGGTTGAGATAGCTTCCACAAGTTCAGTATCCTTAGACCTTAACTAAATCATTATAAAATTGATCATCTAATTTATTACATGATTTCAATCAGCCTCACTGAATACTTTAACTAAATTTTGTCAATATTAATCGCCATTTAAAATGTTAATTCGTTGCCATAAAAAGTATTTAATGAAAACTATACGACGGATGAGAATGGTGAATTATTATTGATTCTTGTGATTATATTTAACTATATCTTAAACAAATTATTTCAGAACTAATGATAACAAAAAACAAAGAAAGAAACTAACAAACAAATATATCATAATAATATTTAATGAAGTCAACAGGATAATGAAAAACAAAGTTATATATAGAATATATTTATTAAAAATACACTAAATCATTAAATACTGACATATCTTTCAGCATTATCTAACATCTTACAATGTTAATGCACACATATCAATTAATTCTTTATTATTTAACAATTTAAAAATAATTAATACATATATTCAATAATAAATATATTTTTAGTTCAAAACTGAAGAATTGTTGGTGCTACAGATGACAAATGAAACTATAACTGGAATTCATGTGTTAAAATTATTACTTATTTTCATCCAAATTAACCCTTCAAGTGTTAATTTGAGTAAAACAAACTTTTTTAATATTTACTCTCTAATTTATGTAAAGGGATTGACACAATCATCTACATCATAAATACTAAAAAATTGCTTTATGTTGAAGCAATAATAAAATTTGAATTAAAGTCACAATTTCCAAACCTTGATTCATAATATCAAATCACGACTAAAAATAAAAGTTATTTTTAATGAGTCATGCTTGTCACTCACACCATTTTTATTCTATTTTATTATTTAAATTTTATGGGTGATAAATATTCAGGACGTAGTCATTATAAAGTTTTTATTAGTGCTGACGTTTCAACCCTAACATGTGGGTCGTCATTAGGGCATTGTTCGAGCACTGAAGGTGTTCAAGCACTGTTGGCTAGAATACAAACTAGCGAGAGAGGTAACTTGTTTGCAATACATGTGCTGCCTGTCAACCTGATAAACTGAAGATTAGGAGTTCTGGCCCCGCGGCCAGGAGTATTTAAATTTTAAGCTCTTGCATTAATTCCTAGTCCTGGAAAAACTTAAAAGATGAAAAGGCAAGGTAGGGAAGGTAGCATTAATTAATATTTACAAAAATTTGAAATTAATAGAAACGTCTGCACTAATAAAAATTTTATAATGATTGCGTCCTGAATATTTATCATCCATGATATGTAGAACAGTCAACTAACTTCCTTTAATAATTTTTTTAATTTTAGTTGACTAATATATCCAACAATAAACTAATTGTCAATTGGAAATCTGCTAAGTGTAGACGAATGCAGTTAAAAAAATTAATGGATAAACATTATCAATTAAGTATAATACATTAAATCATAATTTAATGACTTAGTTTAAGATAATATCATAAGAAAGATCAACAAGTTCGTATAGTTAAAAATTGACTCAAGTATTTCTTGTTTTTTTAAAATAAAATATATCAATTGTTTATCTATCTTTAATTAATCATTTTAAAAACAATATAAATCTGTAATAAAGTTTTATATACCTACATAAACAAATATCTAAGAAAGAGTCAAATTTGCATTAGTATATTTAAAAACAAAATAGGTTTGCAGTTTTTGTGGAAAGGATGGAAAGAGATTGATTAAGGTATGGGTAGGTATGGCAAAAAAAGAAATTTCAGATGATGTTTTGAAGTTTTCAAATTTACGAGGCAAAGACCAGTGAACCTGCACTCTCGAGGGGGTCTCAATAGTGATATGGCCTCCATGAGCTAAGTGCTGCCTCTGTAAGTTTTTGTTTGGTCTTCATTAATCTAGTTGGAATATAAGAAATATCTACAATACAAAACTTGTTGGAGAGGGGTACATTGCTTGCAATACATGTGCTGCCTGTCAACTTGATAAACTGAAGATTAGGAGTTCCAGTCATGGGGTCAGGAGTATTTAAATTTTAAAGTCTTGCATTAATTCCTAGTCCTGGGAAAACTGTAAAGATGAAAAGGCGAGGTGGGGAAGAAAAGAAGAAAAAAATGCTAGCATTAATTAATATTTAATTATTTATTTACAAAAATTTTAAATTAATAGAATTAAATTGAGGAACTTGGAGCAAGAATGTGACGAGTCACACTTTTGAGGAAAGTAAGTTATTTGCACAAAATGCTACTTTGTACGTTTATATATGTTGATTGGGTACCTACAACTTATAGATTGTTTCTATAACAAATCATGTTCCAAAGACATTTAAAATATGTTTGATGCAGAATCTGATAAGCCACATCCAAAAATGGCAGACAGCAGATCCTAGGGAAAAAATATTAAAAATAAATAAATCTTTCCAACAAGAATATTTGTGATTCTTCTTTGGATATTGATAATCCTGATAAACACTACCAACCTCCAAACCGTATTTTATCATAACTTATAGAACCTGTGAGTGCAATGAAAAATAATTTGTAACTTGTCACAATATTGTTGCAAAAGTTTTGTAATTATCAGTAGGAAAACTAATAAAATAAAATTCAATTGTTTTCTTTAATAATTGAAAAAATAAAAACAGGCTATGGTGGCTCTCTGGATCTAATACATCAGGGAGTAAATATTCATGTTAATCATTCACTGATAATAATTATGAGTGTATGATTAACATTATAAAGCATTAATTATTAATGCTCACTGAAATGGCTCATTACTTTTATAATCAGGAATGATAAGGACTAGGCATTAATTGAAAAATGATCGGGAGAAAATTAGCACATTTTCGTTTCTGGAGTGCTTGATGGATTTAGTAAGACAATAAAATAAGAGTAACCTATCCAATGTCAAAATCGTGTCCCAAACCAATATTTTAAATGTAAGTAATCTATATGTATATATAAAAATGAATGTCTCTGTCTATCCTTTATGCATTACTAAACCATTCATCCGATCGCCATGAAATTTTGGGAAATTGTTGCGTACACTCCCACAAAGGTTTCTGGCATATCACTTCTGTCTTACAATAATTTTATATGGGTAAAAAAAAAAATGTAAATGTTTTTTTGTTCAAAGCCGCTAAATTCCTTAGGACACCATTTCTTTCTAGGTATACAGCTAAATGGTAAGCACCAGCAATAATGGAGAGCCATGAATTCTCCAGGGCGAACATTGTTATCAGCATTTATAACTTCCATCTGAGCAAAATCCGCTGGCCCAACACTCTCACATACTGGCCAATTGATGCTAACCCCAAACCCAACCTTATATACTTTTTCATCCACAGAGGTTTTTTAGATCTTATCACATTTATCTTATCTTAGACAACACATTACAGACACTAAACAAAGTTTCTTGTTAGAAGCCAACAACCATAGCCATTCTAATACAACATAGAGGTACGAGATACTAACAGGCCTCCTTAAATTTGTATTTCTACAAAAAAATTTACAAATTACATTTATTTTTCATTTAAATTGAAAGAAAGTTCAGATCTATCAAAAATATTTTTTACCTGAATAACCAGCCGTAGAGTAGGGCCCATTCTAATCGGTGTGAACACAATCTGCAATAAGTCCTCTGCCTTTTTTCTAGGATTATTTAATGGTAGATTATGCATTTTATTTTCGATAAAAATAACATTTCATATCGACAGTCACACTGCAAAAGCCTAACAAAAACAAAAACTAAAAATTTTTAGGAGATGAAAAAAGCTTTAACTTTTATTCTATGAACATTATATTTTCGGTTCAATTTTTTTTGCAGGCCTAAAACAAAGATGTAATGCTCTACATAACTTTTTAAATTGTATTTCTGCCAAATAATCTTTTAAAGCCATTACTTATAACTTTTTAGTTATTTTGAAAAACAGGTATTAATTAGGTAAAAGCAATCAAATTTATCGTAATAACACCCATAAGTTTGTTAATAATGATCAAACCATGACAAGAACAAAGTCAGTTATCAAAATGTAGAGAAACGATACTTCAAATGAAAATGTGTAAAAAAAATTGACTGGAAAGCGATTATTCGATCACACAGGTTGTTCACTTTTTTGTCTCCCACTGTAGGGGGTGGCTCGAACGGAGTGGATGCGCCTTATTTTGGAGTAGAAGTCTATGAAAGATTCGTTTTTTAATGTATTCAACTTCATATGGACACGATTTGATTCAGGAATGCTTGGTAAGTTCTAGGTAACCTGCTGATGTGTAGATCACTTCGTTTCTAAGCTTCTTGCTATTTCGAAGAAGATTGTTTTGAAAAGATAAAACTAAAGTTCTTTTTTCGTCTCGTTTTAAATTTTCCAATTAATTCTTTGTCTCTCACTATCTGGAATTTGGTGGCATTGTAGCTTTTTTTCAGCCAAGCTCATTTTGCAGTGTCCAGGAGGTTTCAATTGTTTTGTTGTTTGTTTCGATGTGTAGGCGCAAAACATCCAGGTCATCAGTGCCCAATCAACTAAATAACACTACTTTTATACTGTTTGGATGGTTGGTACAAAAAAAGGATAAAAAAAAATAAAAAAATGGATTAATTAAATTAAAAATAAAAGATGGATTAATGGAATAAAATAAATAAATAAAGATAAGAATAGACACTTATAGATAATAAGATAGAATAGATAAATAAATGAAGTTTAAAAAAATAGCGATGAAATCAATAAATGACTGTAACTTTCAATTGTTTTTGAAGACCATTTGATACTATATTCTCATTTACCACTCTCTCCTTTGCTTCATCTATTTCTATGGTAAGCAGTGCTGGCCTCAGTGCAGGGAAACCCGAGCATTTGTCCAGAGGTAACGGACTGGAAGTGCCTGCCACATATTAGAAATTAAAAAAAGTATATAAAGCGTATGAGAAAAATTAATACAGTTTTTTGCATCAAAATTTGCTGGTTTTAAGTTATAGGTTTTTACAAAAGGCCATAAGAGAAAAAATGAAATATTGTAGATTTCATTTCGTGGGATCAGAATATGCACCAGGACAAGATTGACCAGAAAAGCTTAAAACCTCATTTTCCATAGAAATTGTCCTTACAAGCTTTTGCAGTGTGGCTGTCGATATGCTCTTGTTCAATTTTCTCTGGCAGGCCATTTCATGTGCAAGAATTTCATTCTTGCAAATAATATCCGAATTTGGAGTTCATATGATAAAAGAGTAAGATGAAATTTGTCTTTCATTGCTAAATCTTCTAATTCTTCTACGGCTCTACAACCTGTGAGGGGTCACGGACGCCTAAAGAAAAGTCCGCCATTTATCTCGATTCCATGCAGCCGCCCTCCAGTCCCTGATTCCCAGAAAGACAATGTTGACATCTCCAAGTAAGAAACTGACAAAACTCATAAGGTTAGCAATATATATAAATTAAAAACTGAAAAAGAATAAAATTTAACACAAAACAGTTGCTGTAACAATTGTTAAAGCTACAAACAATATAGTAGTGATTAAAATTTGCAAGTGAGTGCATGTACAAAAAAAAAAATCCAGACAAATTTAGAATCAGAATGGGTTCCAGCAAAGATTGAGAAAAATATGGACCATTCAAGATCTTATAATTTGTGGATAGAAAAATTCAGTAGTTTGATAGAAAGAAATAGAAAACATATTAGCAAGCTCTAGAAATTTATTAAACAGATTAGGAGAGATGAAAGTGCAGAGTTGTCAGAAGAGCATGTTGTTACTGAAGGTTACATGACCAGAGTAGGAAGAACTGTTAAAAGACCTTAGGGGAGCAAGGGATTAGATGAAGAAAGAGGTTATGATGGGTTATGAAACAGGATTTAAAGTAGAGTAATTAGTTATTTGCTGAGCTATATTTTGCACTTGTATTCTATTAAAGGTTCTTCAATATATATATATATATATATATATATATATATATATATATATATATATAAAAGTAATTTATAATAAATAAAAATTTCCAAATGTAAACAGTAATATTAACCAATATATATACATTTAATAATGACTAAACATAAATATTTTGTGATTTGATTTTATGATGACTATCAATTCAAACTTTGTAAGCTGTATATATAGATTACAATTTATAAAAAATTCAATAGTTAAGCATTATTGGCTATTGTTTTTTAAAAACTGCACCAATATAGATAATAAATATATTGCTAATAATACAGGAGTATTTTTTTCACAAACAAGATTTAAAAATACAATAATAATCAATACATAAACCTATTATATAATGCAACTATCATACAGAATTATACATTAAATATTCCTGTGATTATACCAATAAAGACATTAGCATGAACCATAAAAATGACACTTGTGTAGCAATACTTCTAGGTCAAGGTAAACTTCCACATACATTTTACGGCTAAGGAAGTTCATTGACAAACTATTTGTAAAAAATGTAAGAGCTTATTTTATCAATTAAACAAAACTTGAAATCTAATTTAATAAAATAAGATTTCAGCAATACAGGAAGGAAAAATCAAAACCAAGATCTCTTATAAGTGAGGTCTTCGACTTAACCCCTGTATGGTAATACAGGCAGGGATACACAATCCAAGGCATGCAGAATTAGCATGTGTGGGTAGATTCTTTAATTTGTGATTAAAAAAAACTTCTGGGATGAAAGGGTATATTATACTTTGCATGTTGATATAGTGTACAAAATTAGTTTCTTTATAAATAAATCTAGAACAATTAACTCTACTTGATAATAAATTTACAGAATCTGTAGTTTTTCTGTTAGAGAGAGAAATACTTTATTGAAAGCAGTGCTACCCTGCTACATAGGGTTGTTCGACACACAGAATACTCATCAATCCTTTCTTTTTCTTTGGACATACAAACAATATAAATTCTACAATATAATAATACATATAACTACAATCATACAATATATTATACATACATATTTCGGTGAAACCTATACAAGGTAATTTCCAAAATTTGTAGTGCTAAAAAAAACAAAATTCATATATATATATATTATTCGAATGCCAAAGTTTTAACACCAGAAAATTAGAACGCACACACAACACAGACAAAAAGATATGATCACTTAAGCAATATTAAAATTCAATAAATAATGATAATCATCCCCTAATTACCATATATGTGATGATGTATGATCCCAAGGGAGTCCAGAATAATACCCCCCCCAACACTGCAAGCTCCCCGACATCAACACCAAGTTCTTCGCAGAAGCTCCCTGTTCTTTTCCAGGAATCGCTCCGCGAGACCCAAACCAGAGGCCTCTCACTGTGAACTCTCTCTCTCCGAAGGTCTCGCAGAATTTCTCTTTTAGGAAAGGGATGCATTTCTCGTAGATTTTCTTCTTTTCTCTTTATACTTCGTTGGCTTGTTCGAGGTCGTTGCTCTCATAGACGTTAAATTTTTTTAACTTTTCCTCATTTATGACAAGCTCTTCCTAAATATTTTATTAAATTTTTATAGTATCATTAGTATTATAATTAAATATTTATAGTATCATCTGCCTTTGACGTATGAATGATTTCTCCGTTCTCAAGGGAGAGCTTTGTTAAATTAGCTTTTATTAAATTTTTATAGTATCATTAGTATTATAATTACATATTTATAGTATCATCTGCCTTTGACGTATGAATGATTTCTCCGTTTTCAAGGGAGAGCTTTGTTAAATTAGCTTTTATTAAATTTTTTATAGTATCATTAGTATTATAATTAAATATTTATAGTATCATCTGCCTTTGACGTATGAATGATTTCTCCGTTCTCAAGGGAGAGTTTTGTTGCAGCTCTCCTTTATCCATTATCAGGCCCACGCTTTTCTTCGGATAAATACTCAGACCAATCTCGGCAAGGATCCTCTGTACACAATTAATTATCCTTTCTGCAGCATCCTTGTCGCGTGCTGAAACAGCCTGGTCATCCGCGAAGCCTGTGAGGACCACACATTCTTGGTCGCTGGTGAGCTTATATCCGTAATGCTTGGAAAATTCTTGCTCACACAGGTCGCGGTATAGATGGTCTATAGCCAGATTGAACAGCGAGGGCGACAAGGATCCGCCTTAGGATACTCCTCGTCGCTCTTTGATCCAGCCTGTAGCGTGGGTCCCTACTCCGATCTTAATTGAGTTGGTACCCAGGAGAGCCGCAATCACTTCTTTCAAGATTTTTCTTTTCAAAGAAGCCTCTGAAGTGGCCTTCAATCTCGGCTACCTTCAGTGGGCACTGTTTAGGAGCGTCGGCGTTCATTATATTTTGAACTACTTTTCTTCTCCTATTATAATAATTGCATTGTGCCACCTCGTAATTGTATTGCTCCTGCCGACGACTCCTATCTGCCTTGTTATCCCTCTGTGGATTCGACACTTTTCCAGCACCCTTGCCTGCCATATCAATCTTATTTTTCTTTCTTAACTTATAAAATTTAACGGCAGGATATGCTGGGCCAGACAATTCATTATTTGCTTTTTTCATAAATTTTAAAAAATTGCTAACTGCTTCGTTGAATTCCACTTTATCTATATAATTACGCCGAAGGAGGTCCTGGAAGGTAGTCGACCACCTGGTTATTTCTTGTTTTATACTATCTTCCTCACCCTCTCCATTTTCATTACTTTTTATATCGTTAATTAAACCCCTTAGTCTGTCGCTGTTAGCCTCCCTTGGATGTTTCTTCGCTATATGTTGATCCCTAAGGACGGGCCTTGTTTATTTTCTTTTATTCCTCTACTAGACTCTCCGGACGTCTGTGGCAAATTGGGCAAACTCGGAAATACTTCTTTTATTGAAACTGTTTTACCCAATATTTGGCCTTCATCGTCCTGCCATTCCACCTTCACGAGCGTTTTATCACTGCTTCCTGCTGCGCCCACAGATATCACAGAGGCCACCACTAATTCTTGGGCTGAGCCTTCAGATCTCAGAACCCATACCCTCTGACCTACCTCAACTCCTATAGAATTATATAGATCCGAGTCCATATCTTTTCATCATCACACAAACATATCAATATATAAGCATAAAAATAAGTTAAATCTATGTTTATATGATAAAAACAAATAAAACAATTCTAAAAAATACATACCCAGTTAAAGTACTTTAGTAAATTAAAACTAAATAAACAGATTAAAAATATATATAAAGATTAAAAGATGTCATGACGTTAAAATTCAATAAATAGGTTAAGAATATATACATGGATTAATTAAAATGAATGAGTTAAATTTATAGAAATGGTTTAAAAAATATAAATAAGATCAAATAGTGTCAATAGGCTAAAATTAAATAAATAGATTTAAAATATATACATGAATTAATTCAAGTTAAAATAATAAGTTAAAATTAAATAAATAGTTTAAAATTATAAATAAGATCAAATAGTATCAATCGGCTACAATTAAATAAATAGATTTAAAATATATATATGAATTAATTAAAGTTAAAATAATAAGTTAAAATTATATAAATAGTTTGAAACTTAAAATACAGATCAAATAGGATTACTACAAATATTTAAATCATATACAAATAATGTGCGTATGTGTGCGTCACAATACTGGTCAAACAAATATTATCAATAACTACAAAAGTACATGCATTCTTAAAAAGACGAAGGGAATAAAAAACAAAAAAAAAAAACAAGGAATCTAATCAATAAAAAAAAAAAAAAAAAAAAAAAAAAAAAATTCAATCGACAACAAAGTAGGTTGGGCTCCTTCGATGATAGCGAGATTGATTACGTAGTACTGCTTAGATGACACTGACCTTGCTGGAGATATCATGGCTGGCGTGGTGGGGGGCAACAGGTCTCTGGCTGCACCAGATAAGCAGCCCGGTCCAAGGAGCACACCAATTTCTTTACCTTCTGCTCCTGTCGAAAGTCCTCTCTCGATTTTCCTCAGATTAAATGATTGAAACATTGAACAAATTAACATTGAAAATGATTCTTTTTTTTCCAATTTGAATTTGTTGTTATGATAGTTATATTAATAAACATTAAATACTATATAAATTAATGTTCCTAAGTCTTAATATCACAGTAACTAAGTGACAGCCTATTCAGTATTGTTTCAGTACATAACGTGAAAGTATAATTTATATTAAATAAAAATTTCCAAATGTAAACAGTAATATTAACCAAACAGAAACTATAATACAGCTTATTACATTTATAAGTGGCATTAATAAATTACATTATTATCACAATCATTAAAACATAAAATAATTAAAAGTACTATTATTAGGTCAGTCTAGTGACGATATTGCTAGTTCTAGACATAATCTATGAAATATACATTGCACTTACCTTCAGATTTCAAGCTAATAGTATAAAGTATATCTTAGCAATCTAGAGTACTTCAATCAGTATTGTTCCAGAAGAATTAATGGCGATGAGAGTAGCACCTTCATGTCCTGATGGTACGACAAGCTGCTTGCCAGAGCCTCGGAGTTCCCAGCTGCGGCGAACAGCTCCTTGCTCACCTCGTACTTGAACTACCTTTAAGCTGGCCCCTTCACTTTCTACAATGTGCCTATCAAAAAATATAGAAAAAATATATAATATAAATATAATTAAACATAAAATTATATTGAAAAACAATCTTTATTAGGATTTGCTTATATGTGTGTATGTATATATATATATATACATAAGTCACATATAAGCATATATTTATTATTTGTATATTTATAATATATATATATATGTATATATATATATATATATATATATATATATATATATATATATATATATATATATATATATATATATATATATATATATATATCCTTGATGACCATGCCCCTCTCAAAACCTCCACCTTTCGTCGCCTTCCTGCTCCCTGGATGTGTCAGAAAATTAAGAATCTTCAGAAGAGGCGTGATGCAGCCCGGAGACGCTTTAGACGCACTAGATTGCCTGACGACAATCAAGCGTTCAGGGCGCTCTGCAACCTGACACAATCCACAATCCGACGAGCCAAATCTACCTATTTCCATGAAGCCCTTTCCTCAGCTCCTGATTCCAAATCCAAATGGCTACTCCTTTGTAAACTCTCTCTTTGTGATCCTACCAGATCTTCTCCCTCTGCAGTGCCCCCAGTTTCATCAAATGACTTAAATTCTTATTTTATATCTGCTTCCTCTTCAACTCCTTCATTTCTCCCTTCCTTCTTTCCTCCTGGAACATCTTTCAATGACGCCGATTTTTATTTTTCAGCTATTTCCCCCACAGACCTCATATCGGCCGTGATGAAATCACACTCTAATTCTATTGGTTCAGATGGCATTCCCGTCAAATTAATTAAATTATGCCTCCCTGAAATCCTTCCGGTACTCCTTTTCATCTACAATTTTTCCCTTCAAAATTCAGTATTCCCTTCGTTGTGGAAAAAAGCCACAGTCCGTCCTTTAAATAAAAATTCTAATCCGTCTTCCCCTGAAGATTTCTGGCGAATCTCAATCCTTTCTAACCTTTCCAAACCCCTGGAGAGAATTGTGCAATCCCAAGTTTCCACCTTCCTTGAACAGTCCAATCAACTTGACCTTTACCAATCTGGTTTCCGACCAGGTTATTCCACACAATCCGCCCTAATCAAAATCATTAATGATGTTCAGTCCGCCATTGATGACAAAAAACTAACCGTCCTTATACTCATTGACTTTTCCAAAGGCCTTTGATTCCATCAACCACTCCATTCTCTTTTCCAAATTAAAATCATTATCCTTTTCCCATAGTTCTATCCTATGGTTTCAATCATTCCTTTCCCAACGCTCACAAGCTGTCGCTATTCCTAATCAACCCTTGTCTTCCTATCTTACTTTGTCCGCAGGAGTGGCCCAGGGCTCTAGCATATCTCCCCTCCTTTTTAGTTCTTATATCAATGACATCCATAATTCAATCCTTCACTGCTCCCATCACCTTTACGCCGATGACTCCCAAATCTACCTTTCCTTCCATCCCTCAGAGTTGCATGAAGCGTTTGCCAAAATTCAAGAAGACTTGAATCGGATCAGTGCCTGGGCAAACTTAAATGGGTTAAGGTTAAACGCTGCAAAAACTCAAGCCATTGTCATTGGTTCCAAACCCCTTCTCAGAGCCAATACCAACATACCTATACTGTACCTAAATGACCATCCCATTACCTTCACCTCCTCAGTAAAAAACCTAGGCATTTTCATAGACCAAACCCTATCCTGGAAACACCATATTGCTCACATTACCCGACAGTCAATTGGTACCTTGAAACTATTCCATCGCTTCCGCCATCTCCTACCCATCTCCACACGTAGACTCCTAGTAACTTCCCTCATCTTCCCCCACCTTGATTACGGCTGCGTGGTGTACGGTGGCCTCTCGGCAGAACTCGGGGAGAGACTGAAAAGAATTATGAATGCCTTCGTAAGATTTGTCACAGGAGCCCTGAGGTATTCCCGTGTTTCGCACCACTATGCTGAATTAGGATGGCTCTTCCCTTCCTTCCGAAGACAATATTTCCTAGGCACATTCCTTTACCAAATAATCAATAGTCATCGTCCGTCCTACGCATACAATCTCCTACAATTCAAATCATCTATCCACACCCTCTCCACAAGATCTCGTCCTTCTGACCTTTACACTCCTTTCCACAGATCTGCATCATTTAAACATTCCTTCGTTGTCCGTTCCACTGCATTCTGGAATTCCATCCCACTAAAAATCCGCCATGCATCATCCTTATCCACCTTTAAAACCCTCTTATTCCAATTCCTCTTCACAATCCAATCAGACGCTGGTTAAATACATACTATGTTATAAGGATTTAATTTTCTTTAGACATTATTTTTTTTCTCTTATTTTTTATTGTTTTATTCTGTGTTGAACGTGAATTTTCATCACCACTCACTAAGCATTGTGAGTAGATAAAATTTGTTTTCCTTAAGTTCTAATTTGTTATTCATGGAATGTATTTCAGTGAAATGTATTTTATTTCTAATTATCTTCAACATACTTCTCGCTATGTGTATATATATACTTTATTTTATTTTCTCTTCTCCTAATCTTTACGCATAATCACTTAAATATCTTAGGGAACATATGTATATCATTATTTGTTTTTTTATATATTTTTTTGTTTTAGTTTTTACAATTTCTTTCCCTACATATTAACAGTTATTATTATTTTTTTTAATTTTTATATTCCATCACTACAATGCTTTACCTATAAAATAGATTTTACTTTCCTTTATAATTTCATTCAGTGATTATTATGCAATTATTTTAGCTCCAATATTGTAGTACTGAACCCCTATTACCCAACTGTCCTCGTTAATTTATCCTAAGAGCTTAATTAATACTTAATGTATTACATGTATTTTGTCATTATTCATTGTAATAAGTCTTTTGACCAGATTTGTAGTTAATATATATGAACAATACTGTTATTCTAAAGGGACCTAGTCCCAGAATAAAGATGATTTTTCTATTTCTATTTCTATTTCTATATATATATATATATATACACACAAATAATATATATATTTTTAAAGAAGGTTGAAGCAAATTATAAGATCAATCAGTTGTTCTAAATAAAGGATGTTTTTTCACAATAAAATTTAATGACCATTTTATACAAATAAAATGCTCCAGGAAAGGTCTCCTGCAGCATAAAGGTACTATTTCGCTGGCGCGGTCCACGACAGCGACCGCTATTTCACGCTGCCAACCGCTGTTGGCTTAGCTATTTCGCTGTATCTTTGAAGATAAAAAGATGGAGATAATATAATAATAAAAATGAACATCCTATAATAAGGAACATCTCTGACTACCGCTTTTTTATTTGAGTTGGAAAAAGAAGAGAAAATGTTGTTCATAAAGAGAAGGAATATCAGTATTTCAATGTGATGCTCATCATCAAAGTCCCTCTGATACTAGATATTATTAGTTTGAAAAGTAATAATAATTAATACATAATTGATTAGTAATAAATATCATATATTTGTAATTAAATCCCAGCAGACGATGTTTTATAGTTTTATCAATAGTAATCAGTAGATCACCACTTTAATTAAAAAATACAAATCGATTTTTCAATGGGTGGATTTTAGTATTTACCTGACGATAAAATTTGTTGGATTCTTTAATTCATTTAATATCGTTTAGATTTAGGTATATTGTATTTCGCTGTAAAATATTGCTGGTGGAATAAATAAATAAATAATCTTGTTGCTTCAACCTTAAAAAAATAATTTACTATTGCATTGTTTCAGTTTTAAACAATTTTTGTTATAATTTTGCCAGACTTGAAAGAAACATAGGAAATAAAACGTATCGACGGGACTGTTATCATAAAAACAAAGCTCTGATATGATAACATAACCTACAACCGCCGAACCACCAACAGCTCCACTGCTTCAAGAGGAGTCAGATCTGAGCAGCTTAGATATGACGTCATACCTAGACTGCCGAGCAGCGCCAGCGAAATAGTTTCCTTTCTATTCCACTAAAGCAGTGGTCAACCGCGAGCAGTCGCGGTCGTGGACCGCGCCAGCGAAATAGTACCTTAACAGCCATTGATTCACAGCTTATATAACATAATTACACAATGTTGGACTCAATAGGTCAGAACAGGAGGACAGTTCCTTACTTACTGAGGTACCCTGCTCTCTAGTTATTAATATAAAAATACATATTCATACAATTTTTGTCCATTTTAAACCACACTAGCTTTAAGTTCTAATGGAATAAGGTAGATCAGTATATAAGGCAATGTGATCCTATTCTATCAGTCTTGGGTTTGAGTACAGCTAACCTATAACCAGAACTTCTGTACTAAGTACTGAGTCGAAGGCGCTTCATGGAATGTAATGGTACAGGCTTTTTTTTTTTTTAATTTATATATAAAGTACTAATAAATACTGTTTGTATAATCTTAAGTCTTACCGTAACTTGTTGTACCGGATTGGAAAAGCTTGAGATGTTGGATTAAACCAGCAATGATAAGCGAGAATACCTGCACAGCCTGATTCCAGAAATGTTAGGTGAGCCTCTTGAGGTCTAATCTGGTGGATAGCAGTTGGCTTCAGTATTTGCTTCCCTTCAATAAGGCATGGTACTAGCTCGTCTCCTCCATTGTCTTTTCCTGTCCAATAAAATAATCATTTAAGGATTGACTCAATTCTTAAAATTTAAAAAGAAATCACATCTTAATCTTCAGTTTGACCAGCATAACTAACAGTGACTGTTTCTTCTACTAAACAATCTCCTTTATTGTCGCCTGTTAAATATTAGTGGTACTATAAATGTTATAAGCACATTAAAAGGTGACTTTTCAGCTAACATTACATGTTTATTTGTATTTCTTGCCATTTCACAATTCTTCATATATATTAGAAGAGAGGGGGATTTCAATTTTGTAAAATGCAATGCCACAATAGGCAAATGAACTATCAACTTATTATTTAGCAGAATATATTTTCCTTATTGTATACCAGGGGTCCCCTAACTGATACTATTATACTGACCACTAGAAGCTTGTATGAAGAGAAGATGGGCGTTATCAAAACCACGAGACATAAGGCCACTCCTTGTGTGCCCAAGATTAAAAATATGCCCCATCTCATGAGCTGTTGAGCCAAGGCTGGTAGCGAATGCACCACAATATGTTCCTCTGAAATATAAATGATCAATACCTTATTATTTATATTACTCAATATGTACTAAGTATATTGTGGCAAAATAAGTCAATAGAAGTGCAACCAACAAATCTTTAAAATTTTGAATCGATCTTCTACCAAATTTTATAATAATGAAAATTATTCTGTAATAGGTAAATAATAATCTTCAAAACAATATTCATATATTAAATAAAAATACATGATAAAATAAATAACCTGAAACAACTGTTGTCAAGAAGATATGGCTCCAATTTCTTGTCATTAGTTAAAGAAGATACAGTTTCGGTCAGGGAAGTTGGCCAAGTATGAAGTGATCCAGATCCGAGGAGAGCAAGACCTCCTCCACCAAGAGCTGGATTAGCCAATACAGTATGTCCATTCCATAGTGTACAAGATATGAAACACACAAATTTCTTTTTTTCACTTCCAAGATTAGACAGCATTAGTTCACGTCCAACTTCCTCCCACAGTTCTTCATCACTCATCTTCACAACTTCATCAACACTTAAAGAGCTTTTAAACAATCTACATGGTGGAGCCTTCGGAAACAAATCTTTTTCTAACTGAAATGACTTTCTGGGAAAATTTCTTTCACCTATTATTTCCGCAAACAAACTCTGAATCATTAACATACCAAACCCAATTCTAGCAATTGCACTTTCTTCATTGTTATCAACACCTTGGGGTGATTGAAAGCGCCCATCATGGTCTTTTGGAATGAAATAAACAGGAACCACAAACTGGTCGGTTTCATGCACCTCAAAATTGACAAGAAGTGTCTTTACAACACCCTCATAGGTCAATTTAACCTCATTCAAACCTGGGATCAGTTGGGCTAAGCACTTAAATAGCCCATTAGAAACTGGCCATTTCACTATGGTCCCATTGGAACAGCATAACACATTGCCATTAATTTCATTGCAATCACTACTATTCAAACGAATGGTGCCTTGAAACAAAACAAGTCTGTAATTAACACAATCATAGTCATTAAAATTTTTTATTTGAATTTCAAAATTGTTAGCAACCATATCCAAGTTTGAATGAATAGGTAACACTCTGATGTATCTAATTAATAACACATACAAATTAGCACCAAAGAGTTTAAAATTACTTCCTTCGAAAACATGACACACATAACAAATTTGATGAGTACAAACTTATGACCCAAAGAACTTAAGTATGACAATAAATCTCCTGCTTTGATCGCTGTGCATATGTATCAATCTTTTCAATCGCCAAAAAAAAAATTAATAAAATAAACAAGATAATAATGTTGACGTAGATATCTAACGTTTTAAGACTTTTTAATCTAGATATTCGTGGTAATCGGCACCTACATAAACATATAAGGTGGGAAGGTTACTGTGATAAGATAACAGTACTACCCGGGAAAAGGGAGAATTGACACAACTATCAGCAAGGTAGGGTGAGTTCATCAAAACAAAAAAAATCTTTACAAAAATAAAGATAATGAAATCGATAATAATCCTAATAACTCTGAAACATATTGTAATTAATTATGAAAGTTAAATAATATTAAATTTTCCTATCTTTGTGTATTAATTCTTTCTTAATTGTCTTTTTTAGGTATGTGACATTCTCGTTAATACTTCATCCAATTCATTGGATTAAAACATCATTTTGAATGTTACCATCTCTTTCATTGACGAAAAATAAGCAAATTCCCCAGAAAAGTCAGCAAAAAAAAGTTAAAAAGAAAAGAAAACTTTTTTCCATAATTCAAAAGGTATACAATTAGTAATTGATTAAAATATATTATGTCAGTTTGAAAGAATTATGAATTCCTATACAAAACGAAAATAAGTCATTGAAACGAACTATTATTAACAAAAATATTAAATTGTATTCGTGTGTTTTAATTAATTTTCAATAATGAACCTTTGAAACCAAGGGCCCACACAATTTTCGTATTGGGGGTTAAGACAAAATAAAGAAAAATCTCAAATAGATAAATGATTTCAAACTCTATAAAATTATAATAATTGTAAGTACTTTATTATTAATACAATTTATTACATACGACAAAATAAATATTACTTTTGAAATTGAAACAAAAATAAAAAAGAAAAAGAAAAGGATAACTTATCAAATAAAATATTATCTGTTTTATGCCAGAAAATAAATTTTGACTATTGTGAATGTTTCAAAGTTCAAAGATTAGTACTTTTTCTTTTTTAATTTTAAATAGTATCCCCTACCTTGTGAAAATAATGTAAAATCTAACACCTTTAATAATTTACATTGTTGGGACAATAAACTCAATCCGAAAAGATCAATTTATATTGTTTAGTTTTGTTGTCATTCAAAAAAGAAAGTATGTAAGGATCAATTAAGATTTCGAAATTGAAGAGAGTTATAGCACTAGTCTCAGGCCGTTTAAGGCTTGTGGAACCCTATTACTCAGATAATAGGTTACTTTTTTTTTAAATTTTGGTAGTGAAAAGCACCAATTTATTGACATGTTATCAATTATTGACACTTGTAACTTTTTTTTTTCTCATGCCAAAGTCGTTGGTTATTCGACCATCCGACATGTGCTTAAATTAATAATACTTGTAACTTAAATTTGATAAAATAAGCGTTTATATAGTATTAAAATAAGGATTTAAAATTTGCCGCCATTAATTTCAAAAGCACATTAATTAGCCACCGATTGGCGCCAAGATGAAGTCTCCATTGGGTGATATATTAGGTGGGAAACGCATGTTATTATCACTTCAATCTTCGGGAACTTGCGGTTTTTGCTAAGAAGGTAAGGAGAAATTTTATTTTATTTATCTCGTCCTTAAATGTTTATGAGGTTCATTTTTTGACACACTTTGTTACCATTTCTCGATGATGTCATATCATTTTCAAATGTGAACTTTAATTAAAACAACAGGTATTAGGGCTGTCACTAATTGCATCTTCAAAATGATAAGTGTCTCCAATTATTGAAAAAGTGTATTATATGAACAGAACGATGGACATGAAAAGAAGGGCAAGAAACAAGTTCATAACTTATTTAACAAAAGAATGACATAAATAAAAGAACATCGAAGGAGGCCCCGAACAAAAAAACAGAAGTCAAAATTTCGGTAGAAACAGAAATGGCCACAGATAGAGTAATAAGTAAGGGCGACTTCATCACGGCCACAATAGTTACTTAAAGGAAAAAGGCAATAATGGCATGTCGAGGTTTCAGAAGAAATGGTGGCTGCTAATCTTACGGACTGACGGATGTTTTTCAACTTGATGAGGATGAGAAACGTGAGAAGTCGAACATAGTTCCCAAATTGCTAAAGCCTGTAATGTTTGGGAATAAGAAAAACCGAAGAATTCTATTTCCTTATTATTTAAAATGTGCCAAAGTATACCTACTTACTCAGGGGTGCCCAGAAGGGGCTTTCATGGCGCAAGTTGCGCCATTAAAATTTTTGAGGGGGGCACATTTCGACGGGGTTATGAATTTTCAAAATGAAAAGTTTCAATAAAAAAAAACAAGTGGAAGCATGGAACAGACCGCAGGATGTGTAATTGTATATATTCTATGAATATTTAAGTTTTACTTCCGTTTGCACTGTTTTTAAGAAGCAGAGAGAAGGGAGGGGAAGGATTATGCGCCATCGGCCTTGGGGGGGATGGGCACCTTTGTACCTACTATAATTTAATTTCCTTTCTCATACCATTTTGTGGTATCTAGGTATGGATAATAAGTTTTAATGTGTTCAGATACTAATATGTGATGATTTTGTACCTGTAAATAACTAATATTTCGTTCAGGATAAATTCGTTTGGTGGTTGAATATATTGTCAATAACTGGTTCCTTTCTCTGTCGATAATTGGTTTTTGCATGTCTATAATTAGTGACAATGTTGTCATCGCTTATGGGCTCAAAAACCTGAAAACTTTATAGTATTTTATCCATTATATAAGCGGAATCTGTAGAACAGACTTGGACTAGTATGAACAACTTTGAAACTTACAGATAGGTCAATTAATAAAAAGTTTGAGGTAAATTACTTGAAACATTTCTTTAAAGTGTCAATAATTAGTGACTTTACCCTCTATAATTTTAGTACCATAAATATGGCTTGGTGATCTCATGACAATCTAGTAACAAAACTCTTTATTGAAATTAAATAAATAGCTTATTTTATTATTATTTTAATAATATTTGATTGAATTAATTAATCCTGTTAATGTTATGAAGTGGAATAATAATGTTGCCAAATTGATTATTTCTTATTTGAGTGATTTGTTATTATTAATAATTTATTATTTGATACATCAAGCTTCAAACAAGCCATATCCTTTTTCCAATTGTTTTTTATTATTGGTTATGAATAAATGTCTTCTAAAATCAATTGCAGTACACTGATTTAGTTGTGGTAGAAGTGGTAAAACGATGTTAAGATTTGTCTCGTACGTTTTAATGTAAAAAACAAATTGAAAATGACTCAGCACTAGTCGGTTTAAAAATATAATATCGTTAATTATTTTAAACTTAACCTGTTAGTCTTTAGTCACTTCAACTTCGGAAGTGGTTAAACTGTCATGCGATTATTCTCAATACATTCAGTGCTAAAAGTTGCATGGATATTTTTTTTTACTTTATCCCTTTCTCGCCATGTCTAACTTCGGGGGAGCGTATTGAATTTTCTGATTTTTTTTTTCTATTATTAAGCAGTAAGTTTGAAAGAAATCAAAATATAAGTTCTGTAGTCGTCGAGACCATTGGGAGGAGGCAAGGCACACTTTGCCCCTCAGTATGTTTTGGGGAATTCAGAATTTCAACGACTTTTCAATATTTTCCAGTCCTGTATTTAAAAATTAATTCATACCAGAGTTCTATAAACCTGTTTTGTTTTTTGTCCCCCAATTCTTTACCTTTTAAGCTATACGGATTTTTTCCCGGGCCAAGGGTGAGGGTGGGGGATTAATGCCAGAGATAAATCATACAAGTGACAATTAAATGATATTACAGATAATAAACTGACGAGTGGAATACTTTATGTATATCGATATAACTTTCCCTACTCTCCTCCAATTTTCTTAATGTTTATTAATATTAATAATAATTTATTGAATATATAAAATATATTTATGAAAAAAAAAAATACAAAACATTTTACGGCATGAAAATCCGTCCGTCGAAAATATTTTTTATGCCGGAAATATTTCCTAACGATTCAGAGTTTAAATGTTGTTCCACTGCCATGTAAAATAAATTAAAGCTTTGATTTTTTAAGAAATACCAATCAAATAAAACATGTACTTGCAGATTTTCTAAAGATTGATTGATGAAGCAGAGATTGCTTTGTAAAGAAACATTGCTGTTGTTAATTTGGTTAAGTAAACCATAACAGACTTTCATGGAGAACGGTATGTTATTATTTAATTATGATAATGATTTTAGGTTGACAATATGGGAACTGGTGGAGGTGGTTATAGAGGTTCAGTCGGTGCCTGGCTGGGGTCTGAGTACCATGGCTGCTGCAGCGGGTAGGTGTAACTTTTATTTATTTAGTTTATTTATGATAGTAATAATTTATCTAATAACAATATAAAAACTGTAAGCATTTGCCTATGCAATAATTCATTTTTATTTAAGTATAAATTACAACTGAATTGAATATCGCATTTCGTATTTGAAATTAATATTTTGAAACAATTTTAGTGATCTTGTTTTTCCATCTTTTTTAGTAGAATTTGTTTCTTTTAAATATATTTTTGGAAAAAAAATCAATGGTTATATGATCTATTGTTTATTTAAAAGTGTCCTACGGTTCCGCGTTATATTATTTTTTCCTATTAATTATGGTATGTTTTTCTAATTTAATTTAAAGGAATTTGATATAAATTAATATTGATATAGAAGGGTAATATTAGCACATACGATGAAAAGCGTAAATATGTTGTGTATCATTTTTATTTCTATCATAATCTATTACTGACAATTAAAATACATAATTGTTAACCAAACATATTGAATTAAATAAAATATCAGTTCTAAAGGATATTTCTAGATAAAAATTTTGAAAAGTGTACCAGATGTGTTTTTACTACGGTCTATAACTTAAATCTATATGTTTTCTTTAATTTTGTCATGGTTGTATGTTGCGACTTTAATGAAAAAAAGAAAAACAAAAGTAGGGTTCATATCATTTATAAAAACAAATCGCCGATATTAACAATTAATATGTTGAAACGTAAGAAAATTATACGATTTAAATTATACCGCATAGAAAACTTCGTTAATGGTTAATTCAATATTATTATTATTAAAACATCAAATTAATTCTTTATTATATTCATG